TCTTTCTTTCTTTCTTTCTTTCTTTCTTTCTTTCTTTCTTTCTTTCTCTCTTTCTTTCTCTCTTTCTTGCTATTTAAGCCAAGGATTGTTAAAGGGACAAAACATATAAAGGAACTAACATAGGAACATTTACATCCCACCCATACCGCACAGACCATTTTAATCTTATCAACCTATCTAATGGAAGCATCTTATATTTAAGTCCCTTTGACATACGCATTGTGTTACATTTGTGGGGTTGTTTGCCAAGACTCATTGACATTCAAACTGCCCAAAGTTTCCCTCTGTACCAATGTGTACTTTTGGGTCATGGAAACTGTACTACATATTCAAATTCCTGACAGGCTTCCAAACACTTGTCATCTTGGCAAAACCTGAGAGTTAGAAGGGGAATGTCTACACCCTCACTGACCCAGTTATAAGACTCTGATATGCCACAGTGAGAACCAATCAGTAATTCTAAGTTTATTCCTGGTGATATAAAGTCAGCACAACACTCCTTCTCACCCTAATTTCAATTGTTCATCTTGACATACATTTATTTAGATTATTTTCTGTCTTGTAAATCTATTGTAGTTGTGGATTTAAATAGTCGATGTTATGTTTTATATCAAATGTGAAGTCGGTGTAGAAAATTGATGGATAGGTGCATTGGTGGACGGTTACTAAGGTCAAAGGCACATCTCTCATGTGTCAGACGCATTTAGCTGGAGTGTATCCAGGTAAAATGTCTGAGGCACATGTACCTAAGAGGGATTTTGACAGACAAACAATTTTTATGGTTGGAACATCTGTTGACAAAGCGATACAAAACAGTGGACGCAAAACCCAGCTACAGAGGGAAGTCATAAGACTTCTTTCTGAACTTGAGACTTAAACAGCTCAGAACAACAAATCCACCTTGACCTTCATTTTCATGTGCAAATTTGTGAGTAATTTGATCTAACACCAACATCTCACTATTCCCTTGAGAAGTGATGGACTGTTTTCACTGCTAAATGCATTAAACACACAAAAGATCCCCCTGTAGACCTGTGTTTAATCAAATTGTCCAACTATTACTTTAGTAATGTTACAGTGCAATAGGAAGGACTGGAAGGAAGATGACCGTAGCTACCTATATGAGAACATTAGTGGTTTGCTTGGATATTCTCCACTTACGATTTCAAATTCATGAGTGTAGCTAAATAACCCTAAATCAAACGATAAAATCTTTACTGGGAAGACAGAGTTCCTGTGGCGCATCGCACTGCCACGAGGTTCCCATTAAGATCTAAGTTGCATAATCAAACTTTGACACCAAAGCATCATTACATAAGAAGTAAGAAGGAGAGTAAGTCTGGCACTCATGGCAGTAAACAAATTCTTAAATGATACAGAGAGGCAACAAAATGACTGTGGAAGTGGAAGCGGAGTAGGAAATGTGGCAGAGCGGCACCTGGCACAAGGTGAAATGTTTTCAAAGGTTTTGAGTGAGTCGTGGAATTGTCTGAACCTGGACAAGAGCACTACAAAAGTGTCGTAGGACAGCAGTGACATCAGAGTGAATTAGATAGGGAACATAAAGTGCTGATACTGAAATAACATCACTTCTGTTTCTGTGTATCTGGGGGCTAAATTTGGAGCCACGAGGTTCAGGGCAGACAGGGTACAGAGGGTCTTGGTTACCACTAAAGAAAGCTGACCCTCCGTCAGCCACAGGGGGAGGTTCCTCTCTGTCAGGGCGTCAGCGTCTGTGGTGGGAGAAATCAGAGCAAAGGAACCTCCCCTTTTTTTCTCTGTCACCTCATCAGAAACCGGTCTCTGCTGGTCAGACTGCCGTCGGTCTCAAACCTGTTGTCCCATCACTCTCCTGCATGGGAACTGGTCAGAGCTGGTTTTGCTTCTCAGGAATGCGACAGGTGATGTTGAACACATCTCACACATTCAACAGCATTCCTACACGAGGTTACAGAAGACAGACACAGATATGTATTTTTACATACAGCACATTGACACTTGCATACAAGAAATGAAGCTAAAAAGCATCTTTAAAGCCTCTTTGAAGGCATCAGTTTGTCTCCATTCTTCCCCTTTATCAAAATGGTCTGCTGTTCCGAGCATGAATTGGGGAGAGTTGAATAATCTGAACCGCAGGTTTCTGAAAAAAAAGTCAATCAGTTTCTGCAAATAAAATCATGAAGCAGCTTGGACTTAGATCAGGAAGTAAAAGTTTGCGGTTTGTGGTCTGTTATTAAACCTGAAAGTTAATCGACAGCTAGTCAAAAAAGCATCACTAAAGTGTAACTCCCAGGCTATTACAGAGACTTTGGAGTGGGCGTTGTACGTAGAGTACAATGTGAAATACAAAAAGAACCAAATGGAAATAGCAGGTATAAATCTTTACAGTTTACAATGTTTTCCAAAAACAACAACAACAACAACAGCAAATGTTCTCTAGTTAAATTAATATGATAGAGAGTTAAAAGTGAAAAACCGGTCATTCCAGAGGTTTTATCAATGTAACGTTTCGTGTCTTTAACCAGTAGCTTTCTAAGAGTCATTAAAAATGGATGATCTGCAGCCTGACATCACGTCACAGCAGCATTACTTCCGGTGTCCTGTAGATGGTGACAACAAACCAGTTTAATATGCTAACGCCTTTTTTATAATGACCATGTATTTTTATTTTCTGTGAGAATTTTTTTTTATCATCATAAGGTTATCTTATGATGACCTAAAGAGTTTTTGCAACTGCAAAACATCACACACCTTGGTACAAGACTGACATGAACTCTAAATAAATTCATGAAAAAGTTAGGTTTTAAGTTATCAGTTTGGACAAATAGACCAATGTGATCTACAAAACAAGGATGCTTTGCATATACATTTTTTATTTGTACCAATTTAGATGTAGCAGTTTTTAAATTGTAATAATAATAATAATTTCTATCCCACATCTGATCTGTCTTTCATCTCGAGATTGGCAATCTTAATTTAAGTATTCTTGGCCAAATACTGGCAGTGCTTTGATATTGATGTTGCATATAACTTTTAGGCTTCAAAGCTGTGCCTAAAGCTGTGCGTGTGGAATCATCCGAGTGGGTGCTCGTGTTCCGTGTTTTGGGGATACGCTCCCGAGCAGCGACGAATACCTTCGGCACGACACGCGCACTGCATTTCCCAAATCATTCCCCCCGCGCGCGCGCGCCCCCTGTACGTTCTCTGTTTGGGCCAACCAATCGGGAGCGCGCGCGGCCGAGGGGCGGGGCCGCGCGGAGGCAGCGCAGGCAGGGATGAGAAACTTGCCCGGATATTTACCTAACTATACCTGGCTTTTCCGACGAAGCCTGGCCCGCGGTGCTCACAGCGGACGCCGTGGAGGGACATGAGCCGTCTCTGAAGCGTGACGGCCGAGGTAGTAACGCCCTTTCCTTCTTTTAAACGCAACTTTTTTTCTCCCCAGAAAAAGAGAACTTGGCCAAAGTGTTGTGACGAGCACCGCCGTGGTAGGAGGAAAGTTTGTCCGCGGCGGGTTCCTCCTTTCTGGGTGTAGCTTTGGAAAAGTCCAGGCTGTCAACAGGTTCCTTGTTCGCGCTGTGGCTCAAAGTACAGCGAGGTCACAACAGGGTACATTATCGACGGACTGGGACTACCAGGAAACCAAATTAAGGGCCTAATTCACTCAGAAGGCCGTGTTTTGTCTGTGATATATCACCCAACGTCTAGCGATGGTGACGCGATTTGAACAGATTTCAGTATTAATGAAAGGTGTGTCTATAAGTTATTCCTGTCAACTTTCTCATATAAAGTTAGAGCAAAACAGTTTGGATAAAACGCATTACGTCTATTATTACATTATTTTTATTCCTAATAGTTTTTCTTGTTTTTGCACTTCTGTGGACCCAGGTGTGAACATATTAATAATAGATGCATTACACCCAGTGAGGTCACAGTCCCCACACAAAGATGAGTTCACTTTTTAAAGTGGCATTTACTTGTAAATCCATTTGAAGCCTGCCTGTGAGAGGGTTATTATGGAAAAGCAGTCATCCAGCAGGCACCAGCTCCGTTTCAATATATTCAGAGTGTGTCACTGTGTTCAAACATTAACCCAAATATTGTGTCCTTTCAGAAGACAGGCTGGCGAGATCTGCTCACCTGGAAACTCAGCCCAGGATGAATGTACGTGCACACACTCCCACATGCATGCTTATAGACGCTCATACGCCTGGATGTCCACACTGTACGTGTGTCTTCATGTGCATCGGTGTAAGCGTTTGTAGTATTTGTGTGTGTCCGGTGGCCGTTCTGAGATCAGTCTTCGTGTTGTAGATGGGGCGTGTTCAACTCTGAAGATGTTTAACATTCTTATCATTCAGCTGCTTGTGAAAGGCGGAGAGATGCAGAGGGAGAGCAGGAGGGAGAGGGAAGGGACATGTTCAGACCCAGACCAAATAATAAGAGATTACACAAACGAACACACACACACGCCGTCGCTCTTTTGCATTCACAGTGCATTACTCACTGCAGGCCGATGCTCCATCCAGCACATGTATTACTCACCGCACAGTGTCACCCCGAGGGAGGTGCTTTCATTGGAAGACAACAGCCTGGAAACATCTGACACTGTTTTGTGGTTGTGTGTGTTTCTCCAGGTCTCCTCTCAGTGACGAACTGAGGACAGGGTGTTTGTCTTGAGAGGGAGGCAGAGTTACCGTGGTAACAGACATGCCAAAACCGGACCTGCTCTGCCTCGTTCAGCTGCTGGACGGCACCATCGAGACCTTCAGAGTGAGCGTGCGTAACACACATAATCACACGCACACATACACACAGACACACACACAAACAAACACTCATTCTATTTGTTGTCTGTCTCTGTGCTCTGCTAATGATCCTGGTGTCATCTGTGATGTAGAGGCAGACTATTTTCTTCCTTTTCCCATTGATCCACATCTCTCACACAGCTCTGCAGTCCTCTTTGAAGGACACACTCACCTCCTACAGCTTACAGATGCTTGTCACACTTGGGAGTCCTTAACATCATCAGCATATCTAGTCATATGCCCAAAGCCCCCACACACAAGGGAGAAAAATCACAATGTTGCTCTCAGGGAGAACCCCTGTACAGCATTTATGGCGCGAACAATGGGAGAGTGTCATGGCTATAATAGAGTTGAACCTCCCTAATAGTCTTTCTATGACGCGGCTTCTTGTGTGACAGTTTTTTTCTACTGAAACGCTGGTAATGGAGGCAAAGGATGTAGAGGATTATCTGTCCACACACATCAATAATGATTGTGTTTCCTGTCTAATGAAGGCAGCGTTTTCTGCAGTCATAATGTCAGCATCTTTTTCCAGCAACGCAAACTAGAAAAGAGAGAATCTTGCAGATGAGTTGACACAGACTTAACCACACTTTTAATTTTGCTATTAGAGATTCAGAAATCAAGTTGGAGCCTGGACCTATTCTCAGCACTATATCCAGACTTTTCCAACAAATCCATGTGTACAAATAAGAGGCCAGAAAGTCTGGCTGGCATCAATGTCGTTTGTTGTTTCCATCTTTCAGAAGCAGGATGAAGGTGTGGTTCTGCTGGACCTGGTATGTGACCACCTGGGCCTGCAGGAGAAGCAGCTCTTCAGTCTGCAGATCAGAGAATCCAGCACAGCCATTGCCTCGATCACGGCCAACACACACTCTCCTGTGAGCTCCCTGCACATTTAGGCTGAGACTCCTAACGTCTTCCTCTTGCTGATTGCAATACAGTTTACGATAACCACGGGGCGTACTTTCAGATTTTTTTTTAGCCCTAGTTAGCCATTATGCTTAATGAAAGTCTTTCTTTCAGAGATGGTTGGAGCCAGAGAAGCCTCTGAAAAAGCAGATTAAAGGTATCTGTCTTGAGCATCTGCTGTTTTCACTTACAATTACCATTTCCTCTTTAAATTCAAAATAATATTCGAAATAAAAAAGGAGGTTTTGAAGTAACTATTGTTCCAGACCTTTTTTTTTTTTACTGTGACATTTCTCCACAGGTCTTGCTTCCCCCTTTTATCTGAACTTCAGAGTGCGATTCTTCATCTCTGATCCAAACTCTCTGCAGCATGAGCAGACAAGGTTAGCGATCGGGCATCTCTTTAATGACAGCAGTGATATAATATAACAGACTAACCATAAAATCTCAGATTTTTAAGGTGTTACAATGTTTGGTTCACATCTTATTGTGAAACACTAGATACACAAGATGTAGTAGCCATCCAAGCATCAAACTTTTGAGAGTGAGCTTCGATATTGTTCACTTTTATAAGCTGTTCTGCAAGTAAAAACAGCTTTTGAATCACATTGTCAAAGTTTCTGCTCCTGTGATTAGCCAAAAGAGTAGAAGAAAGCTTGATTTCTGTGAGGTTTGTTCCCTACTATGAAAATGTTGTTTATATTTTTAGCATATGAAAAACACAGTGCACACCTCTTTGGGGAGTTTGAGGTGTGTTTAGGATTATTATCACGTTGCTTCCTGAATATACAGGTATTTAAATGAATCCTTTTCTAGCAGTCCGAGCCAATGAAAAGGTCTTTGTACCACTGGCTTAAGGATAAGCCTAAAGTATGACTGAACCACCCCTTTGAACGGTGCAGGAGGCGCTGTTTTTCTCCAAACATATCACAGCCCTTACTAGCTGTAATTGACGTGTAAGACATCTTCGAAAAAGGCTGGAAGAGTGCTCAGATCGTAAGGTTTCTGTTAAGGGTAGAAAACCTTTGTGGGTTGTTAAAGTTCCTCTTGTCTCATCCTTGCAGGCACTTGTACTTCCTCCAAATCAGGAGTGACATAAAAGAAGGACGGTTAGTAGCACAACTTCAAACCTATCAGGCCCAACCCCCTCGCACGCAGTATTTGTTTAGCTGTCGTGCGTGCACTGTGTAATCATCATATCTGATTGCAGGTTGCAGTGCCCGCTGAGCTCAGCTGTAGTGCTGGCTTCTTACGCCGTGCAGTGTAAGTCTCATCTCTTCCCGGAGAAAAGAAATGATTAATGACTCAATAATAACTATGTGAGTAGTTATACCTGGGAGGATGCTATCAATCCTCTCATTTAGCAGCTCTCCAACAGTGCTCAGGTGGCGGGATACACAGATGTGTGCTGCTTGTTGTGTGTTCCTGTGCGGCTGCTCAGAGTCTGTTTCTATCACCTGTAGCGGAGATGGGGGATCACTGTCCGTCCCGACAACCTGGTTACCTCTCAAAATGCCACTTCATCCCACAACAAGATGAAGACTTCCTTTCAAAAGTGGAAGATCTGCATCCACAACACAAGTAATTGAGACAGTGCATTAACTCTCCTTAAAACAACAGGTTTGTTTTGCAGAGCTGTAGGTGATCGTGTGTGTGTATGTGTGTGTGTTCCTAGAGGGCTTAAGCAGAGCGAGGTGGAACTGTGTTTTCTCAACACAGCACGGACGCTGGATTGGTACGGCGTGGAGCTTCATTCTGCCATGGTAGTGCGGCTCCTTTGATTGAGCTGTAATTTAATCATCTTTTTTATATATTAAGTATAGTATTCCCTCTCCAAATTATGTCACATTTTAGACATTCATCTTTTAATCTAGCCTGTTTCTGTGTTCAATTCGGCCCCAGGCGCCTTTCTTAGCAAACTGAGACCATGTTAATGACAACTGAATCACTCAGTGGCTGTTAATCAATAGTAATCTTCAGCCCTGATCCAAATTTAACCACTTTCAATTTCACTCATCTGTCTTTCTCTCAGGACATCAAAAATGCACCTCTGATGGTGGGGTTGACCTCAAATGGTGTTGCAATATTCTGTAATATGGTTTGCTCCAACTTCTTTCCTTGGTGAGTAATTACGCTAGTCATTAGTCAGCATGCAGTCGTATCTCCTCCAGCTCTGACTAAATGTGATGCTCCCATGCAGGGGGAACATCATCAAGATTTCATTTAAGAAGAGACGCTTTATTATTCACCTGAAACGCAAACACGTGAGTTTCTCTTTTCATTTGTCTTTTGATTGTTCAGAGATGTGCTTTGATAGTTTTAATCTCTCTACATGCCTCGTTGGTAAATTAGTTCCCTTTGTGAGACATTGAAATTTAATTAGAACATTTTTTATTTCTTCTTTTTATGTGGCAACTATTTAAAGATTGCTTCTCAGTGTTTCTGGGTGTGAAAAATAATAAATCAAACATTGGTGGGAAAAAACAAAAAAGGCTAAGAGAGAGGATTTATTTCCAGCCGCAAATTCCGCACTCTTATCTGAAGTTTTAAAAATATTGGAGTTAAACTGAACTGTAAACTCACAGGGGGAAACCCAAAACTGTGAGATGTCTCTGGTCTTGCCTTGCCCCAAGACTTGTAAGAACCTGTGGCGGTCCTGTGTGGATCATCACTCCTTCTTCTCCAACCGCTCGGCCAGGAACCCCAAATATAACAACAGCACTATCCAGTCCTACAAGTCGTTGATAACGCAACACCTGGGACTCGGCAACAGTAAAACCGACACGTGAGTTTTTCATCTGCTGTTTCATCTGCTGTACATCTGCTCTCTCTTATCGTAAACACTGCTGGTTTCTGAATGTTCTCTCTTTATCCTGTTCAGTAGCAGCGGTCCGGTCTGCCAGCGTGTAGTCGGAGGAATGGTGTGGAACCCGGTTTTGAGGCGGTCGCTCTCATCAGAGCATCTGGAAACCAAGAGCCTGCCCTCCAGATCGCCCCCATCCACTCCCAACTGGTACAACTGCTGCCACCAAACTCAACACTGATGCTGCCATAAGTTTCACCTCTTTTTTTTCAGAAATAAAAAACATCTTATATTTCATTGAATAGCACAACCTGACCTTTCACTTGTTTGTGTGTAAGGCGAAGTCCCCGAGTCCGCCACGGGATTCGTAAACCCCGCCCATCTTCTATGGAGCTCTCCACTGATCTGAAAGACATGTCAGAGGGGGAGGATGTCTTCTACACCTACAGGGCGTCTGTGAGCAGCAGCAAGTACAGTGAAGGAGACTCCTCTTCTCAACAGTTTAGTGTTTTACGTGCAGCAGAAACTATTTCGAATTTAGAACTTCTAAGTATTTCAGTTTTATATATGTATATGAGACAAAAAATGTAACATGTGTGTCAAGGCACTTACTCACTAGATATTATCATGTCAGTCAGAGTACAAAGTCATCTTGTATATTCTCTTTCAGCCTTTCTGGCCCTTACAATCAAGAAGCAGATGGGACTTTGTTGCAGACTGACAACAGTATAGGAGAGGATGACAGCTCACCACACTATGATAAGGTGTTTTATTTCATGTCATGTGGTATAATCATGGTTATTATCCCCCCTAGTTCATATTTGTGTATCATGAGGGTGTTAAGAAATTTTTTTTTGAACAGGACGGTCTTGGTGACGGTGACTTGATGCTAATATGTATCACTCCAGACCACGAGGGTAAATTTGGCTTTAACGTTAAAGTAGGTCTCCCTCTCTATTACATTTATCATATGCAAGCTTTTATGTTTTATTATTTATCTAATTGATTTTTTTTAATTGAACTCCCCCTAATAGGGTGGAGTTGATCAGAGGATGCCCTTATCCATATCCCACGTTAAACAGGACTCCCCGGTAAGAAAACAACTCAGTCATGTGCATGATTTGATGCTGTATAGTTTCTCTCCATCAGCAGAGGGGAGAATACAAATAATGTTTTTGGAAGACTTGAACTTGAGCCTGAAGTGAGGAGTTCTTTGCATGGAAAGCCATTAACATCCCACATTTAAAGCTATTCAGTATAAAGTCTTGTGCAGACTTTCAAGCCAATATGCAACACCAATAGAAAGTTATCAGAAATATTCGGTTGCCGGTAGTAGCCGGCTCAGATGTATACAGAAATCCAAGAGTTCGGAATGCTGTCAGGCAGAGCAGGCTGAAGCCTTTGATTGAACCTAGAAATCGTTTTATTACTTCATTATTTTACACAGACAGAAATGTATAACAATAATTTGTAATTAGTATCTATTTAATTTATTTAATTAGTATCTATTTAATAGATTTTTCAAAAAAATATTATGACTTGAATTTATTCCGCGAAGTATATCTTGACCATATTTGAATGACCCTGTGTTGTTGGTAGGCAGGTCGATCTGAGCCCAGACTCATGGAGGGGGACCAGGTGGTGCTGATCAACGGTCGGGACATTTCTGAGCACACACACACCCAGGTTGTGATGTTCATACGAGCCAGCACAGAGTCACACTCCAGACAGCTGGCTTTGCTTATCAGACGGAAAGGTACGTAGCCGGGAGAGAAAAGTGCTGAAAAGGCAAGTGATTCAGAGTGCAAGTGATGCTCTGTCATGTTTGCATGAATATTTAATATAGCCTTGACCTGTCCTTAAAAACCAGGTTCAGGCCGAGCAACGCCCCTGCTGCAGCTACTTCCCTCCCTCACACTCACCAACCAATCACAGGAAAACACCCCACAGCCCGCTGGCCATTTCGAGCAGGTCAAGACATTGGAGGACTCCATGAGACAGCTGGAGAGAGGAATACAGTCTGGCACACTGTGCTTCCATTTTGAGGTATCCAAAATGCCATTTGAAATTAAATTTGTTTTTGTTTTCAAATACAGGAAATAAACCCAAAATAGGCGTGTGTGTTCTGTTTTTTATAAGCAGGATTTAGTTTGTCCCACTTGGTTATGTGGAGAGCCATAATGAGCCTTTTAAATGTTGCTTTGAGGACAGATGTTGGCCCTAATCTTCAGATGGGTGTTGTCCGGAGAGCAAAGACGTCATGACTGGGCTGAAATTTTTTTGTTTCTGTTTGTGCTCATTTGCATGTTTGTGTGTGTTTGCATGCTTGTAATTCCTAGAATTTATACAGAAGAAAGCCTGGTCTGTCACTAAACTGTGCCCGTCTTCCTGAGAACCTGGACAAGAATCGGTACTGGGATGTTTTGCCCTGTAAGTGCTTTTGTTTGCATCGCCCTTTCACTCGTCTCTTCACCGCCGGTGCTCCCACCACCCTCATTCCCTCCCACTTACAGCTCTGTGCCACCTTTCCAACCTTTATCTGGGTCTGACTGCTGGTGCTCCTCGTGGAATTTAATTGCTGAGCCTGAAGTGCGTCGACAGCTGTGTTCTGACCCTCACCTGCTGCTGTCCTGCCCTCTTTTCAGATGATGCTACCAGAGTGGTGCTTGAGGGTCAGGAAGACTACATCAATGCTAGCTACATCACGGTGAACATCACTCATGTGAAACCGTGTGTCTGTTAATGTGAGCTCATCCTGTGAGTGGTGTGTTTACTGTTTATTTGTATGTCTCTCAGGTGGCGCCCCCAGAGTCTGGTGTATGTTTCCGTTATGTTGCGGCCCAGGGTCCACTACCACAGACCTTCACACACTTTTGGCAGAGTGTGTGGGAGCAACAGACACACACCGTCATCATGCTCACAACTCTTACAGAGAGGGGACGGGTATATTTTGATTTTTGCATACTGTAAACAACCACAGGTTTAAAGGAGTGGATAGGAGACACTTGAAATTACAGAACTCTGTATCGGGGATGCAAAAACACAGTGATTAGCGTAACACCACTGGAACATTATTACACGCTGTGTCATGTCTAATTTGATACACGATTACAGTAATTACAGGGTTCGGCAGGGATGTTTGCACATAAAAACGATCAAATGAATACAGTAGGGAGTAAAGTAGAGTTTCACGGTGTAGAGAACAGCTCAGTGAAAAGTTTTAGCCACATTCAAATCAGATGAATAATTTGAGAGAGGACGCATCCACACAGAGGCAGCGAGGAATCAAGCTCTTGCTTAATGAACAAGTCTGTGTGTCAGTTTGCCCGTTGCTTGGTAACCATATGTTCTTTGTAATCGATCATTTTCCCGATGCTGTTCAAGTGTGCACAGTCACCTCCTCCAGCACACACACATATACACGCACGCATTGACTTCCAGTTCACATCTGGGTCCTGATGAATTGTTTTGTTCTTCTGAGTGCCCCGTGAAACCAAGCAGGCCGCCGAAAATATGAGTCTGACGTTTTGAAAGCAGAGCGCCACAGCTGTAGCAGCTCTAGCAAACTGCATCCCGACGCATCGCTCATGTCAGAAGTAATCTAATATGTTGGGGATGTCATACCATTTGCAGACCAAGTGCCACCAGTACTGGCCCCATCCACCAGAAGTGAAGGATTATGGGCACTTGAGGGTGAAGTGTCACTCGGAGGAGTGTAACCTGGCGTACGTGACCCGACAGTTCACCCTGAAACACACACAGGTATGGTGACCAACACAGCTGCACTGGTCAGCCCACTGGATGATCACAGAAAACCCTGCTGCAGAATCTAAACAGCTTTTCCTTCTTTTACTTATTCTATCTTGACATGATATTATAAAGTGGAACGTTTTGTGGTTTCCTATGTTCTGTAAAACTCTGGTGGGAACCGTTTGATGGCTTGTAGCTCAGCTTAAAGGTCAAACAATTAATTGAAAAAATGTCTGACAAAGAATCAATAATCGTAATATGGACCAGGAGGAGCAATCAGGGCTTTTTCTCCCCTCGTGTTGAAATTTCCTGACACGTAATCAATGAAACAATCGTCAGTTACAGCCCTCGTGGCAAAGTTCACACCTGCTCTCATATCCACATGAAACACGGATGGCAGCACGGCAGAAACACGACACAGAGCTTTTCTTTTTTTGTCGTTTCTGTTGCATGTAACATGTTTATGCCATATGTCACGCCACAGGCAGACACCACCCCTAGCAGGCTGACTGCGGCCAGCAGAGCGTCACTTCCGTGTGGGTGGGGACAGAAACTTATTTTGTGGCCCTTCCGTGTGTGGGTGTGAATGGGCGGGGGTGGGCTCTTTAAAGAAGGTCATCTGTTCGATTGTGTCGCAGTAGGCGATCAGATTAAAGGCGCTGCCGCGCACAACAGCCTGCATGGCGAGCAGGTAAATAAACAGATAATGTTCAAGGAGGCATGAAGTTTGCATGCGCAGACATGCATACACAGATACTGCTGTGTGGGCCCATCTGTTCCTCTGGCGGAGAGAGTTAATCCCTGCATGGAGTCACAGGCCACATGCCCGTTTTAAACTCTAAAGTCAGCCATTCTCCTACCAGCGTTTGCTGTGATCATTCATATTTCAGTTGAAACTGTTTTCCTCCTTTCTCACACCACCTAAACTGTTTCATCTCTGTGTCCCTTTTTTTGCTCCCTAATCTGAGTGTCACCAGCCGGTCATGTGGATGTTTTAGTCTGATTTCCACTGCTCTCTCTGTGGGTTTTGTCTCCTCATGTTTTGGTTAATGTCGGGGCTCTTAAGCCTGTCTCAAGTGGGTGATACTTCCCAAAGGGTACATGTTTTTTAATGTTAAATACTGGTTGTGCAACGCTCACATTACCCCTCTCTCAACCACCTTTTTTTCCTTCTAATAAAATGCCTGTGGCTGGGTTCAGCTGGGCGAGGAGCGAGCAGTCACCCATCTGCAGTACGTCGCGTGGCCGGACCACGGCGTTCCGGACGACCCCTCCGATTTTCTGCTTTTCATCAGCTCAGTGAGGGACAGGAGGACGGGAGAAGAGCCGTTGATGGTACACTGCAGGTAAGGCACGCACACAAACGCAGGCTTTAACTGAGCGCAGCCACCGAATAACTCGTCCTTTGTGGAACTAACGGCATGTTCATTGGAAACACTTTTCAGTGCCGGGATCGGACGGACAGGTGTTCTGATCACCATGGAAACGGCCCTGACTCTGTTGGATGAGGGCCGGCCGGTGTTTCCGCTGGATATTGTGAAAACACTGAGAGATCAGCGAGGGATGATGGTTCAGACCACGGTACAGAGAAGCAGAACGAGGGCTCCCCGTTTGTTAAATTACACTCTTTCTCTTTGCCTCATTAGGCCCCTTATTGTACTGCAGTATAATCACCCCGAGCTGACTTCCATTTCTGTCTGTTTGAATGAAACGCAAGCTTTGATTATAACGTCATCCACCTGGTTCAGTGCTTGAATATCACTGCAACTAACATTTGCTCCATTCAGAACTCCCACCGACAGGGTTTGTTTTCTTCTGGGTCTGGACTCAGATCGAATGCTTCCCCTTTAGTTTAATACAGATCTCCAGTAAAATTAAATCAAAAGGTGCAATGCTTCTGTTTTTCAGAAGAAACTGAAAAAAAAAGAAAAAAAAGACATCTCTGTCTCTGAAACTCAAATTCTCAGACACTGTATATACTGATGGCTGATGATGAGCAGCTCCCCTTGAGGTTGGGCATTGTGGCACTTCAGTGGTAGTCGGCGAGGAGCAGGAAAGTGTTACTCATGGCTCGGAATAGGAGGGAGTGCTGGGAATATGGCAGGCTGTTTCCTTCGCTTGGCTTCCGCCACAGTCACCCTTATTTTGAGAGGGCTCCTGGGGTTTCGTCTCTCTGATGTGCTGATGGAAAGCTTTCTCAGGTTTGCCTCACATGTTTGTGTATCAGTTGTAAAAAAACAACACCATGCACAGTCAGAGGACATCCTAGTCATATGAGGGATGGGGTGGGCATAATTCTGTGTTTGTTTTTTTGTGTAAATCCTATGAAAATCTCATCTCTGAGTTGAGTCTGACAGCTCTGTGGCACGTCGCGTCATACCGGCCGCTTACATAAATCTTGGAAAACAGGTCGCATATGTAGAAATGACAGACCAAAGGGTTCCCTTAGTAACAGCTCAGGAGCTCTCTGTTGTATCACACCCTCATTCTGATCAGACGGAGTTCCACTCCTGGTTCATCCTTTGACTGTGTCCATAATCAAAGGTCTTCCCAGTTACTGAATGGGTGGCAGTGAAAGTTGAAATGTGTCTGTAGTTTGTAGAGAAGGGCACAGCAAACGCTGGCGCTGACTTTGGTTTCTCTAATCTCGCCATCGCAGCCACGTTTGTGATGCATCTGGTAAAATGTCCTCAACACTGTTTGGTTGGTTGCCATAAGGTCGAGTACATACATTTTCAGACTCCCTGAGGAATATTCTCACCTGACCATTTACGCACTTTTGCGTTTGGATGGTATTCTAACATTCATCGCACCTCGGCAGCAAGTCACAAAGGTGTGTTTTTGTGCTTTATGTCTTACAGAGTCAGTTCCAGTTTGTGTGTGAGGCCATTCTGCGAGTCTACAAAGAGAAACAGGAAAAGTCCATTTCATCTTAACCCAAATCATCATCAGAACCAGACCTGAAACCAGAAACTCCACTCATAGTAGGCGTCTGACAGAGAGAGCCGCAAAGCTCAAACAGATTAAACTCCGTCAAGCTTATGGGACTGGAATATGGACTGGATAATGAGACTATAGCAAGCCTCAGAGCACAGCTGTCCGTGGTTTGTGTAGCTATGTGAAAGCACGACTCTTTCTTTTAGCCAGCTTTTTTTGTTGTTCAAAGTGTGTTAAGCTTATAGAGGCTGTGGTCTCTGTACACCAGCTGCTAATTCCTGTACAAGAGGTATGAAATGAGGGCGTCTTCTCATTAAGTGCCTTAGACTGATGCTTCCCTGTCAGTACGTCCATCAGGGTAGCCGAGGCAGACCAGGATTGTTGTAATCTGTAGTTTATCTCTTGAATCCCAAGAGGAGCAAAGCTGACTTTAAATCACTACAGCGGATACTGTGTGGTCAGGGGTGGTGCAGCTGCCAGATGAGCACCAGATTCAATGTTAATCACATTTAAATTATTCAGACAATAAATAAACTCACTGATTCATACTGGCTTGTCTGCTTTGTCATTCCTTCTCATAATTCAGTAAATGAGACCATGTTAATTCTCATCATGTTGGTGGTGTTTTTGATGAAAAATCGTTTGAAAAACATTCTTCTGCACAATGAAGATGCTAACTGAACCTAAAAAGCCTTTACTTTAGAGCTGCCAAAGTCGGCGTCATGCGAGAGAAACCTCATCAGGACAGCGGTTACTGCAGCATCTGTGGTAATGACCATCATGTCACTCATACACATCACTATGTGGAAAAAGCACCAGATTAAGGCACCTAACTTTCTGAATAAAGCCGTCACACCTGCATTTTATGTTCTCCTCTTTTTGGTCATCTTTGCCCCCCCCCCCCATCCACCACCCCCCCAGTTCCTCGGGCAGGTGCGTCCCTGACAGAGAGGTGGCGCTGGTTGTTCGGCCCTGATGGGTCGACCAGTCTGGAGGAGCAGAAGTTTGTTGTGCGCTGCGTTTTTACGCAGGCGCAGATCAGGCTGTTTGGCCAGTTTCGCTGGTCGAGTTTTACCTGTGCGCTACATGACTTGTTTCGATTCACCGGTGGGACTAAGTATCAACAAGCAGTCTGCGGAGTCCAGCCAGGTTCAGAGGTGGTAACCCCCCTTCACACACACACACACACACACACACACCTCCCTGCCTCCCTCTCGCCCCGTGTGACTCCCACTGCGGAGCAGAGCGTCGGACGGGATTTCTCCGGGATTTCAGAGTCGGTGCGCAACAGAGAGCGAAGCGGCAGGCAGGTGCACTGGAAAGGACAGGGCGCAGGGAGGAGGAGGAGGAGAAGGAGGAGGAGGAGGAGGGCAGCTTGTATTTCCGTGACACAGTCTTGCTTTCGCACCGAATGACTGGTAATCAACTGGTTGGCGCCTCGGTTCTCGGTGTGTTACTTTCATTAGTATGCCACTGGAGTCCCCCGCTGCCTCCACATCCAGCCCGAGCGGGGATCGGCAGCCCTGAAGTCTGCTCCGTGCCTGCTGAGTGACTCCTCGCCCCGGGGAGGAGGAGGAGGAGGAGGAGGAGGAGGCGGCGGCACGGCTGCAGCGGCTGGTCTGAGGAGCAGTTCTCGCGGACGCGGCTCGGACCTCCTCGCCCTGTGGATCAGGAAGATGATGGGCTTTTTGCGCCGGACATTCAGCCGCCGCTCACGGAGTCGCTTCCAGACGAGAGAGAGGGACGAGCGGGACGGTAAAGGGGGAGGAGGGGGAGGGGGAGGAGCGGGAGGGGTGACCGGGAACCCCCTGCTCCTGCCCCACCAGCAGCAGGTCGTCCACGCGCCCGCGGTGGTCACCGGCGGGGCGTCCGTCCACATCCCGGCGGCCGGGACGGCCAGGACCACCATCACCTGCCGCGTGCTGCTGCTGGACGGCTCGGACGTCAACGTAGATTTGCCTGTGAGTGACCTGAAGCCTGGACGCTGTGTTTGCACCGTCCAGAACGTGTAAACAAAGTGCAAGAGGCAGGACAAGGTGGTGGCACAAATGGGTGTGTGTGTGTGTTTGTTTGTGTGTGTGTGGTGTGTTTATGGTCCTTCTGGGTCATCCTGGTGATCTCCCAAACTGTGGGGATTTCTACCCTCACTTGTCATTCTGTAGGGTGGTCAGTTTGGAACATGCTGGTTTTAAACTGAATTACAACCTTGTAAATTGCAGATGGGAATACCAAGTCTACCAAATTGAAATGTGATAGGAGTTTAGTTGATTCCGGAAAGTGTGAAAGGGCTTCAAATACATTTTACTCCAACAATCCTTGGGAAGGCAGAGGGATGAAGCAATTAGCCTGATTGATATGATACAAGATTGGAAGAAATATTTGGTTAATTGCTGACAAATGACTGCTTTTCCAGTGTAAAATTGATTTGTCAGTGAACTGAAAGTCAAACGGAATGAACTCCTATAGACTGATCCGGGGCTTTGTTTATGACATCAAACATCCTAAACACTTAGAAAGTCATCGAGATAATGACATCTTGATTGCATCCCCAGCACAAAGTGATAACTCCATGACCAGAGAGAATCAGCGGGAAGTTACCCACGACCCAGCTCTCTCTTCCTGATTAGTGAGGGGGGCAGCCCCAGGTGTTGCTCCGATCAGCCACTTTATCGCTAAGGCTTCTTCATTCTGACTTCAGGGGAACGTTATCTGCCACAGCTCCCCTCCATTTTTGTTTTTCCCTCTTATGTCTGCATGCATCCCATCTTCCGCGAGCAATCTCGGCTCTGGCTCCATTCCTTGAGCCACTCTCCCTCCTAATCCTCTTTTGCCCTCCCTCTGTGGCCTTTCTCCTCTTTCTCATCTTAGTCTTTCACTTCCCCTGCTTCCTCCTTCATCTCCCGCTCCTCCCTTCATCTTCTTCTCTGTCCTCTTTCCGTCCCCCCCCCCCAGCCTGTCTCTATTCCCTCCCTCCATGATCTGATTTACCACTGTGGGGACATTGCGCCTCCGATGAGCGGTACGAGCGTGCGAGGGGCAGGTGGGATGATGAGCGAGTGTGTGGGCATGCGTGCGTAAGTGGCCTCTCATAAGATGTTTTCATTTTAAAGGTTGTGTGTGTCACTGAAGCTGTTGCGCGCGTCACTTCTGAACCACTCAGCCAGTGTATTGTGGGTTATCAGGCCAGAGAGCTTTTTTTTTTTTTTTTTTTTAATCTTGTCCTGCTACAGCAAGATTACAGTCATAAAACAAAGCCTCTGCTTCCCCTGAGGTGTTACCATTCAAAATGACACAAGGCTTGTCAAGTTGGTGGCTGAGTCACAGGCTTGTCGGAACAAGTTTGTACATGTATTCTTACTTTCCCACCGACACTGGTACAGGTGTGCTGAACAAAGCAGAAACCCACCTTTTTAAGCCCATTAGTTTGGGACTTCAGGCTGAAAGCTGCCAAAACCCCAACAGGAAGACTTTAAATTGAACTCGCATGTGGTAGATGCGTCACCTAGGTCAGCCCTTCAGAACTACATCCGGCAGATTTGTTTTTCTGTCTCAAATCCTTTAACGCCACTGATTTCCTCACACTCTTTGCTCACCCACCAGAGGTTCAGCCTGGTTATCAGGATCCAAAGTACAAGGCTGTCATCTTTCAACACACCCTCTGTGTTTTATATGGGCCAGGCACAGGTTATGTCTTCACGTGGGGCGTAGAGGCACATCTATCCGTGAAGTGCTCCCATTAAGCTGAAGAGGGTGTGCCGCCGGTTGTGCTTTGGTGTGCCGGTATATGTCAGAAAGCAGAATATGGGCGATTCCCTCCGGGGGTTTGCCCATCTTATCAGTCCTTGCTTTTACATCTCCTTCCCGCCTTGATGCCGGTGTCTGGTTTTTATGACTACATTACAGGGAAATCTGAGACCTTCTGAATGCTGACACACCCTTTTAAAGACTCAGTCTGTCCATCTGGGAGAATCCAAATACTGTACTGATAATTTTTTCTGTTTCAGAGCAAATCCAAAGGTCAGGACCTTTTCGATCAGATCATGTATCACATAGAGCTGGTAGAATCAGACTACTTTGGATTGCAATTCATGGACACAGATCAAGTTTCAGTGAGTAACACAATGTCGCCTTGATCAGTCCGGACCACCAGTTGAAGCAGGCCTCTAACCTTTTTGCTCCCGCTCTGTTTTTTTATTTTTAGCGCTGGCTGGATATGTCTAAGCTTATAAAGAAACAGATACGAGGTACGTTCACAATAACTCAGAGTCTTTTCTGAATGTGCAGCCAACTGTGTGTGCATGTGGTGCCAGGTAAGTGGGGAGCAGGTGGAGTATTATCTGCTGTTGACACGGTGATTAGCGTGTGCATTAGGAGCCATACCCTTGTTTGCTTTCTGGCTTTTATCAGGGGGATACATGTTGCAGGAGGAGAGGAGAAGTAGATATTGTCGTATTTCTGTTGCCCGAAAGAATCTTATCAATGTTAATGTGAAACAAGAGAAAAATAAATAAATAAGGAAAAGAGTGGGGCGGCAGAGAAATGTGAGTGAATAAAGATTTCTGGCCTTGTGACGGTGATGGATGAACTAGAAGAAAAGACTAGAGTGGAGGGATGAGATTAAATGGATGGAATAAATCATAGGACGGTTTGATTTTATTTAATTAATTTTACATAAGTCACGGCTTCATTGCTTTGCCTCCCTTTATCTTCACTCACTCTGTCTATTTTTTTTCTTTCTCTTAGACGGCCCGCCTTACAGACTGTTCTTCAGAGTGAAATTTTACTCCTCAGAGCCAAATAACCTGCGTGAGGAATTTACACGGTAAAAAAATCAGACACGCGCGAGCACACACAGAGTTCTCCCTGGAGCCGGGCACAGAGGTCCAAAGGGGATGTAGGCCTAATTACTTTGCTGCTGTGGGCAGATTCAAATCAAGGCCAAATGGACAGAGACTTATTAAAGCAAATTATGTGTCAGACATGAGGAAAAAGCCTGTGATATGTCAGCTGATTTATAACGTGTCTTTTCGCTCTCTTGTTTTCTTTTTTCACATCAACAGGTATTTATTTGTGCTGCAGCTTCGACAAGACATTTTGTCTGGAAAGTAAGTCTCACTTTGAAGAAACACTAAATCAACTGAAAATTTTAAATAAACAGCACTGATTATAGAACTGTGTCACAAAGTTTTGGTTCTGTTCATTCATGAGGGAACCGAGGTTTGGTTGTAAAAACCACCAAATACTTGTTACATTTTCAAGAGAACAAACACATACCAAGACACAGAAATACAATATTGACAAATAGAAAATGGAGGTAGCGTCCAGACATAACCCATTGATTCGTGGACCTTGAGTCTTTTGGTCACCCCCATTTTTCATTCTTTGATAGCAAGTCTTATGAGCGAGCAATGGTTCAGACTGAGCACCATGGCAACCGTGCATGCATACAGAGCCGTAACTTATCAGTCACGAGGAAAAGTCTACGCTGACTTATCATTTGTGTCACTCTAAATGGCACCATGATTTGCAAAATTAGCCCCATGCTGTTTTGATGAGGACACAAAATCAATGATTAGGGGGAAAAAAAGATAATGCCATTAGGAATGTTTTCCCTGAGATAAGAGATCAAGTGAGAATTAGCCTCACTTTCACACATGCAGTATTATCCATCAAAATATGATTTGCCTCAGTCCAAGCACACACAGCAACACAAGCTCCAAACTCTTTTTTTTGGTGGCAGAGAGCACAGATCACACTTTGGACAGAGCGGTCACACTCATACAAAAGGGACCAACACACCACTACAGTAAGCAGTTGGCTGTAATGCGATGACCGACTAAAACAAATACATTAAAACTATCTGGTAGTCTAACTCATTTTTGGAAAATGATCTGCTCTGCTGTCAATAATTAGATTGAACCCACTCATCCAGACTAAACTCAGCAGAAAAAATGGAAACAGATAGCCAAAGTACATTCAGATGTCCTCACAAGTCGCTGACATGTTTCTTCCTCGCTTGTGGGGACGCCCGTTTCCTATCAGGAGCATAAAAACTTGAATAAACACTTTGGCTCACCTGCACGCAGGTCACCTCCACTAGAGTTTCAGGGACATCTGTACATCTGTGTCTCGCACGCAAACACAGACCCCGCTGCACAAACACACACTTCAGACAGAGTGTTACTGCCTCTATCTGGGCCACAGATCCCCGGAGCCCAGCTCTATTATAAAGCTCAAGATCAAGAACACAAGAGGGCTGCTTATTTTAGGAAAAGGGTTGCTCCTTTCCTCCTTGACATGCTGCCTCACGCACGCACCAAGGTGTAAGGCATTCTACACTTTTATGTTCCTCCAATTGGTATGATTTTGTTTCCGGTTTCTCTCCTCAGATTAAAATGTCCATATGATGTGTCAGTGGAGCTGGCAGCATATTGTTTACAAAGTAAGTCCGTTTCTTGTGTTGACTCTAGTAGGTTTACATCATGCTCTCTTTTCCAAATGTAAATAGTTTTCTGATTTATTTTCATCTGGCATTTGTTGGTGATGCAACACTTGATATCCATAACTGAAAAAACCACAGACAAGGACATAAATTCGTGATTGACATGTAGTGTTTTTAAATCAGCAGAGCCAGTGAGACGTTGTGTAGATTAGTAGTCTTAATCAGTATTTTCAGTCTTCAGCAAGATTTGAATTTACTGGCATGCAAGCAGCACAAACCTGCAGGATGTCACATATGTAGTGCAGGAAACTCAAGTGCTGCAAGTGCCAACTGTGAGGTAATAACAATGACAGAGCAGGTTGTGTTTTCTGGTAAGGAATGCTCTTAGCTGAGCAGAATCACCCGGAACTATCAGAGCAGCTGCCCGGATAAGGGCTGAGTGAATTCTCTTCTTCCATTTGTGCCATTTGTGAATTAATATGCGGACAGAGGAGTGTGCGAGCAGCTCCCAGTATCTGGATCTTTTTTCCTCTTTAAAATTCCAAACACTAACAGTAAATGTCGAGTGTTTGTGATGTCTTACTTCACAAATGCCACTGCGTTTGTTATGACCTAAAACTTTCGGTGGTAAATTTACTGAACATTGTTGGTGTCAGCTCCGCAGACAGCTTAATGTAAGGGAAGCTATCTTTTCTTGAGTCCTTTAAAATGTTTTCTTCCAACTTTCCTTAAGCATTTGATTTTTTCAGGAAAAGTATGCGAGGAAAGCTGATTTTATTTGGGCTACCCACCCTTAGTCTTACAGTTTCAGTTCAGGTTGCTCTGTCAGACTGATTAATTTATGTAAGGCTTGTTCAGGGCTGTGTGTTTTAATGGCCTTTTACCTTCAGTAACTGTTTATAGAGAGTGGATATTGTACATTCCTCTTCATTTGGTCTGAATTGTTTTAGAACAGGGGCTTTTTTTCCTTCACCTTTCTGTCCTGAAAGGGAGCAGCTGTGCGTCTGTGGCTCAACTGTGTTTGTGCGTATCCGCATCCAGGTGAGCTAGGGGACTGCGACACGCTGGAGCACTCCCCCGAGCTGGTGTCGGAGTTTCGTTTCACTCCCAAGCAGAGCGAGACCATGGAGGCGGACATCTTCAGCAGGTGGCTGGAGCTCAGGTTTGTAGCACCAGAATGTTCACTGACAGGGTGTCTGATTTCAACATCCCTCTGTGCTCGCCTCCTCCATCTCAGCTCCCCTATCACTGCTCTGTTTGAGGGATTAGGGGATTAATCTGTGAAGGGTTTTGATTGATTCCCGGCAGTATTTAACCCAACCTCGCCCTGATTGCACCCCTCTCAGATTAGATTACACACTGGGTCAACAGATCCGAGTAAAGACAGCCTGACTTTACAGGCAACCTTACACACAACCTTACACACAACCCCAAGAGTGAATCAGGGGTGCACTCAGATAATTACTGGCTGAGTGTTTCACTCAGAGCTCGCAGCAGTTTCCCAGCAGAAGGAACACAGCAGGTTTCCTTCCCGCTAGTTTCAAATATAGCAAATAGTCAGAGCACAGGTCTTATTTTTCAGACTTCAATTTTTCATCTTCTTTTGTGCCCTCAGGGGAAAGAGCCCGTCTCAAGCTGAGATTTCTTTTCTCAACAAATGCAAGTGGCTGGAACTTTACGGAGTAGATATGCACTTTGTCAAGGTTTGTCCATTGGCTTTTCTTCCCCATTTGCACATGCTGCGGCGGGGTTGGCGTACTGACTGTTTGTGATGCTGGTTTTTCAGGGCAGGGATGGAGGAGAGTATGCGCTGGGTCTCACTCCGACTGGCATCTTGGTTTTCGAAGGCCCCAACAAAATTGGGCTTTTCTTTTGGTGAGTGAAACACAAAAATCACTGTTTATTTAATTGATTTTGTTTAAGAAAAATGACGAATCCTTTTTATGATTAGTATTAAACCTTAATTTGAGCAGGACATTAAAGCTCTTGAGATAAAAAATCTCATCCATACACACAGCACAAACAGAAGCAGCCAGTCATCAGTTTTTGCCTCGATGCTCAAGTTAAAGGAAAAACATCTTGGAAACGGGGATAATACATTTCTGTATGTTTTTGGACACTACATTGGTATGTATATAGAACATGCCAAAAAAAAGCAAAAAAGAATGTGCCACTGTACAACATATATTAATGAGTACAAGTTATAAGGTTTGTAATTAACCCTAGTGCTCCATCCTATAAAGAGTCCAGGTCCTATGCGCATTACAAAGAAGCTTGTATTTTTATCTCACAGCATTTTTAAACATGTGACTAACAGAAGTATATAAATCAATTTAACTAAAAGCTAATTTGTTTTATCCGGGCCCACCACATGATTGTTGGTGTAACTCAGTTAGTAATAGAAATGACTAATTCATTGCCTTCGACCTTTTCTAAATACACAATTACAGATGATTATATGAATTACACCTGAGGTTATTTCCAGATAATTTAATTCAGCAGAAGACAAAAGTCATTTCTGATCATTTTTAATCATGTCCTGTTTAGTTTATTTCAATGTAAACATTCCTGCTCTCAGTTTCTCCTAAAACTGTCTTTTTTTAGGACTTTAAAGAGGAAAAAAATGCAATTTTTAAAAAAGCCATTTCTAGAGCATTAAGCTTTAGAAACCTTTTTATGTATTTTTTTTCAAGTGATGATGGAGAGCTGTTGTTTTCATAGTTAACTTTTTAGTAGGTCTTTATAGCAGTGGGGACGTGACAAGACCAAGAAATCACCTAGCAAACACAGTGTTTGAAAAAATGTAATCTTTCAAGCCACTGTTCCCTTAATCGTGAGCATCTAAACTAATCTTTGGTTGGGATGTTTTTGTGTTTCTCTCGGTGTGTTACTCAGGCCTAAAATCACACGACTGGATTTCAAAAAGAGTCGCCTGACGTTGGTGGTGGTCGAAGACGACGATCAGGTCTGTTTCCTCTTTGCGTTCCGATCACAAACACGCGGTGGACCTTTAGCTGCTGGAGCTGACTCACAGGGGGGCTGATTTGAATCTGTCTGTGAAGGGTCGCGAGCAGGAGCACACCTTTGTGTTCCAGCTTGCCAGCGCCAAGAGTTGCAAACACCTGTGGAAGTGCGCCGTGGAGAGCCACGCCTTCTTTCGCCTGCGCCAGCCAACCACGGGCAAGGCCAGCCGCAGCGACTTCACCCGACTCGGCTCCCGCTTCAGATTCAGGTAGTGGACGGGCTCTCACCTGCCCGATAGTTTTCCACTGACTTCTCAGAGGCTGCTGACGGTGGCCTGGCTCAGGTGGCTGTGGCCAGTGCCGGTACCAACATATAGGGAGCAACGTGTCACATAAAACAGAGCCTTTGTATCTATGGTTACAGTGTATCTATGGTTACATGGACCTGTTCCTATGGTGACTGAGATGTTCCCCTCATATTGTTTGTTTTCTTGTGATTATTATCAGCAATGGTCAAAGCAAATTCTCACACTCCAAGGGCACTTCCTGTCATTCGCCGGAGAATCTCGATCGGAGCTGCGTGACAACACTCTGTCAGCGTCAGCAGATAAACACTCACGTTACAGATGGTGGAGGCATAAACAAACACTTGAAGAGTGGGCAAAACTGGGCTGATGGAGAATAATTTGTTTTCGCCTGATGCTCATCTCCCAGTTTCACGCTGAACCTTAAAGCTCAAACTCAAACGTACATTTATGTAGCTGCAATATGATTCTGCTTCCTGAATTATTTTCACGTTTAATGACACCACTGACACGAAATAAAAGATCCTCCACCTGTTTGGGTTGCGCCTCCATCGGTGAACTGTAAATAAGTGCTTAAAAGCGCTACAAGCTTAGCAAACATTATGAATATGGTTTTAGTAGTAGTTGTTTCAACTCTCCGTCCTCTTCTGGGGGTCTGTCTCAGTGGGAAGACGGAGTATCAGGCCACTCATGGAGGCAGGCTGAGGAGGGCCAGCACCTTTGACAGAATGCCGAGCAAGCGATATCCCTCCCGCACACACTCGCTCGGCAAAGGTGAGTCTTATGAACACATACTCTACATGGATGAATAACAGCGCCTGCCCTCATGAAGGTCACATCCTGTTTTAGTTCAGCGGCTGATATTTGCTGTGCAGGAGCTCGGGGAGTCATTTTTCAGCTCTCTTTAAGATTTCTCTTAGAATGTTTAATTTTATGTTTGATAGACAGCCCTGATTTTTTTTCTTTAAAGATCCCGGTATTACACGGTGTTTGATGTAAGAGTCACCTCTCTCCTTAGTCTGAAGCTCCCTCTGTACTCTTCACACCACCATTAATTCCCACCTTCTGGGAGCTGCATTGACCCGAAAGGACTACAAGCAACTTCCTCTCTCTAATCTACCCCTCGTACAAGATCAATTGTAGGCTACACACGATTTTCGCCCAGAGGCTTGTTAACATTCTTGTCCAAAGCCTTTTTTTGTTTGGACTCCCCGTTCAGGCCAAGAATACAAATTGAAAGATGGGATTGTTGGTTATAGCTGAGCAACAAAGTTGTAAAGTGTCAGTCCAGGCTGACCTATATACTTGAAGATGAAAATGACAAAGTTGATATTTCCTCTGCTAACTTAAGTTGTATCTCTCTGCCAGTTGCTATTTCTCCAGCCAAGCCTCCTCATATCAGGTAAAACTAAAAAACACATCATTAGAAATGTACACTCACATTGCTCTCTTTGTGAGGACATTCCTTTTATTGCTTTCATTCCTGATCCTCTATCCTTGACCTTAATCCACATAACTGCCTGGATAATCTGAACACAAATACAAAAGAGTAGCCTTTTGTAAAAGAGAAGAATGTTGTGACTTTTTAGGCCCATTTGACATCGATTTTACTTTGGTTCATTCATTACAAACATGGAAATAAGGTGCTTGTCTTTAGTGTCAAATTAGTTTTTGTGTAGATCGGCTATCAGTGATTGTTGACATTCTTTTTCAGCTCTCATGCCAGCCCTGATCCCAGCCTGCATGCGGTGAGTGACCTCAGATAACCCCCTCTCATACACACACATGCTTGCAGGAGCATTCTGTCTAGCTTGTGGCAGCTCTTCTTCAATCTTCTTCTGTCCTTCCAGTACCAGCACAACATCTCCATCGGTCACGAGCCTTGGCATCCTCGCCACCCTGCGCTCACACCCCCGGTGTATCTGCAGCCGTCCGGACACACTCCATCGCACAGGTAAAGTCCACTGACGAAAGGCCAACGCAGAGATTCCATACTCCACGTTTCTTGTTTTTCATCGCATTTCATGTCCCTCATAACCCCCCCCATGATCCCCCCGTGTCTTGTCTACCTGCATGCTTGTGTATGTGTGATCCTCCATCTTCCTGTCATGCTCAGGCTTTCCGCTGAGGATGTGGGTCCAGCATCCAGGCAGCCTCCCGTCCCAGTGCGGACCAGCAGCATCCTCAAAGGATCCGCAAGTTCGGTTGACAGGGATAAAGTCATGACTGCACTTTGACCTCACTTCAACACAGAAATAACTTTTCAGAGCGCCGAGACCGACCAAAATGTCACCCGAGGAAAAACTTTGCTTATTGACCTTCCTCCGTCATCCTCACCCATTTGTCTCCATTCATTTATCATATGGACTCCTGTGTGTCAGAGCCCACTGTCTCGATAAAGAAACCCCCCAAAATGCAAGAACCTTAGTGAACTGACCAGAAGTGTTTGACCATTAAAGAGAGAGTACATGGAGGGAGAAGATACTGTGTAAGGTTAAAGGGACCAGTGCCTGTGCTAGAAATCCGAGAAAGTTACATTTTGTGGTCTGGCCTGCTCATTGTGCTGATTTTTCAACGCTTGCGCATCTTCAGACAGAATCCGAAAAGAAACCACCACAGCGAAAGCAGCTTACTCATTCTGAAGGTCAAAACTCAGGAAAGTATAAAAATGTAGTAACAGCAGGCATGTTTTTTTCATTCAATGTGGTTTGCACTTTATATTTTATGTCTGCAGTAAAAAAAAAACAGAAAAAAAACAAAGAAAAAAAGCATGCATAGATACTCAGAAATCATTGTAAAAACAAGATCCTTGATTTTCTTCTTACAGTAGTTTTGCTGCGTTTTTTTCTACATCTCTGGTCATTTATTTACTGACGTGTGGTGTAAAGACCACCAATAAGTGGCCTTAATAAATTGATACGTGCCACCTGAATCCGGATGAGGGGTGCTTTCATAGGTTTGTGCCTTGCTTTGTGTATGTCTATTTTTATTTAATCAAGGTTGATGTGTTAATCCCTGAGAATGTTTACCGCAAGATCTGGAATATGCTTTGAGTGTGACCATATGTTCTCATGTCTTTCTAATGTTATGACAGTCAAATTATTCATAATCGCTTAAATGAGAGTGAATAAAGTGATGGGAGTGCTGAATGAGATATTTCTCAGCTGGTGGCAAGGGTCCAGTTCAGCCCATGTGGTGTGGCCTGCTTTAGGGATTACGCAGCTGTGTGTTTATAGTGTGTCGCTCAGTTTGTAATACAAAAGGTTAAGTGGAATCCTGCATTTGTGGTTTTGTGCTTTGAGAGTAGGGTTTTAGAATAAACATTACATTAATGTTACACCAGGTTATGGATGTGCTAATTCAACAAATTGTTTACAGACAATGTGGCCGATTTGTGCTGTTGATGGGTCTTCTCTCTCTTTTTTTTTTTTTTTAAACTCGAATCATTTTTACTTTTAAATCTTGAAATGTTGTCTTCATGATAAATAAAGTGTGCAAAAAAAAGTAAAAACTGGAAAAAAAATCTTTTGTATTTTAGTATAACTGAAAGGAACATTTTAAAATTATGTATATCTTAAACCCTTCTAAAGTACAAAACTGCCATTTCTTACAGTAGATGACCAGAGTATCTTTTCAGAATCCTTAAGGACATCTCAAAGCTTTTCTATTGAAGTTTTCATAACTCTTACTTCATTTTCTGCCAAGAATATCCAACTCCTCCTCATTAATGTTGAGGTACAGGCTCTGTGGAGGAGTCACCCCACCTTCAGACCTGTTGCTGCTGATTTTCAGCTAAGTTCATAAGTGATTTGGCGTGGCCCAGCCTTTTTTCTCCCTGTTTTCCCGTCCTTAAGAATGGCCTCTAACAGCCACACCTCCATCAAGACCACGAACATGGGAACAGTGTGAACAGGGGGTGTGTCAGCCAAGACCCTGTCTCTTAAGCTTGGTTGATTTATAATTCAGAGTTAAATTCAATAACAAAATATCAAACTAAAAAAACAATTTGATAAAGAAAAAATATAGAAAAGTTTTGTATGTTCTTAATTTAATAGCGTTTTTATTTATTACAAAAAATTCTCAAAAATCATGTGTGACACAATAATTCATCCCCATGTAAAGGTTTAGAGCAGGACACAAACCTATTCTTTTTATGTAATTTGAAAGGAAGGAGAGTTGTTTAAGCATGTGCTTGAAAACTTTCACTGATTAACAATTAACAAGCCTGGGTGATAAAAGCGTCTTTGGACTGTTGCGGTTTGTTACATTTTAGAGGTGTTTTGTGTGGAGGGTTGTTTTGATTCCATGTGTCATCCTCAGTTTCCCACTGAGCTCTCCCGCTTCAGAACATCAATACAGTTCATCAGAGAACGAAAATTCATACTCTGGAAAGACCCACCATCGTCACCGTCGCCACACTCACAGCCAGGAAACGCTCTGCCACACACACACCAAGAACAGTGAGTAACAACAGTCGAAAATGTGTTTGACAAATTTGACTCATGCATGGCCTGTAGAGATCCTCTGCTGAAGCGTTAAGAACCATTGTCATTTTTATGCTCGAATTAAATCTTCAATAAATACGTCCTCAGGCATTTTTGAGGTGCGATCAGCTTAAGTGGTGCCCAAGTGTTGGCCTTTGCGTTGTTGGATAATGATACACGTGTAGTTGCAAAAATTCTAAGCGTTTTCAAATGGTTTGTAATGAATTTGCACCCTCTATTTTTCATTTATAATTGGTGATTATGTAGATTTTTGGCTGATCACAGTGATCGTACCTTAGAAATTGAACTATTCAGTGAGGGAGACTCTTCTGTCGAAAAATGGAATTTCTCCTGGAAATGTCACCTTACATTAATAAGTTAATTAAAGATAGTACAGCATAATTGAGTTAGCAATGTAAAATAGGTATTTAAGTACTGATTAGATAAAAAAGTCACTTTCTTTATACGGTGTATCTGGTTGGAGTTTGTCGTTATAAAGTGCTGCTGACTTTGAATTAACTTCTCTTAAATAGATAAACATGAACCTCCCTCACATTTTTTTGCTCTGAAATCCCAATGAAGCCTGTGTTCTCTGAATCTGTGAGTTATTTTTTGTAATGCATTATGGTCTCATCATTAGTGTGACCCCTGGTCAATTGCCTTTGTCTGTAGTGCAAGAAAAGTCGCTGTCACTCTGAAAATTGTATTGCAATAAAAAAAGGAGCTATAAAAGCTTGTGAGGAAACTGCTGCAGTGACGCAGAGGTCATCGCTCTGAAACAGCTGAATGCAGCTTTCAATGTCACTCCCTTTTGTTCTGTTGGCGTGCATGAGGAGAAGACGCTGTTAAATCTCTGATTACCAGAAAAAGAATCTTGATTTAATCACATTTTTTGTGGTCTTCCTTTTTTATTTCTAGAAAAGGGTCATTAGCACTTAGACTTGGGTTCTAAATTGTCTACAGTCATAGAAATGTCCATTTTACATGACTATTAATGATCTGCATGTTATTTTTTCCCTCCCTGCATCCCATGCAAAACACCTTTATGATAACAAATGTATATCCGCCGCATCTCTGAATGCATTTGGTTTTCTTTAGAGCGCCGAGCTCCTCCCTGCCCTGCAGATGAGCTGGACATCTCTCAGACCTTGCTCAAGGCCCGGGAGTCAAATGGGGATTCACCTCCATGGCCCTCCCTGCACATCAACATTGACAACAAGGTCAGACGTGTTTTCACATGTTTTTCTGTTCTCTGGAGAAATTCCACGGTTCCCCTGAGCTTTCTCCTCCTCTGCTCCACAGGGAGAGGAGAAGCATTTATCAGAAAAGTCTTTGCACCCTCCGGCCTCTCCAGTGATTCCCCCTGATCACCTCAAATGTAACATCCTAAAAGCTCAGATGGAGGCAGCATTCAGGGTGAGTAAGGAGTGCCATTTGACCCCTCCTATCATACCTCGTTGGCTTGGCAATGTAATACCTCCCTTTCCTTTGGTACAATAAAGAAGGAGGCCCCAGCAACTCCCAGAGGGAAGAACTCTAGTGAGACCCTCCATGACAGGCCAGTGTTTTGCCCCTGTTTTCTCATGTTTATCAGGTCTTTCTGCAAATTGTCTGTAACCAACTGTAGCCTGATTCCTGTACATTTCCAGGTATCAGAGCTCATCCCAAGACTCAGCAGCTTCCAGTCTGACTATAGATAAGACGCCCCACCGGCACGACTGCAACTCCACACCAGAGGAGCTGCAGGCCAAAACAAACCAGAGCACCATGCGAAGGAAGCGTTTGGTCCGACAGTTCAGCTTGTGAGTACACATAATTCCGGCCATGCGTGTTTGACTATGGAGGGCCTTTGTTCAACAAGCTGCTGCACCTTGAGATGGAAATTTTTCTGAGCTGAATACTCCACCGAGTGCCTGAAGCTAAAGCACAATTATCTTTGACATTTTGTCCAGAGCAATGTGCAGGTCATGTAAGCTGGTTGCTCTCCCAATTTGTTGCTCACCAGTAACCATGAGGATGAAGATAATCTTCCAGAAGCACTTGCAGCCATTTCTTCTCAGAGTATAGGAAAGTCAGGATCAAGCAACTCATTGGATAAGCAGATACAGCCGTCTATATACCCACAGGTAACACCCACTCACACGCTGGCACCATGAACACTCTGGACAATTCATATCATATCTGTTTAGTGCATGGCTCTGCTCCTCTGGAGGTTGATGCACATTTTCTGAGTAATCTTTACATAAACGCTGGAATGTCTACATTTGCGCATACACCAATGTGTATTACAGGTGGACAATATGCCAGCACTGGAGCTGGGTACTCCATGCTGTCCCTCTCCTGCGCCTTCCCCTCACCTGTCCCCTTCTTACTACCATAGCTCCATTCCTCACGTGGTCCCTTACCTCACTTCCCAAAACGACAGGTAACCCACATACACTCCAATGCAGATCTGCTCAAGTGGGGGTCTCTATATTGTGTACCATTATGTTTAGTCAAAACATTTGCATCACAACTTGTTGTCGTAGTCTGACCAGTTTTTAAATGCCATTTACTCTTAAAAGATTAGATTATTTTCAAAACATTTTAGCTCTTTAAAGCTACCTTCCAGGAGTCAAGGAAGAAAAAAAAAGAGCCAGACACTTTTGTGTTGAAAGTAGAAAATTAATAAAAAATGATGCTCTTACAACAGTTTTTCAAAAGCAGCTTTAATTTCCCCGCAGCTCCATGGTAGTGGTTCACTGGATCATTTAAGACTGAAATGACAGTCAACCACAGAAGATTAAATGGCTTTAGTGCAATTTAAATTCTAACAGTTGACCTTTTTCAATTAATTTTTGGTTCCAAGGAAGGTGATAGATTCTTACAGTGGACTGGACTTATTCCATAAAGCTTTCCTTCAAATTTTATGCGGCCAAAATTACATCCCATGTTTAATGAATTCATTAAATTGATTATTGTAGCAAGTGCAAGCTAAAATCAGACTGCATGTTTTTATGGAAAGGTTTTATGGTTCCACTAATTCGCTGAATAAGAATAAGAATAAGTCTTATTCAGTCCCTTTTAACTTGCAAATTCTGTTCAAGAAATGTGTTTGAATACTTGGAGGAAACAGTTTGCAATACTATGCACTATATCTCACTCTTCATATCAATAATTCAATAAGAATGTAAAAGAAAATATATCTCAGCTTTATACTCTTTTTGGTTATTGAAAATTAAGGCTTTAATGGAGTTCTGTGCAAACTCCTGAGCCAAATGGACCACAAAGCTGAATAAACAAACAAAAAGAAAAGAGATAAGAAGGCAGTAACACTTTGAGGTCACTTTCTAGTAACTACTTCAGATTACCTTTAAACAGAGGGGTAAATCATAAACTTCCAACACCTACCAACTGCTGCAAGTTTGTTAGTCTTGGCCCGCAAATGGCACACAAGGTTGATCTCATATTGAGCCGATGAAATTGATCTTAATTTGATCTCATTCGCCTTGTCCCTCCGTATGAACACATTGGTTTTTATTAGCACCTGAGAAAAAGAAGTGGTTTAAGTTTACAAATGATTCTATGGCCTGTCCACGCGTAGCTTGGAAAAATATTAACAGGCACGTTTTAAATATGCTAAAATGTGCATTTTGTGTCTTTGTGATTGTGTAGCGGAGAGGAAGTAAGACTGGACAGGGAGAAGATCATGAGAGCCCTGCTGATGACCGAGCTGTGAAACCTTGATCCTGTGACTTCATCGACAGATGATTCGAAACAAAATGGAGCTCAAAGTCTTGAATTCATAGACATAGCTCAGCATTTATACATTTGCTTGCACATTTAGCACTTATATATTTTAAAAAAGCCAATTGTTATATTTGCTTGATTATTATTTCAGAGGGATGTTTATATTTGTTGAACTGTAACTGTACAAAGAGTCAAATGGAAAAAAAGAGAACTCCTTCATAATAAATTCCTGATGTGCTGGTGCTGCCTGCATGAATATGTTTATCTAATGATGATCTGATTTGACAGATTTTTATCTTTAGGTTCTGTGTGATTTCACCATTGTTGTTTGTGCTGAGGCCTAAAACTTCAACACCTCATAAAAGCACATGAATGTCAAATCAGTATGTTTATAGTGTAAATACACTCTGTAATTTCTAAGCTGATGACAGAGCGGGCCCTGTAAATGCTTACTCCCATACCGTACGTGTTATGTGAGAGGTTTGTTTTTACCTGCCAAACATTTTCATCGTTTGTGGTTTAAAAAGACAGATTTAAAAATCTGAAGAGAGAAAGTTTTGAGGCTGGATTGTGCTAACAAACTGTGCAGATGACTGTCTGCCCACTAGAAGGAGACAAATCAAAGCTCTGATCCTGGTACAGGTTGACATAAACACGCAGGATCCTTTGCTATTTTTTTACATACAGTTTTCATCCCAGGTCAAAAACAAATCTAGTCTAAGAAAGCATGCTCTTGGAAATAAAGATATAAGTCAATTCAACCTTGCTGCTCCGCTCTTACTTTGGTCCTTGTTTGCCAAGGCCGCTGTACTGTGTGTACATTTACTGAGCTGTTCCTGCTGTCAACTGGATCTTAATAAAGGCCACTTCATCGGTTTGACAACTTTGGTTTTAGATCGTGCGCTGCCGTTCTGGCATGGGAATGTGGACCCGCCTAACCCTGCGTGTCTGCGTCTTGAGTTTGAATGCAGCTCTCACCATCCCTGTGAGGGAATGTTGTGATAAAGGAAAACATTAATTCATCTGCCACTACACCTTTCATGTGCAAGCAAGATGAGTCAGCCTGTTATTTGCACCTCTGCTATGTTCTTTGGTGAGGTAGATAGCCATGGAAGACCCATCTTCAAAGAATGAGGGCTGACCATACTTAAAAGACATTTTTGTACACTAAAAAATACATTGAATCAAAGCTAATTAAGTTTGTAGCAGACCACATGTTATTTAGCTGTTTTCTCTGGAAACACACTGATCTAGAGGAAACTAAACCATGTACGTCGTAATCAACCACTATTCATTCTCAAAAGAAGCTGGAGTATGTGGAGAGAACCCATGCATACACAGGGAGAACATGCAAATTCCAAACAAAAAGGCACCACCCTGGGATTGAAATCAGGAATCAGGAGTTCTTAAAACGTAAAAGATCATCAATGGAACCGCTGTGAATTATGTCTCTATTTCAGATCCTGTACTTTCAGGGGAAGGACTGTGCTTTGAGGTCACAACGTCTGCCAATAAGATGCAAGAACATCAATTAAACTTAAGTAGTTGAGCTTTGTTGGGTAATAATGTTGTTTTACTGGTTTGGATGTTGTGTTTTGGGGGGGAGAATGACTGAGTAGGTTTACAAGGGATAAAGTTGGGTGGGGAGCACGAGATTGAATTACACAATGCCAAATCTGCCCCGAGGGGGTCTGGCATCTTTTTGTCTCTTTTCTTACTTCCTGCCCTCCCTATTCTTCACTCTTCCAAGCGGTGGAGGAGGCCATCCTTCACATAATATGTTCAGTGTGTCTCTTAGTGACAATGGCTTCTTTGCTGTAGCATGTGTGTATGTGGGAAACTCAGAGGTAATCACTGAGAACAGTGTGAGGGAGTTCCCACAGTTTCGCCCAAAGCCACATTCTGTCATCGGACAACTGTTGTGTGTTTTTGCTTTGAAACTTTAAATCGCTGCTGAGCTACACAGCTGAGAGAAATTAAATGCACAGCAAGCAAATGGCGACATCAAGCATATGGAAGCTGGAAAAATCTTGACACATTATGCTCGTTACTTTTAATCTTTCTTTATTTCGGCATAAATGCAGGGGGACAAATTCCTGCTTTACAACATGTGTACAGAGGCATACACCCCAAACATGTATTGTCGAGCTCAAATGGCAATAATGTTCACAAGTCAGGCATGTCCTTCAGTTCCTCTGCATTTCTAAAGATCTACAGATGACAGGGTTCAAATGAAATATGGCAAACTGTTTTCTGCTGTTTGTTCCAACATATTCCCCAAAGTCAGCGTAGATGGTGGAGACATTAAAGGAAAGTGAAAGGCACAGCTGGATCTCAGGTACAAATGTAATCAAGTTGATCAACTTTAGAGGATTACTGTACTTGAGTCCTCGAGAGGAATGAAGACCTGTGGTTAAGTTACCATGAACTGAGGCTGTTCTAAAACAACCTAACCCTGGCATGATAGGGAGACTTACTCATAGAGATGTGAGATGTCAGTTTTTTTTGTAAATTAAGCCTGACAGAAGGATCAGACCAGTAGACACACTCACAGTGTAATGAAAATGATCATTCAAAGATACTGCTATTATGAAGATTCATTGTATTACTGATTAGCAGTGCATTGATATTTGGCATTATGTAAACATCTTAAAGTTTTACTACTAAACTTCTTCATGCACTAAAGCTTCCAATACAATCACTGCGTACTGTATCAAATGTATAGAAACATATAAAACATAATGCTTTAACAGATTAAGTAATAAAATGTATCAACATGTCCATGCATAATATTTATTCTCATCTTCCTTACACTCACACACACTTTCACTCTTCACAGAAGCTTGAAGAAAAAAAAAACAATTAGCTCGGTTGAAACTAGGTCATTCTTCTCTAGTTTATCTGGCGGATACAACATTGTGATTATAACAACATAACTGGTTAAAAATCTCTATAAAGCTTTTAAAATACACATTGTGCAATACACAGAAAAATGCTTTTTGGCTAAGGCTGCAATGAATTTGGTATAAAATACAATAATTTTTTTCAACCTAAAGATATAAATAACACATCTAAAAGACTATAAAAAATAAACGAAAACAAGTAATTAGTCTTTGACACATGCCAAATTGTCACATGACTGTTGTTTGCGTGTGACCCTACAGAAGGGTCATATCCAAGTACTGACCCCCTGGCTTGGCCATGAGAGCAGGGAGGGACATGAGAGAAGCATCTGCTCCACTGGACTGACCCATCAGACTGCTGCTCAGGAGAGAGACGGACTCCGCTGGACCCTGTTGGGAGTTGAGAAGAAGGGAGAGAAGGGGAGACGGACAGACAGACAGACACAGGAGCATTATTCCAGTGCTAAAGCAGCAAACAAGGAAAGAAAGGAGCTCCGACACCAGCACCAGATGTAGCCCGTCACCCCTTCAGATGCCTGAAGGCTTTCCCTGTAATGACCCCTCTATTATACTATCACACCACAACACCACAATTGACCGTTGGCTAAGACCTGCTCCTTCAGTTACTGTTGCTATGCATCTCAAGCTTTCCAGGACTGCATTTAAATCGCTTCCCAGTTCTTTTCAAGGCCTCATGTTCACAGATGACGTTGTTAGTTTGCTTTTTGTCACTGACATTACTGTTCAAATGCTCTCCGCAGCCCTGCTTTTTGTTCACTTATGTGCTTATTCAAGCTATTAGTCACAACAGCAGAAAAGGACAGTATCCATTAGGCTAATAGCTCAGCACATTGTTATTTGTTACCAAGATATTCTATTATAACTTGGTCGCGGCTTTGAATAAGCTCCTAGTGAATCATAGCAAGCTGCTAAAAGCTCCTGATTGAGCCACTAACACAGGTTATTCAGTATATTCAATACCTTAAATATTAGGTGATAAAGATTTATCTGCCCTTATGCTGAACTCAGCCACGTTGAGCTGAACCAAACAGTCTCTAATGTAGAGAATGTTACGAAGAAGTAATATAACCCAAGGTAAACGTTTTCCATTTTTTTCTATCCAGCTGAAATCTTTGTTTGTCTCTGTATCTATGTATCACACATGGTACATGCAGTATTAAAGGGTTAGGGCATGTGTATGGTAGTTTCCCAGAACCTACAATTGTGGCTCACTCTGAGCACAAATCACTCCTTATTCCATTTCTTAATCTTCTACTGTTGCATGCAGACCATTCAGTGCTCGACACTCCTGCCTTCTTATGGAGGCTTGGCTACGACTTGATCTACAAGTTGTCAAGAGAGGGGGCTTAGTAAACGGTCAGTTGGCTCCCTTCACTATCACTGCATCCATCTGAGACATCTTGAGAGAACAGAACCATGCCAGTGAGAATCAGCTGAGGCGCACTTTGAGACAAAAATGATTAAAAACAAAACCCACAGAAGAACCATAAACAAAGAAATTTCCTCTAACCACCAATAGAATGTCCCCTCTGCAGCTACTGTGTGGAGAATGTGGGAAGGTCTCCTCTCCCCTGTAACCGCTGGTGGCCAGTACCTACTACTAAAACTGTAATCTAAAGTAAATCCCCCTCACTGAGCCCTAACCCAATCCTTACCTGCCACCCGCCTCAGACACCTTAAATACACACCCATTCTTTGGGCTGCGTAAACAACGTCCTGGTTGGGTCGTGACCGTGCATGGGCCCGTGCGTGTGCATGAGTGCATCCTCAGGGGTGTACTGTGGCGTGAGGAAGGGGGGGGGGGGTTACAGAAACACAGTGCTGAGACACATTTAGCTACAAACAATAATCTAATGACAAGATGGGCATGAAGGAAATCGAGAGCCGTCATAAAAGAGAATAATGAATACATTCCTTATCTAAATTTGTCTCAATGCCGAAAAAAACAACAACTTTAATTAAACACTTATTATCCATGTGTTTTGTCACTCCCTTCCAATATTTGAATTTTACACCTAGAGCTCCTCATGTTCAAGTTGAAGCAAGCAGAAGTACATGTGCAACAGAACAGGGAGAGGAGACAGGATAAACTAGTTTTATAGCCTCTGGGCAACCGCAGTGGATGCCTGATGATACACACCCAAAGTACATGGATACTTGTCCTACAGATAGGTGCGCAGGGTCTGAGAGCACAGAGGAGCAGCATGTACTAGCGCTGCTTCGGTTAGTTATTCAGTCTGAATGGTGCGTTTGAAGGGGATCATCTCACCTGATATCCTTGCACTGCATTAATGAGGTCTTTAACTCCTGTGCCGCTAAAAGGCAGGCCTGGCATTCGTACCAACCCTCCCTGGGAGAGAGAGGAGGGGGCCGGGAAGAAGCCCATAGTCGTAGGTGAGCCTGGCGGGCTGCCGAATTAAAGAAAAAAAGAGAAGATAAATAAAGGCCGCTGCTCTGAATGTACCTAAAACCTGTGTGATTCTTAAATAAACACATTCAGTTAATATCAGGGGGGGGGGGGGGGAGAGCTGGAGGGACTTAAGGTCTTTAAGTGCTTTCTCAATGACCTACTAAGGAAAAACCGAGGTCACTTGATGTTTATGAAGTTTTTTAAAAACACAATCTTCAGTTATTAACTACCCTTGTCCCAGACTTTCTCCTTGGCAAGAGACATTTGTTTTTTTAATATGATTTACTTTTGCTGGCAAAAAAGGAATACCCAGTAGTAAAACTTATCTTTGTCTATAAGTTTGTTAGACATCTAAAAATATCTTAGAGCTCACATGCTATTCAAATCCCGCGATTTGTAACTATGCAAACAGTAGGCTTGGGAAATCTAAACACATAAATAGTACCAGTTTAGTTCCTTGTCCTCTCAGTACACTGTCAAACATTCTTTGTTCAACCCAGTAAGTGTGCAATCTAATTCTTGTTGCGTCCAAATCGTCTCAAAACATGTGGGGATGTGACATTTAATAAAAACAGTGTGCAAAAGTCAAAGATATTTCAGATTTTTTTTTCAAGACCTTCAGGATAGAGAGACCATTAGACTTGATGTCATCCCTCGGCTTGAAAAATCTCCCTCTTTGAGGTATGGTGGGCGCGTTGCCATGGTTTATACGAGCTTTAGAGAAGCATATGCTCCAGATTGTGTCATTTTCTGAAAAGGCCTTGCATATTTCAGCATGACAATGAAACCACTTAAACACATACTGAATGTGGTATAACAGCATGGCTTCATGGAAGAAGAGTCCAGATGCTGGACAGCCATCCAGATGTTTTCAGACTGGGGACGGGCATGAAATCTTATCTTGGACATGTGCAATTCATGACTTCCACCACAACTGTTTACCTGGGGTAGTAGGCGGTGTAGTTCATGTATATCTGAGCTGAAGCCGGGTAGTAAGCGTGTCCGGGTGGCAGAGGGCGAGGGGTCAGCAACATCTGCCCAATGGGTGGGTACAGAGCAGCAGCCTCAGCGGGCAGCACAGGTGGAACAGGGGTGAAGGAGTAGGAAGGTGGAGTTAAACCTGAAGATGAGAGAACAAATAGGACAGACAAAAACATTTTTACTACAACACAGATAGCAAGAAAAGTGCACAATTTCACGGTAAAGTCTGATCATTGTTTGACTCTGAGGAGCTCATGCAAACTTTCAAACAATGACCAGCAATGTCTTTAATCTTGATACGTGTCTATATGTGTGCCTACAATCAGAGCTTCTCCTGTTCAGTACTTTTACAGTAATTCTATTTTCCAAGAAGCACTCAAGAGTCTATGAGTATATCCGAAATGAGAATAGCATTGTACAATCCCAATAGTTGATAGATTTAATTGTACTCTGGAAAAAAAGCAAAATGCATCTTATTATAACTGTACTTTTTTAGCATATCATACATTTTTGGTTTTGCCTCCTGAACACATTAACAATACCACTATATTATTCTGACTTTGAACGTCTGTGTTCACATGGAACAAAGAAGAGCTTCAGGTTCTTAGATGATTATAAAGATTACAGCGAAAATGTTTACTCAGGAGAACATTTGCACTGTAAAATGAAGAGTTTGTAATCATGAGATCATTTCACATTCCAGACATGGAGAACAAAGCCCATCTACACACCAGCTCTGCCCACCTTTCGCACAGCGTCTTAATGGGCAAGCACAGGAGATGCACACGTCTGAGGTGTGCTGGTCTACTGACGCGAAATCCCACAAACACCACTACCAGTCTGGTAAGATTAGAGAGTTGTAAGCCATGTTGACACAGTACAAACTGTCTCGCTTACACTTTTCCAACCCTTCCAGATCTTTACAAATGACATTCCCAGTGGTAAGGGAGAGGATATAAGAGTGCGTAACAAACATGCCAATGGAAATTAAACTACAGCATTCCATCAGAATGTGTGAACACAGGTGAAAAATGGAAGAATTTACAGTTGTCACATGAAGTCCCTGAAGGCATGCAGACGGCTGAATTAATCACACTAAATCACAAAGATGAACCACACTCGCATACACAAACTCTCCCACACATCCAGTTTCAATCCTTGTCCCCATCCTCCCACAGTTCTAGATTGGGGAAAAACCCGCATCACTGCCCCCATGGCAGGAGCCCACCTACCCTGCAGTCCCGAAGCAAACCCAGCTCCCAGCAGCACTTACGTCTGGACTTACATGGCGGAGGGCTGAGCCCTGTCCCACTCCTGTTCCGGGTGTGTGTGTGTGTGTGCGTGTGCGACAGCGAGCCTCCCATCAGCACCAGGCCCATCTCCTCGGCGCTGCAGGGGAAGACCTCCACGTAGCGGCTGTTGGCGTTTCGCTGGCTGGTCATGACTTGTTTGTGAAGCCTCTGCGAGGCCTGTATCGCCCGCTCTGCTGAACCCATCTGGATGAAGCAGTCCCCTGATGGCCGGCCCTAGAAACGCATGTTGTCAAATATCATTCTGCAGATTTCTGTCAGAACGCATGAGTCAGCGGGTGTGTCGGTGTAATTGCTGCATGTACCTGCTGGTTGAGAACCATGTGCACACCATGCGGCCTGATATCGTGTGTAAACTCGCCCAGGAAGGTGAGAATGTCCTCTATGCTCGCTGTGTATGGGAGCCCCCTCAGCCTTAGGCAGTCCCTCACACTACCAGGAGGGGGCAGGAGAGACATCGTGGGTAGCACTGAAACCAGTGGGGCTGGGGCCACAGGGATTAGGGGGGCCGATGAGTACCGGTTCAACACCTTAAAAACACACCCACAGTTTCAGTTTACACACTGCCTACAGCAATACAGTTAAGAAATTAGTCTAGTTTTTGACAGCCTCAGCTGTTTTTCTCAGAAAAGGTCAGTTGTGGAAAACTCATTTGTCCAAAGAGAGTGAAATACATTTTTACTTGTTTGATTTCACGTATCCAACCCGTACTAGACAAATATTTGGACATATATTGTGTGCAACGACAAAGTTTGGTCCACGTTGTACAAAGTCATACAGAGGCTGGCTTGTAGCCAACAGGACACCAGTATATTTGCATTTCTGGAGAGGACCAATAAAAGTCCCACAGTCTGTCTATACAAGAAAGAGGAGAGGCCTCTCCACAGGTATATACATTCATAAGTATATGTAGGTTGTAATCTTATCGGTCCTGAGTGATATGAAAATGAATGCATGAGTTTACCTCGGGAAAGAGGAAAGAAGTGTGCAAGAAACTAGAAAGAAGAAAAACTAGAAAGAAGAAAAAACAAAAAGTCCCGTTTTGCACAGAGTCACCCTGACCCACCTGTTGCACCTCTGCTGCTGTGCTTTTGAACAGCTCTATATATCGCTTCCCCAGGATTTCCTTGTGTTTCCTCAGAGCGCACTGAGCATGTTCCTCAGAGGCGAACAAAACAAAAGCGTCCCCGGTGGGACGTCCATCTGGGTAGTGAACGAACAGGATGCCATCCTTCCCTCCGCTGACCGGACACTTCCCGTTTAGGTCATCCCCCGACGAGAAAAAGGCCAGCACCTGCTCATGTGTGGCCGTGAAAGGAAGACCTCGCATCCTCACTATGATCTGGTCCTCGCGGGACAGAAACATGGCCGCCTCGTTGGAAGTACCTGATGCACACAAAGACGCAGACACACACATGTAAAAAAAAACAACCTGTACAGCACATTCGATCTTCTGCTGTGAGACTGTGACGGTTTGGCATGCTGTCTCTTGCTCCTCTTGTATAATTCACAATAATAGAGCTCAATTAGCCGATGCCTTCCTGATTTTCAGAGATCATCCAAACCATCTTCATCTTTCTGGGAATAGATGTGAACATGTTACGGCGAGGTGATTTTGTTTCGCGTTTCAGTAAATCTTGCACATCAGTAAATCTTGCACATCAGATGACTCAATGATGACTGGTGGCTTTTAGGGTGACTTGCTGCCCTTCTTAAAGGTCATGTTACCAATAATAGACAATGGTATGCGGAGTCATAACTGACCATTTATTCTGTCAATTAAAATTTATGATTTGAGACGAGTATGATGAAAAACATCTAACGGATCCAGAAAACACAGAGATTCCAAAACAGAATGACTTTCTAATGTGCGGCAAGATTTCTAAACTCAAATAATACAAATTTTAAAGAACCCCCTCTTTCAAAAACCTATTAAAAACTACACATCATAATGGGAATATGGTTTTACCTCCAGCGATCTTCAGGAAGTCTTCTCCTGTTGCTTTATAGACCTGCAGTTGGAGGGAAACAAGGTGCTGATTTAGGAGGACCTACCACTTTTCCTGAGGGGTCACAACAAAGTTTTTCTGGATATTTTACCTCAATGTATCTGTTTCCCATATGGTGTTTGTGTCTCTGCAGCGCCAAGTCTCTGTGTTCTTCACTGACGAAACGAACAAGTGCTTCTCCATTTCTTCTCCCCTGAGCATTAAGGCACAGTGCGGCGCCTCCTCTGCAGAACACCACATATCCAGGTTAGGGTTAAACCACCATTGGGTCAACAGCAGACATCGGACTATCATCAGTTACATTCTGAAGACTGATGTCAGCGAGGTGAGGTGTACAACATACTTGGCAATGTTGAGGCCTCTGAAAAATCTAGCAATGTCCTGGTCAGAGGACTGCCACGGCAACCCTCTGGCTCTGATCACCGTGTTGTCGAGCACTTTCTCCATCTTACTACTGCAGACACACAATCCAGGGCAGACATTAGCACAGCTGTAGTGGGCTCGCGGCTGTTTTTCAGAGTCAGACTAAAAGCACAGTTATCTCTACTCACCAAGTGCCGCTCTCAAACCTCTCGCTAACTCTCTCCGGGTTAGAAAATGTGTGGCCTGCAAAGGAAAGGTCTTCATTTGAGACTAATTCATCTGTACATGGAAATCACAAACAACAAAGTTGAATGTTTTACCCAAATCCGACCAAAAGGCACACATAATGAAAGAGTCTGTCAGGCAAGTGCCTACATCCTCTGGCCTGTGCAGTCCGGAGGACAGGACGACACTATCCCATACTTGCCTTGTTTACTCAAAAACAACCCTGAACACAGACCTTAGCTTCTATCCCCTGAATTAACAACAGCAGCTGGCTTGCAGTACGCATACATTTAAAGCTTCAAGTCCGGTACTCACAAAAAGGCTCCGAGAGCAGTGCGAGAACAATGCTGGCCATGAGCCGGAGCTGCTGCACAGCCACTTCGCTGGGCAACGCAGCCGGAGAGTCCTGAGGCACTGAGGGGTCCCACGTGGTGGGTGTGTCAACAGGTACATTAAGAGCTGAGGAGAAGGAGGTTAAGGGAAAAAAGAAAGAAACTGGCTTTTGGAATGTATGTTGAAATGGAAGTGAGCATGTCTGGATAAGGGAGATACAACACTGACAAGGCAGTTGTTTTCTTTCTGTGCCAGTGGGTGTGTGGGGTTTGCCCTGTTGACTAAACACACACTCTTTCACTTAGTGCTTAGCCATGTGCTGCCATTCTTTCCTTATTTGCATTTCAAAACCTCCTGCCCTACAGCCAACACCCTAGCCTGTAAACTTTGAGTATGTGCTTTGGGCACAGGATGAAATCCAAAGACGAAAAACGGCCCAAATTATCGGAGAAGCGCAAATAATTAACAGCAAAAACCTAACAGTGTCAACAGGTCACCAAATGTAAACACACAACATGTGGAAGGATACACTCTGCCATGACGTGCACGTTCAAAGCCTTGAGGTCAGATGTCGGGAAGTGGTTCTTAAACTCCTTCCGAAGGTCAAAGAAGGAGTAGAAACAGTCCGGGACCAGGATGTTCTGAAAGGGGGAAGATTTGAAGCAAAGGATGTGAACAAGTGGCTCATCACAAGCTGCTGTTTTATTGCTCTCATCACACTCATGTTTGCTCAGGCTAGCACGGTTTTCTTCTTCTGCTCTTGTAAAAGGGTTCACAGGTATGGCATGTGTTAGGGCGTGTGTCTTTGGACCGGTTCGCATGAGCGCCTCTGTTCTGTGGATCGGTTTCACAATACCATTCAATTCAGCTGGGAGCAGTGCTGACACAACAACCAGGGGTTCCTGGAGCCGCGCGGCAACATCCGCCCTGGCTGTGAGGCGCTCGCCCAACCCAGCTCGCTCACCTTGCCGGCGGCCTCAGGGTGAATCACTTGACGGATGTGGAGCTGCCCGTCCGTACACAAACACACTGACGTGCCTGCGCCCGAGCTGTTCACCTCGTTCGTCAGTTGTAAGTTAAACTACGAAACAAACAAAAATAAAAACAAGGAAATCCTTCATTTAGAGGGGGGATAAAGACACTATCCAGCACCAGGGATTTCAACCAGAATTCTTAATAATGACCATGTAATACAAGGAAATTGCTTCATCTCCAGAGTCTGAAAGAGGTTATTACCAAGTTTAAAGCACTGTCAAGACTAGTTGCTGTGGATACACAATTTGCAGACCCATCCTCCTTTTCCTGGCTTTCCTCCACCACATCCTCCTCCGCTTTTTCTTCTGTCAAGTCTGAGAGTGCAGGCTTAATGAGGAGCTCATTCACCCGGCCCAACTGGTTCAGAGAGAAGAAAACAAGTTAGTCTTGAAACAGCAGGACCTCAAAAGCTGGCGAGAAACTAAAATATAATCACACGTCTATAAATATGTTCATTGACACATTATCACTAAGATATTACTACTCTAATGAGCAAGACTCTATGTTTGTTTCAAACATCGACATGAAAATTATATTTCGACTTCAACTACACTGACCATTTGTTAACTTTAAGTCTGTTAAGTTGTCACAGTGAGAGAGAGAGAGATAAAAACACCAAAAGTCGCTCCTCTGATGATTATATTACCAAGTTAATGACAGTTTCAGTATACAGTTCATTTTACATGTTCAACTTTCATCGCTGCATTTCCTGTTTTAAACTGACCACAATGGGCACTATGTGGTTAGAAGTAACCTACAGATGTTCGTACCGTTTTGTTCTTTACATCCACCAGCTGCCAGACCAACTGAACAAGCTCCTTTTCGTCAGATCCCAGCAATTCTCTGCTCGCGCCAGATGTGGCGGTGAAAAACACCACCAGGTAGTCTACCTGCGCCGTCATCTGAAGACAAACAACTACAAAAAAAAACTACAAAAAAACAAAAACAAAGTAATACTACACGAACAGCAGCGAAAGATCCGTGGGTGAGACACGCGCGGGATGCAGGATGCTGAGGCCCTTTCACTGTAACACCTGAGCACAAAGGTGAGCTCCGTGAATCCAAACTGTTTTCGCGTGTTCTTTTTTTTACGTGAAGTCTCCCGCAGTCACCATCGCGAGTAATGGCTGAACGCTCACAGTGTTGGAGTGACTCTACCTGTGTGACCACGTGACTTTCTACCTGCCCCCTCCCTCTTTCAGGTAGTTCAAAGATTAGGACGTGGCAGACTATGGAAGACAGGCAAATGATTTGTGATTCCCTATGAATATCACGCGTTTAATCAGACGTTATCTATTGTCCCTCAGCATAAGAACTGACTGTCAGAAGGGTTAAAGGCCTACTCCATCAGATATGACTAAAGGCAGTCATATATAATTGCCCAGATATAATAATTGAAATCAATTATATTTAATTTCCATAAGAGATGCCCTAATTTTATCTTTCAGGAACGTTTTTTTGTTTTTGTTTACCTTTTCTAAATATGTAAATAAATACATGAGTATTTACTCGAACTTGTATCACTATAAAAAAACTGTAATACACATTTTGAGGGAGTTTTGTTGATATTTACATTGCCTATTTGTTTTTTGTTTTTATTCAGCTTGTATTAATTTATTATTATCATCATAAGCAATTTACGAATTGAACTTGCACCGGAAGTATTCACCGTCCCGGAAGTTTTTCTGCAGACCGACCATAAGCAAAGAAGCTATGGCGGTGGATACTCCAACGGAGCTTCTTTTTCTAGACACCTTTAAGCATCAGAGTGCAGAGGTAATAATTCAGATACTTTAACATGCTCCTTAAAGGTTTCTTTACAGTTACATGCCACCAAAACGTTTATCGATCATATTGAAGAGGTTTGGAGAATTATGATGAACTTTGAAGCTAACGGTGTTAGCTTGGCTATTATTAGCAGTTGTTCATGTTAGTATTAAGCTTGCAAACCACTCCCCTCGTTTTATGACCCAGTTGTATTATTTTAGAAGTATATCTCTTAATGTTATTTATTTGATGCAAGTTATTGTACATGCTGAATGTTTTCATGCAGTCGCATTTGTTTGCATCTTTAAATAGTTTTTTGCTAGTTAGCCTTGTGGCTAAAGCTAACTATAATTGAATGTACTGTAGCTGCATTTTTTAGATGAGGGTGAAATAATGTGCTGTGGTTTTACATGTAATTTACATGTAATTATCGACACATTCAACTTTAATCGTAATGCGTTTCAGCTGACCAACGTGGATGTTGTGCGGTTTCCTTGCGGGGTTTTGATCACAGAGGTGAGGGTCATCCCTCCAGGTATCAAAGCACACAGCAACCTACCTGACAACAGAGCTTTCGGGTAAGAGCTAAAGAAGACTCACAATCACTGCACAACACGGGCACACCCAGTGTCTAACAGATTGACAGCTATGATATACAGTAGTAGTCACACTAATTTAGACAAACAAAAAAAAATCCAACAAAAGAATATGTTTTTAGGAAGATTATGTATTTTCTCTCCTGGGCATTTTTGATAAGTTGGATATATTTAAAAACTTTAGGCAAGTTTTAAAGAGACTAATAAACAAGAATAGTCCAAGTTTATATACTTTTTCTGTGTATCACATCTGTTCATAATAATTTAATTATTATTTGTCCTTTAATTCTTTTGTCATTGGCTAAAATCTGAACATGATCGCTGTAAAAAGAACAAGACTGTGATTTTATATTTCCTGTGGAGATGTTTACTCTACAGCTATCTGGGGGATGTAGGGTAGGGCTTGGTTTTAATTGAAAGTAGTGAGTGTTGTGTGAAAGGATTAATGTGCGTTCAACACTTGTGCTGCATTTTCAGTTGTCCTAATTTCTATTGTGCCTGTTGAGTGGGATGTATGAAACTGAGGAAAAAGGTGTTTTAGAACACAAAAGCACCTATTTGTTATGTTAAGCAATGAGTGTAATTACTCATTACTATTTTAAAAAGGCATTTTGTGATAAACTTTACAAGGTGATCGTGTATCATGTTTTTTTTTGGTGTTTCACCTCTCTATTCTCAGTGTCAGTAGCAATGTAACGTTTTATCTAAACAGTTTTTTTCACACTTAAAGTTTTATTAGATTAAAGGTAGAATTAAAACCTCTGTGTAACATAAAATGAGATCAGACATATGTGCCTTCTGAAGTGTCCGCACAGTCTGTTCATATGGCAGATTTTAATGCGGACTCCTGACTGTGTCCTTGCTGTGTTTCCAGGGAGACGTCTCCTCATGCTTTCCAGTTGGAGCTGTTCTTCAATAATGTCACCAAACCCAACTGCCCCACCTTTCACAGACTGGGCAGGTCAGAATCATCCTCATTATCCACGCTCTTATTGTCCATGTTCCTAGTTCAGACCTTGTAACTGTTGAAGATGTAGATATCTGTCTCACCTGTAGAACCGGTCAAAACGGCCCCAGAGTCCTGTTTTTGTAGGCTTGTTTTCAACCCACCCTTACTCATGCATCTTTTTTCTGTGCTAACTGGTCTCTCCAGAAACCCAACCCCGCCCACACTGTAGCTGAAAGTTACACAAAAAATGTCGGTCTCATTGAGAAGTGGAATGTTTGTCGTGCATTTCTATTCCAACATCATAATAACAGAGGTGTGCACTGGAGCGCCGGAGCATAAACTTGAATTTGCCCTTTGTGTTAAGGCTTATTAAAGTCTAAACGTGACACACCCAAATTACTATCTGTGCTGGGAAAATAATTTAGTCTCCGTTGTTGTGTGATTTGCAGTTCAAATATTGTGTTTCATGCTTTATCTAAATATTCCTGAGATTGTTGTTTATTCAGTGAATCACTTGAATTCACCAGTACTTTTCACATTGTCTGTTCAAAATACAGAATATGTGTTCATGGAATTTAGCAGTTTAACAGATGACTGACTGCTGAGAGCGTGACAAATGTTTTTTTTCTACCGTAATTACTCAAGCAATTATGTGTTTGTCATAAAGAGGGTTATCTGAAGTTGCAACATCTCACACAGTTTTGTGCAAACAACTGCAGGTACAAGAAAAACTGCACTAGTTTTAAATTTGCATATATGTTTTCACCTGACCTGTTCTGCTTTCTACCCTCAGTTTGGAATATGATGAGAACAAGTCCATAGTGTTCAGACCCAGTGGAAAGGTAACAAACAAGATGAATGTTAGATATATACATATAGGTCATATCTGTATCCAGTATAAATATGCATTTGTGCACACAGGTGAACACTGATGGCCTGGTACTGCGTGGCTGGTACACCAGCTTGACTCTGGCAGTGTATGGCACCACAGAGCGCCCTCACGGACACGACCAGTGTTCCCCTCCTCCCCCTCCACCCCCACCTCCTCAACAGCCAAGCGTGCTAAAGAGGATCAACAAGCCAGGTGGACCTCTTTTAACCTCAGGGCCGCTTCCTGAGAGCAAACCATCCAGTTGATGTACTTTTTTTCTTCTAACCTCAGATTTTCTGGCATAACATGAATGTACGGCTGTTGTGTTTTTGGTTTTGTTTAAGATTGGGAGAAAGATGACCAATACAATGGCAGCCCACCCAGACCACCACCCAGAGGACCTCGTACTCCACCTGGTCCTCCACCCCCAGATGACGATGAGGAAGAGCAGGTCCCAATGACGGGTCAGAACTGGACATTAATTCAGTGCTTTCACAGATTATAAGTAATTATTCAGCAGGGAAAAAAGCTTATTTTTCTTCATCATTGAAAATCTTGGACATTAAACATCTCTGTAGCTAATCTTTTTTTTCTTTCAAATGACTCAAACAAGCTTAAAGCAATGTGAAGACAAATGGCATTAGAGACTGTGTAGCTCTATTGTTGAGTTTCAAAGTTGAAGAAAGTAGATTTTAAACAAGGTCAGGATTTTGAGGGGGGGTGTTATTGAGGTAACACTCACTACATCCATATCTAAGAAGAAGATTTTTACATTATGGCAGGCAGCGGGCTCCCCTCTTTACTGCTTTGCCACATTTCACCTTCAAATAATTTGATATCCTGGATAAATCACACTTATGTTTTTTTTTGTTTTTGTGTTTTGGCTGAAATCTTTCCTGTGTTTGTAATCTTTTTAAGTGGGTATCAAAGATGAGGCAGGTGAGGGCCGCGACGACTACCTGGAAGCCGTGTCACCTGAGAGGTCGCTGCCTGCTGACGAGAACTACTCAGACGCTGATCGCGAGGAAGAGGCTGAGGAGGAGGAAGAAGAGGAGCAGGAGGAGGAGGAAGATACAAGGACTGAGGGGAGCGTACAAGAGGAGGAGGAAGAAGAAGAGGAGGAAGATGAGGGTGAGGACGAGGAAGAGGAGATGGAGGAAGGTAGGGGTGTTCTTATGTGAGTGTAGGACAGCCTACAATCCCAAATGGACCCTCAACCCTGAACCCCTCCATCTTTCAGTTTCTTCTCTGTATAACGTTGTCAGCTGTCTTGGGGGTGGAGGAGGGGGAGAGCCACAGGAGAGGGGTCCATTTGGGACGGAGCAACAGTTTGAGTTTTTGTTCTGGCATGCCACGCCCATCTGCAATCACTGGATGCTGCACCGGGCTCTACTCTGAAGGCTTTTTATTAACCTTCGTGTGCCGTCGTGTGGCGGTCTGCTCCCGCGTCCTCACAGCCCTGGCTGAATGCTGCTGTAGTCCCATCATGCATGCTAAGCTAACCCCGCATGCTTGCAGCGTTGCTGCAACAGGAGAGTAGGTCTGTGAGCGGACTCACCCGGATAAAAAAAGCTATATAGTTGCTTCTGGCCTCCAAATTCTCACTCATTTTCCCTGATTTTTTTAAACACATTGAATATCAAACTTTGATTTCTTTAAATTTCCCCCCGTTTTTTTGCTGCCAGGTGATGACGGGTATGAGCAGATTTCCAGCGATGAGGACGACCTGGACAACGTCAGCTTCAAGCTGCCCACCTTTGACATGGACTACACTCCTGAGGATCTTGCCTCCGTCCCACCAGTCCAGTATGATCCATATGAGCGAGAACTCAGACCCCTGGTCTACTTCACCCCTCCGTACAAAACCCGCTTTGACACCCAGTTTGAGAAGGCCTTTCCGGAGGAGCCCAAAGATTCTGGAGAAACAGAAGGACCTGCAGGTGGAGAAGAGGCTGAGGCTGTTGCTCACCTAAAAGAGCTCCTTGCTGGTGTTGGTGAGGAGAGAGACGCACGCTGGGTCACTGCTCTGGAAGAGGCACCCGGACTACTGGCCAAAGGTTTGGCCTATTCAATTAAACTAGGACAAGAGGAGATGGACGAGCCTGTTAGAGTTTTGGTCCAATGGGCTCTCCAAGCTCTGAATATGGACATTGCTCTCACGCAACCTATTGCCCTTAATCTGAGGCAGTTAAAAGCTGGCGCAAAGTTGGCGTCATGCCTGGCAGAGAGCCCGCACGGCCTCACAGTGCTGTTGCGGGAAAATGCCCTGAGAGTGCTGGTGGAGCTGCTCCATGCTGACCACGTCTCCTCCACACTGAAGCTGAGCATCCTCAGAGCTTTGGATGCTCTCATCAGTGCTCCTGCAGGGGTGGAGGCCTTCCTGCATGCAGGAGGTTTAGAAAAGAGTGGCTACCAGGTCAGTGACACATAGTCGGTAATCAGTCCACCGAACAAGGAGAAAAAATAGTTTAACTTAAAATGGAATCATGATCAAGGCTTTCTATTTCAGCTGATTAGTTTTTTGTCATTTTATCAAAACCATGCTCGTTTTGCTTTGCAGCGTTTAGTCCAGATGTTCCTGCGTGAAGAAACAGTCCGGGTCATAACAGCTGGCAATGCCATATTACAGAAAAGCCACATGTACGAGGTACTTGCCGACCTCCAACATGCTGCAGCAGCCTGTAGCGAACCACAACAGGTGAGGACACACTCAAAAACTCTTGTTTCACATATCCCCAGGGACAGAGAATGTATGTTTTATATTTATTCATCTAACTTTTGTCCTCAGGAGGAGATGGAGGAGTCAGAGACCCCGATGGAAGAGGAACCATCATTGGGCTCCTCTCCTGTGAGTGAGGCTGAACTTGATAGACTGGCTGGTGTTTTGGAAGAGCTTCATCACCTGCTGGAGACTGCCCCTCATTGCATGGTGCAGCCCCCAGGGAAAGCTTTCCCCACCAGTGCCAGAATAACAGGGCCCCAGGAGAGGGACAACCCATACCCAACATTATACAGGTAGGTGGTCAGAATAGAATCCCCCCCAAACCTCACAGAGTGGAAATTCATATCAGAACTCAAATCCGATTTTTCTTTTTGAAATATTTTTTTCTTATCGTCTGGCAGGTACATGCATGCATGCCATTTTCTGGAGAGCGCCACAGTGGTGCAGTCAGCAGCTGCAGCAGCCGGCCACCTCGGCGTAACCCAAGCCGTCAAGGAGCTGCTCCGCTTCCTGTCGCTCACCCAGTCCGGTCTACTCTTTCTTCTCGCCCAGTCCACACCCACCAACCTGCTACTGCGCCTCTTGGCATCGATGGCAGAATCTGAGGGCGAGGAGAACCCTCTAACAGGAGGGGAGGGCTCTGTTACGGTGCCGGGGCTCGGGGAGGAGGGCTTTTGTGTGTGGCTAATGCAGACGCTGCACGCTCTGCAGGGTGTGTCCGAACTCATGAGCCACGTGGCCGCCAAAGGAGAAGGCGGCGCTGGGCTCGAAGAGGGTGACAACCCGGAGGTGCTCGGCATGCTCCATGCACTGTACCTCATGACCTTCACGCAGACGGGTCGCAGTGCTGTGGCCCATGTGTTCAGCCTGGAGAACAACCTGTCCTGTCTGGTCACTCTGCTTCAGCACCACAGCAAGGATGGACAAGGGTACAGCTTTGTTCTTCGCTGCTTATTTCTCATTCTGACCGAATTGCTTCCAATTCGGTCCAATCTTTCTTGTTTGACTGTCTGTTGTTTTGTTTTTTTCTTTCATCCAGTGAGGCCAAGGCTCGCAAAGCGGTGACGTATAACTACGCCTGTATGCTGGTCTTAACAGTCTTACAAACGTCTAATGAGCTGCGCATGATGGAGCAGTACGCCTCCCCACTGCTGTCTATAGCCAAGGCAGATGAAACCAATGCCAAATTGCAGGGTAAATATTACAGTGTTGTAATCGCATGTCTTTTTATATAGGCCATATTTTGACTACTTATTTATCCTTCTGTTTCTTCAGAGCTCAGTAAATGGTTGGAGCCTCTGGAGAAACTTCGTTTTGAGATAGGCAGCAGCTCTACACTCATCACCTACATCAAGCAGGTAGAGATTAAATCCGGAATAAAAACTGGTTGAATTTGTAAAGACTTGTGTGGATATTTACAAGCTGACTGTTGTTTTTACATCAGAACGTGGAAAACGTGTTGATTCCTGAAGGAACAGGGCTGGTTACTGCTCTGAGGGTCCTATGTCACATCGCCTGCCCACCTCCGGCTGCCGAGGGTAAGGACAACCCACTTCTACTTGTTTTAGGATATTGGAGAACAAGTCTTTTTTTTCTTTTTCTTTTATTTCTTTTCATGCCGTTTACTTACCATGTCTTTAAAGATGACCGTACGGCAACCAAAGTTATTCTTCATACCAAAGAGGCGACTCTTCCTTTCTGCAGGCCAGCAGAGGGATCTTAAGTGGAGTCTTGCAGGTGTCCAGCTGTTCTCAGGGGAGGGTCTGGATACGTGTGTGCGTGTCCTGCAGAAGCTGTGCAGCGTGCTACTGCAGCCGTGGCGTGTGCACGGACACATGGGCCCCACGCCGCAGCGCTGCATGATCCTCAGCATATGCATCAGCACGCTCAGGTTGCTGCGCACCATGCTGACAGAGCTGCTCGGCGGGGGGGCTTTCCAGTTCAGGGACACCCGCGTTGCCAGTGTGCTGGTGACGCTCCACATGATTGTGTGCTCCATCCCTGCGTCTGGACGCCTGGACGGCGAGGAGATGCGGGTGCAGGCGCTCATTGTTGACGTTCTGCTCACATTCACGCAGGGCGTCAGTGAAGAGGTACGCGGGGAGAGTGTGCGTGTTATCAAGACACGCAATTCAGATTGTGTAACTGTCCACCGTTTGGTGTTTGTGTCTGCTGCAGGTCACTCACACAGAGGAGACTCTGTCCAGTAACACGTGGTCTCTGATGCTAAAGGAGGTTTTGGGCTCTCTGCTTAAAGCTCCTGAAGGCCTCTTTTGTGGCCTGACGCTCCTCTCTGAGCTCCTGCCTCTTCCACTGCCCATGCAGAGCACTCAGGTAACTCTCTCCACCCTTTTGGTCATATAGTCCTGTGCTTCCTCTCGAGAGTTCACGACTCTGGTCTTGACTTGCGCGCTGACCTCAGATCTTTGGATCCACAGGTGATATCCGTCCAAGATGTGGCGATAGCCTTAAACACAAGGAAGCTGTGGAGCATGCACATACGGGCGCAGTGGAAAGCGATCTCCGAGGTCCTGAAGTGTGTGTGCGCCACCAGCTGTCCTCCGTTGCTGGCCATGCTGAGGAGAGTGTGCGTTCAGCTGGCAGACTTGTCCTCCCCCACTGCAATCCTCGTGATGAAGACGCTGCTGGAGCTGCTGCTGGAGGAGCTGCAGCTGTGAGCGAAGCACACAGACCTCACGAGCAGCACTTTTCCGTCATGCTGAAAATGGTGTTTTAAATGTTTGTTTTTCTGATTTCATGACCACAGGGCAGAGGGTAAAAGTGTGTGCTGGGGCCAAGTCTTGCGTCTGCTCTCGTTGATGGATGCCCTGGTGTCTCAAAGGGCCTGTAAGAGCGCCACGCTGCATTTGCTGTCCGGCTTGGTTTCTGGAGACGAGCAGCTGGCAGACGTGTTCCCCTTTCTTTTGTCTCTGTTGGTTCCTCCAACTGATCACTCCTTACAGCAGCAACAATGTAGTGTTCTAGTGGGAACAATATTACAGTCACTGTGTGACCAGGTGAGATCTGCAGTTTGCATCAAACACACTGCTCTAGTTTGACAGAATAGACCGAAAGCACTAAAGATGTCTTGTTCTCCTCAGGATATATCTCTTGTGGTGTCTCCACCTGGCGAGAGCTGTGTGTCAGAGGCTGAACAGCTGGCTAATGCACTTCCGGGGAGAGAGATGATATCATCTGTGTGTAATTCCCTGCTGGAGGTTTTAGGGAACAAAGACAGCAGCGTCCCTCTCCTCCTCACCTGCATCAGGACATTGACCTTCCTCACAGAGCACAACTATGGACTGTACTACCTCAAAGTGTAAATGCAAATGTCCCTTTTCGGGTCTCGCTGGGCTTTTCTCTGCAGATTGTGACCTTTTCTTTGTTTAACAAGGCCTTGGCTTTTTTTCTCTTTGTTTCAGTGCTTTGAGGAAACATAGTGCAGAAATGTCCTCACTGCTTAAAAGGTTGGTGGTTTCCTTCAACAAAGACTCAGCAGACCTGCTTTCAGCATTGCTCGATTTTCTCAGGCAAATCGTCAACACAGAAACTATGGTAAGTACCATGGATTCAATGCGATAAACATAAACCTAAAGGTAGAGAAAGAAGAGCTGGTCATCGACCAGTTTGTCTAGTAAAATTAAATCTTAAGGGCCATGAAACCTCAAAAGGAAATTTTTGGCACCAGTGTTGTTTATTACAAAGACAGTGGGGACAGAGAGAGGGATTCACATGCAGCAAAGGGACAGGGATTCAAACCCAGCTCAGGTGCATCAGGCAGGCTCCAGGCTGTGTATGTGAGACGAATGCTGAACTTGTTGAGCTGCCAGCCCCAGAACCCGTAATCCTTTTTTTAAGATGCACAGAAATGAGCTACTCTACTCGTTAATATCAGTGTCCTAGCTCTGTTAAAGATATTTTCGTGTTTGCGGCAGCCAGAAAAGCCCATAATGTGGCATTTCATTGCCTTTCACGACACAAAAGTAACTTTTGATTAATTTTCTTTTCCCAACTGTGTGGAAATACTCTTCCCAAATAGTCATGTCTTCATTCTGACTTTATGTCTTCATCCAGTGTGTTGAGGACGGTCAGGGGTCCAGTGAGGAACCTGCCTTTGTTCCCCCTCGACTGCTGTCCGGCTCAGAGATGAAAGCGCTGCTGCAGTGGGAGGAGTCCGAGTCCCATCCCATACCGGCTTTGGAAAAGCTGATAACGGTACTGGTGATGCACACTGTGAAGTTGTTACATTTTTTTCCCATGCGGCTGTTGTGCTGAACTTTATGTGGTTGCAGAAGTTGTGCAAAGATGATGAGTCACTGGAGACCATGTTGGAGAATGTGGTCGTCCTGAGGCAGACGATGGAAGCAGCCACAGACACACCTCCCGCAGCTGAAACTGAGCCCACTCTGCCAGCACCCGAGACCCTGGCGGCTCAGTATAATCACCGGTATGTGCACAGTATACTGAAAAACGACTTCTGATGACACAGATTACATTTAATTACATGTGAGAGATATATTTTCTAATGTGAGCTGTCATAGTTGCTGTCAGGTTAGAGCAAAATCTTAAAACTCACAAAATGGCATAAAACCATTTTAAAAAAGAAATATCCTTTTTGTATTTTTGTCTGCAGGACGGTATTCATTCTGTCTGAAGCGCTGGATGAGCAGCTGAAGGCTCTTTGGTTCTCTCCGTTCCAAACAGAGGACATAGAAACAGACCTTGACATGGTAAGTGTGTGTTTGTTGATGTGTCAATAGCTCATGATCAACCTTTTACTAGAAATAATTAATTTTGCACCTTAACTCAGCATATTTGCTCACTGAGTGCAGCATTTGTCAACTGAGAACCATCAGCAAGAACACCTTATTTATTTTTACTGCAGCTTGTCATTCTAACAAGCCTAACTTAGAGTTGTTTCAGCGTTGCTGATGAGAGAACCCAATTTCTGGCATAAATTTGCCTTTCATGTGTTAAACAGTGTGTCTATTTCTCTGTGTAACAGGTCAAAGTGGATCTGGTGGGTTTGGCTCAGGAATGTTGTCCAGAACTGGATCTGAAGGCCGAGCTGGAGCGCTCCTTCCTCTCGGAGCCGTCCTCTCCCGGTCACACCAAGGCTCCGAAAGGTTTCCGACTGGGCAAACACAAACACGAAACATTCATTACTTCAAGGTACACCACCAGAGTAACTTTACTTATTATGGATTTATTATTCTCCAAGCTAAGTTTAAATCCGGGTCCTGGATTTCATCTGGTGCTTGTCTCTGCAGCGGTAAATCCGACTACGTTGAACCTGCTAAAAGAGCCCACATCATGGCTGCTCCTCGCGGCCGTGGAGGTCGAGGAGGGTTCGGACAGAATATGTCCCGTCCCCATGACATTTTCCGCCTGCGCAAACAGAACACTTCCCGTCCTCCCAGTATGCACGTGGACGACTTTGTTGCCGCAGAGTTTAAAGACATCGCCACCCCTCTTGGACTTTTACCCCCCAAACGCCTTCCAAAGAGCGCCCCAAAGCCCCCGACGAGAGGGTTGTTCACCGGTAACAGAGGCAGAGCTACCTTCCACAGCCAAACACGTTTTTTCACTCCCCCACAACCTAAAGGCGTTCTGCTGTCAGGTACGGCCACGTTTCTTTCTGAAAAACTCATTTATGCATGCAGAGTTCCTGCAGTCTTTGCTCCCTGAGCCGATCACCAGATGGTGACAGAAACTTTGCTACTGGTTCTGTAGGCAACTACACTCGAAGAGAGGGAGGCCGCGGTTCATCTTGGAGTGGCCAAGTTCCAGCTGTCACTCACAGAGGAACCTACAGCGAGCCCCGTGGAGGGCAAAGCAACTTCACACGAGGACCCCTGCCCTCCCGACAACCCCCTGCAAGTATGTGCAGTGCATAACAAACACTTGGTTACTTTGATTTTGCTTCAGAAATGTCTACTCTCTAAACTAAGGATGTAGTGTTTCTGTCTCCCTCCTCCCCAGGTGCTTATCGCCTGGCTCTTCGGGATCGAGCTCCACGGGGGAGAGGTGGCACGGGGCTGTCATGGCTCAGTGGGGGAGGAGGTGCCGGCAGCGCTGGAGGTGGAGGCGGTGGAGGAGGAAGGGGATCTCAAGGGAGCAAATTCAGCGGTGGGGGCGGGAGCGGAGGAGGGAGGGGCAGACATGTGCGCTCCTTCACCAGGTAAATTCACCTGGGTAATGACTGCAGCCTCTCAGGGCTACAAATGGACCAATAAGGACGTTATGTATGGTGTCTCCATGGAAACGTGGGGTATGATGTTGTCACAAGGACTGTGTTGATGTTTCATGTTTTGTTATCATGAGTCATATTCAGAGAATAAAGTTGATAGCAAAAATTTTAACCTGTGAAGACAATTAAAACTTTTCCGCAAATCATTTTTCTTTTAGAAAATCCTTTAAAATGGCTCCACTCGAAACAAAGAACAAATATAAATGAAAATGTAAAAATTTCTGTCATTGTAAGATACTCCAAGATATCTTTGTAAATCTTTGCAAAAACAAGGTGCAGTCTAATCCTCTGGTCATGAAAATAACTTTTAATTGAAACATGATGATGATAAATTCCTGAGGTTGTATTACAATAATCTGTGGAAAGGAATATTCAGATGTGAGCAGAGCAAAAGTAAAGATAATTAACGTTAGCTTGTTTCACCATTTGGGGAAAGTGTTAGAGAATGTAATAGAATGGATCTGCTTAGATTAGCATGGTATATGGTTAATTCAAAAGCACTCAAATTATTTTTACTATCTTCAGCCAAAAAACCAACTGAACACATATGGAAATTAAAATTTCTCATTTCTAGAGCCTTTTTCAGATTTGACGCCGAAAAAAAAGAACCACCATTAAATTTTCTATAGATTGGCTAATCTTAAACGCCGGGGCCTTCAGATGACGGTCACCTCCCGGCTCTTCCTCTTGATGCAGTCCAGAGTCAGACTCCGAGTGCTCCCCTTGCGCACTCCCTCTCCCAGCTGAGGGGACGGAGGTGGACCCGCGGCATGAGAAGCTGAGTGCAGCGACAGGCTGGAGGCATGAACAGAGGCCTCTCTCTGCTGGTATCTTGTAGATTCGACATGCAGGTCCTCCTGAAGCTGGTCCCTGGCTGGCTGCTCAGCAGGACGCTGACTCCTGGTGGGCTGCAGATTCCTGAGCAGCTCCAGTAGTTCTCTCTTCTCCAGCTCGGCTTCGGTCAGCTCCTGTCTCCTCAGGCGCTCGGCCCCTAACAGGGCACGCATGTCGCACATCACACGGGATAGCTGACCCTGCACGGAGCAGACAAATGCTTTTCTGTTCCACATAATCAAATCATTCAGCAACTACAAGAAGCACATTAAAGAAAATCAAATGATGGTTGAGGGAGAACGATATTAGATAAGATATTACAAATTACAATCTCAGGGAAGCAGGCACACTTTCATCAGCCGGTGAAGGTCAGCAGATGTGGACTGAAAGCTTAAAGGCCACTTAAGGAAAGATGAAGTGAGGTTGAATGTGATCTTGAAAGGTATAATCTTATATTTCCATTACTCTGGAGAGTACTCTCAGCTGTCTTATTCAAGCTTGTCATGACATAACGAGGTATACAAACGCACAAGTGTGCCGTAAACATCAAATGTGCAGTTCAGTGCTCCTCTTACAGTTGATGTTCTTGGAGTTTAAAGATGGTGAGAAGGACTGACGGTTCACCTTAAGCTCTTCCACCTCGTTCTTCAGCTGCGACTCTTTCTGCACCATGTGTCTCCTCTGTGAATCCAGCCGGGACTCCATCTCTCGCCTCACTTCCTCCACCTTGCACAGCATCTCTGCCCTGTGGCGGACATCCCAAAGAATGCAGCCCAAGTTGAACGAATTACAGTTACCTCGGAGCTCAGGAGAAGTTTTCTTACCTCAGCATCTCCACCTCCGTGCGTAGCTCTGCCACGCAGTTATGCTGCGATTGGTCGATGGAATGGAGGGTGTGTCCACAGCCGTTGGGGCACTCTCTGCTGCGAAAGCTGCATTCTGACAGGTGAGCCTCCAAACCCCGCCTCTCTACTTGTACGGGACAACCTGAGAAAAGAAGAGCACCAAAGATATTTTAGGGGAAGTTTAGTTTAAAGTCATGAACTAAAGAAATGATTTCCACCATCAACAGAGAACAAAGAGGCAGAAAGTGTCACTGAATGAGTTAGTGATGTCCCGTTGATGTTTAACCTTAAGATACCCGACCAACTGCCAATTTAATATAAAATACAGCATCACAATGATTTGTTACTGTGTAATACACTAAAAATATAAGAAATGTGCATTTGGATATAGAAATTTAACAATGTTAATTCAACATTAAATGTTGAAACGGATCTGTGGTTTTCATAATTAAATGTGACTCTTTGTATGCCTCTTTTTTCACCAAAGTCAAGTGCGTTCACTCGGATAGGAGCAAAACGTAAGCTGCAAACCAAAAAAACAGAAGTAGTTCATGAATGGGCTGCTAAACACTGCAAAACAAATCCACAGCATGCTCACACTTTTTTTTTTACCTACCGCAGTAGTAACAAATGTATTCTCCACCTACCAATGACAGGGCACAGACACACAATGAGCGGGGGAAAAAACAAACTCATATGTAAATTCAGCTTTATAAATTGCTCTTCAAAGAATGATGGGTGAGGTCTCTGTGCGATTTCAGCCTCATAGTTCAGGGGGCATATGTTTGTAGTGTAGCCATGGCAACAGATGAGCCACCTGTTGCTCACCACTGCAAAAGTGTCGTATTACGTGTACACATTCACAAGGATAACTACTGAATTTGAAAAGCACTGTGACAAAGAGAAATCCAACAGCAGAACCGCGGTGTGATCAATCAGGCACTGAGTTGTCTTCATACCTGTGTTAGAGCAGGATATGAAAGCAAAGTCACACTCATCCTCATGTGTGTGCATGCTCTCAAGGGAGCAGACCACCTCACAACCCTGCCCTGCATTCACGCAGCGGATCTGCAGGCGGCTCAGGTCATTCCGCATGTACCTGTTGTCAAAGAGCCAAAAGGTAGAAAGTTTCTGAGTCACAAAGGTACAGTGAATTGTTGACGATCAGACGGACAGCTAGCTGCAGAGATGCAGACGGACCTGTAGAGTGGCTTGAGAGCGCTCACATCAAGAGGCAGCCTGTCCTCGGGACATGAGTGGTGATGGAGGAGCCAGCTGCTGATGCAGGAGCTGCAGTAGGCGTGCTCACAGGGCGCCTGGAGGGGGCGCTCCAGCACGTCTCGACACACACAGCAAAGCAGACCTTCATTCACATAGCCAACAAACCTCTCCAGATCATAGCCCATTCTAAAACGACAAAGATAGGATTTTGCAATGCACGACAGAGGGTGAGAGGAGAATTACCGTGCAGTCCTGTCACACTGTAAAGTCATTGTTTTTTTTTCTCTGGCTAGAACATTCGTACCTGAAGAGCAAACTTTATCCTCATCCAACTTCAGATCTTCCTCCTTCTTTCCTTCTGTAGGTTTTAACCCCAGTTATTCCTCCACGGGTAACTGCCCCTCCTCATTTACGGTCTCTCCTTCTTCATGCTGTCCCTCTTTGTCAAGGTGAGGGTCTTCTTTCCAGCAAAGCCCTCCCCTACCTTTGGGAGGGCGTCTCTATGGAGAGGTGTCCCTGACAACAAGGGTTCAGGATACAGCCAGGCAGCTGTCAGACGGGATCAGAGATACAGACAGAATTACAGCAATAGAAACACTCAATGTAAAACGGACACACTCTGAAGCAGGAAGCTTCACTTACTGCCTAACTGCTAAAGCTGTGTTATGACAGCCTTCACAGATCATTGCCGTTTCTATTTCTCTTTAATGACCATCAGTATCTGACTTTTCTCTCTGTCTGCGGGATTAACGAGGATTACACTCTCTCCCTCCCTGATTGGATTACAAAGCACACAAATCAGATGGCACAAAAACACATGAGCAAAGGAATCAGAAATCACCCCAAACGCCCGAGCTCACCATACTGGTGAGCCCTTTATGATATGCTGGGCTGAATCCAGTTCAGGGAGAACAAAGAGCAGCAACAGTAATGCACTCCGCTGCAAATAAGACTTTTACCAAATTGTGCCATCAATTTGACCAAAATGTACATTCTCTGTCTAAATGAATGGTGCAAACTAAGCATCAGCACAATACTTGTCTTAATGAATGTTTCAAAAACAACAAATTAATCACTGTGATTAATCTGATTCAGTTAGTTCTGTTACATCAAATCTGTCAAGGCAGGTAGTGAAAGTATACAGAGGTTCATAGATATACAGTCTTTTGACGTACAGTATGAGGGCAATACAAAGGAAATTACTAACCTTTTGCAGGATGACGTTGTATTTTTGCAAACTGTAACACTAAAATTGTTTTTTTTCAAAAGCTTTCTTTATCTAATGATTACATATAAATGGTGATGTGCGGTTGGCTAGGGATGAGGTGTTGGCAAAGCTCGATTTAGTCATTTGGAATTTACATTTTTCCTAAAATTAAGGAAGAAAAAGCACGTGTTGGCGAACGTCTTAACTGTACCGACGTCAACACCAAACGCAACGTGTCCATTTAAGCCACGCCCCTAATGGGTGTTTAACCAATCAAATTCGTTTTAGCATTCAGCGGGAGAAACGGATCCGACTCGAGAAAATTTGATGGGAAGCTGTTCGTGTTTGCAATCTTATAGTTGTTTTTATGAAACGTGTAGCCTATTTTGGTATGTATAACAGTCAATCCAACATGATAGTACAGCCGAGTGAAGGCTGCATCACGCTTCTAGTGACAGCTGAAAGGGTGGTAGCTAGTTTGCTAACTTGTTACATATATAGAGCAGTTATTTTCGCTAACTAGCTGCTGTACAGGACACATTGATAGACTGGAGCTAACTGAAGTGTTAGTGATGTGATTTCTAAATGAGCAGAAACACATATTTGGTCACGTGGGTATTGGAATAATTGTTTAAGAAAGTGAAGGTTGAATTATTTGTGTTTCTTCGTTATACTCGGGTGTTGCTTGTTTTTATGTTTTGAATGTCGAAAGAAAATGCCAATCGTCTAATTACTAATGTGCCACACACTGGTAGTTAGATGTTTGCAGCCTTTTTTTTTCTTTTTTAAGAGTAAATCACATGTTGAATAACTTTAAACCTGGATTTGTGAAGTCTTATAGACTGTAAAACCTGAGATATACATACTGTACATGTTTTTATTCATTACAAACTGTCTCCTGTCAAACACTAAGAAGAAATCATCACATAAACCTCTGCTAAATTTGATGATTTAGTGAATGAAGATGGATTTTTAATATTTATTTCAGTTTGGTAGAAAGTATAGAAAAATTCTTATGTATTGATTCCAAAGTAAAACCAAGGTCTTTGCAGTATTCTCTGTATGCAGCGCGTAAGCTTTACCTCCTGAAGAATGCGGCGTTCAGGTGCACCCAGCCAGCTTTTGGGTAATGCTGTGAAAAAACCTCGGTTTGTGCCTCCAGTAGCATTTTCTTCATTCTCTGTGGCTGAATCAAAGCCTCTGGCCTCTAAACCTTGTTCAGGAAATGTGCTGGATAAGGCAAGTTTAAACCTTTTAAACGTATTAAACATTTAACATCATGTACAGATATAAACATCTGTACATAATGAATTTCCTTTCTCTTGACTTGCAGATCCAGAGAAACCTGTTGGTTCCAGCTGTGAGTAAAAATGGATGCGATGCCCAGGCCGCAGCTAGCCAGGCAACTCCAGCTTTGTCTAAGGCACTGGCTCGTGTTCTAAATGCTACCGAGAGTAAAGAAAATGACACAGACACACAATATCAAAGCTCCGGATCAGGGGACTGCGTGGAAGACTACACCCCAGTCGGTGAGTTTATACAGACTGACAACAATTTTTCCCACAAGGTAGTAATCACATTTATCAGATATTTGTAATGTCATCCAAGATGGTGGATAATCCTGTGACACAAAAAAATATCTGAGATGTAGTATTTTTTGATAATCAATTAAAATCATGAATGTATTATTAATTATGTCTGTATGTAAATAATACAGTACAGGCATCCTCACAGTGTAACACCATTTTACATGCTCCTGAGATTTAGGAGACACATGAATGTGTTGGCAAGAAAATGTGGTTCTTCCAAACCTCCAATATCCAGAGTTAATTCTACTGTGGAAGATAAAATTGAGACTGAGCATAAAGTTGAAATAGTAGTTGGCATGGGGTTTAAAAATCTTGACATTTAAAGAGTAAAGAGCCATCGATATGAAGTAAACCCAGGCTTACTTTCTTGTGTTAATGAGCTAGTTAAGTTATTACCCCAGTAGAGGTTTTAGTTACAAGGAAAGTGATCCCATTTTAGCAGGTGGACAGGGAAACGGCTGCAACCAAACCTATATTCTGACATTATCCAGTAGGAGTTTACTTTAAAATAATTTAGCTTCTTGATACTTCTGACTTATAACGACAGATGGTGTCCTGTGTACTGCATGTAACAAAGGCTTGTCTTGTTTTGTATTCAATATGCAACATAACTATAACAACATCTCTTTATGGGACTTTATCTTCCCTTCACGCTGCACGCAAGTCAAGTATACCGACGCAAATGATCGCTGGGTATCTGATCTTGAGTGAAACGCTCCCATTCACTGAAACTGGACGTTAAACCAGGCAGGCTAAGAAACAGCAGGTCCAGCATTATGCAAATGACTCTGCGGGTTAGTGCGGCCAGATTAGGACTGTGCTCAGGATCAGTGGCCACTGCCGCGAGCCGCTCTGGCACGAGCAACTAGTGCCTCTGTTTTTCTCACTGAAACGCACGCGACATACACGCGCTTTTCCAGTGAGTCGGCACGGGATTTTGCACGCGCTCCAAACACATGCGTTTGATTGACGAAGATGAGTCTGTGATGCTTGGAATTTAGTTTGGATATGTGCATTTTTCATGCACAAAAAACGGAAAGAGGCGCCGTTTTACGGGCATGCGCAGTGCGCAGCACGGCGCCTCAGCTCATTTAGTTAAACCAGCGCTATTTCAAAGAGTCTCTCCCTGTAGGAAAGCAGACCCCTGACCCCCAGTAACCTTTTATATGGCGTTTTAAAGCGATTTTCCATCTTTCTGGAAAGCACAGCCCTCAGCTGCTGTTAAATTATTTGAGATAGCAGACACTGGGTGCTGCTGCGCTTGGTTTGGGGTTTAGAGAGACCGAGCTGTAAGTAGGTCGGGCTGGGTTTAAGCGGCTTAGCTACGTCAGCCTAAGCTGAGAGGAATTCATCCAAAGCCCTCCGCGGTAGGCGGGGGCCTAAACGAGGCTGGCCTAGTTAAGCCTGATTCTTATTGTGTGCAGCACAGCCTGTTTTTGTTTTGCAACGTAGCTGTGAGAGAACCAAGGAACAGGGTTTGATTTCATGCACTTGTTAGTCAATGCTAATGATTGATTAGTGAGTAAGGGAAGGCATATGAGGCATGCAAGGGAGTTAGACCAGCACCGAGGACCAAGTGAAGAGAGCAGCAGATACAAAAGACGACTGGGAAAAGAGAGGAGGCATAGCTCTGAGTCTGGTTTCAGAGGGCTGACAGCCATAAGCCTGACTTGGTCTGTGTGAGACCGCTATGCTACAGGATGGCGTCCAGCTCTGTGTTTCTGCCCTGCGTGGTGGGCAAACCTCGCTCCTCCAACTTCACGCTCTCCGAGAAGCTGGACCTGTTGAAGCTGGTTCGTCCTCACATCCGCATCCTGGAAGAGCACACCAACAAGCATGCTGTCATTGTGGACAAGAACAAGTGCTGGGACAATGTGGCGGAGCAATACAATGCCCTGGGAGGGGACAGACCCCACCGCACTGCTCAGGGCCTCAGAACCCTCTACAAGAGACTGAAGGAGTCAGCGAAACAGGAAGTGATGCAGCGAAGACACGCCCAGCCAGAGTACAGAGCCAGCATATCTGAGCCAACCAGGAAGATTATGGAGATGATCCCTCACCTGTTTCACCATGTGCCCATCCATGAAAAGGACCAAGCACTGGGCAGGTACAGTGAAACTTACACCTTACATCCTTACTTACAACCTGAGATTCAACCAACAAAGGAAGGTGCTGATGTTTCTGTTTCAAAACTCAATGAGATTACACACTTTTTGGGCATGGTCAGATTGAACGAGGAAATACTTCATGCTCTGCCATCATTTACTCTCTGCTCAGCGGAAGTTTGTTCTTTTTTACAGCTGTGTGACAAATTTTCACCATTTTCATTGTAGTATAACTTAATCTCTAAAATTTTCCGTAACATGAATTTTGGGCTGGTTTGATTTATTTCTTAATTCTGGCATTTACCAATAAAAAAGGGAAGTTAGAAAAATAACACTGAGGCTAAATAATCTCAATTATTATTTTGTGGAGATGATGGATTTTTGCCGCCACTGAAGCTGTAGTTATAAAGATTTGTTGGCAGATCCATTCAGTCCTGTCCCTACACAGATTTGTTGTGTAATAGGTGTGTATATTTGATTAACGTACATGATCACCAGCATGACATAAACATGCTTCAGACTCAGTTGATAAATATTCTTTCTGTTTCATTTTCTTTCTTTAGAATAATATTCAGCAAGCAAAGCTCCCCCATCGAACATCCTGGAAGCAGCTCCTCGCTGACAGGACTCCAGGATTACTTAGCAAATGTCCCAAGTATTCCTCATGAGGTAGTCCAGCTGGATCCTGAAGAGGATGTAAAACCGCCTCCAGACCTCCCCATCCTCTCTACACATGCAAGGCAAGGGCTTGATGGGGGGCAGGAGCGAGAGGAGGAGCAGGACTTGGGCAGCATTCATGATTATGAGGCTTCCCTATCTCCTGCACCTTCCTCTGTAAACATCCCTCTCTCTGCTTCACCACTGCCCTTGCGCCAGGACTTGTACCCAAACGACATCTACCCTCACCACGAGTCGGACAGATTTCGCCCCCTGCAGTTCGTCAAAGAAGAGCACGAGCTGGCGTTGGCCAATCACAGGAAGGTCGCACTTTACCTGGAGGAAAAGAGAGAAGGGCTTAAGAGGAAGCAGGAACTAGAAGAAGAACTTCTGAGAGCAAAGATCAAAGTGGAGAAACTAAAAGCTGCCCGACTGAGACATGGGCTGCCGATTCCCCTGTAAAAAGAAAAAACAAAACATGCACATCTGTGGCTGTCGTTGGAAAGAGGGGGACTGAGGAGTTAAAAGTGTTTGTGATGAGCAGTCACACTCGCCAATGTCATGCTGGGAGGAGCGTAATGACTTGAATTTATTTTGGAAGCTTAGTGCCTCTTACAGACCCGGATATCCAGTGTGATTATTACACGATGATGCTGACCTTTGCTGCGACTAGCTTCTGTCTATCGTCCTCGTGTTAAAAGTGATCATTTCAACACTTAGAAATAGAAGTGGCAGCTAAACTGCCACCCACACTGCTAAAAGATTGATTTGAGGAAAAAAATGAAATTGGAGGGGGGGGTGTATGGTTGTGTCACACATCTGCCAAAATGTAGCTATGGGAACGTTCAGGTAGTTAATTATGTTCACTTTCTAAGATTATCAAAATCACCGTGGCAGTGTGTGCTGATGTAGTGGGAGAGTTTGTCTGCATCATATCATGGAAAAAAATACTGGGCATCTGAGGTATTAAGTATGCTAGTTACTATCTTAGCTTAGACAATGTAAATGTAGTGTCTGAAAGATAGAGAAGCATTCCAGTTCATTAAAGAGGGGGGTGACAGTTAAATGTTTTTTTTTTATAAACAAGGATTGTTGCACAAGTTAAATTTGAAATAGCCTTAACATATTTTGCTTATGTTAGCAGCTTTTGTGAATTTAAGGTAAGGATGAGCCAAAAATGGTCAGTTTTCTCTCAGGTGGCTATGTTGGTGCCCAACTAAGTGGGGAAAAAAGAAGGGAGAGATGGAGTTGATTTTAAAAACTTTTTTTAAAGTAGCTATTTAATAGGACTGCTGTTTATCACATTGTGTTGTTGAAACAGTGATTGTCAGTTAATTTTGCCGGTTGTCTTCATGTTCAGTTATTTCTATTAAAATAAGAGATTTTTTCAAATCTTTATGAGTTGTTTCTTAATCCATATTTTGTTTGTAGCTTTTTTTTCTTTTGTCAAAATCAGAAATGTTTGTTCTTCCCTGTTTTGGTTAAGTGTGGATTAAATCATGTGGATTTATAGGCGCTGCTTTCCCTCCTGTAAGCAGCAAAGAGGTGCGACAGCGACCTCTAATGGTAGCCTCTTTGACTTGTGTTGTTCTCGTTGTGTTGCAGAAGTGAATGGCAGCCCACGTCTGACTCCAGGGTCTCCTCAACCCCCCCGCCCATCGGCAGGATCAGCCTGCGCCTCACGAGCTGCAGGCTCAGATTCTAGCCTCAGTCAGGATGGAGTGCGTTACTTCAGCGTGGTCTGGTGCAAGGCCAGTAAGAAGAAACATAAGCGCTGGGAGGGGGACGCAGTGCTGCTGACCAGAGGACGCTCAGTCACTCTTAAAGACATGGAGGGGAAGGATATTGGAAAGGGTGAGGCAAAAAATGACCATTAGTTTTTCTTTTCACGGTTTAAATCTACTGTGAAGTACAGAAAAGACCTTTAAACATCTCTTCTGCTCTCAAAACCAGTAGCATAATGACTTTTAATGGTTTAATTAAACATCTAATTCTTCAAATACTTAGCTAGGTAAAATAGGAAGTCAAACCACCCTGTTTTACTGTGTAATGTTCCTCTTTATACTTTAGAGGTGTGGATTTATTTTGAGTGTTACATTTCATTGCTTGTCAGTTGTTGGTTATTTTTTTGATGTAGTCCTTTTTCTGCTGATTTACCACTGTAACACTGTTTTAACTAAGACAAATAGCTAAAAAACATAAATGTTTTTCACTGCTTTACCTTGCTATTTTTGTTATTACTGTTTGATACGGATATCAAACTCGCAAACCTCAAATGTTCCTGACTAATGGACCACGGAATGCTACTGGTGTTATAAGGAAACCACTTCTGTATTTCTCCCTGTAAAAATGACATCCCAGCTTTTTGTGTTGCAGGTAGTGGCTACAAGGTGTCAGAGCTGGCCTCACTGTCTGAGGGAGAGACTCTGATTATTGGTGGAAAAGAGATAGAGGTGATGGGGATCATTTCTGCTGAAGACTTTGCCAAAGGACGTTGCTTTCAAGAGGTCCAGACTGAGCAAATGGAGTCGCACACAAAGTCTGCGCCTCCTCTGGCTCGTCGTTTGGCCTCCAAACCCTTCTGCGCCCCTACAATGTTTGGCAGAGAAGAACCGAAAACACAGGAGGAACAAACCTGCAGACCTCGCCATGATCCCCTGGCTCCCGGTCCGTAAAACAAATTCCAAACTCTGTATTTCTTTGAATTGTTTTATGATAAAGGTTTTTTCCCCCAAGGTGCACTGGTGATGCCTCGCCCCTCTACCAATCACCAGTGGCTTAATAACAAGTCAGGTCTTCCTGTGGTTGATGTTGTGATTGACCCTCACCTGACCACACATCTACGCCCCCACCAGAGAGATGGCCTGCTTTTCCTCTACGAGTGTGTCATGGGAATGAGGTGGCGTAGTTGTTCCATTACAAACTATCAAGCATTAAGACCGTTGTAATAAATATTTTCAGCCCAACAGCTGGCGAAGGGAGCTCCACTTTTACCGGGATATGGTTTGGTTGTGTTTGCTCTGCAGGGCTGTGGGTCGCTACGGTGCCATCCTGGCTGATGAGATGGGGCTGGGGAAGACTCTCCAGAGTGTGGCACTGTCCTGGACGTTGCTGAAGCAAGGGCCGTATGGTGCGAGAGCGGTTGCAAAGCGTATCCTTGTGGTTACACCTGGCAGCCTTGTGCAGAACTGGAAAGCAGAGTTTAACAAGTGGCTGGGCCGCGAGAGGATCAGCGTTTACACAGTAGATCAGGTTAGTCAAATGGTGTGTTTCATTGTTGATCTGAATTTCTTTGTTGGGTTTATTCCGCAGAAAGGCAGTTGTGACCTGATTATTAAAACTAGTGGCATAAACGAACACGCAGAGGTTGCAAAGCTTGTTTTTTGTTTTTTACACTCGCTTCTAAAATCCATTTCCTTTGTGGATATCTGCTTAGGATCACAGGGTAGAGCTGTTTGTCTTATCGCCGCTGAACAGCGTTCTTGTGATAAGCTACGAAATGCTGCTGCGTTGCCTGGAGCAGGTACTGTAAACTCACCGCGTGTTTGCAATCGGCCAGCATTTCAATAACAAACCGACACACGAACACTTCGATTTTCTTGGCAGGTAAAGAAAGTGGATTTTGGTCTCATCATTTGTGATGAGGGTCACCGGTTAAAGAACAGCAGCATCAAAACATCCGCGGCTCTCAGCAGCCTCAGTTGTGCTCGCAGGGTCATACTCACAGGTACGCACTTCCCCGCCACTGAACCAAGCAGAAATATTTAAGGATCGTCTCTCCAACTGTGTTGAATTTTTGTGTTTAAAGGGACTCCAGTGCAAAATGATCTTCAAGAGTTTTACGCAATTATTGAGTTTGTTAACCCGGGCATTCTTGGATCGTCCACTGCTTATCGAAAGGTGTATGAGGAACCGATCCTCCGATCCAGGCAGCCATCCTGCACAGAGGTGATGCTGGTCTCTCCTTCTTTATTTTCCTTTTCCTTATGGTCTCATCCCATGTACTGAAACTCTGCTAACACCAATAGGACGAGAGGGCTTTGGGAGAGGAGCGAGCAATAGAACTTTCCCGTCTCACAGGCATGTTCATCCTGAGGCGGACACAGGAGATCATCAACCACTACCTCCCTCCTCGTCTGGACTGGACCCTGTTCTGCGAGCTGTCCCCTCTTCAGGAAGAGCTGTACAAGCACCTCCTCTGCCACCGTGTTTTCAGGGCCTGCCTTCAGGGCTCCACTCAAACCCACACACATCTGGCGTGCATCACTGCACTGAAGAAGCTCTGTAACCACCCCGGTCTGCTCCACGCCACTCTCAAGGTCTTTTAGTAGCAGGAAAAGAGAAGCCTTCATGTCTTAAAAGAAGTCATATGATCATAACTGGTGGCTGTTATTCTTTAACCCCACTGGTTTGGGGATTTGTGGCTGAGGGTTGTTGTGTCACCGTCTCCAGGAGAGAACAGACCGCGGTTCTGTGGAGAGCACCCTGTACGAGGGCTTGGCAGATCTATTCCCAGACTCCTACTCTTCCGCGCCGTTCAGCGCTGCTGACTCCGGTAAACTGCTGGTCCTGTCAGACCTGCTGAGCGCCATCAGACAAATCAGCCCTTCAGACAGGTAGGAAAACAAGTTAGAAACAGATATGCGCATTTGTGTGTGTAGTTTTATCTGCAGCTTTTTTAGAAAGAAAACCGAACAAAAAAGTCCTCTGTGTGTGTGTACCCCTGCAGGGTGGTCGTCGTGTCAAACTACACCCAAACCCTGGACATGCTCCAGGACATGTGCGTACGCATGGGCTACACCTTCTGCCGACTTGACGGCCACACCCCAACAGGCCAAAGACAGCGACTGGTTGATAGTTTTAATAGTCCCTATTCCCAGCACTTCCTATTTCTCTTGAGCTCTAAAGCAGGCGGAGTCGGACTTAACCTAATCGGCGCGTCCCACCTGGTGCTGTACGACATCGACTGGAACCCTGCCAATGACATTCAGGTGAAATAACTCACACGACCATAAACGTGCCTTCAAAGCTCAAAGTCTGTCCCAGATTAGTCTTTGACCCAGATGGTGTTAATTATTTTCACTCTTGCTTGCAGAGACACATATTTTAAGGGTTTTCACTTTTAACCCCTCGGACTCTTCAGAAGTTCTGTTAGCCAGCTGATTATTGTCTGAGGGCTCACTTGAATGCTGTTGCTGGAGCCCAGTAACAAACCAACACAGCCAAAGAATTTTTAGATTAGTGGATGAGTGATTCTTTTCTTCTTTTTTTTTTTTTTTTTTTTTTTAAAAAAACGGCTTGCAGAACATTGATCCCAAAAACCAGAGGAGAAAAAAAAGTGATTTAATTAAACGTCCGACTGGTGACTCTGGGAAGCGGTCACCACTTCTGATCCAGTTACCCGTTTTTTCTACATAACGTGCTCCCAGTTTCAGGGTTTGGGCAAAAAATTTTACATCTGCAGCTGTGAAATAATTTTTCTTTCACACTTGCAAATTCATTCATTTATTCTGTGCTAAGTGCTTTTGTGTAAGTCACATGTGCATCCACCAGATGGCATAGTCTCGATGTGTTCTCCATGGCAACATTTCCGCCTGTGTGTGTCTAGGCCATGGCTCGAGTATGGAGAGATGGACAGAAGAAAACAGTGCACATCTACCGTCTTCTCACTGCAGGCAAGAATAGAGAAACTCTCCTAATGATCCAGATGATTTGAAGCTTCACGTGTGGCTCCATGTTGCTTCCTTTCAGGGACCATCGAAGAGCGTATATTTCAGAGACAGGTGTCCAAACAGGGGCTGTCAGGGACTGTGGTGGATTTGGGGAAGGCGGCCGAACACACAAGTTTCTCCACCAGTGAGCTGCGAGATCTTTTCCGGCTGGTGAACACGCGTTCTTTAACCCATGACCTGCTGAACTGTGGCTGCAGCATGGACGGCATAGTCGGCGGTAGGCTCCTTCAGACCGCCATTACACGACCACACCGAGCCTCATGACTCGCCACGTGCACACGCTCAGTTTGCTCTTCTTTCTCAGATGCCACAGAGGAAGAGCCCATCTCTGACAGGCCGTGCCAGCTCGGTCGTCAAGGTGACCGTAAGGGGGTGGCACAGAAGCATCTCAGCATGTCCGAGCTCATGCAGTGGAGACACTTCTCCGGTGACACACACACCCTCTCTGACGCCTACCTTGATCATGCACGACGCCACATCACTTTCGCTTTCCAAACCACCATCTCTCACACCAATCTGTGAAGGTTCCACAAAGTTCCAACCACAACAGCCAGCAGAGTTGTATTGATTTATTAGCAATTTTGATTACGTCTTTTTTTATTCAAAAGTAACCTAATGTCAAAAACGCATTGAAATAAACGGAAAGATAAGTGTGTGCCAAATATCTTTTTGGGACTTCATTGTTTCATATTGACATGAAATTCTTCCAGTGGAGTGAGGAGATTTGTGATATTTTCATGTGGAAATGCTGCACTTTTTGTTAAGTGGGTATGTTTTAAATCTGTAAACCACAGATAAGACCCTGCAGGTGGTCTGTTTCTGACCAACTAAAGTATTATTTATTGTATCTGTGAGGTGAAGTTATGTTTTCATGTTTACTGGGCTGGTATGGAGAGAATGTTTGCTCAGCCACCCATTCAGATGAATCCGTTTACACTTGGATTGCCACCCAGAGTGAAAGGCAGGCAGGGCCAGTGTGCTGTGATTGATCTGTTGTGCATTCATGTCACCTTTATTATTCAACGACCTTACGCATCTAAATCTCAGCACACTTGTATGAGTCCACTGGGATTTAGATATGGGCCACACAGCGATCTGTTCAGTCTGTTATTTTGGATAACACTGGCCTGTTCATGCCCCTCAACACAAAGCTGCTGCGTGGGAGTTACAGAATGTAGCTGCTGGCATTCGTGTCTGTGCACACGCACTCAGGAGACGTGTATGATTTATGTTCTTCTCTGACACAATACAGCAGAAATCTTTTCACAAGCGGCGTAATTGTTATCTATCAGATGTGCGTGATGTTAAGCAACTGTGTTGTATAATAAATGGGTCTCTGGGACTTTATGCCTTCATGCATATGATGGTTCATGTTGCACTGTGGGGTCTGTCCATGGTTTGTTGGAGCTTAATTGGTGATTATGCAGTGACATTCTGTTTACCACTGTAAATTAAAAGTTTTTTTGTAAGACAGCCTAGCATGAACACCACATGTTACATAAAGTCCAGGACATGTCAAAGCTCTAACATTAATATGCATCCAGTTTTGCATTTCATACATGTAAATATTTCAACATTTAACCCCTTAATGCTTTCAGCATTCTACTGTAACATTGCCTTTACACAAAGACCAAAAAGTATTTTCTTCCCCTTTTTTTGTATGGGTTCATTTTTTATGAAAAGGCATCAATGTTTTATCATCTTTGGTTCAAGTAAAAGTTAATGGAACAATCACTGCTGTTTTAAATGATAAAACTAATTCAAGAAGCACCAGACATTGTAGGAACTTCTATTTCTTCTGGTTCTTTGGATGGCAGAGGAAACCGGTCCAGGACGGGAAACCCGGATTTCTCTCCCCAGTAATACTTTCCAGCTCCTCCTGGGCGGGGGGGTCCTGAGGCATTCCCAAGCCACCTGGGATATGTTGTCGCTCCAGGTATCCTGAGTGTACCTCAGGTCCTCCTCTTAGCGGGGCGTGCCTGGAAAAATTCCCAAAGAAAAGCAACAAAGAGGCACCCTGACTAGATAGCCGATTTGGGCAACACCTCAGTTGAGTTCTTTTGAAACAGAGCAGCAGCTCTCCTCAGCCCCCCTGGATGCTCCATCTCCTCCTTTTGGTCACTATTAAAGGTGGAGATAGGCTGGAGAGAAAATGTACCAAATAAGTTGAAAGCTTTGCCTTCTGGCTCAGCTCCCTATGTATCCCAATGGACAGAAGAATCACCTAATAATTTCTAAGCCCACGTCTGTCCGTCCAGCTGTAGCTCCAAAAACCCATCAGCTTTTACTTTGATCACACAGGGACCTTTGGATAATTTCATTTTTAATTAATTATCGTACTGCTAATTTTCTAAATTTATCGCTGGTTCTATAAAATACCAGCAAACAATGAAAAGTGCCCACCACAGTTTTATAGTAACCTAATGCAGCGGTTTAGTCATTTAAGCTTCATCTTCTGAAAATCTAATGATATTTATCTTATTTCCTAATGAGGTTCAAAAGATGTTCAGATAAGCACTTATCTTACGTTTAAAAATGTAAATATAATTGGGTATTCCACTATAGCCAAGATTAATATGTACACACCCCACCTACTGTTTGGTGAGGTTAAGGCATAAGATGCAAAGTCAAATTGTTTGTTTTTAGCATCAAAAGGCTATCTTATTTGATATATATTCTTGTAATTTTAACTGAAAGCTACATGTGCATTCATCCAAGCAGCTCACTCTCTTGGTAACCTAAGAGTCTAAAATGCTAGAGCTATTCTCTCAAAAGCTTTAGACTCTGGGAGAGAGGCTGCATCTTAATGATTGAAAGTTCACACTTCGTGTCAGTTTGAGACAGAAACCAGTGGTGCCTTAGCAACTGTCGCCAAGCAACTTAAAACGGCTTCTGCCCTGGCTGGGCTCCATCAATGTAAGATGCTGTTTGTCATCACAAAGCAATCAGATTTAGTTTTAAAGCCGGTCGGTTTTGCTCTCTGACACGTGCCCAACAGTGCTGTCACTCATCCAAACAGGTTATTGATCCGGATCACATCTGTGACAGTCTCTGGGGTCATGTGATGGGATGGGTGCATTGGGTGGAATTTGTGTTTGGGGAAAGCTTTTACTTGACTGCTGGCTGCACTAGCAATCTCTCTTATAAGCAGAGCTCTGCCTGGACAGCTCAAAGACCTGCTGGACTGAAAGAATGACTTTGGCCCTGTGCAAAGCTGCTTCAACAGATTGGAAGTGCATTCTCTGTGATCCCTGGACATTGGTGGAGTTGTCCTAATGGACTGGAAAGTCCAAGCCTGGTATTAACCCTCACTGAGTTCACGGTTCTTTTTCTTTATGAGCCTGAGAGTTTATGAAATTAAAGCTGCAAGCAGTAACAGTACAGCACAGAGGACATTGCAGGTGGAAACTTGTCCATTGTTTATGACAACAAATGTCCTCACAGGGGCTTAAGTATTCTTTTCACTTGATTCACTTGAGAATTGTTGGGCTTCAGTAAATAACTTCAGAGTAGGGTCTGACCTGCTCTTTTTGGAAAGTGCTGTGAGATAACTGCTGTTGTGATTTGGCGCCATATAAAGAAAATTGAATCTAATTAAATTGAAAATTGATTTTTATAGACATGGAAACACTTGACTGCTCTATAAATCTCAGTCATGGAGAAACTAAACTGACACGGCCTGATTTAAACAAGGATCTTTTCAGAAAATGACGACAGATACTCCAACATAATCAAATGGACACGAGAGCAGAAAAACTCCAGAACGTAGAAAGTGGCAAAGGCGATCAACTCTATAAGCCCAGAGAGCAGAAAATATATTAAAAAATGGTTGGATTAGGGAGGGAGGGGGGGGACGACAAGCACAAATGGCTAAAACAAGAAACATTAGGGCTTACTTTGTAATGACCAGCAACTCCTGCTATATCTGCTGTGGATAGAGACAGAGACTGTGTGCTGGCTCATAGAGCTTTTTGTTCTCACAAAGTAGACAAAGACATCCAGACACACCATGCTATGTTGGTCATTCTTAATGGCCAGCTGTCGTCTAGTTATATGAAAATAGAACAAGCCAATGCTATATTTAACTGACATTGTTTAGATTAATGTTACACTTTTCTGCCTTTCTTCCGGTTTTCATTTCAGCATATGAGGCATTGGGTGAGATTTTTGTGGTTGGTGATTCCCAGCTTGTAAAAAGCTGACCGTCCTCTGTGGTAGAAGCCTGTCATCACTTTGCCGAAATCCAATGGGCAAAATTGATTACTTTCATCACCCTTTTCATGATTCATCTTTTCCCCCTGTACTGTTGTTGTAATAGATAGTTTGCATGTTAAGAGCTAAAGGCAACAGAATAGTGTTTAAAAACTGTTATAATGTGTTATCACTAGTGTTGGTTCCACATGTAAGGTGGCAAAAACTTTGACCTTCTACCATGTGTCTGGGTCTTGTTAGTTATCTATACAGACAGTTTCAATGGCTTGAGTTTCTGAAATGTTAAGATTCTCTGTTTTTCTTTCTTTCTTAATATCTGTGTTTTCAGAATGGTATACATTCTGAATATTATCATTTTGATTTCAAAATCAGTCCATAAAGTTGGTACAGTACATGCTCATGTAGGAACATGAGTTGTTTTCTATAGTGAATTGAGTGTCTGTTTAAGAAAAAAGAGAACTATAAAGCACTGAACCTGGCACCTCAAAATGTAATCATTTTCCTCATTTGACTTATGCGTGCTCTTTCAGTCGACTGCCTACTTCCCAGTAAGAGACTCTCTGGCTGCTCATGAAGGAACCACCTTCAGGGAGCGCCACGTGAGGCTGAAATCCACAGTCTTGATTACCTATTTTCAAATGTACTTTTTTTTTTACCCTCAAACTAAAGCACGGACCAAATTACGACAAATGTATTCATTTGAAAGGGGAGGGACGGTGTTAGCCCAATTCACAAATCTTAAAATGGAATTAAAAGTTCATTTGAGATCAAAATAGGCATCAGATCAGGGTTTATTGCTTGTGCACCATATCCCAGGTGCAAGTGTGAAAGAGTGTTTTTGACTGGGGCCTTTACAAAACACTGATTTTATACGAATAAAAGAATAACAGAGAAAGAGGTCACATCCCACTCAGCTATCATCTATAGTTATTGAGCATCACCCTGGCAGTCTGCGGCCAGCCAGAGCGCTCACCCCCTCCTGTTGACCCTCGTCCCACTCCAGCACTTAACGGGGATTTTAATGTTGCGCTGTCATCTGTCAAGCAGATCAGATCAGAGCTGTAATACACAGCAGCAGGTCCCCCAGATGAGGCCACAGCCTGAAATGAATTCATGAAAAACAACAGTAGAAAAAGCAAAATAATCCCACAATTTCTGTAATAAGTTTCTCTGTGTGATGTCACTCGTTCTCTCATTGAAAATTTACAATAAATCGAGTGTTTCCAGGCGGACTGCGCATCATGCAGGGGCTTTGGACATTTGTTAACATTCTTAGATGGGTCATTCTCAAAATGCTGACGGTTTCCTGTCCAGTACATCGTTACGTTGTACTGTGTTATTCCCACTGGATCTTAGGCCTTAACACTTAGCCTCCTCTCAAAGACAGTAATCTATGTAGAGAGAATATATGACAGTGATAAGAAACAGCAGGCTCTACTCCAGTGAGTTAAAGTCGATCACTCGGTTGTGTGGTGTAGCAAGGGTGTGTTGACTCTTTGAAATAACCCTCAGGTTATCAGCTGTGAGTCACGCCTTGTGCCTCTCAGTTTAGGGCCCCTCTCCCACGCCTTTGTTCCTTTTAGGTGTACGCACCACAAAGATGGGCTCATTTATCTTTAAGCTTACTGGTTCAAAGATTTCTATGGTTGACTGAGTTAAAATAGCTCAGTTTCCACCCTCTAATGTATAGAATGTGGAAGCTTCACACATTAACAAAGGTCAAGAGTGGAGAAATCAACATTTGGGAATAATTTATGGTTTCCTTTTTTGGCCAGCCTTGAATTGTCTGTTAATTATCGGCCCGTGTAGTTTAGTTTAGTTTCAATTTCAACAGAGGGAGGTAGAATTATTTTATCTTGCGATTGCATCAAAGGGCTTACTTGGCAAATGGTAATGGAAGCTGGATCTAGGAAGAGTGTTGTATCCTTGCCATAAAAGGAAATGAGAGATTATCATAAAGGCCAATTATGTTTCAGTTTTCCTTATAAATCTAACTGTAAATGGCAGCATTTGGGCACCAAATATCCCACTGTAGAAGAAGAAACCTTTCAAAGAAAACCTCAAATGTTGATGTTCAAGACACTTAGCTGGAATTCTGTCTTAGCTTTTGTTTCGATAGGGGTTTATAATTGGTTTGTCCACTTTACTCCATGCTGTCTTTTCCGCTTTAGTAATCAACCTGTTGTGTTCAGCTGGAGGCTGTGTAGGTGGAAAGAGCTACAAAGATTAACCATATTTCTCTTTAAAAGATGTGCCTGTAGTGCAACAGAGCATGAAAACTTAGCTGAACTTTAAAGAGAAAAAGAATGGACCTTTTTTTTTATTCAAACAGGCAGATGAGGAATACGGCTGACAAGAATTTTACAAAATACTGACATTTTCATCCTTCTGAACAGATACACAATACCAAGCCTTCTTTATACTCTTACTGTCTCCACAAGGACTTTGATCCAGATGCAAGCAGTTTGAAAACAGTGAATACTTTTATGTCATGCTTGCAGACACGTTCAGATAGCATTTACTCAAACCTGATCCTCACGTTATTTTTTTAATGCTAACCAAAAATAAAGAAACCTCAGATAAAAAAGAGATGCAGGAAAGGGCCACAGGCTGAAATTCAAACTTGCTTTGGATATGGCTGGTGTTTTTCTTCTTGGTATTTGCAGTATCTTCAAATATGTAAAGGGTGAATGTGAATTAAAGACAACTGTATATATTCACAAATAATTCAAGTCTTTGCTTTGGTCACTCTGATGAAGCTATTATTACAATTACATTTTCGTCCTAATATGTAACTTGAATAGGAAATCATAAGAATAAAATACAATGGTTCTCATCATACATTACTCAGTGGGAACTTGACTCACCAAACGCTGCGAATTAGTGACAGTTGCTCTCTCATCTGGAATAAATCTATTAATGGGACATCATGTAAACATGATATAACTCTAAATTCTGTGATTCACAGTTTGTTAAACCCCTTAAATCCCTCTCGGTCTTCTGGGACTGCTTTTCAATGGGACCATAAATCAAAACACTTAACATCCCCTCTCTCTGCCCCCGCCTTTCTAGCCTTTATATAGACTGCAGGGAAACCCCACAGCATTAGAGACATCCTCTGCTGGAGACCAGATGCAGCAGACAATCCAAGAAGGCGACAGATGTGACAGTCACTCCGGGATTAACTAATCATTTGTTTTAAAGGCAGGATTCTCCGCAGAAATCTGGAACAGTCCCTCTCCACCCCCCTAGCACACTTGTTGACTGCTGAGTGGTATCTGCTGGATGTAAGCAGAGAGTAGAAGTGCCACTTCGGTCGTTTTCTGGCACAGTTTTTGGGCAGTGGCGCGCTCTGGGATGCTCTTTGTGGTTAAAGGAGTGTAAAAGTGACTCTTAAGGACTATTCAATCTTTCTTGTATCGTTTTCGGGGGTGTTTTCCCTTGAAAGAAGAGAGTAGAAAAGAGCGCAGTCGCACATCTCCAACCCCCCTGTGTGCGCCATGCTGTCCAGCGTGCGCCGGCACAGCCTCCGGCTGCAGACGGAGCTGCACCGGTGGAGCATCTGCGACCCGGGCGCGCACCACCTCCCGGACGGCCTCTTCGCCCGGGTCCCCGCCTGCATCTCCCGCTCCAAGTCGTGCGCCAGCTCCGCGGGGGAGTCGGAGGGCAGCCGCGGGAGCTGGTCCTCCTCGGACTCGGTCGTCTCCACGGACTCGGCCGCGGGGGACGCGGGGCCCGGCGGGCCCTACAGGGTGGTGCTGCTGGGCGCCGGCGGGGTCGGAAAGACGGCGTTCAGCAGCATCTTCGCCGGGGCGGCCGACAGCATGGACAGCGACGAGTGCGAGCTGTGTGGAGGTGAGAGCACAACCTGTTCTCTCCCCTGTGTGCTTCTGTCGTACCTTACATGTTGTTTCTTAAAAGTAAGTCAGGGACTAAACATTCACTAACTAACTCTGTCCTGGCACAGCCCCACCAAATGTAAAAAAAAAAAAAAAAAAGATCTGCAGATGATTTGTATTGTATACTGTATACTCTTTAGCTGAAAAGAAAATGGCAATTTTCCTGTCCAAAGCTGCATGAACTCATGTATTTAGAGCCTATCTTGTTTATTTTCAGATGAAGTGTGTGAAAAAGAGATTGAAGTGGATGGAGAGCCTGCAGTTGTAACGCTGTTGGACACTTGGGATGCAGAGGTGAGAGCAGAAATTGAATCAGAAGAGGGTGCTCATCAGCGAATGCTGTCCTTTGCCGCCTTTATTTAGATGCGCTTGCTTTGCAGACCGGCGGCGAATGGTCCCAGGAGCACTACATGCAGACAGGCGATGCCTACCTCCTGCTGTACTCTATAACTGACCGCACCTCCTTCCTGCGGGCGTCAGAGCTCCGGATCACCCTCCGCCGGTTCCGGCCCGCCCGGCACACGCCCATCATCCTAGTGGGGAACAAATGTGACCTGGTGCGACGCAGAGAGGTATCGACAAGTGGTAAGGAGATTCAACCCCCCCTCTGTCCGTTCAAATCATGAACGCCGGTTTTAAGTTCGAAAGCAGCAGAAGGGGTCTGACCTCTTGCTCTTCTCTTCGTTTCAGAGGGCCGGGCTTGTGCAGCGGTGTTCGACTGCAAATTCATCGAGACATCAGCCGCCATGCAGCACAACGTCTGGGAGGCTTTCTACGGCATTGTGCGACAGCTGCGTCTGCGCCGAGACCCCAAGGAGAGCACCAAACAGCGCAGGAACACACACCCCAGCGCGCGGCGCGAGAGCCTCCCCATGAAGGCCAGACGTTTCCTCGACAAGATGGTGGCCAAGAATAATCCCAGTGTGGCGTTCTGGCTTAAATCCAAGTCCTGCCATAATCTCTCCGTGTTGTAGACGACCCCAAATCCACATCGACGCTCTGAGCAGATGAACGAGTTCCAGGCCGCAGAGAAGAATCTGTGGATAGGCCCGCAGGGAAGCCTTCTGCACAGGGGCTTCAGGGTGTTTGGTTAAGGCCCGTGTTCACCGTCCACCCTCCACTCAGCACAGCTGGTGTGTGTGAGAGGTGTTTGAAGCGGGCCTTCGCTGCCTTTAAGCTGTGTGTTGCCGTCTAAACTACACTGGATAAACTGGACAATCAGAAGGGGTGTTTTAGGCACGCCGTGGCTAAGAGACTGGACTTTGACAGATGGAGACTGAGGAAAAGTGATGTTTTTTAAATTCCTGTGTCAGCTTTTCCTCCATATTCTTTCTTTCCACATGGCCGTTTTCCAACTTTTGAGAAATTCTGTTGACTGTTCATTCCTAAGTGCAAATATCACTGGTTGTAAGCTTTAGATGATTATACGTGACTATTTGCTTCTGTGATGCCCATGACGTTCTTTCTTTGACTCTATTTATTGTGTATTGTATTTTTGCACTTACTGTAAGAACAAAGCAGACTGATGATGCGCTGTGTTTTGCTACTTGGAGGCAGTTTGACGTTTGCTCGATAAAATAAAGTGACGTACAAATTGGTAATGGGTCCCTTTTCTGTCAACTCACTAATGAGAAAATAAAAAGAATGACTCATCTTTGACGCACCAAAGAAACACAATCAAAGGTACAAGAACTTAGCAGACGAAGAATGAGTCGGATAGTTCTCCACGTTGTGTTTGACGGCTCGGGGACAGATGTGGGTCACTGAGCACCCCGCCCTCACCCCCCAGTTCAGCTTTTCAATGGAAAACCCAGTGTGTTGCTAAGGTAACACATGGGGGAGCCCATGAATTGGTAGCGTGTGTGATCTGTGCGTTGGATTCAGGGAGAGAAGGCAGATGGCGTTTGAGCATGATGGCGAGGACATCGGGCGGCCTGTACATAAGGTCAAGACAGAGCGTATGTACCCTGCTTTGCATGGTAGAAGCACTTCCATTCAAATTCATGGCTTCATCCTGCAGAGAATCAACTCTGCAGTCATAGGTTCTGGTTAAATACGGCACAGATCGTTTCCCACAGTTACAGGTTAACTCGTTTCTCCTTGCGGCCGGGCAGCTCCTCAGAGTGCTCAGAGCTCAGGCAGCTGCGTCCAGTCAGCTGGACGATAATCCCAGCTGGTGAGGTCACGGAGATGATGACGAGGTGAAGGGACGGAATTAAGAATGGTTTTCTCTCTTAAGAGCATTTCACACATTTGTAGTTTTGGCGCGGTTTATCGGCAGCTGTGCTCGTGAGCAGCAGTCTAAGCTTTGACGTGACCGTCTGGCTGGCGCTTTGGCCTGCTGAATCTCACAAGTGAACTCACAGCTATGTGCTCTTACAAGGCAATGGACTGTGAGTCCCATTGTCTGCACTCATCTTCTTATCACACACCTACTAATGGAAAATCACTAAAAACAGTACAGAGGTCAAAGTCTGAAGTGAAATACGAAGCTTGAACATCAAACTACAGTGTTCTAAGGAAATGTTTTACTTTCATACTACTATTATTTTTGAGGAAAAAAAAGGGTTCACATTGTTCACATGTATGCAAATACTGTGTAAAAAGTCTTAATTATTTTCAGCATGATTCTTTGGTTGGATTTTTCTCACCAGGAGGATAGAATATGTATAAGCTTTGACTCGGTGTAAAATTAGTGGCTAATGGCTGTCGAGGTTGGGTTTGTCTTTCGTAGTACTGTATGTGTCATTGTTCTTCTCTTCCTGTCTCTGTATCTCCTGCCGGCTGCTTTCCTATTGGCCAGCTGCACATAAGGGCAGGGTGATTAGACAATCATTAGATCCAATAAAACATTACTAGTTAAGGCTCTGTTAAAGTTTGACCAGACAGCGTAAAGTCGCTCTGATCACTCTGAGGTCTGAGGAGCGACTCGCTTGATCTTTCCTGAGAGGTAAGTCATCTCTTGTGTCTGCTTGTTCCCAAGAGTCTTGGTTTTAAGCAGAATTTCTTTGGAGCTGTGAGTGGAGACGAACAGGGCTCGTTGTTTTTCATAAACTGTGTGTTAAATGTGTCAGACCTTTTCAGATAAGTGCAGGAAAGGTGTGATCTTGACTTGACTTTGGTAAGGCCTAGTCCGAGGCGTTGGCAGATTCTGACCTCTTGTTCTTTTTAGCTTCACTGGCTTAAAGCATCCAGTGATCTTCTATATGGTGGACTAAATTCTGTGTCGTTAAAGCTAAAATTCAGACTGACAGAGGTCACTCATTCATTGAGCTAAAAAGCCAAAAGGACAGGTTCAGTTTAATCTTAACTGAAACATACAGAAAATGATTTTTCCTGGCTGGGGGCTTTTGAATTAAATCTAGATGGAAGTTTATGAAGTTTCAAAGCCATTGAGGACTTGTTGGTGAAATGTATCATGTGCAGCGTGCATATTTTTCTAAGGTTATATGAAGAGACGTGAGGCAACCGAGATTTCTGTGAAGGAGTGTCTTTCCATATGCTTTATATCAGGTGTGCTGTGCTACCAAAAGGTCGTGAGCTGTAACTCAATGTCACCTTCATTCTGTCACCTTCACTTCACAAACCCACAACCGTTAGCTACTCATTCACAATATGTTGGTTAAGCAGAGTCAGAAGCAAAGTAGATATAATCTTGGATTAAATTCAATCTCAATCACAAATCTTCTGTATGGGGAGCATTCCTTAGATTAACCCACAATGTTTGACTTGTTGTATATTTGCCAACAGGTCTAAGAAATATCATTGTTGATCCTTCTTTCACACACTTAAATTAGCTGATTCTCTTAAAATCATACTCACACAAACATGCATCTCGGCATATAATTTATTCTAGACCTACAGACTTTGTAGTGACCTTTGAGTACCTGCGTCAGATTTACGCTTACTGGGGTCTCAGTTACAAGAATTTCAGTTGGATTTAAGGAGGAGTCAAACATATGCGTTGGTAAAAGTTCCATTCAGAGTGCTAAGAGGGTTGGTATTCAGGGTTTTAGATTCAAGGGCACCTTTTCTTTGTCATTGAGGGTCATTATCTCCAAATGTTTATCAGTTATGAGATTTTATTGCATGAAATCCTCCTCATTATGCCACTTCATCTCAACGATTTTTATTTCTCCCACCTCTCCTCCTCTTCCTCCTGCTGCGCAGACCATGATAATGCCACCCGTGGTGCATCTGTTGTTGCTCCAAATTCTGTTCATCATTGTGAGTACATAGCAACGCCAACTGCTGCTGCCGTCCTTCCATACATATTCATTATACATACTGATATCTATGAACCTGTTAAAAGATGTGTGAACCAGTTAGCATTGGATTGATATGTGGATTTGACACATCGGAAGTCCAGGAAAAGCTAAGCTTTTTAACCTGTGGTGAGTTTGAAAGGCAACCTTTGGTAACTTATTCAAATTGCCAAAGTCAGCTGTGGAAGTGTTGAGAAACTCCGGATTAGCCTTCCGGGTGTAGACTTTGCTCTCCTTCTCAGGAGGAATACAAGAATTTCACCACTGTCTTGTAATTTTGGTTCAATAAATAACTGATTCATGTTACAACACACAGCTGAAGTGAAAAGTATCTGTGAAGCTGGCAGGCTGAGTTTCACATCCAGCTGTAGACCCTCGGTGATCTTTGTATCTGTGCTGCGATAGGCTGGTGCAAAGGATCTGGAGGAAAAGAAGGGTCCATTTGTCAACACAGTTCTGGATGTGCCAGAGCAGACTCCAGTGAACTATCCAGTGTATAAGGTATTGGACACATAGCAGCAGCTGCACAACCATTCCTTATGTCTAATAATCATTTCACTCATATATGTTCAATTCTAAATTTGTAATGTTTTTTTCTTAATATTTACATTGAAAATAAAGATTTCAATTATTTGAATTTGATGAAGATAAGAATTTTGAAAACTTGAACACAAGCATGTCTGTTGTTGAATGCTTCAAAAAAGACTGGTACAGTGTCTATATTATGAAAGCATACAGAAAGCTTTTGAGTGCAGTTTGAATACTTGTCAGGTCATCTTTTTAGCACTTGCCATTGTGCACAGAATATTTGAAAAGATTATATTTTAAAAGATTTATTTGCTAAATGTTGTCTAATTGATCTTCTGTTCTTTTGCTTTCAGTTTGAGGTGAAACATGCTGGTGTGGACGATTTCAGGCTGACTGGAGAAGGTAAGGATGACATCAGGATGACAAAGGATGGCTGGCTTTTCCTGGAGAAACCTCTGGACTGGTCACGAGATAACCATTACATCATCAAGGTACATCTGTCCTTATCATCACAGACAGGAATGATGTGCATTGTAGTGATACAACACATACTCATGTGCAACATTTTTGAGTTAGTTTTTTTGGGTGCAACTGTTCACAGGTGGAGGCGTTGGCTGGTAACGAAGTGGTGGATGGCCCAGTTTACGTCACCATTAATGTTTTGGACGTCAACAACAATGCGCCACGCTTCAATCAGAGCAGCTATGCAGCTCTGGTCAAAGAACGAAATCGAGCAGGTTTGTGTTTCATTAGAAGAAGAAAACCACAATCCATGCGGGGTCTTTTTCCTCCTATTACCACCAAAAGCCTAATTAGATGGAATTGTAATTTTTTTCTTCATATAGAGATTCCTAAAACATGTTTGAAGTTTTTTAGATTGTACTCTAAGTCAGTATAAAAGTGAAAATGATGCTTTTTATTATCTTAAGCCATTCTTATAAGCAGAAATAAAAGTTGGATGGAGTTATAGGCCTGCTTTTACCTGTTTTGGAAGTGAGTTATCGACATTGATAAAACGGTTAAAATATTACTTTTAAAGCTCTATTGACAAACATTAGTTTTACCAGATTGATTTTTTTCTTAAATATAAAGTGGCTGTTTTTGATATCATAGGAGGCCTTTTAGGCCCAGAAATTAGAAAATGGCCGTCACAGAAAAACCTTGATTCTTTCAACATGGAGAATTAGTTTGAGTCACCTCACATCTGTTCTGTGTGCGGCTCCAGGCGTCCCGTTTACCCGGGTGTTTGCGTCTGACAAGGACGACCCAGACACCCCAAACGCTCTTCTGAGCTACAGCCTGATCAGCCAGACCCCCAACCATCACAACGTCCTCCTGTTCCAGATCGACCCCAACACTGGAGAGATTTCCACCACAGAAGAAGGTGACACGTGCGGACGCATGCAAAAACACACATATTCCCAGGCGTGCTTTGGGCTCAGTGTCTGTGGGAAAGTCTGTAATCTGTCCATCTCTGGGTGTAATCCGGCAGTATACCACCACCGTAAACCCAGATTACGCCGCTCATCCCATGTGCTCAAGATTAGCGCTGATTGAAGGCAGATTGCCTCAATGTGTCGCGTGATGTTGATTCTCACCACTCTTGAGTGTATGTGAATTAGTTGCAAACCAGTGATTACTGTTCAGATTGATGAAAAAAGGTGCCTGTGTTCACATTCAAGATATGTGTTTGTGCTTTGTTGAAATGTTGTGTTGTATATTTTTTGTTGAACAGGAGAAAAAACTCTCAAAGCGGATGAAGATATTGTTTATGGCCGGGGGGAAGATCGGACCATCGATACTCTGAAAGCGAAATTTGATGAGTACTGCCCAGTGCCGAAAGTTCCTCATGAAGAAAACCCCTTCTTCAGCTGTGTGGAGAAAGCAGGTTTGTTTTTCTGCAGATATCATAGCCGGTAACTGACTGTTTAGATCAACAGGATACATGATGGATGATGAGCGCGTAATGTGTGCGAACTACAGCAAGATGACTGACTTTATATCAGGAACAGTTAAGTTTATTAGTTTTTAACAATTTATTCAAAATTTGAGTCTGCATCTTGAAAAGTTTCTAGTTTTTCCTTCATGCACTGCTGTCCACAGATTTTCAGTATTAGGGACGGTGAGGGCCACGTGGTTAAGACATCTGTCCAGCTGCAGGAAGGATCTTCTTTTTCAGAAACTGGTTTATAAATTTGGATTTTTCTGGATAGAAATATTTGATAGATTCTCACCTTTACCTGGCCTGGAAAGTCATACCTTTTTGGATGGTGAGAGGAACCCACACAGACACAGGGAGAACATGCGAACAAATCCAAGAATTTGCACACAGATAGATTTTTCTGAGACCCTAAAAATCTTCCCAAGTTTGCGATTTGTGTTTGGGCATAGTTTTTGAAGAAAACACTGCCATCAGCAGTTAGCGATGACAGTGAAACTTAGTGAGTGCTGAAATGATGGTACAGCCAGGGAGCGTAGTCAAGCTTTCTGATGTTAGACGTAGACTGGAATGTTTGGCTTATGTTCTTCCTCTCTAAGACACTGATTCTAAATTCAGCCTTCATTTTTCACTTGTGGTGTTAGAGAAAAGGAGGCAGAACAAGGACCCTCTGGAGGACCCAGACTACACCCTGTTTGTGCGGGTGCAGGACCTGGGAGGAGCTTCAGACAAGGCCCTGAGTGGAACCACCCGAGTCAATATTGTTGTGCAGAGGAACCTGTGGTCCAGCCCCGGGCCCATCACTGTTCAAGAGAACTTAAAGGTTGCTTACCCTCATGTCATTGCAAAGGTAAGACGAGCGGGTTGTGCCCAAGATACACTTATCTTATAAAGTGCTGCCACAATTTATACATCCACAATAAAATGAGCAACTGACCTTCATGGGGGCTCCTCTCTCCTTTCCCTACATTTAGGTCCAGTCTAACAACCCCGATGCCATCTACACATTAGCACAGAAAGAGCGAGGCATGAAATTCCCCTTCCAGATCAAAGAAAATGGAGAAATACTGCTGACAGAGGAGCTGGACAGAGAAGAAAAGGACATGGTAGATAACCCAGCTATATGTACATTAAATCTTCCTAACTCGTGAATAGGTCTGATTTGTATTTCCTCTTTTTTTTTTTTTAGTACATTCTGGTTGTGTTCGCAAAAGATCAATTTGAAAATGATGTGGATCCACCCATGGAGATTCAGATCTTGGTGGGGGATGTTAATGACAACAAACCAGTTTGTGACGACGAAAAGAATATGTTGGAAGTGCAGGAGAATGAGCCTTTAGGTAAGACGTGAATGTGTATGTGTGAGATATAATAAAAGTTACTGTCATAAGATGTTTCTAAGACACACAGCAGGCCATCATTTAGCCTCCTCTTTTTACGGTAATCATTATTATTATTTAAGCTTAACTCACACCTTAAAGTGGCACTAAAGCAAACTAAATGAGGAGAAATAAGACGAGAGGGGGGCTGTTGTTACGTTTTCTCAAACACTGCTTCTTTCTGTTCCAGGCACTGAAGTAGGATGGGTGCATGCATATGATGATGACAAAGAAGGGACGTTGAATTCCCAGCTGGCGTACACCATCTTGTCCCAAAGCCCACCAGCTGAAGAGACCTTCTCCGTGGAAGAGGCGACTGGAAGAATTCAGGCGCTGCGCTTGCTTCAGCGAAAAGAGCATCAGGTCTACAACCTCGATGTCAGAGTCAGTGACTCAGGTAACACACACACTGCCGGCCAACACACCTGTAGGTGTGCAGGTGTGCCGCCCCCCAAAATGAGTCACTCGTATCTTTGGCACAGAGTTCAGCGCCGTTTGTAAGGTGTCAATCAAGGTCATCGACGTCAACAACGAGCTGCCTCTCTTTGAGAAGAACGATGTGAGTATGAGGCCCACAGCTCATGTCCGTCCGGCTGTTCAGGGGACGCTCTGACGCTGTGTGTGTGTGTGTGTGTGTCCACCTGCAGTATGGCAGTCACACTTTGGCCGAGGACTCTCCCATCGGACACACCGTGCTGACCATCAAAGCAACAGATGCCGATGACCCCGACAGCGGCAGCTCGCGCATTGAGTTCCACATTTCTGCAGGCGACGACAATGAAGCCTTTAAAGTGGAAACGAACGGCACTGGTGTCGGTCATCTGGTGATAGTTAAGGTGGGGTACCTCTACTCAGGCCCGTTGATATATATAATCCTTTCAAATATCTCCTAGAGTGTTGTTTTGGTGTAGCCTATTTGTATTTGTTAACTCATTCGAGGGGTTGCACTTCTTTTTTTAATTCTTTATTTGTTTATTTTCTCCTAATCTGTGATTAATCATTTAAAGAAGTTTAGCTGGAGAAATCATTCAAAGTATCGTAATCTTGAGTATGATCTAATATGATATTAAACATAGTTTCTTTTTCTTTTTTTAAACCACAAGGGACATCACCTTCTGTCTCTTCACTGACAAACTGTAGCTATTCTTAAGGAAATTAGTGTTCAATTGGATGCTAACCAGTTTTAAGCCCAGAATTGAGTCAAACTTAATGCTGCAAAAAGACTGGGATTCTGAGGGTAATTTCATTTTTAGTTCTGTCCATAAAGCCCAGAAATGGACACATTGCTGGTGAATTTTGAGCCCCCAGGCAGCACAGCATGAGAGCAGGAGGCTAGATATTGGCTTTAGTCTGAAATCCTGCTGAGTTCTTAAAACATGAGAACATTTCATAAGAACAGAGAGACAGCGGACACGTTTTCTGTGGTGAGACGGAGTCCTTATTTCAGATTCAGACTTTTCGGTCTGATGTCAGTGAGTGGGTGTGGAGGTGGCCTCTGCATGACTAACAACAGCTGGACTTCACTGACTGCCTTTAGTCCAGTTCTGTGTCCGGTTGAAACCAGCTCAAAGGAAAATCAAACAATGACATAAAAAAGTCATTCCCAAAGTATGGACTGACCCCGCTTTCTAAAACGGAAACAATCAATGTCCTCAGTTCTGAAATGAATTCAGAGAAAGAGTAATGACTCACTTTGTTTTATGGTGATTGATTAAATTATTTGAGTTTTACTGCAATTCTCCCATTTAACAGGTTTTCAGAGAAATAACGTGCTCAGATCTAGCAGTTAGGACGGTTTATGTTGTGAAAACTCCTCTGATTTTGACACCTCTTTCTAACGTCATAATTTCCCCTGAGCAGCCTCTGGACTTCGAGTCTTCTCCCACCTACAACCTCAAGATTGATGCTCGTAACCCGGAGCCTCTGATGAAAGATTTATTCTATGGCAGCGAGTCCTCCACCGTCGTCTCTCTGTCTCTGACCGATGTGGACGAGGTTCCAGATTTCAGTCTGGACATCCTGGAGGTGAATGTACCCGAAAACACCACCAAAGGATCAGTGCTGCTCACCGTGGAGGCAAATGATCCAGAAGGAAAAGAAATCAGGTAAACGCACAGCAACTGCTCAGTTCTTTGAGTCAGATTTAAAAGAAAGCTAAATAAAACTACAGTTTTTTCAAATCTTTATTTGCAATGCTTACACTACACTACACAGGGGATGAGACTAACAGTCAAACTCAGATTTACGTGCTGTGTCCAAATTATTATTTATGAGGGGTGATACAGAGCTGAGCCAGGAAATTCCCCCACATTGTCCCAGATCTGTTATGCAGGCTGAGTTTGTATAGACACAGTCTCTCCAAGTTTATGTGCACTTCGGTCTGTGGTTTTTCCAGGTCAGTTTTTTTGTGATCACTCCTTTGAAGTGTCTGACAACCACCAAACTCCGACTTCATGCTTCTGACTAGCGGTTTCCATTGTGATATTAGCTCCACAACTTGTCTGATTTAGACTGATATTGTAGTAAAATTTAATCTATTACTGACAGACTTACATTAAGTAGATTTTTCCATCATGATTAAGACTTTTTTGGATCATTGAATGTTTATTTAACGTTTCCAGTGTTCAAATGTTAACATGCAAATGAGCCAAAAATGGTGTTCCCTTAATAGCCTGCTGTCATGAGTCGGTGAATGTCTGTTGGTTTAGATACTGTTTTATTTTGAGAATTGAGACTTTATGTTTTGATTTAGAAGAGCAACTAGTAAAAGATAAAATACTGTGATTTTTTAGCTTGTTTACCTTTCAATTGGATTGAAATTTACGGTAATTTGTCTTTTATTAATTGAAGGCTACAAGAAAGCATGAGAAGAGTTTTGGAAACTCTCACAGAATGAGAGTTATTTTCCTGTTTTAACTATCCTTTACGTTTTATTTTGAACCAACCATATATCATTGGCTTTTATTTAGGTAACATTTATTTAGGTTAGGGTGTAAATGTGAGTATCACAATGTTTTTGTTGGTGGATGGAGTACCTGGCTGCTTTGTCCACATCTTTGATGGGGCAAAAAGAATAAGTGCATGAAAGCAGACTGAATGCAAACACAATGCAGCGAAAGCTTTGATAATTTACTATGGGCATTGATTCGCTCGATCAATGGCTGCTTGTTTGGGGTTTACCCTGTCGGGGTTGTCACGTGTGCACAAAACATTTTATCGATCTGTTTTGGCAGCTATTGTCGGCACTGATCACAGTTCAGTCTGTTATTCATCCCATTTGAGCTCTGTGTGCCAGAGCGTGTGTGCAACACCGGCTGATGATTGTGTTTTCTGGGCAGTTTTAAGTTGGATGGTGACTCTCAAGGCTGGCTGGAGATCAACGGCGCCACAGGGGAGGTCAAGACCAAAAATAAGCTGGACAGAGAGAAGGTCGAGTCCTTTGATGTCACCATCACTGCATTCGAGAAGGGTGAGGAGAGCATGATGGCGGCTAAAAATGTCCACCTGAAAACAATTTTTGTGCAGTCACAAGAACATGAGGATTTGACCATTTGGTCATATGCTGTGATTTCACTCCTGTAGCGAATCCTGAAAAGTCCTCTGAGCGTGTCCTCCATGTGAACCTCCTGGATGTCAACGACAACATCCCCAAACTGATAGAGACCACAGCCTTCATATGCATTAAGGACCTGAAACCTGTCATCATCATGGCCAGAGATGGAGACAGTGCCCCGTTCTCCGAGCCTTTCACTTTCACCTTTGCTGACAGCAAGAAGTCTCCAAACTGGGAGCTGCGCAAAGTTGATGGTAAGGTTGCGCACTATCACTCAAAAGCAAAAAAAAAAGAAAAAAAAAAGAAAAACAAGTGACATAAAGGTGGATTTTTGTACATTTCTGATCTGTGTGCATTCTTGGTTTATGTGCAGGTACATCAGCTGAGCTGCGCCTGAAGAAAAAACCAGTTCAAGAAAAAACCTTTCCTCTCAACATCAACATCAAAGATAATGCAGGAGTTGGAGTCACCCAGGTGTTTGAGGGTGAGTTGATTGTTAGAATTTAATTGAATAGAACTGAATTGTTTGAAAGGATCTACAACTAGAAGAATAAATCACAAATGAATTTAGATGTGAACCAAAGCCATGCTTCTGCTCACCACTGGAAACCACATGGAAACCTGCTGTTTCCATGAATACTCACCAACAGACCAGCTAAATAAACATTTCCATCATGAGTTGAGACAATAAACTGAATGAAAAGTTTAAATAAACTTGCTGTGAGGGCCTCAGGACCTAAAGCCAGTCCCATGATAGCTTGCTTTAAATCCCGCACATCTCCTCTCTCTTTCCAGTGAAAGTCTGTAACTGCACAGAGCTGGGCCACTGCTACATGTCACCTGAGGGAGTTGGGTTCAAGCCTGGACTTGGAACCACTATCGGGGTCCTGGCAGGCATTTTGGGATTCTGCGGTAAGTCTGACTAACATCATGTGGTGTCTGTCCTCTGGTAAAACCAATTCACTCACCATTGTCTGTTAAGATGTATAATGATGTCACCGTGTCTGCTTTTGTGTTCCTGACTTTTTCCTCTGCTGAACTCTGTTTTGTGTCTCCTCTTTTTGTAGCTATCGTCTTCATCATAGTGATCAAGCGCTCAAACAAACCGCGCAAGGACGGCCTGACTGAGGAGGGGGATGCCATGATGTAGAGACACGCATGACATTTTATTTATATATCGTAATGTCACAAATTAGCCCCGAGGGGATTTACAAGTTGTACAATATGCATACACCCTTAGATATGGATCTTTAACAAGTAAATATGTGTTTTTGAGAAGAAGTATTGACATTATGCTTTCGCCAGAGCCTTAACTAGTGTATATGATTCAACTCTTTTTATGGTGCCTTTAAGTGTGTGAGCAGAGACCATGGATGAAAATGCTTCTCATATCCAAGCCGAGCTAATTTCTAACATATTTTCTCTTAATCGAAGAGATTAAAAAATAACGGTATACGTAGACATTTACTTTAGTTTCCTGGATTACGATTAATGGTGCTGTGCATACCACATTAACTTGGTTGGGAGTCCCTCATCAGTCCCTCATATATTAGAATTTTATTTTCAGATTTGTGCTGTTTATTTAGCGGCTGTCATGGTTTCATTTTCTTAATTTTAACTCAGTCAGTTTTGTTATCAGGTCTCCTGCCAATGCTTAGCAACATCCTAATGTACAATAATGAACCTGTCTTTTGTAAAGAGCATTCACTGCTCTGTTTCCCAATAAACAAAGGACCTGGGCGTTTGGTCTTCACTGACTGGGTGTCTGTGTGTGTGAGGGCAGCGTGTGGTGAGCAGGTGATGGGTAACGTAAGACACATAAGGAGCCGGCGCCTTCTCTGTGATTGCTCTGCATGCGCATTCAGAGTTGTCCCCCCCCCTCCTCCCTCCCTGGCTGAGCTCCGGAGGACAGAGCGCTGCCGCTCACAGAGACGCCGTGAGTCATCTCTGTCAGTGGGAGACGGGCCACAGATTGCTGGTGGCGCTGAAAGGAGGATGACATGATTGTTGGCTTTTATGCCACACAAAGAGGACCAAACATACAAAAGACACACACACATGTGAGAGTTTCAGGGGTGGAGGCGGGGGGGGGCACATGTGCCACCGTAAACGTACATCTGTCCCACCCGTGTGTCACGTTTGTGATTTGGTGCGCGCACATTTGCGATGAGTCACCGAACAGCTTCCAAGTCCAAACGGAGGGCTGTGTCAGGGGCGAAGGAGTGGACTGAGCTACAGCCACAATGACCAGCTCCACATGGAACCTCTCCACTGTTTGTGTCTGCACTCCATCTGTAACTGTATCCTGGCAACGTTTTCCACAACAACTCGCACACAAAGTTGTGTGGGGCGCTGCAGAGGCGGGGGAAGAGGTTGAAAGGTTGAGGGATGGAGGAGAGGAGGTGGAGGAAAGATAGGAAGAGTAAACCATGTGACGAATAACCTCAAACTTGACCACTCAAACACACAATTTATCGGCCAAATCCCATTCAACTGATCAGTTTGGGTTTTTTTCCCCCATTATAGATGAACCACATTAACCATCACAAAAAGTGGCGATTTGTCCCCCAGTCTGCATGTTGATCCACAGCAGCTCACATCACACCTTAATAGGCATTCTTTAAAGCCATGATATTCTAATCTCGCAGAACCATCTGGGAAACATGTTATTAGCAGCAGCCTCATTTTTCTGTATGACAGTGATCTCTAACATGCTGCCAACACAGTATTAGCATTCCTGGATGGTAAAACACATGGAGGAACGTAAACAGTGATGGACAGGCCTCCCCATAGCCTGGATGGCCACATGACTGAAGCACTGTGGGATCAGAGAACAAAACTATAGAAAGACCACATTCAACGTAGTGCCTTGACATGTCCTTTTAAGGGGGGTATATAAAAAAATATACAAAAGAATTCCATAAAGATTGTCTGACATGATTCAAGCTGTGCTGAAGTATAATGGAGGTAATTTTCCTGTCAATATGCAGAGAAATTAGGGGTGACTCAGTCTTTTCAGGTCAGGGTACGTGCTGAACAGCTGCTTCCTCTTGTACCAACATTTAGAAAATCACTGGTATGTAAGTTTTCTATTTCAAATGATACAGATTCTGTCTTTACTTGATAACACATTATTACCCCAGTACTAAAAGACTGAAACGGAAATGAGAGATGTGTCATAATAAATTGTGAATCTCTAAAGGAAAATGAACATGAAAAACATCAGAGACAAAAAAAAAGGCTAAAGGAGAGTAAAATAATATGAATCGCCGAGATATTTCTGAAAAATCAATCATTTTACTTTTACATTTATTCCACATTTGATAACACTATTAATTTACAGACTTTAATTTCTATGAATATTCATTAATTCAAGCTTGTTTAAAAAACTTTAACATAACGCATTTACACTGTAAAGCTTTCAGTCTGAACCTCTTAAAACTAGAACCAAATGAGGGATTCTGCAATTCATGGAGTTCCGGCCGCCTCAACCGTCAGGTAGCAATGATTTAACTGATGCTTGAGCTCTGCATCGTCCATCAATGAGTCACTTTGCAAGAAGATTTTTAGTACACATCCTGCATCTTAATCACACAGAGATGTGTAAACAAATTCATGGATGTCAGTGCTGAAGTGGAAACGAGCGTAAAACTACCAGGCTTAAGTGTTCATTTCCAGCAATACGACTCAATGTCATCCAAACCCAGCATTTTATGTGCGCATCCCCTGGAGCCCTTGTCTGTGTTATGATTAAAAAAAACATGCAGGTGTGTGGGATAAACACTGTGATGTTATCATGTACTTACATCAGGCACATAAAGAAAGAGAAGAAAAAATGTCCTCCTTTGCCGACATGCAGAATTATAGTAAATAGATTAACTTTTTGTTGGATGCTGTTAACGATTTCCACTCCATAGTCAGCCAATAGGACCCTAGATGGAGTAAAGTAAATGTTTGGATCACAGAGAAACTGTCTGGGCTTTTTTTCATTTATTCAATTAATCATTAATGGCACAGCTATAATTCAGTTAAAGAACTCAAAATTATATTTACCAAGTGCATAGAGTCCTACTTGCTGAAAGAGTCTCAAACTCAGACTGCAGCACCATCTAATGGTGGTGAGTAAAGTACTATTATGTGTTCAACTATCCTGATGATAGGAACACTTCATAATAATTTCAGGAACAAACTGTGATGCTGTTTACTTTTCCATAGATTGAGTCATTCATAAGTGAGCTCTGCCACCATGTCAGGGATTGGGTCACCATCACAACATGCAACCTGAGATGCCGACCTTTAAAGCGTTTGTGGATGAGCAGGACTTCCTGATTTGTTTAGGGGTGGAGCAGTGTGCTCACCTGCTGGGCAGCCTGCATTACCCCCACCCAGATAAAAAAAAAACACCACCAGGATCTGTGTGCGCAGCTTTTTATTACATATATAAAACTTAACCCACATAAGTTAGAATTTACATTTTAAAAAAAAGATGTGTAACGGACCGCTAAAGTCGAATAAATATCTCATGCTTAAACAGCCTCTTTCAAATGCAAGTTCAGCTCCATCATGTGAAGTTAAATACACTTTAACATGCAGCTTGTGATTGATGAGCGACCGGGGAGCATCAGGAGGTCTGTTTTACCACTGCAGTGCATAGCACATTTACAAAGCCAGAACAAATGGTCAGCCACACAGCTAGCACTTGTCAGAGACAACGAGCGGCTTTTTGTTTTGTTGAGAAGAAGCTGTGATGGAGTTCAGTAACTGCGTCTGCTAAAAGGTTCGTTTAGACACTTTGTTGCTCCAGCAAAAGTAACATTACATCATTACACAGTACTTTTTCCTGAAGAAGCAGTACAATAACCTAGTGATGTCAAGGACTTTTTAACAACTTGTAACAAAACAGTGCAAGTGCCTCTGCTCTGTGCTACGACGTGCTGGTTGGAGTCCCTCGCTGGCTGTTACAGAATCATCTTTAAAACTCTTTGCACTCAAATGGCCACCATAAGATTTATCCTAAAACCCACTTGTTGTGCTATCCATATAAGGGGGCTTCTCTAATGTGAATGTTAACTTAGTCTTGACTTAAAAACAAAACAAAAAAAAAAAATGACCCAACACACAGATGCAGTAACAGTCTTCGTGGTAACATTAATTCCCAAATTAGGAGCCAAAGGGGGTGAATAAAGTTGGGACAAAAATAAAACAAGAAGAGGCAGAAATAGAGAGCTGACCCAGTTCAAATCCACAGTCTGAGCTTCTGAGGCTGAAGCTGTTTGGCACAAAAGTTTAGACTGTAGCAGCTTAACATCAGTGAAATGGACAGGTGTGTGTGTGTGTGTGTTTGTGTGTGTGTGCGTGTGTGTGTATGTGTGAAGAGGTTATGGATAAAGCTGGCAGAATAAATGACATTTTGTTCGATCCCGCTTTGAATGGAGATCTTTTTCGCCACATAACAAACAGAACTTCTGTAGCACATCATACAAACATACAAAGTTCTTCACATAAATAGCGTTAAAACTGCGGGACAGATCTGTCAGTGGCCTGTTTGGGCGTGGAGTGTGCGCCTTTTCCAACCTTCTGCACACAGCTGTAGAGGCGTGTGTGCGTGTCGGTGCGAACACTTCCCAGCAGCTCAGGATGTCTCCTCTTTGCTCTGCGCTCCGATCACCACGGGGTTGAACTGAGTGATGATGATGGTGATGTCATCGCGGTACATGCGAGCCAGCTCCTCCGGGAGCGACAGCATTTTTGACAGTCTCTCGTGGTCAACTGTCCCAAACTCGTTGTTTCCCACCGCATGACGCATCAGGTGGGTCGCCGAGTTCTGATCCTCGAAGGCCGAAGACATGCGAGCCTTTCGCTCCTCGAGCAGGCCCTGCATTTGTCCCAATGTGACCTTATAGCCTCCCACTTTGAGTGGCTGGCGCTGATGGACCCCTGTTAAATACTCCCCCACGATTCGAATCACTTCCTGCCTGTGGAGGGTCTCCCAGAGGCCATCTGAGCCAATCACCTGCAGATAATGGGGATGATTGTGAAAAGAAAAACAAAAAAACAATAAAATTAAAAGACTGATTAGATGGGGAGAATTCAGCAAACAGACACCCGATCTCATCAGAAATCAGGTTTAGTTATAACAAATTACCCTGAAAATGTCAGATCTTTAAACCAAGTGGATGCATTAAAGGCAAAAAACATTAAAGTATGCAATTATGAACCAACAAAGCTACATTATTCCTTCGGAGAGGCCCTTCTATCTTTTTGTTGTTTTTTAAGGCCACTATATTTAGTTGAAAATGGCTCAGCATGCTCTTCCTCTTTGAATGATAAAAAGAAAAAAAGTACACCCGGAGGATGTGAAGCACATCTCACAACCATAAAAAAAGGTACAGACATGAGGGTAAAAAGCTCATTCTCCTGTTCTCAGGACTAATTAGCTGTGACTCAGCTGCTTGTGTGGGCTGTTTTTGGTCAGTACATTAACACCGCCTGTCTAAAAACTGAGATAAAAAGATCCACGTGTCCCATTTTTCTTGGAGCACTTTGAAGAGGATGTAAATGTCGATGAGTTCAGATAGCTGAATCAGTGGCTGCCTGTAGCACCTATTCAGCGGTTTGAATGGATACTGCTCTGTGTGCTCCAACTACCTCAGAGAAAATATCAGATACAAACCCAAAGGAGGACTGAGCACAATACAATCATGCTTCTGTGCATGAAGTAGTTTAGTTCCCGGTTTACTCATTAGTTTGCTGTTCTTTTACACAAAAGCTACCGATCTTGATAGTGTCGTGCAAAAAATAATAAAAAAAAATAAAATAATTCAAACTTTAGGTGAGTAGAATATACGCTAATGCCGTTTCAATGTCAGGCCACAAATGTCTTTCCTGAACCCCCTTTTTTCCTTGAAAAACAAACCAGGGGTTAGGTGCTTAAATTGTGGTGACTCTTCTCACCATGAAGCGATCCTGCGGCCGCAGCTTGTGGTAGGTGATCTCAGGCTCAGCGGTCAGATAGGGCGGCGTGTGGTAATTTGGAGGGATGAACTTGGTGTGCTCGTTTTCATGGAGCTGATCGGGTCCAGACTCCAGGACACGCTTCTGCAGCTCGATGCTCCACTTGAACTTCACGTCCCCAAAGGCACGGAACGGCATGAGCAGGCCAAGCAGCCGGTCCTAAAGCGAAGAGGAGGTGGCTCTAAGGGAGTGTTGTAATAACAAACACACCGGGCAAACTGGCCGGGGCACTACCTGACGTATGACTGTCTTCCTTTCTGATGGGGGGTGCTCGCCCCGTATCCGAGCGACCTCGTCCTCATTCTGTGCGCTGTGGTCATTAGACAGCGTGTGAGCGGTGAACGAGCCGTCTTCCTCCTGCACCCCCAGCACCGCCCGAGCATCTCCGGCGTTGGCTAAAAAGCTTCATAGAGGTGCGGGCAGACAGAAGAAGAGGACATATTTTAGCCTTGAAGGGCTGCTTTTGTTTTGTGAGACTGAACTAAAGCAACTGTTTTGCGTACAGGTCAGATCCATCGATGTGAGCCACACAGGCCGTCGCTCCAGAAAAAGCCACTCTCAGAACCCAGTAGTGCAGATAAGCATTTGGGTCCCCAACCTGCAAGGCAAAAGAACCCAGTAATGCTCAGCAATGTCACCCGCTTTATATTACACACAGATCCAGTGACACCTTAGCTCCTCTTTGAACCATAAAAACTATTTATATTTGGACATTCAGATATCTAAGCCTGGATTATTGGCGATATTTGATGTCCTCTAAAGCGGGAGCCAGTGCTGAAATCTGGCTCTCACACCAACAACATGACTTGCAACTTGAAAATCTCCTTAAATGTTCACCAACGGGATGAGGAGGTCCAGAGCAAAAATAAGTCTGGAACTGCATCTTCAATGTTTGCTCAGGATGTTTAATCCTTAAGTTTAGTCAAGGACAAGGAAAGCGGGTGCAGCACAGGTGGGAAAATGGGTGTCAACTGGCTTGCCCAAGAGCAGAGCACTTCAGCCATGAACAGTGGATCAGGGACAGGTCTTTGCCTGCTGGGAAGAGGAGCCTCCCAAAGCTGCCTCTCTATGCCCGGTCTGAACCAGCAGCACCATTTCACAGTTTCTACCTGGGCTTCCAAGGAAATGTCATTGTCCAGCCTCTTGAAGGCATTGAGCAGGGCCTCTCGGGTGTCTGGAACCTCGCCTGGGCTGCAAAAAGAAAGCCACGTGTGAGAAGAAGACAGACGGGGGGCAAAAGTTAAGATCCAGTCAAATTGTGTGGGTGTTATGAAAAAGGTGCAAAAATAAGAAAAAGCAGAAAATGTAGTCTGACATCCTCATCAAGAAAATGACTAACATGAAATGTAGTTGGGTTTTTTTGGACAAAAGACAGACAAGAGCTAAGCTGTTTTTATACAAATTATATGATCCACTCCATTTGAATGTAGTAATTTTCTCCATCTTATGGCATCACTTATAAGAGCATATCATAAGCAGGTAAGTAATTTGTAGCGATGCTCATCAAGTGTGAACACATCCATAAGCTCAATTAGCTGCACATCAATTTGATTTCACAATCAGAAAACATTTAAGAACTGCCAATGCCAGTAACCGGGGACGTCCCAACAAGTTATCACCATTGTACAATGTTTGGTTCAAGTCTAACAAGTCACAAGACTTCTCGAACAACGTCCTTCATATAGGACACCAAGATGGAAATGTTTGATGATAAATAAAATACAAATAAACACTGACATTTATAATAATAACGAACAAAACACACATAAATGAATAATTTATTTAACTGTTTTTTGTTACTCAAATAATGACACGTGGCAATGATGACACGCATCATGTGGTGTTTTTTTTAAAACTCCTTTTAAGATCTGGAAACCAGATGTTTTCCATTACGTCCCGATTCTTTTTTTTTCTTTTTATCACAAGAGTATTAAATAAACTGATCTGCTGAGCCTGTTTGTTTTTCCAGGCTAAGGGAGCGATGTTACTGTTACCTAGCAGCACTGAAGCCCACGTTAAGCTACAACAGAGAAACATAATTTGGGTTACCTCATACTAGTCGAGATCATCTGTTGATTTTTCCTCACCTTGTTAGATCGATCAGTTCCTGCCAATAGGTCCGGAGGCTGTTGAAATAGAGGGTCTGAGCTTCCCGACTGAAGTAGTCATTGGGGTGTTTGTGCCACTGCAGGATGGGACTCAGCGCCCTGCCGGCCTCCACTGCAGCCTCAAGCTCACATAGAGTGTCATGGGGAAGCAGTGAAACAGCTATGTAGTAAAACAGCCTTTCACTCAGTGCCTGAGGAATAAACACAAAAGAGAATAAGAAAATACTTACTGAAACAACAGAAAATAGATCTATTCTATTTAAATGTTGATACAGTCCATATATGCGTCACCTGAGCACAGGCACAGCCGGCGTGGCCATCAAACACACCCAGCAGCATTCCTCGTGTCTGCAGGCATGTAGCCGCACTTCGACGGTCCTCTATGGGAGCATTGGCCGGAAGCTGATTGCTTTCGAAACCCATCACAGATGAGACATTTTTTCCATCAAATTCAGGCACCTGGAATGACAATGCAACCAACAGTTGGATGGAAACACAAATACACAGATGACAACACTTGTTGTGTGAACATGACCACACCAACCTTGAAGCTGTACTCGTTGGCTTTCAGAATGGAGTTGACCTGAGGGGGCGTGAGGATGTAGCTGTGCAGGGCGGAGGACGTCTGGTAGTATTTGGATGGCTGGCGTCTTTGCCACGCATTGGACGGTGGTCTTGAGGCAGGGCGGTGGGCGATGGTACCAAACTGGGACTGGTGGTGTTGGCATGGTAACAGACTGGAAGCAATGACCTTGGCACGGGGCAAACCCCTGAGCAGCTGAGACGTCACAGGCATCGCTGACTGCGCACTGCAGGCACACACCAAACACCACATTGTCACTGTGTACACACCTTTGGATGGAGAACATCGGCGGGTCAGAAGTACGGGCTGCTGGAAGCATCAGCTGGAAAAAACACATTTATCTACAGAAAACAGAGTGTTCTCTGAATACACCATTAAGCAAACCTTGCGCAAACAAACAGGCTATGCGAGGAGGTTTTACTGTTGGGACAGAGGGGCAATACCAGCAAAACCCTCCACAAAATTCTGAGCCTGAATAAACAAAGATTAATTGAATGCCTATATAAAGAAATCAATTCATCTTTATCTTTTATCTCTCTTATAACTACATCTCTGCTGAGAACATTCAAATGTTAGTCAAATGTCTAGTTGAAATCTGATCAGCGGACTGAACAGGTTGTTGATTAACTACACATACTCGAACCACAAAGGCCTGAAATTCTGTGGACTTCACATTGATCTGTTCTCTTGATAATGATAATGAAATCACATATCAGACTAAACTTGTTTCCATGCAATGACACAGAACAACCCAAGGCTATCAAACTGAGAGAGACACACAACACATCAGAAGGTATAAAGCCCATGTACATAAACGCTTCTGAAAACTGAAACATTTAACTTAAGAGTTTTCTGCCTTCGGAGGTTAGTTGCTACAGGCACCAAATGGGAGGGGGAGGAAAAAGAAATTTAAGTATTGGAGAAACATTTGTATGGAGACGATATATTCCTGTGATGCACAAACACTTTTCAAAACTATGAAGTGTCCTGGATCATATTGTGTACAATGACATGCTGATGTGCCACAATGTTAAACGGGGTGGAGTTGAGCGTCATACAGGTAAGTGGCACTGACAGCTGTTTTAAGGTTCAACATTTTTTACATAGTTAGACAGTTTGTCGTTTTACACTTGAAAACAAATGTGGCTCCACTGGGGTTGACACCGGGCTTGAGCTAAAGCTTTGCACTGTTCTACAACTTTAGGTCAGCAGTGCAGAACACAAGTTAAAAATAGCTTAAGCACTAATTCAGCTCTGACATTTGGTTCTGCAGAAATGCTGTGACAGGTCAAGGCCAACTGAACAAGATCCTGGCTGAGTCCCCCCCACATAAAATCTGCTCCAATTTCCTGACTTGGATACATCAACACCACCTAATATTAAATCTCCTCCACGTCTCAGGTTCATGGTGGAGCAGAAGAAGCGAGAGCTCAGGTGGAAAACATGGGCACCAAAACGTTTCTTTGTCCTTCAAACTGTGTTTAAAAAAATGCTTAAACTAAACAACACCCTTAAGTTAAACTAAGTATGAGTCACGCAGACCACTGAGGGCCCATTCCAACTCAGAGCTCGCCAAGAAAGTTGCCATATTTGTTGACATCACTAGCTTCTACAGGCTAGTTTTAAAGCAGGGATAGAAACCTATCATGCCGACAGCGTAAGGCCAACAACCGACATCACGAAACGAAAAGACGATAGGAACTCAGCTCTCAAATTTAAACTGAGTGAGTCAGAGAGGTAAAGCAGCCAAATTTGGGCTAATAGTAGCTAGTTGTGTGGAGGTTACACCCACCAACGCCAGAAAAACTGGGCTGCTCACAAACACACAACTGAGCCAGGTACAAAATATCTCAGTGGAAGAGGGGCTACTTGGGAGAAAACGGTGTTAAATATGGACTTACCTCAACCGAGGGATGCGGAAAAGTTCATGACTTGATGCCGACCTCTCCGCGCTGTATTATTCCTGAGCGCCGCAACACAAAGTGAACGCCGATTGGCTGAACCCTGACATACGCAATGACGTCACGTGAAGCCAACACGCTCCAACGGTGCCAGCTTAATTCAAGGTGCTCAAACTTTTAGTACGAATCTTTATGAAAAGTAAGGGTGAAGTTGAATTAACAGTATTTCATTTGACTAAAATGAAAATTAAGTTAGGAATAAATGAGTCACACGAGAGTCCCTAGCAGGTCTTTAGGACCCTGGGGGTGGCACCATCTGGACCTTTAGCTTTGTTCCAGGTCAGTCTGTCCACCTGCCTCCTCACCTCTTGCTGGGGGTGTACAGGGTGAAGGTGGAGGCAGGGAAGGTCACATTGGGTCAGGATATGGAAGCGGATATGATGAAGTGGTGTTATCTATGACTGTGACGTTATGAAGGCCTGACATGGAGGATGTGGGTACAGGAAGGGTGTGAGGTCTGTGTTCCTGAGGGTTGGTCTGCGCTGAACCGAATTAAAACAAAGACAGCTGCTCTGGCATAAATTATTGCTATTTTAAATATTATACAATATGTTGAATTTTTTTAAGATGCCACAAAAAAACTAGAATTGGTCAATATGAGTTATATATTAAGAAATCCGTAACAAAGAGAGCTTTTATCATAATCAATGGCTAAAATGTGATTTACATCCTAAGTAAATCAAACTCCTTAAATATAATGAAAGTTAGTTTTACTGTGCCATAGTCTTCTATACCAGAAATGTTGAAAGCATCTTTAAAACACCATTCATATTGCCAACATTGTCTTCATATTGTAACATTAAATTAAACATAATCATGTTTGGAGAAAGTCTTTAGCTTTAAAATAACAGTCAAAACAACGTCCTCATATAAAAACAATTTAATCAGTAAAAAAGCACAACAATATTTTCAAATATATTTGCTTCATAAAACAGTAGAGAAAGAAATTTTGGGAAAAAGCAAAAACAGAACATTATTCACAAGCTGTGAACAGTAAACATCTCAGAACTGAAACTTTCCCATAAAAGACGACAGTTATATCAGAAATCTCTGATCCACCAGAGTTTTATTGGCAAGGTTTTTTCTTCCAAGAGTGTTACGGATGAAGCCGAATATCTGGAAAAAAATTGAATGCCTTTAATTACAAGCACTTTTCAATAATCACAGTGAATGTAAGATAAAATAACATACACTGACCATCTGCTGTACGTATGTCAGCACAGCTGCAAGCACAAAGCTCTGAGATCCCAGGTCCACCACACAGAAGAACAAAGTGTCAAAAATCAGCAGCGTGGCTTCATTTCCATAAAAGAGCACATCACTGAAGGAATGGGCCTCATCTGCAGTAAGAAATGTAATTGGAACATCATGTATAGACAGACATACTTTAAGTGTCCAGATTCATTATTATGCAGAGCAAAACGAGACCAGCTGGTTACCATTGTAAAATATGGTCTTTTCACTTGCTTCGAGGAACTCCATCCCTATGACCCTCTCCAACGTCAACTTGTCCTTCACTATGTAGTCCATGTCAGGATGGGCCTAAGGTAAACCATACAACACAAAAAAGACAACCAATGTTTCTACACCAAACAACACACTCACTCATCAACCAAACAAATCGATAAGACAAATACAGGTTGAACACTTTCAGGCTGTCATCAGACTTAGCAAACTCTAACAATGGAGATCTTACCGAGTCATGATACAATGTTGATGATTGACTTTGTAAATCGACTCAGTATATGTGAGTGTTCATGTAAAATTAGTGGAACTGGTGAGAGGCAACTAATCAGGACTGTATACTTCTTTAAGTCTGAATGGAACAGACCTGAACCTGATGTTACCTCAAGAATAATCGTATTTTCAAGTAGAGAACATAGGCAACCAAACAGATGGTTCCTTTTCGCTTAAGTGTTTCTGTATGTGTTTAAGCACTAACATGGTCTATAACGGATCCCAGGAAATGGTTCATGGTGTTGTAGGCTCTGAACTGCACATCTGACAAGTTGGCTGTGGATGCATCCATCAGCCGCGACGGTCGGTTTCTCTGAAGCACAGGAGACCATTATTAAAACAGAACGCTACCAATCTGTTGTTATTCGGCTCATTGTAGTTGTAAGAATTTGGCATAGGTATTCACACACCCTGCTGAGTGAGTCCTGTATCCTGTCATACTGCAGTCTCAGTCTGTTAGTAAAAGACACCTGAAAAGTCTGAATGTCTGTGTTGGGAAGAAGACCGCGTTGACCACACAGTGACTCCTTGAGAAGAAAGAGGAAGAAAACATTCAATTTGAATGTGAAAAATGTAAGACTTATCCAACAACAATAAAAAATATAGTTAATAAAAAGAGTAATAAGTCTTTTGGTCAACATACACGTTCTCTCTTCAGATTGTTGTTCATCTCCTCCATGTTTGTATCTGCATGGCCATGTACGGAACGCCCATGGATGTAGTAGCCAAAGCAGCGATGGGAGAAGAGCAGCACAGAAATCTGCACGATAAATATGGACAAATCACATTTTTTGTTACATTACAAACAGTGTTATTCTGTACAAAGTATGGATAACTACTTACATTACTGACGGAGCACAGATCCACAAATTGGCGGATTTTGTCCTCCACAAAGTGCTCATAGAAGACTGTGAAGAAAATCATCTGTAGAGAAAAATGCCTGTTCCTTATAAGATTTTGTACTGTAATAAAAAAAATAAAATAAAAAATAATGAGGGTGGAAAGAGGTGAGGGATCAACAGTTTACCTGTAGAAGCCCAATACACAGCCAAAGTGTGGCTGCCAGACCATAGCGCAAAATCAGGCTGTAAGGAGGGGTGTATGCCTGTGGGGAGCGCTCCAAAGCTGCCCAAGGGTCTCTCAAGGCCAAGTTAGAGAAACCAAGCACCTTAACAATGCAGAGTAAAATGTAAGGAATGAGAAAAATAAAATACAGGAAAGGCTGCAAAAAATAGATACTTGTGAAAGACGTACTTCAAGAAAGAAGAGCACAGCCATAATTTGAAAAGTAGGGCTGATCTTGCGGATGGTTTGGAGCTCATTCCATTCATTGGCCACAAAGTAAGTCCTCCAGATGCTGATAGGTGAAGGGTCACGCTTTGTCTCCCCGGAAGCTAAAACAGCAGTGGCAAAGGTGAATGGAAGAAAACGTGTGGATGACGGTTTCAAGAAACAAAACAGACAAAAACAAGTTACGTTTGTTTGTACCATGCACAGTTCTGTTAGCTTTGCTTCGTGGTCTCTCCCAGTCAATCAGGAATATATCGACTGAAACCTGGAGTATCAGCTTGTGGAGAAACTGGACAGCCTGCAAGAAGAAACACTAAATTAGACAATTTTGAATTTGATGATGTACAGTCCAATTTATTACTCAGTATTGTCCATGTGACAACGTGGACGGGACTCACCTTCAGAGCAAAGGCACAACCAATGTAGGTGACAAACTGCTCCTCCTGAGTAGGCAGCGGCAGCAGCACTGATACGAACTGTTGGGCCTGAACACACACACTGCTTATTTATGAACATAGCTAAGTGTGTGTATTAACAAACAAAGGTAGTCAATGAATATAAAGCAGGAAAGCACTTGCCTGTAGTGTCTAAAGAATGAGCAGATGGAAAGAAAAAAGTAAAGAGTTCATGCAAAGATAAAGGAAACCATCTTAGAGTGAAAAGTAGTATTTAAAATCAAAACACTGCACAGAAAGAAGACAGTGATTTAAACTTTGAAGAAACCACAAGCATTAATCAAGTATGCAATTTTTATGGAATGAGACCTACCTTGTAAAAGATGAGCCAGTAAAGTCCAGTTCCCACAGTGACAGCAAAGAAAACGTTGGCGAGATCACCAGCGTAAAACAACAGAAACTTCAGCATCGTCTGAAGAGGGTAAAGTAAAAGAGCAGCAACAAAATTAAGCATGGAATGCGCAAGTGGTTATGACTGGCATGAATGATGGCACGATGAAGAGAGAGTACCTCCAAATCGATGAGAGGAGAAGAAATCCTTCTCTTCCAGCTGACCGTCTTCAGCAGGGAGTAGATCACGGCCACCCCACCCATCACGCCGAGAGCCGTCTGTGCACAGAGAGCCACACGCAAAGCATCATCCTGAGCTATCCTAGCGATCACACCTGAGAACTTTCCATGAATTACTCAACAGTCTTTTGTGCTTCTACTCACATCTGTCTTAGTGCGAGCCTCGCTCTGATCCATCTCATACTCCACAGCAAAAGTAGTCTAGAAACAGATAGATTCAAAGCACGAATCAGGCATAAATCAGCCCTAGAGCTCAAGGTTAGGAAAACTACGCAGTCTTGGAACCCCAGTGAAGCAAACACGCATCAGTGCACTGCAATCTGCTCACATAGACAGTTTGAGAACTGATGTCCAGGATGGGAACGTCTGAGTAGGTCACAGTCATCAGAGGAGGAAATATCTGTCCCTCCTGGGTTCGTGGAACCAACTGGAACCTAAAAAAACATGCATTTTGATCAGCGTGTCATCAGTGTCTCCACTTAACACAGTTAGTTCTCAGGTGTTCTGTTTTTGTTCAAAGTGAAGTGCAAGTTGGGAGTCTACCTTAATTTAATGCTGGTGGCCACACGGATTACTTTAGGCAAAGAGTTTTTGGTCTTCTCTCTTCCACTCAGTGTATCCACAAGAAACATACGTCGAGACAGGTACCAATTCTTCATGCTCTCTACACAAAACATAAAGATCAATCAGAAAAAGTCGGACACTGACATGCATGTGATCTCAAAATGAGAGATCACCTTGGTTTATGAACCGCCCATTGTACTGCTGATTTTTGACAAGTGTCGGCAAAGGAAGAAGTTTTCTTTTCTCTCCTCCACCCAGGTCCATAAACACATCGTAGAACAATGGCTCGGGATGGCTGTTAAACAGTTCTGCAACTGAAAGAGCACACTGCACACACACACTTATAGCTTATAATACATAGTGCTTTTGAAAACAAATTGTCTGAGCTCATGGAAGTGAAAGGGACTCACACTGTCTTGATAAGCAGTTCCAAAGCTGAAGGCTGCTGCCTGTTTAGTGCCTCGTTCTTGGCAAAGCTAAAAATGAGCCAGGGAAGAAGTGAAGTAGTATAGAGAATTTATCAGCTCCCTCCAATGTATTGCACCTTATATAAATTGTTACGTACAAAAAACAATAGATATGAAATTTAAACAGAAAATTATATATAAATACAATACAATCAACTATGATATACTTAAGTTGTTTATAAGAGTGGCAAGGTTAAATGAGTGCAACTCCATGGTGTTTACATTTGTAAATTTTACTCAGACCTTCTTTTCAAAACTGTCAAATTTGTATATATTCTTTTTTCGTTATTGGCTATCTTCAGATTACTTTCGGAGAACCTGGGAATTTAGTCAGTGGAAAGGTACAATAACTGGAATTTATCCATCTACCATTATAACCCATGCGATACAAGGATGAGTTTGTGACCAACATGAACATTTTAATCTGATTACCTGCACAATAGATGATCCAACTTAAAGATATGATCTGAGACACAGATGTTGTAAACTTGGACAAACCTGAAGTATTTGATTTGATCACTCACTGCTGGCAATCTTACCTGCAGGTTACTTCCTCCTATTTGCTCCCATCTAAGGAACTCTCCCCTGACGTTATAAACAGCAGCAAGCAGTTGAATATCAGTGTTCTGGTGAAAATAAACATAAATATCAAGGAATATTTTGACTTTTTAAAAAATATTTTTCATTGGGATGTATTTTTGCAACATGCTATTTTTCCATTGCAATGGATGGCTTAAAGTTGACCACAAACCTTTTTTGTCCCTCTGAAACTGAATGACAAGGGAACAGGATCAGTTTGAAGCACTCTAACGGCCAGCCCCGGTTCGTCCCCATAGTAAAGCCATGGCAGATTAGCTCTCCTGCAGACAAAATAATCGCAGTTGCTAACATTCACTTTGCAGTTAAGTTAGACCGAAAGAAGCTAACAGCTAACGTCTTTATATTTTATAATCATGCATCAATAGATTCAGACATAAATACCAGTAAGAAATGTCTTGAACTGAGCTCAGAGCAGCCCTTGATCTGAAGATAGTATTGAAGAGACCACAAGCATCAGTGGATACGCTGCTAAAGGAGTGCATGTTCATCACACACATGTTTCCCAGAGCCTGGCACGCAGTCAGGTTGGAGGACACCTTTATGAAGAAAAAAGAAATATTTACACTTAAAAGCTGAAATGTTTATTAAAAACTAACTGCCCATCTGATAATACTGGAGCACAGCAGCTGTTACATGCCTTAATTTGATGCATGAACACACTTACTAAAGGCGTCTTTTCAGAATTTATTTTTGGAAAGCTTACATGTGCATATGTGCATAGTAACATATAAAGCCTTATTATATCGTTGTTATGTTGTGATTAACAACACTGCAATTCCTAAACATGTCATCCTAACTACTTATATCATAGGAGTGCTTCATTTGTAACAAGAAATGGAAACTGCTGATTATGACACAAAAAATAAGTTACAAAGGAATTACAAGGCATGCTGCTGAAGAGGCGTAGAGGTTGTCCACCAACCAGGCTGAAAGGACACTGAACTTCTGCAAAAAAAGAGAAATTAATCAGGATGGAAACTAAGCTGCATTGACATCTTAAATGGTGAATGATGAGAAGACTTACCAACTCAGCAAAATTGATGCTGGGATCCACATTAGTGGAAAGGCTACCCGGAGAGAAACATAATCCTCCTGCCTGCAAAATCACATCAGCTATAAGTGCTGATATATATGTCCATTTTGACTGAGGGTATGTGAGAGATGTTTGGACTTACCAGGACATTGGGAGATGTGCACACACATGAGGTGTTAATGAAGGTAGCATGACATCTCTCACATCTGAAACATTATTAAAAAGGGAAACAGAATGTATTTATAAAGCGCTCTTTTTGTGTAGTACAACACACAAAGGATGTCATCGTGCAAGCCACATTCATCCACTGAAACACACACAAACACACACTTGTTAAAGGCTGCACGGTATTATTTCTCTGTCACACACATACACACACAGATGGATGTGTAAGAGGCAACATGAGCATCGCTGATATATAACAACTTGTAAGTGGGGCAGAAGTTCTGACCGAATTGTGAACTAGATAATCTAACGGTTACATCTAGTGGTAGAAAGTAATATCACAGAAGGGCATGAAAGCAAAGGTCACCGGCAATCAAGCAAACTTTAACAGTGATTTAAGACCTGTCAACCCCCCACCCCCACCCCCAAAAAGTTCTAATAGAATGATTTATAAAAAGGTGTAATTCCCTTTAATCAATACTTTGATTGGAAATGTGGGGCACTTTGTACCTGTGTCCTCTGTTGTTTGGTGCAGACAGAGCAGGACTGTTTCCATTGCATGGCTCACATCTGGCCTCATCCAAAAAGTTTCCATTGATATCTCTTTCCACTTTGAATAAAAAAGACAGTAGCATGCAACTCATAGCTAAGTTATTTGAGCAACAATTTCACGGTGCTAAATTTGACAGGAGCACATTAATAGCTGGAATGTCAGAATTCCTGCCGTTATCATGTGACTCACCAACAATAGTGCCCTGTGGGCACAGACATTGCCCCTCATCACCAATCCCGCCTGGACAGCGAATGCACCCAAATCCATCTTTTGTTACAGCCTATTACAAAAAATAAAAATGTAACAACAAATAATAACGCATACATAAACTGTGCAAGGGTTAAGAAGTTATTTAAAGACTAGAGGATACTTAAAAGATTGAAAATAAATGGTACATACAGGCTTGTCGGTTTGACACTGCTCACAAATAATGGGTACTTTATCAGTGTTGATGCTGATGGTTTTGTACCCAGTTTTGCAAATGCAAGTCAGTCCTATTAAAAAGTAGAAAAAGGTGGTTAGCACCGTCGCCTAACAGCAAGGGGGTCCCAGTTAAAGTCGCCGGGGGAACCGGGGCCTTTCTGTTTTCCCTGTGTTTACGTAGGATAGATGGTTATGAGCGGACATCCATGCTTACGCCCATCAGTGTCTACGCCTGCATTAACGGGATGCACAATATTATAAAACTGATTTCTATAGTATGTATCTGCCAACCAACGAACGAGGTGAATACGCGCTGCCGCAGAGGGGGATCCAATTCCTGGACATCGGCATCATGCTAACTGATAACTAGCCTATTTTACCGGGGGTTATAAAGAGAATCTTAATCTCACAATTACATTAATATGTTTGGCGGTAATATTTCTAATGTTCTAAATGTTCACGTTCTGGTTAAGTAATGTAGTTGGACCCATAACAAACCTGTTGGACTCTGCAGTTGGTTTGAACCACACCTCGTGCACGACAAACTGGAAATATCGAAGAATTCGTCCACACCACAATCTGAAGGACCCTTAAAGGGGATTATAAACTGCTGACTGTGAAGTATATCTATGAATACAAACAGAAACAATGTTAAACACACTTTGCGCCCATCGACAACAAATAGAAGCGTCCCCGTCGCCATGGTAAACAATGGTCCTCCCTATTACCCACAATTCTTCTTGCTGCGCGATGACGTATTACGCAATTCCTCAACTCCTCCCCTCTGTCATTGGGCAAAAGTCTTGATTGTAAAAGTCCAAAATTAAATATAAAGTAGAGTTTTGTAGCCACTAAGATTAACAATTTCTTAATATCATAATTAAAACTTCTTTCCAAACAGTTGCATGTAGAAATACTGAAGTAGATCCATCTACAGGGAGATTTAATGACACAGACCCAACAGGTGGAACTAATTAAAGATGGGCAACAAATTAGATGACATCCCTGCACCTGAGTGATCACTGATGGGTTTACAAAGGGCGATATGAGAGCATTTTAAATCTCTATATGATGTAATAATTAATGCAATGATATTAATAGATTAGTTAATATTCTTTTACACCATCAAAACATTTTAGAAAATAATTTTGTCATAAAACAACCCCAATTCTCAGAGTCCCCTGTGGTTTGTACCAGAATGTCATAGGGGACTTTTGGCAGGAAATGCAACCGACAGCGTTTTAGATGATTCTCATTTCCTCCTCCCTTAGCAAAAACCCTCGATAGAAGAACGCAGTCTAATAAAACCATGTAAGTATGATTTTTAAAACATGAAGATTGATGAAAAGATTTACATTTTCGATCTAAGTAGAGGATTTAAAGTCAGCGTGTGAAATGCGGATTATTCAGTAGGAAAAAAAACTTGGCAAAGAATAGATCAAATGGGGCATGTCTGGATGAAACTGTACTCTGTAGGTTCATATACGATCGTCGCTTCCCAGTTAATTATTGGGACACGATTTCAAACGTTTATCTAAGTTTATCTAGAATGTCAAATTAGCACTTAGGCATAGTCGCATGCCTGAGTCAACTCAACTTTATCACACTCCTTGTAGTTCCCCCTCCAGTCCGTTAGGTGGCAGTAATACGTCTAACCAAGTTTTGAGAGTAACGAGGATAAATGGAGGGAAAATTGTGCATTTTAGAGACGGGGAGGGGCCAAAACTTTTTTTCTTCTTCCTTCCTCCTTTTCCTATATATCAGAGGTTCACATGCGTCCTCAGTGATAACAACCGCACATAACCTCCTGTTTGTACACCTTTTGTCACCGACTGTGGTAAGTACATTAGTGCGTCTCATTTTGACAGAGAATGATTTCTTTTGACCGCGGTTAAACTTTTTCTAAATGACGCACGTGTTTTCTCTGGCGTTGCACGGCCAGTTAAATGATAAGGCCGCACTAATGACCTTGCTTCTTTCGCCAGAGCTCTCCAAAGTTTCAGTCGTCAGTCACCCTGCCTGAAAGACACAATGCCTGTAATCCTGCGACTTGAAGGCTTGAATGCAAAGGCGGGAACTCAAGATATACGGACCTTCTTCCAGTCATTACATATACCTGATGGAGGAGTGTACATTGTGGGAGGACGACTCGGAGAGGCTTTTATTGCATTCAGCAGAGAAAGAGATGCACAGCTTGCCATTCGGCGTAGTGGACATTTTCTCAAAGGTTCAGTTGTTACCCTGCACATAAGCAGCATGGATGAGCTGGAGCACAGATTACAATCATTGCTGAAGAGGAAGACTTCTGCGCTCACTGTTGGGAAACCATTGTCACATTCAGCCGCAAGGCACAGCACAAATGCAGGGTCACAGGATGACAATACTGCAACCCTTTCATCCTCTGCTGCATGGCCAGATGATCCTGATCCTGCCAATCTACCACCCTCCAATGCAAAGCACACAAGTCCCAAGTCTGAAAATGAGCATTCTACAAGCCCACAACCTCTGGATTCTAGTACAGCCTTTATTCTTGGAGTTTGTACTGTCCTACAAGGTCTTAAGTCAGGGCATACTGCTGTGCCAATAGTTGAAATTTCTGAGCCAGATAGCTCAGCTTTGTTTTCTGAGGAGGGGAGATCACCTAAACAAAGCCTCAAATCCAACCCGGGGTATGTCGGGCTCCTTGGTCTGCCTGCTTCAACTACTAAAAAAGACATCTGCCAATTTTTCGAAGGGCTGAGTGTACAAGAAGCCATTATAAATGTTAAGTTGGGGCTTAAATATGGCTGCCTTGTGAAGTTTGCAAACTGCCAAGACGTAGTGAAGGCTCTTTGCTTCAACCAACAGTCATTTGGCTCCTTCTGTGTAGAAGTACAAGAAGCGGATGAGAAAATGTGGAACACTGCTCTGAAGGAATGTAGAAAAGCTGTTGAACGGGAAAACGGCCAGCGCTCCTTTAAGCAAAGTGCCACTGTGAGAAAGAAGTCTGCGTCATCACTGCATCTCAAGAGGCCATCTGAATACAGTTTACAACTTAAGCCATCAAAAAATCCCAAACGTGATATAGTCCAAAATAACTCTTTATTTGAATTTGTGGAGTATGTTGTCATGGTCAACAATCTGCCCAAAAGTATAACCAAGACTGAGATTAAAGAATTGTTTTGTTGTCCAAACATCTCTCACAAAAATGTTCTTCATTTGCTTGATAGCGAGGGCAACACAACAGACACATCTTTTCTGATTTTTAACAACACTGAGGACTTTGACTATGCAATGAATCTCTCTGGCTGCCATTTGGGGACTGGGGCCATAAAGGTTTCATTGATCACTAAAGCAGAGATGAGGGAAATGATGGCTAAAACCCGTTCCAGGAATCAAAGGCTTTATCTGACAGATCCACGGATAGAAAGCCAAAAGAAACAATCTTGGAAACTACCTGAAGCGTTGGAGAGGCCTAATGCCACCTGGAAACGGGCAGCTAAAACATGCTTGTTTGTCAGAAACTTGCCTGCATCTGTGCGGATCAGTCAAATTAAGGACCTGTTTTACAGCTACAGACTTAAAAAGGAGGACATCTTTTTACTGCATGACGGTGAAGGCAGTGGCATCGGTCAGGCTGTAATCAAGTTTGAAACGGAAAAGCTGGCTGCGCAGGCTCAGATGATCCATGGTAGAGACTTCCTGGGGACAAAAGTGCTTATTACCCGCATCGATCTGAATCAGATGGAGGACATCATGGCAAGTGTGTGAAGAGCTTTAACAATGTTAAAGCACAGATGGGACTGAATTCCTTTCTCCTTCACTAAAGTTTAATATCTTTAGACTACTTCCTAACGCCTTTGTTCAGTCTAAACAACCAAAAATAAATGTTTATACACATGGGATTACTTCCAGTTGAAGGATTCAGGGATTCTGGTCATTGCATTTTTGGAGTAAAACTTGCATGCTTAAGCAGAACGACTTTAACTTAAAGTATCAAGGGGTGCAGACATGCAAAAAAGAAAACCCAGTTTGTCTCCAAGAGTGTGAAATTGATCTCCTGCTTATTTGTTTCTGAACCTGAAGTACAGGTTTTAAGGGAGATCATTTTATAGATGTTACCTTCAGAATGAATGGATTTCACGTTCAAGAACATAACTCTTTTCATAGCCTTTATTAGACCTGGAAAAAAACATTTTCATGATCTACAAACTTAAACTTAACAAGGCCAACATAAAAGGATATTTAAAAAAAACATTGAATATGGGGAATCTACTTTCAATGAGAAAAATATATATATATTTTCCATTGTATTGTCATGACTGACGTGTGTAGGACAGACGGATGAGAAGGGTGATGTGCCATCATCTGATCTTCATTTGTAATATGTGGAAGGACCTGGGGATGGGGGAAAGATCAAGATGTTTAGAAAGCAGAGGTTCTGCGGATACAGTTGCAGTTTTGGGGGATTCTTTTCATTTTTATGAGGTAAACGCTTCCATTTTAAATGTAATAACGTGTGCAGATTTGATCTTACTCATTTACAGTTTCCTCCATTGTTCTTATCCTAAAGACCTTGGTTTTAATATTTGTTCCTTTTTGTGGCTTTTACAGAACAATGCTTTACAAATAAACTTAACACAGGATAACTGGCATTGGTTAGAATTGTTCTTTCTTCCTTTCTGATACCTGTGAGATTACTTGAAAATCTGTCATCATTGCTCTGTGATCTTGAGGCTGAAGAGAAGCTTGTGGAGCTCATTGGCAGGCTGCTGAGACTCGGGGCCTGAAAGCAAAATATTTCTATACATGTGAAAATCCAACCAGTCCTATGAATGCTAAAACAAATATTGAAAGTTAAGTTTTAATTATTGATCTTTACAGGGGGCTTTAGAATGAAAGATTAATAATCATTTTTACAGGACTAATGGTACAGAGAGCAGTGTGAAATAAGCTCCATACCTCTGAGACACTCCTCAGTCTGTACTCCATCAGCACATCTGTTAGTTTCTGCGTCACCTTAAGCACCAGCTGTGCATCACTCTCATTCTGTATCTTAAAATTTTCCTGGAAATGCAATTTCAAACAGTTGAATTGAATATCTTCACATCTGAAATACTATTTTACTTTTTTTAGATAACTACCAGGTATGTAAGCAGTGTTGTAGGAAGGTTGCTGTTGACTGGAGCGGCTCCCATTAAACCTGGTTTGCCCGTGTGCTCGTCCATTGGTCTGTTCATAAAACTATCTCCCATCTGGCTGCCTTGGTACCCATCCGAATACATTTTTCCTTGGCCATCATCCAGAACACCACTCCTTCCATAGCCATCGCTTCCACAACCAGGACCATAGCCATCGCTTCCATAACCAGGACCATAACCATCGCTTCCATAACCAGGACCATAGCCATTGCCACTCCCTGGTGGGTGGTGGTCTGCTTCGTTTGAGAAAAATCCCCGATCCATACTTGGATTGGCAAAATTTTCTCTTGAGGAATATCCACCAAAATCGAATCCTCCATATTCTCCAGATGTATAATCACTTGGACCACCATAAGGGGGGAACTCTCCTGAAAACCAAGGGTCTTGTAATCTGGGACCTATTGGATACAGGTTTTAGTTGTGCGATACCCCACAAGAAAAACATTCATGTGTCCTCAAATGGAGAGCCCTTTGAAGCGAAGGTGGCTTACCAAAGGGAGGTCCCATTGGTCCCATGCCTGGAGGTGGAGGGCCAAATCTTGGAACAGCAGACCCTGTAAACAACAGAAACGGGAGATAAAACAAAAAAAAAGCTTGAGAGGAACTTATTTTTTACTTCACATTAACTGATTATGGCAGGAGATGAAAAACGTGCACTGTACGTAAATGTCAGAATGCTGTTCATTTCTGAACTCTCCTGTGCGTCTGGCTGTGAAGCATATTACAGTTTGATGGTTTGACAGATGGGGTCACATGCTAAAGGATGAGAGATGAAGCCACAAGAATAGTCACATCTCAGACTTCTTCACAATAACGGCTCTTGAGCCATACATTCATTAAATAAAGGAGCAATTTTCTGATCTGATAATTTAATTGATTTAAACTAACAGAGCTGCTGCCATTTCTTTTCATTCATCTGAACACCCGATCACCGAATGTTGCTGTTGGCAACAGGTTTACAGCTTAGAATACAAAGTCAAGCATAACAGAAAAACTTACGAAGTCCTTTGAATGCAGGGACGTCACAGGGCTCCTTCAGGATCACCTGAAGCCATGTCAGGAACAGAGAAATTGCAAACTCAATGTATGACAAATAAACACAGGAGATGCTTGATGAAGACCTGAGAGGAAGTTGTGTCAATTTATCATTTTTCTACTTATTAGGTAGGTGTTCAGTCACCTAAAAGCAATGGTGGCTGGACACCTTGGTTACCTTAATTTGTCCCCTCCCCTCCATTTTCTCCACTTCAGCGGCAGCAGCTTTCACTATCCTTTTGACAGAGGGATCTTTTATGGCATCTTCCTCCTCACATGGAACTCTGTCAGGGTGGGCCTTTTTCTGCATAAAAAGCAGAGAAGGTATCAAGTACCTCTGTAATATCCACACCTCAATTCAGACCTACACAGCAAAGCCCTCACCATGTATCTGAAGCAGTGTTTCCAGCTTTTCACGTGATCAATCATGTCATGCTGCAAGCGGGACAGGGAGCAGAGTTTGCACTGGTAATGTGGCTGGACAGCTTTACTGGGGCTGCGGTACTCCCACACATACTGAAGGCCTGCAAACATGTCGTCATCACCGGTTAGTCATTTCACAGCCGAGTGGAACCAGGCGGTCAATCTGTGGGGAAAATCACGCCTTAGCTTACCAATGATGCACTCAGTGATTCCTTTCAAGACTTTGCTGAGAGAGGGAATGGTATGGATAGAAGATCCTTTTGTGAACACTGGGGAGACACATGAGTGGTGAGCACGAAGCCAAGGCCTCATAATGCTTTGAAATGTAACCAAGCCATGCCTGGCAACCTTAATCAACTCTGATCCAAGTTCCATGGAAAAAAAAAAAAGAAAAGTGATCATTATCCAAGAGTCGGAGGTGGGGGTGAGGGTGGGAGGGCCTTATCTTGCTTGTACACAACCTACAGCTTCTCAAAACTGCAGGCTTTTGTGTTCTCTATTTCAACTAAACATAAACAGACACCAAAACACCTAAAGCTCTTTTGAAACCTGGATGACAGATTGGAATAGCACTTCTCAGCTAACCTGCCCAATATGGTTTTCAAACTGGGGGACACAGCCCCCACGATGCACTGCTTCTCTCTGTGCCTGGTCACAGAGGAATCCCTCCCATGATGGAGTAATAAAGCGGTACTTAAAAAATGTGAAAAAAAGCTCCATTACAGAGATAATGGAGCAAATGCAGCAGCCTTTACAATCCAGCACAAAAATGGTGACAGGTTCATGAAACTGCTTAAAACGAAGCAGCTTCTCACGAGACGGTCCAGTCAGAAAAGTATTTGGTGGCAGACTGGGACATTTATTTGTAAAAACTGATCTGTACAGACCAAAACTTTGGCTGGCACCACAACAGGCCTGTTTTCTCTGACAGAAACCTGAGCGGTGAACATGTCACCGCCGGTGACCTGAAGCAGAGAAGAATTGAGCTTCAGCTCACAGCACCTGAAGTGGCACCATGTGTTAAAGGACTTACCTATGTCGGCAGAATAGTGCAGCTGCTTTCTCTGTCAGCAGAGGGGATTAACCCACAAAAAGGAGAGAGACACACAGGAGTTAGTGACAGGTTGATGCTTAGAGGACTGAACTTCTCGTTCATGTCCGCCACGCCACATAGGCCACAGAGCCATCATGACCTCATCCTCAATGGCCCCCGCATTGCGCAGGAACTGCAAAAGGAATGAGTATCCATGGGCTCCTCAGGTACTGCCATCAGGTAATGTGTCAAAATTCTCATAAAATGAGAACAGCGACACTTTGTTACAGGGAAGAAACAGCTGTGACACAGTGTGGTTTGACATGCAAACTCTTCTACTGTGGCAACAGGAAAAATGGGTTTGGGGGCGCCAATTTAAACTCTAAGCTGAAAAAAGAAGAGTTTCTTCTGCATTGTACAGTTTATACTTAGGAATTTTTACTTGATCAATCTTTTTTTTTTAAATATTAAATTTGAAAAACTAAATAAACAAAGCATGTCACTGTTTGACAGTAGCCAATGCTCTGAGGCAGAAAGTTCTGAACAGGTCAGATAATTCTCTGACCATTCCTAAACAATCATGAACCTGATGGATTGCTATGAACCAGTATGTATATCTCATTGAAGAAACAGTGTGTTGACTGTGCTATGGTTTATAACATACCTCTGACTACAACTGTTTCACAGCAGCTTCTGGTCAAAGTTATGGTATCATTACCCCAGTAGGATTTTCGTGCTTTTTTCATTTTCAAACAAGAAAAAAGAGTGAACAACAAAGAAAATATATGACGAAACAACATATAAAAACAACTAAGAAGAAAACAAACGTATTAAATGATGAACGAACATCATCTGAGTGTAATGATTCCATAACAATTGAGGAGTGTAACAAAAATGTGCATTCACCTGTCACTGTGTGAAGCTTTTGAAGCCTCTGGCAACAACTGTCAGCATCAATGCAAACACAGTGATGCTGCACATCTGTGTGCTCATGCCGCAAAACAGAGCTGTTCAGCTTCTAGCACATTACGACCGACGGAACTAATTCTCCCGTGGAACATAAACAGCAAGAGTGCACCTCAGACAGATGCATAAAATAAAAAATAGAGATGTTCACAGTGCTGTCCTAAATGGGAAAGAGTGTGCGGAAACAGTAACTTCTCAGCTTATGCATCAAATCTATTTACAGCTCGGATTTGGCTATTAAGTTGATCTTTAGAAGAGAGTTTTCTGATATTGCAAACCAATACCACCACTGCTGATTCTGTTCTATTCTCGATTGAATAGAAATGTTAAAGAAGTTTCAGTATGAAAACTCCTAAAACCAATAACCAAGGTCTGCCACTACCTACAGCATCAAAGAACAAAGAAAAAGCATGATATGCTAATCACTGAAAATAATCTCCTCCGTACGTTTTCTACTTTGATTCAAATTTCAGCTACCACACCTCCCTTAAGACTAACACAAAAACACGACAAAAAATATGGCCATCTTAGAAATGCTTCACCATGAAAGCAGAACAATGGACTTTTTAAGATTCATAAATATGGTGGAAGCCTGTCTGATGCCAGTGCTGCCACCAAGCTCATCATGCCACTTGAAGGAAACCTTCTTTTCCTTTGAAAAGAAAATTAAAAAAACATTTTTGTTCACTTTGCGGCGTTTCAAAACAATCACAACGAAACATTTACTTTTGGTTTCTTCTTTTGATTCTGGGGCCCATAAATTGGTGGGGGTTGGTTTTCTGTTGTCTGAGCCATCTCCATCTCCTCAACTTCTGTGAGATAAAAAAAAGAAAAAAAGGTTGTACAGAAATCAATTAAATCCCATCAAACAATTAACTAGAATGATTTATTTGAATATCAATGTGGAATATACAGTTATTTAAGTTTAGTTTAATTTATTTTGTAAAATAAAAGCAGGATCATCTTGAGAGAGTATGATCCTCTTTATTTGCACTGATACTGTTATCATTAGATATTTTTTAAATCCCAAAGACTGGTTTACTGATGACACACTATACGAGGAACTCTGCTTGTTGCTACTGATGTAGCCAGTGGGAAGCTAACATTTTGAATACCATGGTAACAGTAGATATACAACTTGGAAATGTCCCACAAACCAGATGAATGTAGACACACCCCAGGGAAACAGCAGACGTTTTAAACCTGCTTGAATGTTTCTTTTATGCATTTAATTTTGATCGAAAATCTACGCATGTTTGGATGAACAACTGCACAAACAGGGGCAGGCCCAGCTAACCATTACCTTACAACATTTAGTGGCAAAAATAACGTCAACAATGAATGTGTTCAAAACCAACACACCGTTCGTACATGTTCATTACTTAAAAAATACGACAATATTACCTGAGAGCCAAATTCAAAATGCTGGATCCTCAAATCAGACGAGATTGAAACTGTTGCTGCTAGTAGGGAATGAACCTAAACCTACTAGAGGAGAAAATAGTAGTTCAACGATTTCGCCATTTCAAAAAGACGAATGTTAAATGCACAGATACTTTAACGCTACTGTCTGCAATGTAACCAAATATATTTTTACGAATGACTGATAATGAGTATTTCCATACTTAATAAAGCAATTTGGGAAATTGGGATTTATTTTGGTGGATACTTTTAAGGCATATCCACGGAGAGCAACAAAACGCATTTATTTTCTCTTCCAGGGCGTACTGTGAATTTTAACATCACAATTTTCCCCTATCACATGCGGTTTTATATTTAGTTATTTTATTATTACGCTTTTTTATGCAATTTATTTAAAAGAGCTTAAAAGGGAGAAAAAGGTATACGACGCCACAAACATGGAGCTGAAACACCTTACGAGCCAACTTCGTAAATGTACACACATACTCAAAGGACCCAATGGACCCAAGCAAGGCTAGATTGAAAAGATTTTTTTTTGCAACCGGCTGTGTTTAGCTTGGTGCATTTTTATAGCTTAAGATACTGTGTAAATGTTTGATGCTGTGTAAACTTCTAAAGGTTGTATCCAGGCCTTTTTGCGGTGGTAAGTTTAAGAAACATAACTGCCATGCTTGACGGTGGTCCAAGGAAATGATAATCAAGTTAACCACATGTTAGCCGTTTTAGCAAATGCAAAAGTAAATGTGCAGCAGCTCTGATGTACTGCTGTTATATAATGAAATTATAAGTAAAACTTAATGATTTTGATTTGTAATGTATTTATGAGGCAGTTCTCTCATCTTTATGTCTGGGAACAATAAACGCAGTCCTTAGATAGCAGAGATGAAGGCGAAGAAGAAGAAGAGGCAAGATGATTTCCAGAAGGTCAAACTAAAAGTGGGAAAGAAGAAACCTAGAGCTGATAATGCAACCAACACAAACTTTCGCACAAGGGGAATTAATCTATCCGAACAGCTGAAGAGAGACACGAGTGGCCCCACAACTCACAGACATCTTGGCATCAATGTAAGTTCAACAAACTCTGATGCTCTTCAGATGTAATGATTGAGTGACATATTGTGTGTTAATCTTTTTCTTCCATTGTCAGGATCTCCTCTCTCAGCTGCACCATTACAATGCCAACGTCAAACACGGTGCCTTGTTGGGTTTGAGAGAGCTGCTGTCCATCAGTCCCTCTCTGTTGGAGCAGCATCTTTCACGCTTGCTTTCCGAAGTGGCAGCTGTTCTCACAGACAAGGATGGCAACGTTCGTGTGGCAGCTACACGCGTCCTCAGGTTAGAGAAGAGACACAGACAATAACATGTTGAACAATTGATGAGGCCATTTCTTTGGTTCCACCTCAAGTCTCTCCTTGCAGGTTCATCGCACAGTCTGTGCCTGCAGAACGAGTGGCTCCCTTCTTCCCACTCCTCAGTGCTCACTTGTCTTGTGCCATGACCCACATTGAGGCTCCCATCCAGGAAGACGCTATGAACGTCTTAGATGTGTTTCTGGAATACTACCCTTCCCTTCTAGCTGCACGGCCTGGAGTTCTCCTTACTAACTTCCTAGAGATGATCTCTCACAGACAGACCTCGGGGGGAGGCAAAAAGGCTCAGGATCCTAAAGGGCGGATCTGGGCGCTGTCGGTCAACCCTGACAGGACTGTGACTAGCCAGCAGTGGCGGCTCTCTGTTCTTCTCAGGTTTGCAAACAACAAGTTTTCAGACTATGAAGAATCTTGGCTTGTCATTTCTGGTGCCAGTTTTTAGTATCCCACTGTGTTTCAGGCTTGGGCGCTTTCTTCAGGCAGTCGTTGAGGAAAGACCGACTGAAGAGGGTGATATGTCTGTCCGAGCTGAGGGAGTGTTTGGATCCAGCAGAGAGGGTCTTGTAAAAACACTATATCTAAACTGGGAAGAGCTCGTGTACAGCAAAGTTGGGGTAAAATTGTATGAAAATTCTGGAGCCAAACCGTCTCCCCAATCCACATTTAGACTCAGGTATAATTTTGCTGACTGTAATGTCCACTAATAGGCCACGCTCTTTACTTAAAAAGGTAAAGTAAGTTTAACTACGTGTTCACCTTTTCACTGCGCAGACCTGAGGTGGGCCCGGAAGCAACAGTCAGCGAGGGTCTGGATTCGGTGGAGACTGTGCAAGGCTTTGCAGCTACGCTTGTGCCTCTGCTGTTGGAAGTGTGGGTCGAAGCCAGCGCCAGTGACTGCAACTGGAAAAGCACAGACGGTGCTCACCTGCTCTCCCCAGACACCATGTCAGTAATGTTCCAGGTCTTGTCTATTCTGCAGCTGCTGAGAAAACTGACTCCTCATCAGGAGAATGAGGATGCACTGGTGAGATGAAGCTTGCACATTTTTTACCACATTTACCAAAAAGAACATTGTTCTTATTTAATAATAACAAAAAGTGTTATCTTTCATTAGGATGCGTGGTTCCGTAAAGAATATTTGGCAGATTTTAAGCAGCACTTCATGAAAAACTTTCCTTACGGTGCCCGAGATGCATCCAAACATAAAAAGAAAGTTGATCATAAAAGGTAAAAATATCAGTGTCTGTCTGCAGTCAACCACTTGTCAATCACTTAGCGTTTTCCTTAACATTTTCACCCCTGGTTTCTCAAAGTTCTGTAGGCAGACTTTCTAATCAGTCTGTAAAGGTAATGAATGCAGGAACTCATGCCACACAACCAATGTTACAACACACCTTAAATTGTGGATTAATGTACGTAGTTTAAAGTTCATATTTGTTTTAGCTGTCAGAGCATAACAATAAAACAATAAAAATGAAGGTTACCAGATATCCAAAATGGACACAATTTAGGGTAACACATTTCTTTGGTGTGTTTGTTGTTGTGTTTTAATCAGTAGAAAGTGACATGACTCCTTAAATTCTGTCTCATGTCGTCTTATGAAGATGAAACTTGCATATCCACCCCTGCAAGAACATATTTTCTCTTTTGACCGAGTACATAACCAATGGAAATAAGTCTTAAAAAGTTGAAATCAGCTGAGATTGCTCTTGTTGTTTCTCGTCCATTTCTCAGGAGTAAATTAAATACAGCCATCCCAATTCAGACTGTGGAGCCTCTGGCCTTAAATATCACACTCTGCCAGGTCATGGTGTCCCTCAGCCAGAAGCAGGGCCTTGATCTGGAGGCAGATGGAGAGTGGTTGACACCACTAAGAACCTTTGTCCAAGACACTCTGGGGGGTGGAGTAAAACTGAGCTACAGGCAGCTGCACCTGCTGCTGGGCACCGTGTGGAAGATGGTGTTCACGCAGAGGAGCAGAGGTAAGCCCGTGCATGAATTCACATCAAGGAATGAATTTAATAGATCTGGATTGGTTTGTTGTTGTTAATGCACCAATGTGGCTGTCAAAATGGTGTTGTTGTCTCAGAAGCAGCTTTATTATAATGCATAATTACCCCCCCTTTGTCATCCTCCATTTTGACCATTTATTGCATGTAGTAAAACGCTAAAAAGTTATTTAAAATGCATTAAGCCCTCGTGATTCAGCTATAACATTAATATCAATACAGTTCAGATAAAAATGCAAAATTGGTATACAGTGGAAGAATATTAGGATTACTGAAAATATTTTTAACAGAAAATTAGTTTTTGGGTTTATCTTGACCATTTACAGCTGTATGATGCCAGAAAAAACACATATAAGATTAAAGGCTGGAATTTGTTTGTGTTTGTCTGCAGCATTGACGGAGGACCTTTTGGCAGCTGTGTATATCTACTATAAGCAGAGGAACCTCCCGCTACAGACCCGATCCCTGCTGCTGTCTTTCTACAGCAAACTCTACTTGCAGGAGCAAGGGCACACACACATTGCCAGGTAAGCTGTTTGAAACAAGTAGAAACCCACTTAACACATCACTCACTGAGTTTAGGGATTGGCTTTTTTTCTTTAGGTGTGGCACTGGATGGGTTGATCGTGATATTTTGCACTGTTGACATGAAATGATCATTGGCTTATGGCTGCTCAAACCACAGAGTAGGAGGCAAATAAGAGAACAAAGAGGAATGACCAATTGAACTTGTCCTTCCACCTGTCCTCTGCCAGCCATGCCTGTTTGAGCTCAACATTGTACAGGTCCTGTACAAATATGAAACTTTTCCTCTCTGCCTTTTTACTCCCCATCTGTCTGAAGGAGCAAGGTGCTGTGTCGCTGGTTGGCATCTTTGCCGGTGCAGTTGGCCCAGTTGGGCTATCGTAACCCCACACTCTCTTCACAACTCATAAACTCCATCCATGCTGCAGCTTCTCGAGGCAACAAAGACCTCCTCAACAGTCTGCAGACACATGCCTGCAGGCTCTACGGTGAGCACGCCCATCCAGATTAAAAGATGAAAGATCTTAGAGGTTTAGGTATCTTATTTGAAGTTTCGGCATCATGTATAGCTTTGTAAAAATACATTTGTGGGATTGTCCTTAACATTCAGAAAACACTGGGTCTCTTAGGTGTGAGCCTCTAATAATGCTTTTATTAAAGTTGGAAATCTTGTAATTTTTAACTGTCTAACAGAGCGCAGCTTCCTGTTCATGTTTGTAATACTTTTGCTCAGTTCTGTCTTCACATTAATTATTATATTTGCCCCAAAAATGAATTGTTTAACACATAGGATAATGAAGTTTGCATACATTACCTTGTGGACAACATTGTATACATGTCCCCTAGGGGGCAGCATAGCCCCGCATTTTCCTTTCTAGACAACCGGCACAGATGAGCTCCATCCAGTGTTAGAATCCTGTCCAGTTGCTTGGCTCACAGGACGGTCAGATAGTGGGGCTGGTGTGTAACAGAGGGCCAGGAGGAGGGGTGCTCTGATAGAAACTGCCACAGAGCCAGCAATTCACCATCACAAGACTCCTTTTGTCTGAGAGCCTCTGACATCAGCATGTGCGTCAGAGTCAGACAGAACACCACACACACACATTATCTGCACCCTTACTGTAGCTGTTATGACTTTCTGTCTGTCTCTTTTCCTGCTGGTACAAACATGGTCCGGTTATTTATGTATCACTCTAGTTTTCTTCATGTTTATATCCTGAGAGGGGCCAGTGTGTCACCACTGGTGCACAATCACAATCTGCGTGTGTCTGTGTGTGTACAGATCCACAGGACGGAGTTGTGGTGCTCTTACCTGCAGAATCCCAGCAGCGAATGATGCAGCTGCTCTACTTCTTACCCAAAATATCCCAGCCTCTTCTGGCCCACCTGAGCGGCTGCTGCACTGCTGGACGGATCTCTGCCAGCCTTGCCGGTTCTCTGATCCGTATCTTACACTTTCGGTGAGCCATGAAACCCTAACAGACGCCCATATTTAGAGAAAAGTTTCACAGCAGCCGGATGCCTCTACAGTTGGCATCAAACTGCCGGGCATCAGTGTTGTGCGCACAGAGAAGGCTCTTGCAGAGCACCATGAGATGGCAGCATTGCGCTTTCGCTGAGTGACCACTGGCGTTTCATTTGAATTCTCGACTGCCTGTCGACAGATGCTGTTTATGGCTCCTCACCTTACAGATGACAGTAAAAGTATTTTTTTGTCCCCAACTTACCTCTGGCAGTGATGGTGTGTCTGACCTTGCTCCTGTGTCAGTGGGCCAGTGTTATACAAATTTTTTGGGAACGGGGGGGATGGAGAGCAGAGTTCATATGGGATGGGATGTGTGCGTAATGGATTTAATACAAAGAGCTCTTTGGGAGTTTGGAATGCAGCATCGTCATGGAGTATTGAGAGGACTGTCTGCATGTGCCTCCAAGGCCTCACAAAAAACGCTGCTATTCACACACATTTGCTGCTGCTACAGATCTAACCCCCCTCAGGACAAGACTACATTTTTTATAACTGTACTTACGTGCGTTTTTAATATAATATTGTGATCTTACAAAACACTGTATCATCAATAATCCTAAGAGTTGTGACAGATTTAAAAAGTTGCATAACTTTGAAGCTGGGCCAACATCTTGCATTCAGAAAGATGTGGCTCTCCAGATTCGGCGCATTTGTTGTGTAACATGTTTGCTAATTCGGCTGTCCAGGTCTTCCCTTGGAGGCTGGTCTGTTGGGGGTCAGGAAGCAGCCCTGCAGGATGTGGACTACATCAGCTTCCTGTTCTCCACCCTCACGGGCTTTTCGTCTGAAAATCTGGCCACCCTGCAGGAGGATGAGAGTGCCCTGCCTTCCACCCCACTTTCACCCCTCTGCCTCTACCCCACGCCACTGGAGCAGTTCACTCACCACTGGGATGTTGTTGAGGTGCACACCCTCTTTTACAGTCACCCCCAAATGTCATTCAAGAAGCTGCTGCAACTCAGAAGTCAAATGGATGAAATTAAACCCACCATAGAGAAAGAGAAGGCATTGTTTTTAAAAAAGGAAAAGTTTTGATATTCTGGACATTGTGGCCATTTCCCTCTTCCCGGTCTCTCGCTGTCCCTCATATAGTGCTCAGAGGGTGGAGGCTTTATCATGGCACTCCTGCTGAGAGGAGAACCTTTATCGCGTTGCACAGGTTGGAGATGCGTGGTTATCGGGCATTGTGGATATGCACAAATGCTAATGAGAGCCAATGGCATGATGGGAGAGTGACATTTCTGCATTGAAATTACCGTTAACATAACTATGCCCCGGGGCAAGTGTGTGTGAGCTCGTGGGGGGCTTATAATCACTAATTCAGGTCCTCAATTAAGGCCTCAGATCCCGCTTCTCTCATCTCCCTGTCTGAGTCAATCACAGGCAAGTGACGAGAAGGAGGAGGGAGGGCGCACGTTGTGATGAGAGGGGTGGCGTTCAGGAATGGACTGTGTCAGATCTGGTTCAGCTAACAAGACGGGATTGTTTTTAATGACGAAGAGAATGCCAACAGGTGCACCGTTCAGATATACAGGCTCACACACCTCAATTTGATAAAAAGTAATGAGAAATTTGATTAGGATTTCAAGTTTATGAGGAAAAGCTGAGCCTTATTTTTCACTGTTAAGGCGTTAGTGGCTTTTTAAGTCTGGACCAGGTCTTCATTAAATGATAAACAAAAAACTACTCAGACAGGAAGGCTGACTACTAAATGCAAGTTTTTCTCTTCTAGACATAAGTTTTTCAGCAGATGTAAAAAATATAAAAAAGTAACTTTTATCCATAAGGATTTAAAAGTGTTGGGAAATCACAAAAGTAAAGTTTAACAAATGTATAGGTTAGTCCAGAAATGATGGATAGTAATAAGCCCAGTGTAATCTAATGAGTTATTTCATGGAAATGTTGTTGCATGGTACAAATCTCAGTGAAGATTCCAACCTAATCTAAGCCAAACGCTCTCCAGTCTGACAATGTTTCATCACGCCAGAAGACCCTGTCACCGTTATTTTTCAACCGCTACATCGATTAAGAACCTATTTTGAAATGATTATATTTCTGGCTTATTTACAGGAAGTGTGCCACTGTCTTGAAACGGTGGGTTCAAAGTCTCAGTGCTTTGACATCCTGCAAAATGGCATCTGCAAATACCTGGTAAGAATCCGTTTTTGATTAAATGTTTTTTTTATCATCCAAATGAAGATGCTTCTTTCTTCCTGAACAGTTTTGTTCCTTTTATTAATCTTCAATGCAACGGTGGATGTGTGTGCTTGTGTACTCATCTCAGACCAAGTTGGACGTGGTACCTGACAGCATGGCAACCGGGCTGCTGAGAGCCGTATCGCGACTGCTGGATCTGTCCGTCCTGCCCGTAGAGCCCGTGGTGCGCTTCTTGTCTCACTGTCTCCTCAGCCTGCTGGCACTGCTGCTCGCCCTGCAGCAGGAGGCCCCGACGGAAACCAACCACAAAAGGTGCGTTTGGATTGACAGTAGGACTTTGTTAGGGGACAAGCGTCTTAAAAGACACGGGTGTCGTGTTTGCAGGGAAGCAATTTGGGGCGCTTGTGTGACGGCGCTGAGCAGCGTTCCTCGCCTGCTGCGGATCGTTCTGCAGTTGATGCGTGTTGGAGACCTTAATGAGGAGGAGCTGCCACAGCTCGGACAGATCCTCTTAATGCTGCTGCAGCACACGCCGCTCCATAACCAGCTGCTGGCCAACGCTGCTGTGCTGCAGGAGATCATACAGAACCTCACGGTAAACCTTTAACACACAATCTGAGGCCTCAGAGGAATCAGAGCAAGACACTACATTTTTGTTGATGGTTTATAAGCTGATTAGCCTCTGCACACGTTTGTTTCAGAGGTATTCCCGGGGCGCAACCAGGGAGCAGTGGCTGACAGACCTGCTCTACTGTTACAGTGTCACAGTGGCTCATGGCTCCTCGGCACACCGTGGAAGTCTGGGCCTTCGAGACATGTACTAACTGCCACATCAAATGAACAAGAGTGTTGCTCAGTTCATCCTCAGTAACAAGAGACGAAGCTCAGCAACAATTGCATCAAAATAAACTTTTTTTTAATTAGTTACCATAAATGCTCCATGTTATTGTTTAAAAAAACATCATTTTATTGTTGTTGACTTAGTGTTTTTCTTGGGTACAAAGTGACTTTGGTTTTTAAAAAATCAAGTGGAAAAAAGACAAAAACAGAATAAACATTACATTTAAAAGAAAATCAGGTGTGCTGCTTTAAAAGAAAGTTTTTTATTTGATTCTCCTTTAAAAATACAAAAAAAAAAAAAGACTTTAATGTATAAATCAATCTAATAATACAATAAGGCTTATGTTTGTGCAATGATAAAAAAAAAGAAAGAAAAGTCATTTTTAAGAAATGCATTGCTTTTAACAAGGAACACCCTTTAAATTAAGACTCCAGAGTGTGTGTGTCTGTCGGCGGCTGCAGGTGGGCTATCTGTATGACCGGCTGTTGATGGACTGCGTCATTCTCCATAACGGGAGGAAAGGTTATCTCGGTGTGTGTGGTGCAAGAGCTATGGAGAACAAGGGAGATGGAGTGTGTGTGCGTTCCTACCACAATGCACCAAAGGTTATCTTTTACACACGCCATTTTAGAAGAGTTAACCCCACCCAGTGAGGTCATGGCTCTGATGTCATATGGCTTAATTTTAGAAACGCTGCCAGATTGGGTGAACATTGTGTAGAGTAATTCTATAACTTTGCCAGCCAGCTGAGAAAACATCAGAGAATATGAGGAGTGTGTACATGGTGTGTGCACTCAGTGTTTCCCCCGGCCTCTTGTTCCCTGCCCTGCACTTTGTGGTCTCAGGTGATACGAATACTGCTTGGCTTGAGTCATGGTGTCAGTCAGCTGCACGCAGTCCAAACCGCTCACTGGAAAGCAGGAACATAAAATTACCTTTCAGAAACCAGGGCTCTCTAAAGAAGTGTGTGCACACACACTTACCCTGGCTCAGGGTGCGTAGAGGAATATCCATGAGCAGCTGAGACTGGGAGCCCCGAAATGAACGCCCTCGTCTGGCCACTGAGTTTCCTGAGCGTTAGCACACAGAAATATTATACAATCAGTTACATCTGTTGAGATTTCCAGTAACATCAAGTGAGCAGTTTCTGAAGTCAGTCAGCTGTTTATCCGCAGGATGAGCTCCGCACCCATCAACCTTCTTTTAAGTCAACTGTATCAAAGGTGTTTAGTTTGTAGATGGCTCCATACCTCAGTGGTTAGAGCATTGGTCTTGTAAACCAAGAGTCGTGAATTCTATCCTCACTGGGGCCTATAAATGCAATATTTGAATGGTTTTCTGTTTATTGTGGTCAATAATGACTGAATTGACTTTGAAATGCTTGTCACAGGTGATAGCCTCAGTAACATCCGACAAGCTGGCTTTGAAAGATTCAATATAGTGTCTTAAACCTTTACTTTAGCCAAGCTGGAGTACAAAAGTATTACATTCACGATTAAAACAAAAGATCAAAGGTGTTTTTGGCAACTAGTTTGACCTTAACCAAATTAGTAATTTTTTTTTCCAGATTAAAATAATTAAAAAAAAACATTACTTCTTTTGCTCCTATGAATGAGCATAATGTATTTAAAGAAGCCATAAAAAAATATTCATGATACTTTAGCAAGCATTGTGACCTGCTCCCCACTTGTGTTTAAAATGTCTTTTTACCCAATGAAAATAAGACAATGAAGTGAGAAAATAAGTCTCATCAACGTGTGCGAGGTATGGTGTTGGGGTTTGTGTGTTCAGCAGATAGCCCTTTGCAGTTGTCTGACATTCCCCCTGACAGCTCTGAACTTTTCACGGTGCCAGGACTGTCAGACGGAGCGACGGAGAGAAAGAGGGAGATGAGGTGAGAAGGGGGAGGGGAAAAACACGTCAGAGGGTCGGGTCGGAGCGAGAACTCTTTCAGTCCGTTTATAAGTTGAAGAGGGCTCGTGCCCTTGTGTTTTCTGGCACGGCACGCTTTCTGCCAGTCCCCCCCATCATCACCTGGTGATGTGTTATGAAGGTCAGCTCTGTCTGTGGAGTGAAACCATGTCAGCAGTTTCGCACAGGAAACCAGACTGATACTGTTTAGATATGTAAACTGAAGCATTTACACTATTTTACATGCATGTCAATCTTTCTTTAAGTATCCATTTTGATTCCCAGTTTTCAAATCACCAGCTTTCTTTCAGGGTTAAGATGCAAAACTATTAGGTGAAGTGAAGACGGACACTTGCAATCAATTATTACAGTTGACTCACCAACCAAACGCTGCCTTCTCACCAGTGTTAATGTCACTGAAGAGCTTCTGTGCTCAACTCCAGCGCATAGCAGTATCAACTTATCATTTTCCTCTTTTGAAGTTGACAAAAACTAAATGTTTCTACATAGAAAATGTGTGAGCTTCAGCTCGATTAAAGTGAACTCACCAGTCACAGAGCATCATGCTGAATTAATACTACCCCTTCAGAGCTGTCCATTTTATTTAAAAGCTCAAATGCAGTTCGTGAGAAAAAAATGTTTTAATGCTTTAAATTGCAATATTTTTTCGGTAAAGAAATACATTTTCAAAATAGGTTTTTCCTCACCATTTCCACCAATGGAGCTTTGGAAACCAAGGTAAGATCTCAAATTCATGGTGATCCTGAAGGGATCTTCTTCAGTAACAATAGTAACAATAGGTTGGAGTTAAAATCCCAGCGGAACACAAAGCGTTACGTAGCCCCTGCCTGTCTCTCCATAGTGCAAAGCACAAAGACCCAGACACATGTGACATAGAAGATAAGGACCTTCGTCCTCTGGTCCATGGTACAGTTCCACACTAGCCAACACTCCACAAAATGTGTGATGACACCTTTTTATCAGCACCAGCACAAACGTTTTCATTAATTTCAGCAACAATACCTCAGACAACACACACTAGTCCTCACTTTCCATTTGCATTAACGAGCATTGGCTGTCCATGAACAAGTCCTAGGTGTGACTGGGAACATCCCAAAGAACTGCTATAAGCTGCTACGACCAAGGGTGCCTGAGGATTGGTGGTTTTGGTGTGGAGGAGGATGGCATGAAGGTCATGAAAGTCCCTGCAAAAATATCTTTGATCCACACCAAACACATGGTCTTAATGAATATCAAATTATCTCTTTTGATTGATTTACTTCAGATAATCTGGATTCAGAACTCCTACATTCCCTGCCAGGCTCAAGCAAATAAAAATCAAAAAAATCAAAAGAAGCTTAAAATATCTTTGCCATGATGACAAAAATAAACTTAAATAAAAAAGAAGTCAAGTGGACCTCAAAATTATTAAGGTGCCATCTAATGTGGGATCCCTGATGTAAAATGCTAGATCTGAAGATGCGCTGTTCATCATATCATCCTATTCAGCGCTTTTGGAAGGGGACAGCTTTATTTCTGAAAATATAATATGACGCAGACTGATGATAAAAAAACACCAAGGAGAGCCTGAGCAGAATCAAAGTTCTCTTACCATAGATGCTCTGCAGGACAGAGCTTTTACTCTGTGCTGGCTTGACAAGCTGAGCTCTGTTTTCCATTTTCCTCCTCTCATTGGCGTGGTTTGATTCAGATGGCTCCACCTCCGCATGGGCCTTCACTTCTCTACCACTCCGTGCACAGAACCTGCAGGCACACATCCATGCAAACACATGCACGCCGCCCAATAAAAAAAAAATCTCAAACAGCGTTCAAAGCTTTCAAAGCTGGCAAGTCCTCACACTGATGCTCACGAAGCGTAAACAAAGTAAACAGTTTATTTGAGGAACTTAATAAGCTGCATGTACACAGTATAATTGTAAAGCAACGCAGGGATAGAGGACCTCCTGCGGTGGACTGGCAGCCTCTAAGAGAAACAGTGATTGTAAGAGGGGGCAAAAAGCAAAGAGAAGCTGCTGGTAGCTATTAAAGCCGCCCAGCTGAACTTTTAGCCTCTTGTTAAACTGGTATGAAAGTTCTTGATTATAGCCTTTCTGTCCCATGCCTCCTTGTCTCACCCCTCTCCCATTCCCCCTCGCTAACCACCCACTGCTCCAGTGTTGATGGCATCCAGAACGAATACGGGGGCTGCTACAGATGGGGTGGCATGTGCATGGGAGAGGTCCACATGTGGGCAACACATGTCAGCCACAGTCCCAGAAGCTTCAGCCACTGAGCTCTCCTCAAACACTCACCTGTGCCAGGCTCGCTGGATGATCCGTGCCGCCTCGTTCCTCCTCTTGCGCAGCTCTTTGTCATATTCCCTCTGTGTGCGTGATGACACAGCAGCGTGTGCGCCTGTCTGGGGCTTCCTTGAGGGCCTTTTGTGATCTGAGGCTGAGTTGCTTCTTAATGAGACAGCGTGAGATTGATCTTTGACAGTGGCCTTCTCTGAAGTCTGCTCCCTGTGGATTCTGTGCTTTTGTGGAGCGGTGTGGTCATCAGTCTTGCTTGAGGCACTCTGTACAGTCATGGGACTGTGTCTCTTTTTCAGGGGGGTTCCTTCTCTTGTTCTGGGGTCATTTTGGTCTGTTGTGGACATTGGTGTGACGGGAGCACACGCGTTTGAGATGGACTTTTCCCTGACTTTGGGTGCTGTGGGAGGTGTGGGTATTTGGCTTGGTGGCTCTTTGCAGCTGGAAGGAGAGAGAAGTTCCTTCAGCCTTGTTGTATGGGAAGCATCAAGCGCAGTATCACTGCTCACGTGACAGTTTTTACTCGAAGCTGCAGGGATCTCTGGTCGCTCAGCTGAATTGACCCTAGACAACCTGCTCCTTTGGGCTGGTGAGCGGGAGATAGAGGTCCATTCAATATTACACTTATTCAGCAAAGAACAGCAATCACATTAAACAAATCAACAAAACAATTAACTGTATTTACAATCCTTTGCTGGGAAAATAAAAAGTTATGTCTGATTATTAATGGCTATTTGACAATGGTAGTCATTAACATTTAAGACAACCAGCTGAACAGAATTTTACAGACTCATTTACCTTTTTGTTTATCTTCTTTGTTCTTTTTACGTTCAGCTTTGGAAAGTTTCCTTGCTTCCACCACTGAATCATTCATGGTTGAGTTCTCTATAATGTTCACTAAGGAGGGCTTTTCTTGCTCTGCTCTCACCAGTGAAGCCCTTCGCTTCTCTGCAGGAGCCGCTGAAATTTGCTGTATAGCCTCTCTTCTCCGTTGCTCTTCTTCTCGCTTCCTGAACATAGAAAAATTGGTAGGTCTGAAACACAGGTCTTCCAGATCTGGCTTCCAGACCAGTGTCCAAACCATCTAAACCGGCTTATTTCAATGCCCAGGAGCAGCAACTTTGCATTAAGCCCCTCGGATCTGAGCTCTGAACGCTAACCATTTATGCGGAGGCTTATTAACACAATGAGTTCAATTAAATGTTTTGACGCTGTATTTATGTCCTTTGTGACTTTTAGGCATGGTTCACATACTTGCAAAATTTAGCCACTGTTGTAGCATTAATGAGCATAATAAGTGTATGTGAACCTCCAACTGATAATTTATATCATAAAACTATTATGAAAGGAAGATGTGATAGAATATTTCGGGGATCACAGCTCATGTGGAAAACAAATGTCTAACAGAAGCCTTTTGAGTTAAAATAAAGGTGGGGCTGAAGAGCAAATGACACAAGAAGAACAAACTGCAGAAAAACGACAGAGGGAAGATGTATGTGTGTGCATATGGCAGAAAGAAAGATGGATAATGAAACAGTGTGACTGCTTCTGTGTGGGTGAGAGGAGGAAGACATCGACTGATGGCGAAGACAAAAAACACCTTAAGAAATGCTATTTATATACGCTAAATTACAAAAGGCACTTTGTAACAACGCACAACTGCATGAAGTGTTGCACTTAACTCTGCCCAAAGCCCCCCAAATAATAAGTTGAAGAAATGTAACCTTTAAAGAAAATATGTAGGAAGACATAGAGTAAAGTCAGACTGTTAGGATTTCATGTTGAGTTTGCAGCTATTAAAATATTCCTAGGAAACGAGAAACCACAGGAAGGTTTTGGTGTGTGCGTGTGTGTGTGGGGGGGCACATTCAAAGAGAAGTGTGCTCAAGACACTGCTGTGCGCCTGGTGTGCGCTCACTTGGCTGCATCCTTGCGCAGTTGTTCGTGTCGCATGAGGAGCTGTTTTCTCTCCCTGAAGGCCTTGCGGACCGTGTAGCCTTTATATACAGCCTGAATGGAGGCAGCAGCAATGTCCTGGATGGCGGCTATAGACAGAGCTCCATGCTCCAGCATGAACTGAGTCACCTCACTGTGCCCCCCAAGCAACGCATAGTCCAGAGGGGTGTACCTTTAAGACACAAAAGGGGTACTTTATATATCTTTTCTATGCTTACCACCTCCTCGCGAAAGCTGCCTCTGCAAAAATATCCTTCCTCACCTCTCCTCGGTGTGCTCCATTTGATTGGGGAAGGCATTGTAGCCCAGCAGCAGTTTCACAGCATCCAAGTAGCCGTTGTTACAAGACCAGTGAAGAGCAGTCCGCCCCTGTGCTTCCATAAAAAAACAGACCACCAGTCATGTGTTTGTTTGAACCTTATTTGTGCTCAAAGATAACATGGGTAGATGCTGGAGTGGTTTCAAACAAAAACAAACCAAAGAAAGAAGCAAATTTTAACCTCTTTGTCCTGTATATTTGGATCGGCATTGTTCTCCATGAGAACGGCCATACAGGTGATGTAGCCCCCGTATGCAGCACACTGCAGTGGAGTTCTTCCTGCATGATCCTACAGCCAGGTTCAGAGGGATGAAAAAAGAAAAGAATCTCTTGGCTGATTTTAGATTTCAGCTCATGAATAGCTATTACATTCACATGCAATTATCTTTTATATACTATCCTGATTTTGGGAAGGCCTTTCCAGATGATGTGATTGCAAACGATATGGACAAATGCACAATTCTTGCTCTGTGTACAGCCTAGAGGTCCTCCATGTTCTCATCTTTAACTCTGAATGGTTGATGTTTTGGCACCAAAAAACGTCAACCCCAAGTGTGTTTTTTTAATACAATACTGATTATTGAGATTTGCAAATAATGTTCCGTTTTATTTATTTATAACACAATATTTTAAGCCATTTGGAATTGGGATTTCATTATGACTCGACATTTGGAGCTACATCAGGGATGAAGATAAAAAATCAGGTCCATCTAATTGTCCAAATGCAAAAAAGAATTTTCATGTGTACCTGTACGTTGGGACTAATGCCATTCTCCATCAGTATCTGGCAGACCTCAGCGTTCCCACCGAGGGCCGCCCAGTGCAGGGCAGTGTGGCCGTCTACATCAACCAGGTCCACGCGTGCAGAGCCTGCATTGAAACAGTGCAGCTGATGGAATACACAATATTTGACGAGGCAAAAGCAAATCTTTTTTTCGTTATTCTGAACACACACACTGAGAATATCATTAATGCTGTCGCATGACAAATAGTAATCACTCTCACCTTTGATGAGTGTAAGTATGACATCTCTGTATCCCACTTCACAGGCACGAAACAGTGGTGTGTGCTTCATGACATCTAGAGAGTCAACCATGGCTCCCTTCTCCAGCAGCAGTTTGACTGTGCTCACATGACCCGACAAGGAGGCTGCATGGAGCGCTGTATTAAACATGCACACACACACACGCACACACACACACATACACACACACACACAGGCCAGATAAGAATAAGGGGTCCTGAATCCAACTCAATAATAAAAACCTTCAGGACAATTCTCTGTCCCTTGTCCACCCTTTCTCATTCCCTCATCCCCTTGACCTCAGGTCCTCTGTGGGCTGTGGCTCGAGCCTGCTCGATGGAAGGTTAAACAGACAGAAACATTTAATGAGGAGCAATCCATTTAAACCTCCTCATGGGTTCCCCTCCCCCTAACTCTAGTCCCCAGACAGCACAGACCAGAGTCAAGTGCATGGAAGTGATCTGGGCACCAGTCAGTTCCACTGCCCCTCACGCAGTCTCATTAGCATGACTCAAAATGGCTTGCTTATAATTCATGCATAAACAATGAATGCCTGCTTGAGCAGAGAGTGTACTGCCATAGAGATTACGAGTGTTAACAGCCCTGGAGGTCATACAGATGCGGTAAGTCACGTATGAGTGGGCGCGTGTCAAAGGGCAATGCGGGCAGGACTGGGAGTCTGTTAAGCAAGCTGGCAGTAATTTTGCTGACAGTATCAGTTTCCTGTTTCCTCAATCTCACTGGCTCTGGAGGAGAGCCAGTGGGGAAACCCCCTGTGACATCATTGTCCCACGCCTAAAACAAGCAGCAGGCGACACAAGAACAAAAAGGACAGTGTGAGCTTTTTGGCACACTATAAGCAATGAATCAATCAAGCACATACTGATATACAGACATAACATAATTAAAAAAAAAACACCACTTCCCGAAGAGATGTACACAACATTAACACGCGTGGGCAACGACAGAGCTAAACAAGACAAGAAGCAGAGAAAGAGTACACCCTCTTAAAGAGTTAAGATGAAAACAATTACAATAAAAAGATAATCAAATAAAGCTGAAAGTCAAAGAAAACAAATGTGTTTTCAGCTGTGTAACGGCTATAGAGAAGGCAAATTTACACATACGGTCAAAGGCTCTTCCTTTGCATTACCATGTGCTAGAATCACACAGAGGGCTGAGGAGTGTGGGCTAGTGCAGTTGGTAGGAGCCTCCATACTCAGCTTTTTTTCCCAGGTTCTTACCAGTGCCGCCGTACTTGTCAGCCATATTGATATCAATGTTAGGGGTGAGGCTAAGCATGGTGCGAATGACATCATCACTGCCCTTCCCAGCGGCCCACATGAAGGCCGTTCGCCCCTCCAAATCAGGTTCATCTTTTACAGAGTGATGAGACAGAAACACACCGACAGTCTCCTTCACACACACACACACACACACACACACACACACACACACGCAAAAAATAGGGATTTTTATCAAATCATGAAATGCTTATTTATATTTATTATTCCTTATTATTTACTGCCTCATTGAGCTTGACGTGGAAGACTCACAGCATTGTTGCTCTGAGCTCCGTAATGTAGAGGTGTCGCTCCTTGGCTGTCTGAGGGAATTGTGCCTGACGTGTTTCGTTCCAACAGCAGGTGCACGATTTTGGCATGGCCTGGAATTTGAGTTTGTCCAGGAGGGATATGAATGGTGACAAACAGTGACAATTATTCAAGGAACCAGGTAAAAAATATCAAACCACCATTGTAAGTCCACAATGTAATGCATTTTGTGAACTTGTATTATTAGCACTTAAACCCCAAAATACGGCTGTGGTTCATGGTGACTTCACTTTCCCGTGGCACTAGAGGATTACTGTATTAGTGTGATTCAACTGAGTAAATTCTGCAAATCCTTCACAAATTTTGACAGAAATTCAGTTGTTGAGATAGTTTTGTCTGCACCAAGCTTGTGCAATAACTCAAAAGCAGACCCACATTATCCTAAATAAAAGACAATCATGTTTAGATAGCCAGTATCAAATATCAATTAAAATGAGAGAATTCTTCTATCTGAGAAGCAGTCATCAATCTGACATAGGCTGAGCCTTGCAGGATCCAGGAAGTGTGTTCACTCACCCAGCAGAGCCGCCCAGTGCAGAGGGGTTCTGAAGAGGTTATCATAAGCTGTCACATTACAGCCCTCGTAAGACGTCAGCACCTTCACTACTGCCTCGTTACCATCAGCAACCGCAAAGTGCAATGGCGTCCGGCCCTCATAGTCCTGCCAGTTCAACAGTGACTCAGTGGGAGCTGCTTCCTTTATACACACGCACAAACACACACACAAAACACATGCAAGCACCATGAAAAAGACACGAAGGCTGATGGTTGGGGTTGCCATGTATGACTGTGGGTGTGTGTGAACTTCGGCATGTACCAGTATGCAGCGGACAGTTTGCGTGGCGCTGGCCTCCTGACTGTGCGCAGCCCAGTGCAGAGGAATCTTGCCCTCACTGTCTGGGATGCCTATGTTGGAATCATGCTTGATCAGAAGGCGGACGTGCTCTGGTCGGTTATAAAATGCTGACCAGTGGAGAGCAGTTTGCTGTGGATATTAAAGTTTTAAAAAGCAATCAAAAGACAAATTAATGCAGCGGAAAATACATTTGGCTGTTTTAACGCCAGAGATGAGGTTTCCACTTAAGTAACAAAAAAAACAAAAAAAAATTACTCTACTTTGACATGACCAGGAAACATGAGGGAACGTGCTACACAAAGCTCATATTGAGGACCCAGCAGCAAGGAGAGATTCTCAGCCAGATACCGACTCCATGACGACTACAGAGCTATTCTGAGATTTGCTGAAACCACTGTCATCTGACATGATGATGCATATTGGATTATTACAAAACTAACTACTGATGTCAGATACACATCAGCTCCAACAGACAGAGGAGACTGTGTTTGTGCTCTTATCAGTAGAACACAGGACAAAGCCACAGATTGTTTTATCCTTTACTGTTGTGTGCGTGCGCCTCTCTAAGTTCATGTGTATATGATTTAAGCTCCAAGTGCTTCGAGCAATCTATCTTGAGTCAGTCAGTTATCTCTTTGCAGGTTATTGGTCAGACGCCCAGACTGGCTGCTTTCTGACTGAATACAGTTGTGAAGACAAACAACATTTGCACATGTACCTTATTTTTGTCCTGTGTATCAACCTCTCCTGGTCCGATATGTTTGAGGAGCAGGGCGAGAGCTTTGGGAGAGGGGTGTCGAGTGGCCAGGTGGAGTGGGGTCATCCCTTCTAAGTCCTTCTGCAGCCAATTGGCACGTCTGGACAGAAGCAGCTTCAGGAATCGCAAATTTCCCTGCAATACACGAGCAGGACAAGCTGTGCTACTGCGAATCTAAGAAATTTCACAAATTACCAATTCTCTTCAAAATTAGTCATGAACTAGCAGCAATGTCACACACACTCCCACTCGCACAGACTCCCCAGGCTTTTAGTGGCGTCTGCTTCAATCCACAGGTCATCCATCTTTTTTGCCCTCCTCCTGCCTCACTACTCAGTGCTTGTGATGAGCTGTTAAACAGTAAACAGCGGCCGTGTCTCTGCCTGTCAGCCAATCCACATCATCATCATCCTCACTTCAGGCCTCCTTAACCAACAGGCCCCTGGGTGATGTATTGTGTGAAGGAGCTCACACAACAGCGGTAGGACCGCACAGGCATGCCCATGTGCACATGTGAGTGTTTTGTATATTTGCCATTCCGAGACCACAAAGCCACAGTCTGACAGATCTATCTTGTGTGTGAGCATGCATTTCGACTGGGAGAGGGTATGTGTGTGTGTGTGTGTGTGTGTGTTCCTGTCCTCTCTATTCTCAGTCCAATTAGATCGGTAATCCCTGGCCTCTCTCCTTGTCTCAGCCACTTATTGATCAGATGTCAAACAGACAGGGCTTCCCATCACTAGCATCCCCCAGCACATCCACACACGCACACACTGGCAGAGGTACACACACTACATCTATGAGATGGATCCCGATAAGCTATTATCCTCTATCTCTCCTCAATGATATGATGACCCTGTACCAGCTTACGCCAATAAATAACTGAGATGTTTAAGGATATTATTAGTGCCAAATCCCACTGTTTTACAGCTATTGTCCCTCTGGAGATGGTCTCATTTATGATGTTTCTTTGTGTTTTTCAGTTCTTCTGCTGCATTGAAAATGCTTATAAACACAACATATTCCTCATTGAGTAATAATTTTAAGTTTAAAAATAACTGCAGCAATACTGCTGTGTAAAGATCAGAAATATGTTGAGATTGTCTCCCATAAACCCTTCGACTGTGACAACAGCCACTAGGTGGCACTAGCTTCTTATAAGTCTATGGATGTACTGCTTTCTATCTAACTTTAATTAGATTCAAGCACAGATTTCTTAATTACCCATACCAATTCTTGTTAATGATAATTTTGTAAACTACACAACGTGTTGACACAGTCTTGAAACATGACACGATTGTTCTCTGAGTGTGAGTAAATTTGTGGACTTGTGCACATCCACACCTTCTGTGCGGCCAGGTGCAGAGCAGCTCTCTGGCTGTGGTCTGTCTTATTGACGGAGGCTCCGGCCTTCAGCAAAATCTCTGCACAGTCCAGACGGTCAGCCAGGACACAGTACATTAAAGGGGTGCGCCCGAACTGGTCTTCATGGTCCCTTAGAAGAGGGTCAGCTACACACATACATAGACACACACACAGATAAAATCACAGCTTAAGGGTACTTGTTAATAGAGGCCAAGATTTGAGTCAGTATGTGTTGGATTTATTGGATCAGCATATGGACAGATATGAATATGTAATAAATGGCTTCAGTTTAATGAGAATTCCTTTTTTTCAACTAAATCAATTATTCTGAGCACCTGAGGGTCCAAATGAAATATTTAATTACAAATAAACTCAGACATTTGTGTTCTATGTCAAAAGAAGAGTATGTTTTCTACATATTGATGACTGAATATCAACACATGGCATTACCGTTCTGTCTTAGACCGTAAAACTTAGTGTGCTGCTCACCCGTGATGAGTTTGACAAGGGCACTTCTATCTCCATTGACAGCTGCTGCATGAACCTGGGAGCTCAGAGATGCGGGTTTCGGACTACATGTAACTGGGTCCTGCCAGGAAAACAAACAGAGAGTTATAAAAGAACCTAAAGCAACGCACACTTACTTATCAATTAGTTAATATGATAAGTCTAGACAGTTTCCTGTCCATCCAGCTTGCCCTAAATACAGAAACCAGCTGAAGACAAGTAGTTCATTCATAGAACTGGATTATATGGCATAAAATATTATTAAGATAGTCTAAATTGAGCAGGATAAACAGATGCTTTCAAGATCAGAGAATAAATGTTATTCAACCCTTTCCTCAAAAAATCCAATTTGAATTTTTTTTCTTTCGAACAGTAACAAAGTAACCAATGTCAAAGTCTATTGGGTAATTCACAGTAGTTTAAGTTTGATAAGACACATGGTGAAGTAGGTTATTAAAAATTCAACCAATATTTCCACCTTCAGGGTCACGATGAGCACTTCAAGCTCTGTTAGCTGTCAATCAGACTTTTAAACACATATTTGACAATAACATAGTAACTGAGCCGGTGTGTGCTGTCAGTAGGGAATGTGTGTGCATGCACGCCTGCATGTGTATGCTGTGTGTCTTCTCCTGCTGAGGGGGTTAAATCTCTTCCTGGCCCCATTTAACCAGAGCCCAGTGAAAGCTGGGTAATCTGCAGACAGGAAGCAGCTGGGGAGGGGGGGGCCCTGTGTGAGCATGTAAGAGGGGGGTCTCTCTTCATGTCTTATTCATGTCTCATTAATAGTGCAGCATGCCTGTCTGTGTTTGTGTGTGTTCAAGTATGAGTGCGTTGGGTTTGGAGATGTGGGACGAGCCCTGCGGGGCACAAGACAGAAATCAATTATTGCCCCTAAACACATAAAGGCTGGAGGCACAAACTCACAGAACAATCAGAGATATTCTCAAGACATTTTCATCAACACTGTCAAGAACAGGCCTGGCTCAACACTAAAGAAACTACAGAGTAAAGAGTTCTTTTAATTCGCTACAGGTGATGGAAATGATGATAAACGGACACAGTTCAACTACTTCATCCAGGTCTTTAAAACCCTCCAATTGTAAGTTGATTAAGAGAGGCTTCTGGATGAGGAAGGGGAATACTCCGGTGTCCTCCTTTATTTTTCTTCATTCCTCTCTTTCCCCCCCAGTCACCTCATAAAGATTGTTCCTGTAGACACTGCGTGCAGCATGGCAATTACCCATCATGCCCGCCGCTTTCTCACGCTCTGCCAAGTAGTAGCAAAGTAGTAGCAAACGAAAAGTCTATGCATGGGTCAAAGATGGTGGGAGGGAAATATGGTTGATACTGCACCTTAAATAGGCGTAAGTGTGTGTATGTGTGTGTGTGTGTGTGTGTGTGTGTGTGTGTGTGTGTGTGTGTGTGTGCGTGCGTGTGTGCATGTAACTGACACATGTGCCACGTCATGGGAAGCGATTTTCCGTGAGAGGGAGAGTTTTTACAGGCACTTTACCAAAATTAACCACAAACTTTTTTAAGCATCTCTAATTAACAATGTTTACTCACTCAGTAATGCATACAGGCATGCAAGCACACACACAGAGCCTGCAACTACTAACTTTAAACATGTGCAGAAATAGCAGATATGACCTGGCGGCTCTAAAGAATTTATGCTTTTAAACTAAACTTAGAAAAAGGACACAATCTGATTGAATGCCTCCTCTCAGTTTGAACTTTGCTTTCGTTGATTGTTTTGATCCTTTTACATTTCTCAAGTCCACTTGAAAGGCCGTGACTGCCACAACAATTAAAAATATTGATCGTAAATAATAATGAATGCAGAAAAAAGCGTTATTATTTGGGCAAATACTGACGTGGGAGACATGAGTCGATATCTGAATCGTTTGTGGGACATTCATAATGCCCGGAGCGGGAAGTTATAGTTTCATGAGAACCTGAGTGTTCTGGAATCACCCACCGCGAATCCAAATTTGGCAAAAAAACCTTTTGCAATGCAGTGTCTGAACTCAAACAAAGGAGTGCTTAAAAACAACAAATTCCTGTTGAGAGGTTTTGGAGCAGTTTCACTTTGCCATTCATATGTGTTCCTCAGGGAGCTCTCCACTTGTTAATATGAAGACAATAACTCAGAGTAAACTATCGACCATGGGCTGAGGTCCAGACCAGGTGATTGTGGATCTGTATGAGTATTGATTCATGCTGATGCTGACATTATTTAGTCTTTATTCATATTCTGCCTCATGTCACCGCAGCAAATTTAACAAAGTATTTAGACACTCCCTTGAATGCTTTCAGCAACACTACAGGAGTGCAACACTAATGCACAGGGCTGCCTCTTGGCAGACACACACACATAGGCACGCATACCCTAAGCAACACTTCAATAGATGCTATTGAAACAAAGAGCAAAGAATTGTGGATTCAAAGTGTGTGTGTGTGTGTGTGTGTGTGTGTGTGTGTGTGTGTGTATGCATGTTTGTGAATGGCGTAGTTGCCTGAATGGTTCTGTAGCCGTCTGTCAAAGTGAATGTGTCTGCTTTTGACAGAAGACAGATCTGAGACATGCTGGGTAAACAGAGGGGAACAGAGTCTGAGTCCATGGCCTTTATGTCAATTCTGGACGAACACATACACACACAGTCATGTCTTTATAAAGTGTATACAGTTATGACAGTGTGTCTAGGGTCATAGCCAACATGGGGTTGTACAGGTGCCTGTACCACCTAAATGTCCCTCAGTGTGCAAAAGCGGAGTGTCTCTGTGTCTCAGACAGAAGACAGAACTGTGGGGATCTGTCCCTGGGTTTTGACTGACAGGTAAAGAGGTAGGAGGAAGGATAATATCAGTCCATAGGGATGCCCAATCTGCAAAGCCCTATTTCTGGGGGGAATCTCCGGTTCCCCAAAGACCAATGAGCTGACTCCCTCAGCTGGGGGCTGAGCCCTGGGGCACAGCGGGGCCAATCAGCAGGAGGGGAGAGGGCTGAGTGACATATAGATCTGCTAATTTACATCATTACCACAATGCATCCTGACAAATGAGCCCCCAGGGCGTCAGCCAATCACCTGGGAGAGTAATGCAATTAGGTGGGACCACAGCTGTCAATCTCACACCCACAGGGGTCAGGTAGTGATGCCTGTGGCTAAAACACCCCTGCCTGCAACCTGTCTTTCACCCACACCATCTATGCATGTGTGAGTTAACATGCAGGGCGGTGATTAGCTATGCAGATTTGTGCCAGATGTATGGGCATGTGTAAATGTGTGTGCACATATTGAGGCTGGATATCTATGCCCATCTTGGGGGTGGGTAGAGGTCAGGGAGGTGGTGAGTGTCTTCCATGAGTGTGGTTATGTGAATGTCTACATATATACTGGTGTGTTTGTGTGTGCTTACATTTGTCCATGTGTTATAGCCCACTGGGGCACAGTGTTGTTAAGCACTGAGTCTAAGCTCTGTGCAAATACCATGACAGTAGCTCAGACAGTATCTGAGAGAAGAGGCACTGAATAACTACACTTGAGTTACACACTATACTTGTGTGTAATCAGCCATTGGTTTAATAAGGTGTTGTGATATTGTAGTGGAGCATATCGCATAAGAGTTCAGCTCAGCTTGCCATTGATGTCTGTTGGCTGTGGTGAATATGTGCCGAAATTAATCCTGTTGGGACTCTCAACCCTTTCTATTACATTGCAGTTTCATTTACACTTACAGTGGTTCAAAACTAAGCAGACGAGAGTAACTTTAAGAAGAAACAACCTCATAATCTTTGCTACAATGACCAGAAAGAGTCTCTGTTACTTTTACTATTTTTTCTGCCTGTGCTGCAGACGCTCTTAGAGTTAGAAGAGCTGTGTGTTTTGTGTCATCGCATTATATCACTAATGAGCCGCCCTCAGGAGGGAGGGGAAGAGGGACAGCAAGGCAGGCAGAACAATAGAAACATAGTAAAGAGAGGACAGACAACAAGAGGGGGGAAGGAGACAGAGAGAAGAGCTTGAGGACGTTTCTCCCATCCATCCCTGTTTCCCTACACCTCTGAGTCTAATTGGACTAAAACTGTGATCTAATTAAATGGCCAATTAAAGTGCAGAGAGCAATGTGCCCACTGGCGAATCAGAGAACAGGGACATAATCAGCTGGAAAAACAAACAAAAAAATCAATGGGAGCAATGCGAAATGGAAAACGATGGAGAAAACAGAAAAGGGAGGGAGAGGATGGTGAGATTAAATCTGGCAGAATGGTGCAGGTGTGTGCTGCAATACACTGGAGCGTGTGGTGATGCTTCACAGCTGTTAGAGGGCTATTAGAAGAAAGTAAACTTTATTTTCCATGCATATAAAAGCTATGAAGGCAGTGAACAAAATAATAGTTTTACATTTTTCATACAGAACTAAATTAAGTTATTACTTTTTTTGCAAACTTTTGCTTTTGATTATTAAACAATCGAGCAATAAGCCAGCCCTAATTTTTATTTGCCCATACTGAGAAATGAAATAAGATTAGTCCTGCAGTTGTTCACGTTTACAAAAATGGATACATCATACATCTATAAATAATGAAAAGGCCAACAGAAGTATTTCACATAACAACTTTTTTAGCAGATAGATATACTGCCAGAGGATCATATCCATCATCACCTCTGTAGCTTTTAATGGAATCAGTGAACTGACATAATGTAGCTTGGCATGGGTCATTGTTTTTTATTCTGTTGGAAAAATACTTGAGAGTTGCACTGTTTGAATTTGAGCCACTTCAAATTGACATAGTGTGCAGGTTAATGCGACATTGTAATGACACTTTAACAAACGTATTTGTACCCACTACACATTTATTTTACTTAATAAAAATATTCATAACTAAGGTTAGTGTTGTTTTTTCTTCAGCACTAATATTCAGAAAGAGAAAGAGAAATCCTCTTGTCTCCATCTGTGAGTCGCTCACACACTGTGAACCCCCTATGGACAGCTTTAGCTCATAAAATATTAATGTTTGGATTCAATTCAACATTCCTCCCTAATCTCCTTAACAATTAGGTGGCAGCAACACACACAATCAGCTTTGTTACATAGTCTCAGTAGTATTGACTGTCAAGAGATGATTGCAACAAGGGAACACTGTAGTGACCAGCAGATACATGTAATGACAACAAAAATAACATTTCTGGTGTTGATACATCGAATTAAACCAGTGTACCTGGTTTCTGACTATTGGATTCTTACCATATCTGCGTTGAGGGGCACACTGCAACAGATGTTCCCCAGTTCTTGCATTCTCCAAGGGTGTCAGCACAGGTCCAGATCCCCCACCTGGCCTGATCCTGACTCCTGCTAGGCCAGAGAAAGAGGCTCACTCACACACTGCGACCGACCCACCTGTTCACAAAAATACCTGCCAGCGAAACAAGGCTACTGTACTCATTTCAGACAATGGGATGATGTCAGAGAGAGATTTTGGGGGTTTTGCCATGCTTCATATAATCTGATCATACGCACCGATTTTGGTTGAGTTATACTTTTTTGGTCATTACTTATTACATTTTATTGTTTTGAATTCAAATATATATATTTGAATAAACAACAATACAAACTAAAACATTTTCCTCTCTTTTAACATAATTTTTTGAGCCCCATGCATAAACGCTTTATACCTTAATAACAAGTTTTGGTCAAAGCTCGAAATATTAGTTTTTCTAAAAAGAAGCAAAACAACCTTCCCACACGGCTAGTAACGTTGTAGACAAATAGTTAATGTATAAAAAAAAACGTCAACATGATGCAACTACCCTGTGTTAAGAAAAATCAGCCATCTCATCATCGTACCTTGAATGTAACGAGTGTAACAATAATGCTTGATCAGATGCAATACCATCTTGTGCTTTGTCGGCGTTATATTTACCCAGGTAATTCCTTAATTCTTAAACGAAAATCTTCAGAAAGTTTTTCTCCCAAGCGTCCCGTTGGATCATCACTGTAAATACTACAACTCCCGTTACAATTCACAAGCAAAACAAAAATCGCCATGATTGTAGTTTTTCCTGCAGTTAAGTTCTGTTTTCTAGTTGTGCTAAAAACTACATTCACCGAAAAGCTCTGGGACCACCTGGAAGTGTGGCTCACGTTTCCGTGGTCACCGTGACATCGGTTCGCCGTTCGTTTCCTGCTGCATAGAAGAGCGGCGTCGAGACCGACTGGAAAGATTGAACACCTCCTCCTAAAATAACTACACCATACAATGAAACTGTTAGCAATATCTCCCTCCCTTGCTATCCGCTTCGTCACGGTTATACTGCCGGTAAGCACTTTTATCTAATTGTAAGACTGTGCGATGACTGCCCGCTGCCCTTTGCTACCACTTCAAGCTAATGTTAGCTAAGTGACTGTCGTTAGAGAGTTAGCTTCTAGCTAACATATGAAGGTCTGTTTGCTTGAGACAGGTCACTTAAAGTCTCTAAAATAGTTTACAAGCCAGCTCTCGCGATGCGATTGTTGCTGATTTGTAGAAGGTTTACCGAGAAGACCCTCTGAATGTGTTTCATCCACCAACTCTCACAACTCAAGTTAACCAGCTGCTTTGTTAAGTTAGCCGGTAGGTATGTTAAGTAACACTAACTTCAGTTTTGTAGTAATCAGAGGTGATGTCACCTAAACGAGATGTGTATGATTCTTATTAAAACTGACTTGAGGTTCACCTGCTGATAGCTTTTATTGAAAGGTGAAATCCTCCCAGAATATTGATAGTTGCGCTGTTTTGACAGTAATGACATAATTGTTATTTCATTGAACTGCTGTGCATAAATAGAGTTAACATGTATTGTTGAACTGATGCACGAAGTTATTGTCGCACTCTTGGTTCGTCTGTGTGTGTTTCTGAATGATGCTAGCCGGTTGGTAAATTCCTCTGTTGTGGCTCGTTCTTATTGGCTGACAACCCGGAAGTAGTCACAGATGCAACATGATCTGAAACGAAAACTTGTCTTTGCTCTGTATTATATGTATAGCCAAAAGTCAGGGGCTTCATCTCTGCGACATTGCATGCTTTCAGTAAACAGTAACTGAGGAAAGGAAATCACGGAGTTTTATGCATTATTTATGCATACATTTCATGATTGGTTGGTTGATAATTTCTTTAAGAAAGTGATACAACAAATTCTGTCTGACAAGCAAACTTTATTCCTTTATTTATTTTCAAATCTGTTGAAACACTTTATTTAGTATCAAAACAGATCTTTTGTAGTTTTTCATTGAGAAAACACAGAAGACCTTTTGTGCTATAAATCAATGTTATTTGTATGGAGAACAGTTCAATTCTAAAGTTAGAAATCGAAAGAAGGAAGTGACAGATGCAATTACTGGGTTGTATGTCAGTAAATATTCAGTTCAAGCTCTGGTTCTGGTTAAAAGTTTGCGGTCCTCCTTGAAAGTCATTTTGGTTCATGACTTACATCCTGTTTGAATAGGATCTTTGACTCACCACAGGTCACAGCAGATGGATAAATGGCATAGTTTAAAGCCAAGAAAATGTTTAATGTGCAGCCTACATTTGAATACAAGGGAAAGACAAAAAAACACAGTCACCTTTTATTCTGTCTTGATGTTTTCCTAAAAAATAACATCTCTTTAGCAGAGTCTATTTCTGTGATGGCAGTTATATTCTCCCGCTCATTTTAATGTGGCAACTGTCAGTATAGCCTTGACATCTTCCTTCACGCTGATCTGTTTGATACAGGACTTTTACGCAGGGTTGCAATTACAGATAATGTTAATGATAATACATTATTACTACCCCATGTTTGTTTGTTAATCCAAGATGAAAAATCACGAATGAACTGTAGATCTCAGCAGAATTTTATCTTCATGATGATTAAGTGAGTAAAACCGAATAATAAAGATAGCGATTGCAAAGTAATCTTTCAAAGAACATTTTGCCCCGACACGCTTACCACAAATAATTTTTTATTTTATTGAAGGAAAACAAGTAGATTGTATCTAAGGCAATCTTAGAAGACTTAAAACCTGCTATCCTATTGGTATTAATGATTTATCTTCTATTAAAATAATCTGAAACTGCCTGCTATTGCTGTGTTGCATTTAGCCCAACTTTGTGTTAAAAAAAACTAAACAAAACAAAAAAATCTACCAAACTAATCCAAATTCACACTCAAGCACACACATATACACACCAAAATTCTTTGTAAAATTATTTTTTTCTGGAATTTGATTGTCTCTTTGGGCAGGACATTGTTTGTGGTATATTTAACCTGGTACTTCGATCAGGGTGAGAGACCTCTAGGCGGATCCAGGATCAGGAAACAAAGTCCCTTTGCTTAACTGGGGCATGCGGGTGGAATTAGAGATTGGTGCTTGACAAAACTATTTCCTTTAAAGAAATGTCTCTGCTTTGCTCAAACCTCCTTACAGCAATGCAATTCCGCTGCGTGATGCTTTTGGTTTTCACTCCCCACACTGAGAGGATTTATGTGAAGTAATCCGTTGTCCTTAGATATCAATGTAATGCTCGTACTATATGTTAGTGTGGTGTTCACACACACAGCTGCCTTAACCTGCATCTACATGTTTTATGTTTTAACTTCTCATCCATCATATTTCTGTGACTGTAGATGATGGGACTCTCTACTCCAGGACAAGCAGAAATAACCAGTTTGGACTCGGGGAACATCGATGATGTCCTAAGTAAGGCCTAACCCTTTTCTATTTTTTTTTTTTTTTTTTATGAGTCTTGAAAGAGCAGTGTGACATTTTAGAAATGTGATTGAGGTTATTTGGTGTCTTTATGTTTCTATAAAATTCTGTCACTTTGTTCAGGTCATGGTTGTAATCAGGTTCTATTGTCTCCTGTCATCTAACCAAAGACAAAAAAAAACAGATGAGAGCTAGCCTTTTTATGGAAATGCATTCCCTACATTTCTGTTTAATTGTGTTGTCAAAAGAAATAACTCCTGTATTTTGAGGTGTGGGAGCACTATGCTATTTCTGTCCTAAATGTAATCTGACCAAAGCAGAAAAGTTGTTTTGTTAAGCTTAGTTGCAGATGATTCTGTTAATCTGTTTTGTCTCTAGGTTACATTTTATTACAAAATGTTTGAAAACATTTTGTTTAATTTTCAGTTGCTAAAATTTTATTTTAATTCTTATTTCATTTATTTCCAAATAATCAGTCTTGTGATGTTGCAAAATGAGGATGCTTTCATAAGTATTTGAGTTAATGTACAGAGACTTACATTTGTTTCCCTTTGGTAGATAATGCTGGGGTGGCATTAGTGAATTTTTATGCTGACTGGTAAGTGTTGCTTTTTCTAAGAATCTGTAAGTCAGTCACATTTTAATTGAGTTTAGCTCTTGACTGAAAGCTTTCCTTAACATGTCACATGGTGCGATAATTTTTATTAGATTTGGCTATAGACTTCATTAGTTTATTATACATAATGCATAATGTGTACACTTCTATCATCCCAGTGACTTCTGTAGGAGTCTTAAATCATTATGATTTCCAGGCTTTAAAAAATACAAAAAACTGATCTCAAGAATATTCTTGAAATCTTTAGATTCTTCTTTTAAAAGCATTTATTCCTCAGCTTCTGAAGACATTTGCCCCTCCTATTTTTTTAGATGATATGACTGTTGTATTCTTTTTAAAAAATAAAGAAAATGCATGATTTGTGTCAGCTCTGACTAGGTTAATAGATGGATAATAAAGCTATAGTTGACCAAAATACCTCTATAAGCCAGTCTAATACTTCAATCTTGAGTTAATTTACTTAGCCCATTAGGAGCTGAGGCAAAGCATAATGTCTTTTTACAATTGTAGCCTGATGGGACATGTGACAATTGGTTTTTATGTCATATTTATGTCTGTATTGAATGGGTTTTGAGTTTTCCAAAAATTCCTGAAGCTTTATTAGGCGTTTTATTATTATAAAAAAATAAAAAAAATGAAACAATGGCTTACAATCTTTACACTAACTGTCCACAGGTGTAGATTCAGTCAGATGCTTCATCCAATCTTTGAGGAGGCGTCAAACATAGTGAGGGAGGAGTTTCCTGACACCAAACAGGTGGTGTTTGCACGCGTCGACTGCGACCAACATTGTAAGTACAATGAACCTCATTGTAATTTGATCTGGCACTGAATGGCACTGTGTCCTGTACTAGGCTTTTCCTAATTCCTCATTTTCTTTGGGAGGAGGATAACGACACAACAAACGTCAAAATGCATGCATGCAAAACTTTCCTCAGGTCTGATGTTTAAAATATACCTCTCCTGGTTCAGAGCTGATTTTAATCACAGTCATTACATTTGTGATGGGTAGAAGTCAGGACCTTCTGGAGCCCTTTTCTTCCCACACTTGGATTTGTTTTTGTTAGACCTCTGAGTTGATCCAGTGTTTCATTTTCCTTTTTGACAGCAGTGTGTTCTCAGTCAGTTTCCTCTGTCATCTGATCAAACCAGCTTCAGATTCATGCCAACTGTTTGCTGGTCTGAAGAACCTCAAACAGCTGCGGCTGTGAACTAGATCATGGTGAACCGCCAGGCAAACTGAAAAGATTATGACTGTTGTTTTGGAGCAGGGTGTCTGTCTTTGATACCAGCCTATCTGTGATAAAAAAAAGCTTAACTTAAGAATAACTTGGGTTATTCTGCGCCATCTCAACTGATCACTGGTGAAGTGTGACTGGTCACTTTCAGACCACTGCAAAAGCCCTGTCTCCAAAGATGTTGAAATGTTTAAGGTAAAAATAACTAATAACTTGTTGAAGTATGACGCTATGATCCTCTGTCTTGGATCTTTTTTGAGAGATTGTGTTTGTCAGTCTTGGAAGTGTCATCAAACTTGTTGTTCTTTGTTGACCTGCCGTGCTTTGGTTTTAATTATAGAAATTCTTTGGTTAGCGTCACTGAAGCTTCCTATGAACAAACATGTAATTGATCGACAGTTTTTCATATAAAGACAACAGCCTGTGTCATTCTTCTTGGGGTCTCTTTTTCCTTCTGTGATGCATGCTCCTGGATCTTTACGCACTTCACACCATGCAGGCCTCATGTACGAGCAGCTGTGGAAACCAAGAGTTTGCTTTCAGCCATTAATTTATTTGACAGAGCTCTAAATGAATAACTAAAGACTCTTATTTGTTTTCCCCGTCAAAGCTATGTGTCGGTATTTAAACTTTTTCTAAAGTATTTCATCTTTATATTTTTATTTTTAAAAATGTAATCATTAGCCTCCACAATCATGCATTATTTTAAGATACCAGTAAGGTTTGGTATCTTTACATTGCTGGCAAATTATTAATCTATCATCCATATTGTAAAGACATATTTGTTATCTGACCGTATGGCATAAATACTGCAACCTGTAATCTGTGTATGGAGCAAAACCGAAAAGGATGCCGATATATAGCCTTACAGTATTTGATGCACATATGCACACTGAGATTCCCGTCACACCAAAGCACAGACACATAAACCGCCAACCTCAGCCTTTTGAGATAAAGCGAATTAAAGAGAATTATTGATGACCTGCAAACTGTTTGAAGACTAATGACAAAACTGCTGCTTCCTGTGAAGACTGGAGGCTTAGAGACTCCCTGCAGGGAGATTGACACCTGCCACACACACACGCACACGCAGCCATGCAATGTGTGCAGGGGAGAGTATTTACTCTTGGCGGGGGGCTGCTTTCATGTGGGAGATCAGAGCTCAGAGCTGACTGAGAGCAGTGTTTTCAGACTGAGGTTTAACTGCTGTCTCTTTCACTGTTTTGCTCCTTATCCACCCATCCCCATGTGTTTTTACTCCGCTTCTTGCTGTTCATCAATTGATTCCTTTCTTTGCTTATCTCCTCCGCTTGGGCGTGCAGCGGACATCGCTCAGCGCTACCGCATCACCAAGTATCCAACGCTGAAGCTGTTCCGCAATGGGATGATGATGAAGCGGGAGTACAGGGGTCAAAGGTCGGTGACGGCAATCGCTGACTTCATCCGCCAGCAGCAGGTGGACCCAGTCAAAGAAATGCACTCACTGGAGGACCTTAACACGGTGGATGTAAGCGATGGACACACCCGCAGCCCCAATGTGCACATCAGTCCCCTAAAATTCTACAATTTATCTAATGAAAAATTCTTCCTTCTCTTTGTCCGTTCTAACAGAGGAGCAAAAGAAACATCATAGGTTTCTTTGAAAAGAAGGACTCTGATAACTATCACACATATGAAAAGGTTTCCAATATCCTTCGCGATGACTGCACCTTCTTAGCTGCCTTTGGGTGAGTCGCTGCACCGTTTCTAAATCCACACATTTTAGGTCGGCCGTGGTTGACCTCTTCATCTGCGATCTCCACCTGTTCCCCCGGTAGTGCTGTGTCTGAGCCCGAGCGCTTCAGTGGAGACAACGTCATCTACAAACCTGTTGGTGAGAACATTCCTGACATGGTCTACCTCGGCTCGCTCACCAACTTTGACCTGACGTACGCTTGGGCGCAGGACAAGTGTGTGCCTCTGGTCAGGGAGATCACCTTTGAAAATGGAGAGGTTTGTGTGGCAGCCGCATCTGCTCTGTATGGTTTCCGGCTGTTCAAAGCTACAAAAAGGCCCTCACTCTCTCTGTCTCTGATTTTCCGGGTGATTTCCAGGAGCTGACAGAAGAAGGGATCCCTTTCCTCATCCTGTTCCATGTTAAAGAGGACCCTGATAGTTTAGAGAAGTTCCAACATGAAGTTGCCCGTCAGCTGATCAGCGAGAAAGGTAAGTGGAGGAGCCATGTTGTTGTTTAAGCTATGAATGTGAAGTGTGGTTATCATGATCCAGACAGCCTGAGAGACGTTGTGTGTGTGTGTGTGTGACCAATTTGCTCTCCTCGCCAGGGTCTATAAACTTCCTTCATGCGGACTGTGACAAGTTCCGCCATCCTCTGCTCCACATTCAGAAAACTCCAGCTGACTGTCCCGTCATTGCCATAGACTCATTCAGACACATGTATGTCTTCCCTGACTTCAAAGACCTCTCGTAAGTACTCTGTTCCTTTCCAGCGTTACACATTAGTACAGTCATGGGCTTCGTTACACCACAATCTGCATTTTTTAGATGGAGAACTACATGTTTTAAAGCAGAAAGTCAAACCCTTTCCCGCATTTGCCATAGTCAGTAGCACATACTCTGGATTCTTTTTCTATTTTTTTTTCCTAACGAGTTACATGATTTATTATTCACTGTGTGGGTAATTCTTTATAATGTGATGCGCTCATCATAAAATAAAGTCAATTTTGTCCTGCACACAAAGGCACTGTAATCCACTGTGCACCCGCAACCACAGAAATGTCACACCTCCTCAGATCTGTCCTTTATGAATGGGCCAGGACACTGGAGCTAATGTGACATGATTTGGCACGTGCAATAAGTGCTAAACTAATCCAGTCTAATCTAATTTAATCTTATTTATTCTGCCCCCCACCACTCGGCCTCCCCCCAACCCCCAAAACAATCAGAGTCTGATCAGATAGACAGTAGCCCGGAGGACCGACTAGCCCTCCACAGCCTAATTACATCACATCACCAGCACATGGTCCACACAGCCTGTAATTACATTAGCAGAGGGTTTGTTATATGTACATATACATGGGTTTGTTTGCGTGTTTAGCTGCAACCGGGCTCCCTCTGTGTAGTACGACAGCTCGTGACCCGTCATCACTTCACAGGACAACTTTGATTTGGACTTCTGCAGCCCAGGGACACATCTGCTTGGACTAATGCAGCCATCAGTTGTTCTGGGTTAAAGTAACTGTTGGCGTGTAGGAATGTCTGAATTTCTGTATATGAAGTGTCAAGTGCTTCCGAATTTTGTTTCTTGTTCCTTCTAAGAAAGTTAGAGAAACAGCCTATAAAACAATGCTGGGGGTATGTGTTTGTAGCCCTGGCACTGCTCAAAGTCTTGGATGAATTGAACTTGGTTTGCACAAACGCTTCTATGTTTGCGTCTTTTTTTTTTTCTTCCAGCATTCCTGGCAAGCTGAGACAGTTTGTTTTGGATCTCCACTCCGGTAAGCTCCACAGAGAGTTCCACCATGGCCCTGATCCCACAGACAGCACGCCTGGACAGGTCAGTCATCAACATCAGCTCTGTGGATTCACCCAAAGCTGGATTTGTTCTATCTCACAGTGTGCCTTTTTATTTTTTTTTTTTTTTTACTTTTCAGGAGGATACCGGGGGAGAAGCAGTGAGCAGTCATCCAGAGAGCTCATTTCAGAAGCTTGCACCCAGCGAGACACGCTACACCATCCTCAGAAGGGACCGCGATGAGCTGTGACCTAAACAGCCTTCCAGTGATCCTGTGACTCAATGCCACGCCCCGGGGTCAGGGAGGGGGTTAGGGTTGGGACAGGCCAGCGGGACAGAACAGTAACACCCAACACCCTTACTGAAGAAATTGAGGTAGAGATGAGGATAATGAAGACAAAAAAAAAGGATTAGAAAAGAAGACCATGATGTGGAGGAGAATTCAGACCATGACACAACCATGTTGGAATTACCTATATTTTCATAACTCTTTCACATTTTTTATTTTGAATTAAGAGGAGGTGGGGAGAAGAAAATGTGTGGGGGGGCAGGGATTGGGGTGGGGACTTTAGGACATTAAAAGACGTTACTTTTTTTTTTTTTTGGAGGTTGTAAATATTTTTGTGCTACGTTGGAATCACAATGTTGGTCTAAATTAAATGCAGAGTTTTCTTTATTTTATTGATTTTATTTTCGGTCACCCTGAACAGAACAGTGTCCTCACTCCAGTTGTACGGTTCTTTTCTGTGAGTAGTCCAGTTCAGCTTGTCTGGGCGGAGATGCTTGTTTTTAGTCTCGCTGACCTCAAGGTTGCATCTCAATGTGACCAGTTTTACTCTCATTCAGTCGCATAGCACAAGTTATATCAATTTACCCTTTGGAAGGAGCTTGACCTCCATACCTTCATTCACACAATGAACAGGAAAAAACTTGACAGGGGCAACAACATTTATAATTGAGATGGAAGATAATGAGACTGAGCTGCACCAGCCTGTTATGATGCACCCTACTCTCTCTGGTACTGTTTGTATCATAGCTATGAATTACGATGTCACCCACCGTTCCCATAAAAGTAATCCTGATCTTTTTATGTTTGACTTTATCTGCAATATTGTGTCACAGTGGCTGTGATTAAGTCTGTTTTCCCATCACCAATTCAGTTTTTGAAGTTTTAGGGGGCGTGGTCATCATTTTGAAGCTTTTGTTCAGTGTCAGCCGAGCACAGCACAACACCTCAAGCCCAGCACCCCCACCGACAAGTCTGGTGGCGGCATCATCAGGCTGTGTGGACACCTTTTTTCAGCAGGCCCCGAACTGCCCCGTTTTGGGTAGAGCAGGTCAAACACATGCAACATGAATACTTTGACTGCTGGCCCGTTCAGGGTGCCTCTTGTTAAACGTCATCTGGGGTAGGCTACAGCCCCACCCCTGATTGGAGCAGCTGAGGGGTAATGGGGTGTAGCTGACGGAAGAACAAATCCCATTTTTTAAATCAGAAAACTTTGTTTTTGATCCAAGATCAGTTTGATTTGAACTTGAAATCCAAGAGCCTTACTCTGTTGATCAATGTTTCAAAGCCTTTATCCACAAGTAAGATGGTAAAATACTAAAATCACAGAATTCCGGGAACCCAGTTACAACACCACCTTTGAGTTATGTCCTCAGGACCCAAAACGGAATAGAAAATTCTTCTAAAAATGTACTTTATCATCTCCATGTATTTATGTAACAGTTATTTTTGTGGTTACCTGTTTTTGTGTAAAATGCTGGGTGAGAAAAAGACTGGCTTTCCATGTGTTTTAAAGGGCGATGGGCAGAAACCCATGTTTGATGGTGGAAGTTAAGTTTGTCACTTTATACAAGTTTTCTTAAAACCAGTTTCGTCTCTTTATATGTCTTTGAAGTTTTGGTACAAGTCTTGATTCCTGAGTATCCACAAGTGGAATTCAGACTATAAGTATGGGGACCCATTTCTACTTCAATAGAGGCCAAGACATACCTGCATTGTGACATATCTGCCCGCATACAGAGCAGTGAGGGGAGTGTGATGCCATTTCTTCATTTCAGAGGAGAACAAAAGTTAAAAAAATGAAAAAAGTAAATTAAAAACATTTTACAGATGTTGTGTGATGTGTGTTAGTGTCTCTGAATGAATGACATTGCTGTTGAAAAGAAACCTTTTATTTGGCGGCAGCAGAAACAAATTGACACAACTTTACACACAGGCCGTGAAGTTGGACTTTGGCACTTCTTTTGCTGCATAAATAGAAAATACTATTTTTTATAACTCGGCAGTTTCACGTTAATTTACAATCATCGTTAAACGATTGTCCACATTTCTTTACCCATACAGAAGTACAGAAATATGGTTGCTTCTAAACGAGAAAGCACAGCAGATGAAGAATAATGAGATAAAAATAAGGAACAATAACTAAGTGTGCTTTTAGTTACAAGAGTGGACAGAATGCTTGGGCTAGAAGAAGTGATAAAGTTTAGGATTAGTGCAACAGTCAAAGACCTGATTTTACAGCTATTTTACATTACCAGTGTAGTGTTACTGACTGCTGTTCTGCTGTGTTTAAAGTCCCCACAGACGTACCATTCACACCCGAACAACATATCTGACTCTTCATTAAGGCTGTTATTACACAATTGTTACAGTGCTTGGTAACGGCAATGCTCAGTGACAGCGTCTCATAATGAGTTTCTTTGAGACTCGAAGGGGTAGTTTGTGCTTTTCATTGGTCAGTCCGCACCAGGGCCTCAGCAACTGACCAAAGCCAGTTGGATCATTTGTCTTTTTTTAGTTCGGGTTCTTCTAATGGCGGTGCTGTCAGTTGTTTCATTTGCAGATCCACTTTAGCTTGCCGGTGCTTCTGGACCAAGTTACCGCCCGCAAAGCCCAGGGCGCCTCCTCCCACAGCGGCAGCCACCCCTGCGGCTTTGAACCCAGCCAGCAGGCCAAGTGGACCTCCTAATGCACCGCCCAGCAGAGCCCCGGCAATCGGCAACACCGCCAACTTGTATCCCAGCGCCTCGAGAGACAGGAAGAAGAGATATGTTCCAGTTTAATTTAACACACACACACACCTTTGGAGGCATTAGTACTTTGTTGCTTCAAGACAGTCTGCGATAGACTTGGCATGTCTCTATCCTTTCATGATCACACATCAGCCTACGGATGGTGGGAGGAAAAAGTGACACAAACAAGCCTGCATGTGTATTATGTTAAAGGACACTTGCACAGCAGCATCAAAGCGCTTCCATTATCTTCGTTTAGGAGAAATCAGAAAGATGTGGCCTGTGTGTGTTATTACAGCTGTTATCATCAGAGTAGAAGGTGCTCTTTGCTGATGGCAATTAATGACTTGATTCTCTGACCACCCTCACACACACTCATGCACACACACACTAACACTCACTTGATTAACACTTCACCATTAAATTAATCTAGTTCAAAAAGCTAGCATAGCTTGTCCCTACCCCTGTGGCAGTTGAGGGAATTTTAATTTCATCTGAGCTGAGTTAAAAGGATTCTGGGTACAGAGGGTGTGGAGGATGGAGGAAATGAGGGCGTTGTGTGGTTTTGTGGGTGTGTGTGTCTGTGTGCGATGCTGTTTGACCTGATGATAGATCACAAGCTTTGAAAACGTTAAAACATCTGACACCCCTCTCATCTGCTTCATCACTCCTCACCCCTTCATCTTACAGGCGGCCCACTACATCTACCAGCGACCTTACAGAGAGGGCAGGCTTTGTCTGCCTTCCAATTTGGGGTAAGTTTAATTTGAATAAACTCTTTAAAAGGAATTCTGTATGAAGAAACATTAGTCACAAAGTTCAAAATGACTGTTTGTTGTGGTCAATTATTACAGGAGTCTGGCCACATTAAGAGTTTGGTTGAATCTAAATATATTTTTGCATAGTCTAGCATACATGATACGATTTAATGAAACGGGTGGCAAAATGAAACTTCATAACAACAAAACATGCAATGGACCAATTTTTGACCATGACCATTCCTAAAGCAAAAGACCAATAAAAAGAACAACCATAAAATAACCAGATGTGGAAATCCTTTTAATCTCCCATTAAAATGCAATGTGATTGTTTGGACCTCTTCAAATACAACATGGGTAATCCAAATTGTACCTCAGGGAATATAAATGTTTGGAAAAGTGTCATTTGGATCTTAGAAGGCTGAAGACAGAAAAATGGCTCATAAGTATCCAAAGTGTGGGTCATGATAAGATAAGATAAGCTGTAGACTTTACTAAACGCTTCATTGTTTCTTTTCTTCAGTGTTTCTTTTTTTTCAATGTTTCTATTTCTACAGCATCATTTATTAAAGAAACAGAGCTACTGCCATACAAAATATCTTGCAGCAGCAACATTAAGGCAAGGCTTTATTTTGTTATTCATCTTTGTGAATACTTTTTCACCTCCCTAAAAGCTCGAGATCAGCATCATTATTGTATAACAACTTAAAACCTTGACTTTTTCTATTAATTTCATCTAGTGTACTTGAGAAATGGCTCAAATCTCACCCAACAGGACAAATAAGTCTCTAAATGTGCAAAGAGCAACAGCAAAAAAAAAGGTAGTCACAGCCATTTCAGTTTAATTGCTGCCCCAAATAATCAGGCATCAGTCTCCCCAATTACAGTTGAACTAAACCAAACCTCTATTGTTTCCTACAGTTTTTGGCTTCAACTCACAAATGAATATTAAAGAACACCCCCCCCAAAACAAAAACATGCTGGTAAAAAAGACAAAAAATTTCAACTGACTTATATGAACAAAAAAAACATTTAAAATAAAACTTAATTAATTCTGCATGCAGACAAATAGAAAAAAGGTTTGTTTATATTTTGCGTGTGGGGTAAACGTCTGGGTCAGTCACTTGTTAGACTGAGACAGTGGAGGAGCACGCCGAACAGCGAGCACAGCTCCTAAAACCTACGAGGTGTCCACACACACACACAATCACGTAAACCCCTCACTTGTCAACCTTCTTATCTGACCTCTCTATCACTCCCCTCCCCTTCACTTCTATCTTTCCCTCTCCTCTCTCTATTTCCTTAATTGCGGCTTTCCTCCATATTCGAACGGATCAATAGGGACAAACGCTGTGGAATGGCTGGGAGGCAAAGTGCCATCGATCTCTCCATCTCCCAAACACCGCACACAGCCATCAGATCATCAGGACATTAACACACACACATATACACACCTTCCCCAGGCTCTTGGTCCCCTCCTCCACGTTGGCTGCGGCTGTGTTGACGTTGTCCTCTATGCTGTCAATCTTCTCCTGCTGGGACTGCAGCACGGGGGTTAGACACACTCATAGTCAGGCGATCACTGAGATATAAGCATGCATGAAAAGAAGGAAACACCTGCGGTGCACAAAAATCTTCTTTTTTAATAAAATTAAAAAAACTTTATTAATACCTGTCCATCCAAATATCTGATTTGTGGGAAAAGTCAACACAGGTGAGGTGTGTGTATATTCATAGCAGACTTTACTGAGAGTTACTCAAGGTGTTGGTGTGTGTATGTGCAAACGTGTGGCATTGTGTAGGTCTCATGAAATATTCAGAGTGGCAGCTGTCTCTCGCCATATGAGGGTTGGATGGACACAGTGACCAAACAACAAGCAGTGCGGGCTCCTTCTTGTCCTCCTCCTCCTTCTTAAAACCACTCTCACCTGCTCAGAGACTAGTTTTACAGATTAGAGCCAGTTCTGTGCATATTCATGTAAATAACTTCCTGTTATTTTTGCAAAGGTTTCAAAGATCTTACTCCTTTCAATGCAGATCGTGTCAGTTATTCAGCTAACGTTGACTTTCTTAACGTAATCATTTTCCACTTACTGTTACTGTTTGTGACCTAACCGCTACCTTAAAAGACAAATATGTCAAGAAACAGTGATAACTGAACTACCCCAAAAAATACATTAATGTGGCGATTGCTTTCAGGAAAGATCATTTAACGTAAAAAATCCCTTGGAGAAAGTGAAAAAAACAATGCGTTCTGTACATTGCACTTGGTTGTTAAACTGGTAAAAAGACTTTCAAAGGAGGGTTTGAAACCAGGCCCTGATTTACAGTGGCAAAACTTAGTTTGCACAGTTAAGACTTTAGCTGCTACTAGTTTATTAAATTCAACATATTTTCTTTGTTAATTTAGAGAGCTCACTTTATTACTCTGATAGAAAATTATTGCTGTACAATTGGTAGGTTATTGAGCACTTTGCGTGTCGGTTTTATCTGTAGTGAATAAGTCTGGAGGGTGCACAAAGGAAAACACACAGATCGGCACAAAAGCAGAAACATCGGAACAGCCGCTGATGTGACACACACACAGAAAGAAAGACACAACCACACACTAACTCAGTATTTCCACTGAGGCTGAGCGCTGGAATATTGCTCCCCCTACGGTGTTTTTCACCCTTGAGACACCACAACATGTCTATGCTCTTTCTGCACCCCCAGTACCTGTTTTTTTTTTCTTCACCAGCTACATCTTCACTCTTTCTTTTGCCGTTAATCTCTTCTCCATTCGGCCTGCCTGCTCCTTTACCTCCACCCCTGAGGATAGAGTGATAATCTGAACCGTCTGTTCTCCACCTGCTCTGCTGTATCCCTCGTTTCCTTCCACTCCCTCTGTGACAACCTGCTGTCCCCCCCCTAAAATCCCCATTCCCTCCCTCTCATCAACTCCCGCATCCATGCTCTTGCCTCAGAGGAGGGCCCCTGGGGCCCCAGCAGTGCTCCAGAGCTGATCTGTATAACCCCGTCTCAGAGGAGCCTTACCAGGCAACAAAAGCACACGTTGGTTAAACACATGGAACTTCCTAAAAACTCTCATTATATTGGTTCACAGGGCCGGTTGTGCACGCATACACAGCAAATGCATACTGTGTTCGAAATGTAATGAGAAGGAGAAGGACAGATTTTTTTAACTCACATGGACAAGTAGAGAGAACTCTGTCACCAAGCCACTCAGCTCCTTCAGGTCCTAAAGAGGAAAAAATGCTTTATTTATTTCATTAAGCTCCTTATCGCGTAGATCTATAGCAACAAATGATCCACACCGTCAGCGTCTGGGACAGGCATTATCTAATGAGGGTGAATGCATGCAAACCATAACATTGTTTAGTTCAAAGGAAGGATGGAGTTATATAGAGCACAGATCACAAGACCCCACCAGCCACTGAGGTGTTCCCAATGTTGCTGTTGTTTTGTTCAATTTGAAGTCAATCCTGACTCTTTAAAAACAAAGTTTTCCGAATGTAAATCATGGAAGAGCTGCTGCAGCCGTCTCTTTGCAGTTTTATGAGACGTGGAAACTATGCTAAAGACATTAGTAACACATGTCCCGCCTCTGCTGCTGCGAAGACCTTTTTTCCCTTTTTCTTTGACCTGCTAGTTACATATAATAAATGTACAGCCATTATTTATTCACCCTTCATTCTCAACAATAGCAAAATGATTTTTTTATCTTTGATTGCATCAAAGAAAAAAAGCCTTTGTGGAAATAAACCACATAGTAGCTCACAGAAGCAGCCACGATGCCACGTTTCTCAGCATCTCCATCCGCCCAGCAGCGGCAATGCGTTAGTTCAGGGGAAGTAGTAAAGACAGAAAAGAAGCTAAAAGTGTAGAGGGCTTTTCCTGTTTTTGGTGTTTGTTTTCAGTTGAAGTTGATATTTAAAAAAAACATATAGGTTAAGAATGTGCTACATATTCTAATATCATGTAATAAACATGTAAATAAAAAATGTTTTAGGTTAAAAAATGCAGCATTGTGAATAATCCAGCCATACACACCTCTTCCAGGTTATCCCAGGACTCAGCTGCACTCTGATCAGCTGGGATTTCTGGAAGGTAGAGCTGCGTCTGCCTGCCGGACAACGATTCCTCGCCCAAGTCATCAACAGCGTGGCAGCTACTGGATGCACAGCTGGACGGGTCTGTAGCAGGTGGCGGTTCAGGGGTGGGCTGAGGTGGGTTGGAGTGCACCAGCAGGAAGTCTCGTGCAGCGGCTGACGCTCGGTCTCTGATTGGCTTCACTAGCGCTTCCAGAGCCGCGGCGTCTTCGGCACGTACCCGACCGCACAGCTTCTCCATCTCTCTGATGTTAGCTCGCAGCTGCTGCAGAGACACCGAGGAGAGGCAATGTTTTCTGTATGAGCCAGAAAATATTTAAGGCACAAATAATGACTTAATTGTCTGGAAAGCATTGAGATGCTTGATTAGGGGAAACAAGGGCCGACAAGGAAAAAGCAAACCCGGGGTCAAAAACAGCGGTCAGCGAAAAAAAGTCAAAGACAATACATTTTTAGTAATTCAAAAGATTATATGCAGCAGGAAAAAAACAAATAAATAATGTGGACAAAAGATACCATTTTGTATAACGTTCAAGTAATGCGAGATACGGGTGAGCGCGCATGTGTGTGTGTGTGTGTGTGAGTGAGTGGGTTGATGGGAGCTTAATAAGGTTTAGATATGAGGCTGTGGTACATCAGAGGTGCCCTGAGGGTGACAGGAGGATTACAACCCCACCGTCAGCCCTGTAGGCTAGCGTTCAGTGACCCGGGCTCAACTGGTCAATGTGCTGCCGATAACACATTCCACTAATTACAAACATGAATAAACATATGTACACACTCCAGTCCACACGTACACACAACTTAGAGACACACTCCTTTAACGCAGAGACAGTTGAGCTGGCACCTGTCGGCCTGCAAATAAACCAACCAGTCTCAGTCTGGATGTGTGTTTTCCTTGGGAGCCGCTTTGGTGCTGTACAACTGGGAGTACATGTCAATCATTAAATAAGGTGAGAGACTGCAGGCTGTTTGAGGAGCAGTCAAAGGACAAACAGATCAACAAAAAGTGAGGGATTTACGATTTCAAATCTTAATACAAAACAATGGGAAAAAGGCCCACCTGTGATCTACATATCTGCCATTATACCTGTTGGTTTGTGTAGTTTGTCTATTGAACATAAACACATGTGCACAAACATATACTCACATCTAAAGACGGAGTGACAAACTCCTACTCTAGATCAACGCTGCAAAGACATGGGAAAGCACTCTCTGGGCGCCCCTAGGGTTGGTGGGGTAATGGTGAGAGGATAGGTGTGTTCCTGTTTGGAGTTATTTCACCTTCAGAGACATGGTGGCTTCCAGGCAACAACATCCCCTAAGGCATTTCACACCAACCATGTGAACAAGCTTGCAAGTACTTAACACACACACACGAGATGGTCTGTTTGAGGTTCGGTAGAAGCTCTTCCCTTGTCTTGATATGTTTCCCCTTTTTTAAGCAGATTAAGCAGTTGTTTCAGTTCATCTTTCATGGTGCAATTCAAACATCTGGGAGCTGAAGAGAGCAGATGCTTCAGTTTTTAAGGCAGCATGTTTGCCACAGAGTCACACTGAGTTGTAATATTTGCAGATGGAAGTTTGGCATCACCTGGCAGAAATAAATGAGGCTTTTATTTAGAGACTGTCCTATCAGTAGTTACCTCTATCTTTAGATATTTCAAATAATCTTATTTGCACATAAACTTCTTACTTTTGATTTGAGAAATGAGGCTGTAATGATGATTATGATGCATGTTTTCCTCATGCATGCCTGGATACCATCTAGGTACTAGCTTTCTCTACCCATCCAAAAACAAACAAGTTAGGTTAATTGACGATTCTGAATCAAATAAAGTGAGTATGTATGTTTTTTTTCTCTCTGAGAGGGCCAACTACCTATCAAGGATTAGGGTTGGAGAGCTTGGATAGGCTCTAGCCCCTATCACATGAGAACTGCTCTAACAATAATTCATCATATATGTGAGGAGATAAAAAATGTCTCAAGTATATATCATCTGGAGATGGATCCTTGTCATCTCCATGACTGTGGTGACTGTATTTTGCCAAGATAATCTAAAATAATCTAAGATAATATAAGTATGTTGAATGTATTCTGTTTACTCATTGTTGACATGCACGGTTCAACAGACATGTGTTTGTGTCAGCCATTGGTTTATTAGACTCAAAAGAAGAAGTTATGTCAGTTATTTCCTTCACTTAGACACTGTCTGCTCTTAAATGGATAAAGACCCTAGATGCTGCTTTGATTGTGGTCTTTGATCCTAAAACTCGATAAACATGATGGCTATAACTAAAGAAATGTCAAGTTCCACATTTAGGGAAGTCACAAGATCCAGACAATTTGAGACAAAAAATAATCTAAGGACTGTAAATCTGAATTGGATTAAGGGGGCATAGAAAATGGGTGGGTGGATGGGTGTATATTCTAAACAGCCGCAGATACATGCATGTTTGAGAATGTCAGTGGCGCTGAGCTGCGTCTTCAGGCCAACAAAGGACACAGATACGTTTTTTGGCAAGTTTACAGAGTCTCATGACATACCTGAACAGTTCTGCTGGCATTAATATGCTCCTGATGAAGGCGATCCCATTGCTGGTTGCGCTGGTACTGCGAACATGAAGGAAAAAGTATCACGTCTGAGGTCTGGATGAAACAGTTCAGATGTTATTATTTGTGCAGCTACATTTCAGTTGTCACCTTCTGTATGTTATTGCAGTGCTGCTGCAGTCTCTCCAGGTCTGTGGGCAGGGCAACTTTAATGAACTTGTGGATTGGTACTTCCAGGCGCCTCAGCGTCAGCTTGTTCCCTTCTTCTGCCATGTGTCCTCCTAGGCGCCCACAGCCAACACCTCTGTGTAACGGCTCCACTATATTTCACTGTGCCCACACACACACACACACACACACACACTGTAAATAGTAGCAGACCATGATTCCAATAGATATGCTAAATAAATTAATACATTCTGTGACATATGGGAGCCTACCCACACCTCTTTAAAACTGTCTTTTTGTGAAGTTAGAATATGCCCTTGCCAACATCCTTTAGAAACGAGTAACTGAGTCATGTGACGTCTGTGCACTCTCTAACAGATATCTGAGGTGATTCATGGCAAAGTAATTCACAATTAAAGTTCCTTTACTGACCAGAAATGACAAACATTTCAACTTTGTATCATTTGACAACATCGTCTTGGAACTTTGGGAGTTTTTAGGTCTATATCACACTATTTCCAGGGGCTAAATACAAAAATTATACTATGTCACATTGATGTTTAGAACACAATGCATGCTGTACAGTTTAACCCAATTTGTATTATTATTATTTACACAATCAAGGTGATAAAAATAAACAAAAAACATCTTTGTTTAGGAAAGAAAAGATTGTTACAGAAAAATTAGGCGACTGATAAAATTCCAGGAACAAGTATAAGTTTGGCAAAAATCCAAAATAAAACAAATTATAGTCTTTCCAGATGGGGCTGTCCATCTGGTCCATCAAGACTGGTTTGAGCTAGTGTTTCGTTTTGCAACAGTGTGCACAAAAATCTATAGTTAAATGTATTATTTTACTCCTGTCTTCCACCTCCAGATAGCTGAGTACTATACACATGTATGCTATACTTCGTAGTTGGGAAACGTGCAGATTTTAAAATTACGAGGCTATAGCAGCCTGCCTTTTAAGCCCTCATGCAGTGTATTACACTGTAATACAGCTGTCATATGGGGACTCAGGGTTAGTTTAATGGTTAATAGAAACCTAAGCAAAATTTCAATCCCTTAAAACTTTGTGTTTACCTGCTTTCGATGTTTGGAATTACGAAGAGTAACGAAAATAGAAGAATAAAGACTGTTTAGGAAACTCGGACTCAACTCATACTATCCCGTTCAGTTGACATGTCCCCCTTTGTAACGTTTGAAAAGAAAGTGAAATTTAATTAACTCTAAACTTATCGACACTTACCAGCAATAACAGCTCTTGAGAATATGATTTATGCGCTCTTAAAACCATCACGAGACTCCATACTTTTGAGGAAACAAAAGTTCGACTACATCTAACTGCTGTAAAAAAGCCTTCGTATTTTTTTCTGGAGCAGTTGTATACAAACAACTCCCTTCTCAATGCGTCAAGGAATACCGTCCGACTTCAAACAGCGACCGTAAGACTTATTTGTTCCAGTTAGAAGTTAGTTTATCACAGCATAACCCAGATTATTTAGCACTGTTACAAATCTACAAACAACGAATTATTTTTATAACAAGAATCAAAAAATGAATATATATATATATATATATTATCTGATAATTGGTCAATAATCATCAACATGGCAGATGCTGTTTAAGGAGATGTTCTACATTAGATGGATTTCCTTATAATAACGACAACAGCTTCATAATTGAAATGTAAGAAGTTGTCTTAAATGAGTACATGCCTCTGTTTGAACATTTGCACCTAACTAGCGTATGTAAGTGGGTGAGACCACACTCCTTTCAGTAGACAGAAGTGGGAATGGATACCATTACTGGGACTGATAGATGTGGTTTCCCAAGGTGCACAGTGTCTACAATTTACCTATCTGTAAATAACTTCAGGACTTTTAGAAGTAAACCCACTAACTGCATGTTACTCATACAACAAAATGTGGGGTATCTTTGAACTGAGACCAAATATTTCAACTAATTAATCTAGAATTTCTTTGTAAATATGCAAAATCTCGTATGCTCATTTGTGGGGTTAAATGTCTGGCTACAGTTTTGACCAAACCAGGGACTGATAGATGTCGCAGGAGACAAACAATTCAAAGGTTAAACATAAAAACGTCAACTCTTGAGGTAACGTTTCTTGCTGTAGGTGGGGTTTTGCTCACTATATTATAACCTCAGAATTTCCAGACTGTTGCTCAGATTGTGGCCCTCCTGTGTGACCATGCCCATACATTTGAAAGAGATGTATTAATTAGCTACAGAGTCCAAATGAAACCAATCATGCCAGAAAAAAAAGATTTTTTTTTTTGTCAGTACACAGAGTAATTAATCTTGACAAGGATTCCCCAATGACCGCTGTAAACATATAGAATAAATTATATATACATTGTTATTTTTATTTGAATTTTTCTTTTTCGTCATTAGCGTGCAGGTATATACAGTTGACTGCCTATAAACACCAGAAATCCTGTGGAAAGTTAAATGCAGTGTGATATTTTTATCTGAGTTTTGTTTGGAAGATAGAAAAAAGAGAGAACTGGGCTTCCCCCTCCTCCACTGTGAGATCTGTCTGTGTGAGTGGGTCTCTTGCATGTTTCCACTTCTCTACCTCAGCACCTTTTACCTTTGACATTTAGGCCAACCCCCACACACACTCTTCCCTCAGCGGATGCTCCATGCGAGGGGCCACACAGTCCCCAGCTACAGGGGATTTCCCTTGGCACAGTAGCATGTTGTCAATGTGTGTGTGTGTGTTCTGTCCACTGTCAGGGGACTCTCAGACTTGCAGACAGAGGTGTGTATGTGTAAATTCTCCAACTGTAAGTGAGAGTTTGGATTGCAAATTAAAACTGTTTGGCTTTATAATACTTCCTGACTGTTTGTGTTGGAGTGGGTATAAATGTGTGCATATTATTTTCTCTTTTTGAAGTGGTTACATAATTCTGTTTGCTTATTCATTAAAAAAAATACTGAGCATGGTTTTCCAGTTCTAAGTTTTCAGATAATGAAGATAATTCAGTGTCCTATGAAGTGTTGAAAGCTTGTGTGCACGCTGGTGCATTATGCCCAGGAGGACTCAGGTGTCATTTGTTTCAGTCTAATCCAGGAAGTTTGACAGCAGGAGAGGAAGCCAGCAGGGAGCTCCGATCACTTCTTACCTCCTGAATCTTACTGTTTTTGTAGCAGGTGTGATTAGCACATCCTGATTCCTCAGTGAATACAGGCCCGTTTCACAGCAGACATTTTGACATGTCATAGTAAGGAAAGCACAGGTGTTTCTAATAACATCAACGACAGCTCTTTGCTATACAGGTGTACCAGTCAACATCTACATGCAAGAAAACCAGAGATCTGAGCAAGTGCCCAGAACGATTATCATTTCAGGTCAAAATAGATTTTTCAACTTCAGCTGTGAAACAGTGTGTACTACCAGAGGAATATCTGTATGTTTATCTTTTTCATTGTTGAACTTATTATTTTCTTTAATTGATATTCTTTTGGTGCAAAACAAAGATAAAACTTTAGTGGTAGATGCACACTGTCATCTTGTTATTAAGCTTTGAAGTGAGATGTTTGGCAGAGGGAATACTGTGCTTCAAACAACCATCTCCAGGCTGGTTTTATTCTGCAGTTTTTCAGAAGGTATGGTCAATATATTGATTTATATCATCTTTATTTTAGCCCCTTACCCCTTTCCTGCAGGCATGTATGCTAAAAATATTCAAAAACATAGTTTTGTTTAATTCCAACTTGAAAAAACATAACTGAAAAACTAACATACTTGCAGTCATTAATACCTTACTAGAGACTGACTGTTTATAAAATGTATGTTGTTTTATTTGCTATTTTTTTGTTTGCTTTTTGTTTGTGCTCCTCAATATTACTCTGTGAAAATAACTTGGTGAGAAGAGGGATTTACAAACAAAGTTCAGTTGGTATAATTTAAACTATTTGGGGTAATCTTACTTATCTGATAAGATTGCGAGTTATGGAGTCACAGCCAGATCATACCTGCTTTGAATGTGTGCATGCATAATCATTATGTACATCTGATGGGAGCTCCAATTAAGACTGTGGATATCTGGAACCTGTCACCACAGATCGATTGGCTGTAAGATTGGCAGTTCACTGTGTGTATGAGTCCATGTAAATTTTAGTGTGTATTTACTCCTCAAGCTTTCTGCCTCATGTCCCATTTTAAGTGCAACTCAGAGAGGTTGTGGGTTTTAGGATTAACGTATTTCATTTATACACACCAATACGTAAAAAGAAGATTGGTTTAAATAGGTTTTTCCTGCATGGTGATGGAAACATGCATTACAATATTTGACAGGAGCATAAAGTGTTTGACAGATTCGTATCATACACATAACATACACACACATACCATGGTACGCAGGAAAAACATACTGAGAGCGTGAACATTATGCTTCTGGTATCTGTAACGTATACTTTATCCAAAGGGGATGCACCGTGTGCCACATAGGTCTTACATGCAAAAACAGGGGACTCTCTCTCACTTTGATTCTCTTCTTTTCTTCTCTTTCTGTCTCACACACACTCACACAGATGTATCTGTGCACTGTTTTACCACCAAAGTAACTATCAATCGTGTGGCTGTTTGAGTAAGAGTGTGCGGATCTTGTAGCGCCTTCAGTGTTGTGCGGGTTGGCAAGTGAATGATGGCAGTGACAGTATGGACGGCATGTGCTGTGAAATGTCACCGTGGCGATCGATGTTGTTTAACGAGGCTGGAGGCTGATCTGGACCTCATGCTAACATAAAGCTCTGCTCTCCTCCTTCTTCCTCCCCATCTCACTCTCCTAATCCCCCTCCACTCTCTCAGAGAGCCAAAGAGTCCCTCAGGGGAGAGACAGGCCCTTTTACCTGTCAACAAGCTTTTGTCTCTGACAAGATACAGACTCTCACATACATTCTATATAAAACCAAATCAAATTTGGGTTATTTTCAAAATGCCTTGAAACTTGGGTGTGTTTGCATTTTGTAAGAAGGAGTAGTAGTTCATAGTAAAAAACTGAAACACAAGACACAGTCAGGTCAGAATAATCAGAACAAGTTTATGATTTCAAAGTGCTGAACAGAAAATCCAGTGAACCAAAGAGAAAGAAAAAAAATTTAACAGGAAATGCTAACCAAAGAGGGACATTGAAAAAAACAGCAACTTTTTTTTTCTTTTTTGTTTCTCTTCTTCAAAAAAACAATGCACAACTCGTACCACAATATTTGAAAAAGCTAAAAACACTTCAAAATATTAGTTTTGTATATATATATATATATATTTATATTTATATTATATTTATATCTATAGAATTTGCTTTTTTCATTAAAACTGCTGCCGTGAGGGTGTGAGTGGGTGGTGGAGGCTCAGGGAGATCCCCATAGAGCTGCAGTCTGCGACACAACCACAGGTCGAGCTGTTTTGAAATGCTATGGCAGCTCTTGACAGCTTATAGCACACCATGTATATGATCCTGACTTCCCTAAACGTACAAAGAAAGACAGTATGTCCTCTGCACTCTCATGCTGCCTCCACAATAGAAATGTAAAGAAAAAAATAGAGCAAGAATGTGGAATGTTTCACCCACTGGACGTGCAGCTATCTGTCGAGCACCCTCCTCTTCCTGACACCTCGCCATCCTTCAGGTAAGCAGGTAGGGTGTGTGTCTGTGCTTCTAGCCCTTCCTGGGGTGTAAGTGCTTCAAAAAGCCAATTTCTGTCCATGTTCGTCTCTCCACAGTCTTACTCAAACTACGGTATGATTTCAGAGTGAGTAAATAAAAAACAAACATAGCAGAATAAGTTCAAGTCTGGGTGACTCAGTCATCGATTGTTAGTGCACAGTATCTCCTCTGCTGTCTAAAGCTGGATGGAGACTGCAGCTCTCGTTTTAGCTACTGACAGCACAGGAAAAGTCATTGTAATTAAATAATTTAGAGTTTGAAATTAGGCCATTCGTCTTCTGTCTCTTTCTTTTTGTGGCAAGACAGCACTTAAGAAATTGCACTTGTAATTAAGAGCCCACCTAAACAGCTACCTCCATGTGTTCATGAAATATCTGTGTTTAGCATTCTTTTTCCTCTCTATCCTTTAACTGTCTGACCTTTGACCTTTCTATAGATCTCAGTATGAAGTCCCTCCCATTCCTCATTTAGCGTGAGGTAACTTGTGTTTCTCTGGGATATCAAAAGATCAAAAACATTCTGTCATGCTGACACCTCACCTCTGCCAAAAAGAAGTCCTTGGACAGAATGACCCAGGCCAAAACATCGATTAACAGTACAGATTTTTTAAAATCTTTTTCTGCAGAGTGAGCTGCCACCCAGATGGAGAAAGGACAGTACAAAGTCTTTTTTCTTGTCCATCTCAACCCCATCAGCCTCCCCTGTGTGAGAAAATCAGGAGGATCAAATAAAAAGTGGTAGAGAGTCATTTTTACAGATGGAAAGCATTTTGTTGGTTCTCTGTTGGAGCAAAGCCGTTGTTGTGTGGTTGCCCCATTGAGAGAGAAGTTTTCGATTGGCTCTCTTTACTCTGCATAAGTCAGAGGGGAGTCCATCTCTCTTCTGGCTGTGTGTGCATGCTCCTTGGAGAGGGGGAGGCCTGATCACAACATGACACGGGTTTTTCTTTGTGATGTCAGCTCAACCCGTCAGTATGGCAGAGTGTCCAGGAATCTGTCGATCAATTGAGGGGGCGGTACCAGGTCCTCCAGCTTCAGGTAGAAGATTCGTTGAAGACCCTGTGTTCTCTGAGAGCGAAGCTCTGCTCTTAAGCCCAGAATGCGACTCAGAGGCGGTGCAGCCTTGGACGAGGACGAGGAAGCGCTGCAGCCAAGGTGGTCTCTGAGACAACAAATGACTTTATTCTGAAGCTCCTCAACCCGCTTTGAGTCCTTCAGACCTGGGACTTGCTCTGCAAACAGGAACACAGACAGAGACATTGTGAGGGCAATTCATTAAATGGAAAAAATTAAGTCAGTGGAGCCCACAACACACACATATATATGTACACATCAGAGCTCATTCAGCTGAAATAACATTAGCTACATCTTGTTTTCTATTGAATTCCACCTCATTAGCCTGTATGGCTCATGTTCTTAACAGGCCTTAACCTGTCTCATTCACTACAGATCAATACAAAGCCTAACCTAATAAGCCTCCTACATGCTGTGTATATACACATACGCACTATACATGCACATTATGCATTGCTATATGAAGCCATTAAGGATGTATATCCGATAAAAATATTCTGAATGAAAAGATGCAAAAATAATCCTTCTAATTTGAAAATGTAAAGCACTGACAGAGACAAAAGTGCTTAACAATTAGCAGATTATTTGGACTTGTGAGCAGGCTAATCAAATTAGCAATACACAAACACTGCAGCCCCTAGCAACTCCAATGGCGTATCTCGTAGCAGGCTAAAAGTGACACTAATTCATCCTGCGGAAAACACACTCACACACATATGCATGTCCACACACAGGCTGGTCTGTGCAGCAGGGAGGCTGCCTCTAAGACCACTCTCACTTTGAGGTATCCATTATCTGAAGCTTAGTTTTTGTTTGTTTATGTGACTCTTTTGTTTGCTGTGCTTGCTGCAGTGTCCCCCCAGCTCTCCTTCCACTATGGCTTTCAGGCCTCTCGCACACTTTCACTTCCCCGCCTTTCTTCCCGCTCTCCCTATCCCCTCTTTCTCTATGTGCGCGGGCTCCTGGGGAGAGATCGATGACTGCCTTTCTGCACAGGCCACTCTGAAGTGGTCGATCGCCTGGTGGCTCTGGTGGCTAAGCCGTGGCTGTGCGCCGCATGCTTTGCCGAGGTGGCAGAGCGCCACTGAGAACGCCGCAGACGCCATTCCAGAGCCGTGCTCCACGGTGGACTGGTCGATCAGGCACAGAGTTAAGTGCTCCCCCAGAGAGTGAGGATGGGGTTGGAGAGCTTGGACGGAAAGAGAGGTAGAGGAAGAGGAGGTTGCGGGGGCAGGGTGAAGTATGGAAGTCTATAGCAGGGGGAGGGAAATTTTACCCACTGCACGTTAATGCACAGAATCTGACTGGAGCAAAGTTGTAAAGAAGGAAATGTTGACGCTTAATTGCGGCATATCCCCGTCATCTTGGACCTCATTTAAAATGCATTTAGCCAACAGCCAGACTGATGTCTCTTTTGTTACGTCTCTCATGTGTGTCCATGGAGAAAGCTTCCATTTTTCACCCATGAACACTGATTAGAAAGCCAGGTGTGTGGCAGGTGCAGCAGGTGCTTCTGGGTATCGGGTTCTTGTTGCAGGCAGAAAACACGCTTGCACATGTGTGTCTTTGAGTGCATGTGACATCAGGGGTTGTCTCCACCTGATCACCGTCACACCGAATCTCTCAAAGGAGAGGGTCTTCACAAACCCAACAGGAAAGTTTGTGAGTGTTTGTTTCTGTATTACTACATTATGGCTGACGGTGGGGACTATTTTTTGCTAAGAATGTTCTATCTCAAGCATGTCACTTTACTAATTCGAGTCTGTTGTTACCTGTGAGCAGTACTAGGGCTGCCAGGCAGGCGAAGGCAGAGGCATCCAGGTTTAGGCTCTGGAGGTGAGTGGAGAAGTCCCGGATGGAGTCGAGCCACTCCCCAAACCCACGAAGGCACTGGAACCTGTGCAGCACCAAGCCGTTGCAGAACACCAGCTTATCCTCTGATAGCATGGACCTGAGAAACAGAGAGAGCGAAAAGACGGAAACTCGTTAGCTCTCCATTCCAATGAAACACTGTTATTTTTCCCTCATGTATTGTAAATATAGCTTGAGATACTGGGGTAAGGAAACAATTAGAGTAAAAACAATAAGGAAACCTGGCAGTATGCAAACTCACACAGAAATGGCACACACATCAAACACAGGCATGCAGCTGATTAAGGTTGTGTTTTCCAAATTACAGCATTTTAAAACATTCCTGTGTTTCCTTGTGGCAGGGTGGGGTGAAGGGTTAGGGCAGAGGGCTGCTCTATGTGTGCGTATGTGTGTATGCAGATAGGTAAACTGTTATGGGTTTAATGTGCCCAAGCTGTGGCGTGCAGTGGAAACACGAAGCTTTAATAGGGAAATGAAACGTTTCTCAGATGTATTTAACCATCACTTACTCACGACACACAACATCCCGCTTTTTCTTTTTACCATTCAACAGAAAGAGAAGGAGGGCAAGCGGTGAATAATGCAGGACTGTTTGGTTCAAGAGGAGGTTAAAAGGGAAAGACTGAAAAGATGGGAGAATGCAGGATAAAGGAAGAACAAGGAAAACAGATGACGATCCAAACATTAAGGTAGGAAAGAAGAAGGGGGACTGGTGAGAAGAGAGGGGTGCCTCTAATTAAAGCCTATGCAAACATTGGTTTAGCAGTTATGAGGATAAGAGGCTGAGCCATTTGTGTCTAATTATTCTTACTGCAGTTTAAAAGATATACCCCGCCCACTTTGAGCCAATCGCATCCAAAAAATAAAATCCAGTAAATAAACACGTGTTACCAGGTGCAAAACATTTATCTATGGTCTCATGAATCAGCATTTGAATAAAAAATCAAGTCATGATGGGTGTTGTCAAAAAGGTTTTGTACGTTATCCTGTGCATCAAAGAATAACAACTCCCAACACTAACTTTAACTTTGCACCTAATGTATTCAAAAGTGTACAGTGGAAACAGTTGTCTCCTGATTTCTTGCTAAAAATGACTCATTAATAATTTCACAACACTGATGAAGCAGAACGGTCATAACCCCAATGAAAATTATTTTAGTGCGAGTACAGAATGATTTTCACAAATTCCCATCTAATCTATTTATCAAATTTCATGAATGGAGCATATTTTTGTGATTTATAGAAGTGCTTTTTGGATTTAAATGATCTGAGAGACTGATAGATTAAATGTCTTGAAATGATTGTCAGATAGTTTCTGTAAAGTCAAACAAATTAAATCTGCCTCACTTAAATGAGACGTAACATGGAAATTAGGAGAACATGAAGCTAAATCTAGTCTCTTTATTTCTTGCTGACAAATTCAATACTCGCATGATTAAGTTAGTATCCCTCTGATATATTGAACTAAAAGCTAAATAATATTTCATAATACTGATTGACCGATGTCTGATAGTAGCACATGATCAAAACTACACAGACAGGCTGGCAGACAAGCAGCAAGGCAGATGTGCACGCACACACAAGCACAGCTGGATGTCTGCCACACATTCCACTCACCCCTGACTACGCTGTCACCACGGTAATCAGCCAATAACCACAGAAACTGTTTGGTAACGGAGCGCTTACAGCAATGCTGGACCAGAGGAGCGGAGCAAATTTGCTCTATGCACACTGAGCACACACACAGTCACAGCCAGACAGACACACTTGCGAGGGGGTCTACATGGCATCTTGGTTCAACACAGGGTCAATGCAGGACCACATCGGAGATTAGCATCCTCTGCTCTCACGGAGGAAACAGCAACTAAGACACTGCTCTTTTTGTATGTTTTCCTCTGTGTTGTGGGAGTTTAGCTAATTGGAACACGGGTAGAATTTGTGTGCGAGTGTGTCTGAAACGGGCGCTTATGACTCCACCCTTTGGTTTGAGTCAGTCCCCCTCCTGCTGGGGCTGTGATGCCACCACCCATCCTCTACCCACCCTGCACCTGGACCTACACTGGGGAGAGAGAGAGCTCCACACAGTCAGTGCGTGTGAGTAAGAGTGCTTGTGTGTCTGACTGTGTTGGTCTTCTGCCCTTGGCGACAGCGCAGACAAAAGGATGAGCTTGTAGCGCGATCTCCCCTCCTCCCTATAAATTTAACCAGCAACATGCCTTACAAGAGCAAACCAGTTACCCAGGGTAACTCTGAGGCAGAGATGGGTCACTGCAGTCATAATGGCACCACAGGTATCCACAAGTAAGACAACCACGTGTTCATTTGCGCACGCACACACACGCATATTTGCCCACGTTGCTGGATGCAGGAAGGTAAATAAAGTCAATTCTCCTATGATTCCCGTCAGTTGAATATGTCCTCCCACAACTTCTCTTTTTAGTCTCTTAGCTGACTCGCTTTTTGAGATGGAATTGATCCCGTCAATTCACAGTTCACAATGTTAGGACACTTTTAGCCTGCAGAACACACACAGAGCTCTCTGTGCGTCAGATATCAGACGAGCCAAGCGGATCTCTGTGGGTGTAGCTGCTGTCAAAGCTACAGAGTCCATTCATAATTTGGTTCATATGGCGATTACTCAGCTCCACTCCTCCTACTCTGGAGATACACTAATACAGCAGCACACAACTTTGGTGGCCCCCTTACACACTGAAATTTGAACATTATAGGATATGAAATGCTTGTTGTTCAGGGCACATGACGTGAGATGACAAAGTTGTTGAAAAAATGAGGAGGTTATTGAAAAGATTTAAGTGGGGTGTGTAAGAGTGGAGATCTTTCTAAGAGTGAATCAAAATGTTGAAAGTTATGGTGGTAAAAGCCATCCTTGGACTTCTTCTCCTCACCTGTGAGCAAGCCGCAGGACAAACAGCTCCAGGAAGGCAGAGTCGATGAGAAGGTTCTGATCGTCACGTTGAAGTTCAGAGAAGCCAGGCAGGCGGTCGGCCCAGCATCGTGTGGTCTCCATCGAGATGGTGAGCAGCCTGTAGAACAGCTGGATGTGCTCTGCGTCTGAGGAGGAGGACGGAGGGTCGGCAGCGCTGAACTGTTTGAGAAACAGGCATAGAGAAAATTACTAAATGACTAAACACACGCATTCCTCTAACCCAAATGAAGCCCTATTGGGTACCTGGCTGTAGTCAAGGTCTCGAGGCGTGGAGTGGGAGTAAGCCCTGAGCAGAGCAGAGAGCAGGCTGAGAGGTGGAGAGGGAGGGGATGCCTCTGTCTGCAGGGGGCTCTTTGGTTTGGAGGGCAGGCGGCCTCGGCGGCCCTTCAAGCTGTCAGTACGCACCACTGCGAAGTTGAGAAAGATCGAAAATAGACACTACTGAGACGGTTTTCTCAGTTAATTACTGCAACACACATACTTTGTGCTCCATGACTAACTAATTGTTATTCCCACAGAAACTCTCCAATTTCCCACCTTTCAAACACAGAAGGCCAGCAGATGGCAGTGGAGCTGTTTTACCCTCACATGTAAGTATCAATACATACCCATATACAATACATGGGTTCATTTGCATATATGTGCTGTGTGCATGTAGGTGGGGGGATTACAGGATGTGCAGACAGGTAAGAAACCTCAGGGAAATGAGGCCAGAGAAAGTGTCATGCTGACTCTACAGATCAGAAACACATCTCTGCCATGCAGCCAGTCAGCATGTCAGATGTGATGACACAGAGTTTGGCTAAGAGTGAAAATCTGTGATTGTGTGGGTCAGCTTTATTCTTCATTACTGGGAGGGTGCACCGACAACGTCACGATGACGATGTGCATCTATGTGTTACCACTCAGGTGTGGGGTCTCTTACCTTCCTTCACCATGCCGACACTCAGGCACTTCTGAAAGCGGCAGTACTGACAGCGGTTGCGTCTCCTCTTGTCCACAGGACAGTTCTTACTGGCCAGACACACATACTTGGCGTTTTTCTGCACGGTGCGCTGGAGAGGCAAGAAACAGGCATACCGATAATCAGCCACCGCACAATCAACACCTAGTATTTGATTGGTTTAATTCAATTTTTCTCCCCTGTCAAAGAGTGAAAGCAGAAGCTCGCAGGTCAGATTTTAATTACGTGCTGAAAGGCGACGGTGACATCAGTATAATTAGATAAAATTAATTTCCCAACAAGCCTCGCCTGCAGGAGGGACAATTTTATTAGCGCCACAGTCGACAATGGGGATGGAGCGCGTGGCGTGCTGAGCTGCGTCCCGCGAGACGGGGAGGGGTTGGGTGTGGTGGGGGTGGAAGGGACAGCGGCCGCAAGAGCTGCGTGATCAAATTGTTTGTGAAGCTCGCGGGTCAGCTCGTGGCACCTCCGGGGCCTCGCGCATCGCGCCACTCTCAATGGGCCCCGCGGGAGCTGTTTTCTCCTCGGCTGGCTCGCGCGATTATTACTGACCTTATTAAAATGAAATCAGAAACGGGCCACGCGGGGGACGGGTGAGCTTACCGTGTGGATGACAGACAATGATAACGGGGATGGTAATGAATGCCTCTGCATGTCTGCGGGCACGAGCACCTGTACTAAAACCGCGTGTTCAGGAGTAAATTGCCAATACGCGCAGTAATAACGGGCGGTGTAACACTGGCTGATTTCTAACTTGTAACGTACTCTTTCATAGTAATAGTGATTTTATGTTCCGAAAATGCAGCTGGCAGCTTTTGCAGAACTTTACGCGATTCCCCGTGAAGTCACCGGCAGCGTTGCCTTGATGTTTGGACGGCAGAGTGAAATCTCTGAAAAGAATCTGCAAATCTGACCAAAATGTAATAAAAACGGTCCCACTATAGGATCATCCCAGTCGATGCCAGTCAACGTCTCGTTCGGACTCGTGCGCAATGAGCTGTCACCTCTCGATCACTAGAGTGCTCAACTCATAGGCCTACTTGTTGAACCTGAACCGGCTTTGAACTGGGTTTCATTTTCATTTGAAATGAACACCCGTTTTTACTGCATCTTCCGTGGCTGTGACCAATTCTTCCCACAGGAAAACAAACAAACAAACAAACAAAAAACCCAAAAGCACAATAAAACCATACCAGCCCCCAAAACCGCAGTTAAGTGCATTCCGGCTGCATTAGCTACATGTCTCAATGAAGTCCTTGTGAAACTGATTTCAATACGTTGTCATAGCAGGTAACTACAAATACGGACATTTCCAAGGCGTTTATGTTTTATCATCTGCCTTACTGTGACTCCACGAGTCCACTTAAACAGCACCTGAACGAACTGTAAATTAACCAAAAAAACACACGGACGAGGCCTTCCCATTTTCTTTAACGCATCTAAAACACATCAAAACAAATAAATCCAATTAGGAACCTCTCGCGCCACACACGCCCGTGCCCCCGGGAGACCAATAACACACCAATTATTCCATATGCTTCGGCGCAAGGGCGGAACTGACGCGTAATGGGCGCCAGAGCCGGATGAGATTCGTTGCCATGGCACCGTAGATCGCTGCGAATATCCCCCTCTCATCCCCTCAATGGCCAGTGACCCGTGCGCGCGAGGATAAGTTAGTTACGGTCATTAATGTGGTTGAGGGAGAATAGTGAGAGTTGGAATATGGGTAAAGCAGCATGAGTGGCTGCGTGACGCACAGAGCTTCAGCATTTATTTTCAACTTTAAAGAACTGCTACAAGGAAAGTTTGAAGATACTAACAGCATATTAACTATAACTTTTTATAATAATTTAAAAAAAAACTACGGGTAATATACGTGAGTCCTGACAACTGGATTGGCACACCAAGGGTTTGGGTTTTACAGTGAGTTATTTTTTCTACAAACTCCAAGGGACTTGTACTTTCCTTCACTGTACTGGGAGTTAAGCCTGCTAGTGAAAGTGGACTCTAGACTGAGATGGAATTAACTGTGGCGCTTGTTTTAGGAGAAAGGTCTTCTTTTCAGTGACCCCAGGCCTTAATTTATAAGATAGCTGCTTCCAAGAAAAGGCTGAGTTTTCAATGATCAATTAGAGTTTCGATAAATTAAACTCTTGTGAGTGAGCGCTTGCCCGTCTCCTCCAGTCTCTTCTGTCTTTATGCACTACGCTGTGTTTGTGTGTGTGTGTGTGTCTATTAGATGGAGCTCTTGTGACTTTGCTTCATCTGTGTGTGTCTCAGTACAGTGACTACAGACTGTTATCCCTGTGCAGCCAAGTGCTGGTGCACACACACACACACACACACAGCAAATCCTTTGAGTGAGATTTTTGGAACATGTGGATGCTTATTTTCTGCATTTATTTTGGCATGAGGGGTCGCATGAGCCATATTTGAGTACTTGAACAAATTTCAGCAACCCTGAGATTCGTCCTCACGTTTTCCCAAAAAGCACCAATTTCAAATTCATTACAATATGCAAACATAATTCATTGACAAACTTTCCTAACCTGAATTAAAGTACTGAATTATATCCAGGGACGCAAATTTAATTTACTACTGTGCATATATTTAATTTACATACCCCATTTATGTATTAAAACATATATGCATATTACCATCAAGTTTGCTCTGCAATGTTCTCCACCAGTTAATGGCATATAGCTATATGACTAACACGCTTTGTGAAAAAAACGGAGAATAAAAAGTGTCCGCGGTGAGCCGGACATGTGCTTTAACTGATAAAGGAACAGCAAAGGTAGCTCGCAGGTTTGCTGGGTGTTTGCATAAAAATCAGGGGATTTTAAGGTCCATTTTCATTTTGTTTCTAAAAATCATGGTGAATGCAAACAGCTGAGGTAGTTTCTTATTTTGAACATTTAAATCCTGATAAATTTCCTTGATTACTGAAAAGCATAGATAGAGACATGCATTATTCAACCCAAAAATAATAATAGCGGGGGAAAAAAAACTTGTTTAACAGCTAGAATTAATTCACGTGAAAATTTACTCCAATTTGCGTTAATGAAATAACAATAACTTACAGCATGCCTGTAGTAGGACTTAATGTGTAATGACTATTCGGTGATAATTAAATGCAATCAGGGAAGTACTTTCAGGGGACAAAAAAAAACATCAGGATAATGGAGGTAATCTGCCTGAGAACATATGAAAAAAAGCAGGTGTGTGAAAGGTTTTAGTTTCTGTTGTTGCATCCTGGATTTGTGGTGGAACTCACAGAAAAATCTGTACATACATGTTTTTCAATATGTGTGGTTGTGTGCATATGTTTTGCGTGCATGGCTGCATCTGCTTGTGTGTGTGTGTGAAGGAAACATAGCGAGGTTTGACAGGCTTTGTGGCTGCTGAGTGCTGCAACAAGCAGACAGCCTGCAGCCTGCTGCCACCAGACACTGCTTTCATTAATTAATAAATAAAAACAAATTGTGAAACTAATTGAAAAGAAGGATAATTCATTTCCACCTACCAGAGGCATTATTCAATTACCTCTGCACTTGCACTCTCTGTCTTGCTGTCACTTAATTTTCGCTCTCTTGTGTCAAGCTACCAATTGAAAGCTTAACAAGCGTGCCAGGAAATGTTGTAATTCAAAAACTTTGCTGAAGAATTACTTCACTGTCATTTGGAGATGCTTAAACGTTATTTCAAATGCTGCTAAGCTTGCAATGTATTCACAACGTTATAGCTAGTTTCAGAAACGCGAGTTTGAAAAATTGAGACACAAGGAAAACGAAAAAGTCAATCTGACTAAAAACTGGCTTTTGGTGATGCTGAACTGCGCGATGTGTGCACAGGCACGTGTGTGATAACACTGGATGTGAGACAGCAAGTTGAGACGTGTAAAAATTGAATCATTCGATGATGCAAATTTCAAAGTGACTCATATCGGCCCATCGATTCTGTCAGTGAAATTTGGTCAATTTTGTGGCCACTGATTCACTACAAACAAACTGAAAGAAAACTTTGATTTCGAGAGGGTTTTTTTTCCATCGCACACACTCACTGCACAGACGTCTGAGGGAAAAGAGGTTTGTCATCCTGCGTCCTCGCTTCAAAAAGAGCCAACACACACGTAAACCCAGCAGACACTTTGCCCACTTGGTTGCCAAGAGAGATGACCCTTGTGGGTGTGTTGTTCTTTCCCCACGACACCGAAGACGATTTAAAAGGCACGGAGAAAGTTCAGCGCACAGGGACAGGGGAAAATGTGAGGAAATGATTTAGTTTTTTTCCCCACAATTTAGTTTTCGACCTGTTCCCAGATATTGAGATGTATTTTAAGATGGGATGTCTGGTAAGGAATAGTAGTTTGTGCGTTTACTTGAATGAAGAGAAGGAAACTAGCAGCAAAGATTTAAAGCACTTATAGCTTTAAAGAATCCGTACCTTGAAGAAGCCCTTGCAGCCCTCACAGGTGCGCACGCCGTAGTGCTGGCAGGCCGCGTTGTCCCCACACACTGCGCAGGTTCCTTCTCCTTGGGGGCCACGAGGGGGAGGCGAGGGCAGGCTGTCTCCTAGTAGAGGCCCACAAGGCCCGAGAGCCAGGGAGCGGAAGGCCAGGCTGCTTCCCCCGGCCCCGCGGTGCAGCTGGTACATGGGCTGCTCCAGGGGTGGACAATGGGGATGGGATACTGATGAGGAGGAGGAGGAGGAAGAAGATGAAGTACGGACCAGTCCTCCCCCCAGGCTCTCGTAGCCGCTGACGCTGCCGCCGCTGTGGGGGGGCGAGTGCTGGTAGAAGTGAGGAAAGCGAGGGGACTTGAGGGGGCCCGTGTCTAGGGCAGATCCCATGGAGTGTGGGTGAGACGGAGGGGCCAGGGAGTGCGGCTCGTCCCACAGGAAAGAGGTGCTGGGCTGCGGGGGCAGAGATGGAGTGGTGGGAGTGGAGGGAGGGGACTGTTTAAAGTACATGCTGGAGGAGGACATGGCCTCCAGTGGCGGGGCAGTCGGATAGCTCTCCTCCTCCTTTTTGATGGTGGGCCTGTGCGGGGGCATCTGATAGAGGCAGGAGGATTTAGGCTCATAGCTCCCCTCTACAAACACATTGAAGCTGGGGAGGGAGGTGGTGGCAGCGGCGGAGATCTCGCCACCGCCCAGGTCCAGCTTGGTGTAGTCAGGGGTCATGAGGTCAGAGCTGTAGCTGTCACCCTGGTAACCGAAGGACTGGCCGGAGTAAGCTGAGCCTGGCGGGGCGGGCCCGTACTGAGCCTGCACACAGGGCATGTCTGTCGAGGAAACAGAGCACACTTAGGTTAGAAGAGCTCATCGGAATTAAAGAATACGTTTTTAGAATGCTTCTGACGTACAAAAATGTAAGTAGCAAAGCAATTATTAAGAAGATAACAGAATTTATAGCCATATTAGTAGAATGCTAATTTTAAAAAAGGGGCAAAAGCAAACAGAAACACAGTAAGGCAAAGACTCTATCTACGGAAAAGAGGAAGCGTTAGATGCGCATGCATGCAAACGTAGTTCTACACAGGGCCCTCAACTGAACCAGGACTTAAAATTTCTGCACAGCTCTATTGGAACAGGCAGTTTTGTCAACAATTTAAGTGCCAAACATTGCCTAAAGTTAAACCTAAATGTACAATTAAATCAATAAAAGCTTTAAGCAAATTATCCCACTTTCTGCCATTCACCTCTGGCCAGTTAGAGGTGGCACAGTTAGTTTGGCAAGAGATGCTGCAGTTTATTAGAGAAATATTCTAATTCCAGCAGCCGTATTTGTGCATGTGTGCAAGTGTAGGTGGGCATACTCTGATTAGTCAGATAGCAAAGCAGATAAGATGACATTGAATTAAAGTGTAACCCCACGGTGGTGTTGGGTGCTGGCTGCACAACCTCCTTCCAAACACACACTCAGACACACACAGATAGACTACAGTGACAGATGCAGACAGAAACATAGACACAGATATTTCCTCTAACTGCTGCAGACGCCAGTCGGCATGTCTTGAGTTTTCCCTCCTTGATTTAATTCTGCCACAGTCAGTAACAGGCCACCTCCACGTCAACCGTGTGAGCGCACAAGATACGTCTTTATCCCGCCGAACTTCTTACGCAACACACACCTGAGTCGGCGTGCGTGTCAGCGAGGCGTGTACGTTTTAAGGGTGCGCGCATTAGGCAGCCAGGAGTGTCAGCTCAGTCGGGATTTTGTGGTGTTTGCTCGACGCTCCTGAGCAGGGAACTGTCAACAGAGCGCTGCGCCCATTGACGACCAGCATGTGCGCGCTGTGCCGTAAGCGTCCCCGTTGTCCGCGCGTCACATTTGTCTAGTCAAATACGGGACAAATCGCTCCTACTGTTGTTAGAGCACGCACAAATATCCTCATCCAAGCGGACTCCCTCAGGCTCGGTAAGGGAATCAGAGCCAGGTGTCTTCATTCGTGGATCTAATCCTATTTAAGCGAGAATAAAAGTCTTGATGCATTAAAAACAAACGCTGCTTCCTGTCTTTAGTAGGCTAATAACTTCAATAAACAACGCCAGAGTCGGATATTTTTCAAATAATCTGCAACTTCGAGTTATGCTCATATATACCTTATAAAACGCATAAATATCACTCGTGGCGCAAACAGTCAGACTGACACATTTAAACAGCCGCTCTGGCACAATTAAATTATACCTGAGGGGCAGCTTGCGTTTTGGCTGTAGGGCCATTAAAACATAGGCATGACTCAAACTGTTAATTAAGTTAGGATTTATATTCATATTCATGATAGACAATGACACACATTGTATATTTTTGTTAGTTTATTTTGATTTCTTTAGCTATTTCATTTGTAATTCTATTACAACCAAAAGATAAAAAGTAAAAATACCCACGATCTCGGGATTGGTAACCTAATTTGAAAGAGAAAATAATGATAACAATTTGTGAATAGCTCCACAATCCTTATCCTGAACAATAACTCACTTTGGTGCACAGAGGTTTACTTCTGTGAGTACATGCTCACTGGCAAAGTGCCTTTCAACGGCAATAAGCAAGTTTCTTTTTCTTTCTTTTTTTTCCAAATTGAGGATATGAGTCAAGCTGTAGGCCTACGTGTGCCTGACGTCATCTTTTTTTTCTAAGGTAAGATTGACCAGCTCCTCAACCCACGTGGAAAAAAAACACACAAGCAACATTATGGGCGTCATGGGGCCTTTTTGTAACACACTCAAAGACTTTTTCCCCTTCTGATTAGACATCATCATCGAAGAAAAAAAATCTGTGTGAAGAGGAGGGTGTAGTGGTAAACTTTGTGGCTCTCCGTGTTGTGTCAGTAGGTCAAACACAGACCAGTTGATATTAGTCAGCCTGTGCACCTGTCACACACCAACACAGCCCCAGAGCAACTTGTGAAGCATGTTTAAATGCTACAGATTCTTGGGCTGACTTTGCCCGAGGCTGGATGAAAGAATAAGGGGGAAAGTTGAGTTGAAACATTCTGATGTTGGTCTGTGTTAGTCAGATTAGTAGAGAAACCTTTGAAGAGCTGTGTTTTTTTTTTTCATACGTACACACACACACACACACACAACACACACAACACACACACACACAAATGAACACAGACAGACACATTTGTATCACTAATGATATCGAAGATGGCTATGTGTACCTGTAAGTGCTCATTTAGCCAATAACATACACCCTCATGCTAAAAAAGAACCTGTAAAACCACTTCTGTCAAGACTTCGGCTTTGCCTTTCATTTGGTGGCTGGTCTATTCTCAGTAACACACACACACACACATGCGTTCACCAGTGTTGAGAGTTTCATCACAAGCAAAGTTTGTATCTTATGTCACCAAAGTAAGCTAGTATAACCCTCAAAACTCCAACACCACCATCGGATTGCCTTCATTACGCTTACATGCATATGTGTGTGTATGTGTGTGTGTGTGTGTGTGTGTGTGTGCATGTGCATGTGTAAGAAAAGGGACAGAAAACCCAAGCAGAATCATACACAGGTTGTGCAGCAAAGGCAAAGGGAAACAGTCTCTAACCTCGAGGTGTGCATTTCAACTGGACAAATTGCAGCTGTTCCAATAACTGAGTGCGCTTGTTCATTGTCAGAATGCCATAGATCTACCAAATAAAAACATGAAGTTTCAGACATAAATACAAGACACTTCATTTTACTCCCTCTTTTTTTTGTCAGTGAATTATGAAAAATAATGTGAGTAAAGTCATACTTGTGCACTCACAAATGCATCAAGACAAAACAGATTTTCATGAAGGCGCCCCTGACTTAATAAGCAACATATAACACTTGAGTGGAATCAAATTCTATTTATTATACAAAAGACAGGACTTCAACTGTCTGGCGAATAAATGAAATATGAAATAAACACATCCCTCTATTATAAACAGATCATAGTTAACCAATACCAATCCATTTAAAACACCACATTTTAGTCAAGTATTAGTCATAAAGACTTCTGAAGCTTGTTTGAGGTATTATGTTTATCGATGTATTTGACCTGTGATCACCCACCACCCTCATGATTAGGATTTTTGAGTCTCACAAAACTCTTATCTTAAAGATGGAAATGTCAGCTCTGTCCGCACTTACCAGTAGAGAGATTTACTCACGTTTACACACGCACGCACCCACAAGCACACCACAGGCTCAAGAAGCTCAGCTCAAGCGCACACAGAAAATATCACACTCATAAGACTAAGTCACATTTGTGTTTTTTTAAATTAATTGTAAATTGAGAAATATTTTAAGCCTCAAATGGAATTTTAGTGACTAAACTGTACATTTTCCTTAATCACCAAACACGCCACAACATCTGCTCAAAAAGAGACTTGTCAAAGCAGTTGTACCTCACAGAACATCAGCTGAGAAAGAAAGAAAAAGGGAAAGAAAGAAAAGGAAAATAAAGAAAAATAAAGTGAAACTATGCGAGTGGCCACTTCCGTACCTGGTGAAAGAGCTTCGCGCTGAATGATGCTGGGTGTCCGGGGTTTTGGGGTGGCGTGGCTGCGGCCGGGGCAGGGCTCCTGGAGCGTGGAGGACTCGGCGGGCGTCGCTGAGGAAGGATCCGATCGCCGGGGCTCCGAGCTCGGCTGGGCGCGCTCTTCCGAACCTGTGCCTGGAGGAGAGATGGGTTAAAGCCGGGGTGCAGGAGGGCTTGATAAAAAAAAAAAAAAGTTGAGTACCGTCATCAATAAACTAAAACACGTTGAGCGATAATTGATGCAATTAAGGCAATTTTGCCATTTTACAGTGGCATCTGTCTTCACAATGCCTGACCAAAAATATTTGTCCCAATTGTGTTGTATCGTACCCTATTGCTAAAAATGTCCCCCCAGGTGGGGAGTCAGCCACTTTAACAGCGATCGAAAAAGGAGCTGATCTTATCCCGGTTTAGCCCAGAGTTAGGTAAACATTTAACCTTACAGATGTAGTGAGTAAATCGAAAAAGGAGATTCAGAGTGAGATGAAAGTGGATGAAAACTCCTTTAAGATGCCGGTCGCCAAAACTTTAAATGATCCATTTCTCCCTTTCATGCAAGTCCATAGGAATACTCAATAAGAAAGAGATGTGCAGATGTCGATGATACACGGATCATTTTGGAGATTAAATATAGAACTGAATATATGCTACAAAGAAAACACTAAGAACCACAACTGAGGACTATAGGCTCATTTCGCGACTTACGTGTGGGCGATGGTTTCATTCTAACACACAAAAAATCTGTTCCGTTATCATTATAATTTAAACTCACAGTCGATCTAACGTCCGAAATACAAGTGCAACAGGAAAAAAAAGTTCTAAAAACACCTACACACCTACAAAAGTAAGAACCTTTATAAAAGCGGTCTGTGTCAGCGCGTCCGGGCCATCTCTTCTTTTGCCTGTGATCGCAACCCCTTCGGCCCGCTCAAGGTTCATCCAGAGGGATAGACAAGTCGAGAGATATTGGAGAGTTGGACCTGAAACCTAACCAGCGGGCTCGTGTGCGCCGCGCGCCTCCAGCTCTCTGTCAAATGCTGAAGGGAGCGCTGTGGCTGGTGGATTTCAAGGCCCAGAGCGCCCCCTTTTTGTCGCACACTCTCTTGCGCACACTCTCCGTTTCTCTCCTCGCCACAGACTCGCGGCACAGTCAACTTGCAAGACCACTCTCTCTCCCAGCGTGCAGCCTGTTGACAAGCCCTGACTTTTAGGCTACACCTGTAACGTTTCGCGTCACTGAAACCTTGTTTCAACAAGTGAAAACAATTTAACAAACTCCTCTCCCCCCACCACCAAATTCTGATCTTACGGTGGAAATCAGAGATGAAACAATACAACTCCGTGAACTCAGTTGGTTTTTCTTGGTCTGGACATGGCTCTTACACAAATCGTGTGCCTCACAGCGCCTCACAGACGGAAACAACAGGGTAAACGAGGTTAATCACAGCAGTTATTCGGTTTGGGGTTATTTTGAACAAATAAGTCAATATCTAATTATGTGTGTAGCCATCGCCGTAGAGTGTAGTAATATGTGAAAAGAGTATTAAGAATAATACCCTAAAGCAGTACGGTCCTTGGTTAAGTTTTTTCTGATAAAAATTTAATCGTGCGTAAAAACGATCTTAACATAACTTTTTTAAAGGTTTTATCTATAAGTTTTCAATTAAAATGAGCATTTTTGTTTTACAACTGATACTCAGTCTGTGCCCCCGCCCTGTGAGCAAACTGGTCCCCTCACGTTTCCCTCTCTAGCCGAGCCTGGCTCTGCGCGCTCCGGTAACCAGGAGAACGACTTAAGAGCTGAGAAGCACGCGCCCCGGAGCGCCGGTAGGCCCCGGTAGCCCCACACACCAATAAGCCAGGACAGCGCGAGGCGTCCAGCAAACAGAGACAGAGAAAAGAGAAGACATAAAGAAGAGACCAGACAAATATATGAGTACTGTAAATCAGCCAGGAGAGGGACACTGTCAGAAGTGCCCGTCTGAGTCCGTAATACTGAGGGTGCGCGAGGGGGAGAAGAGGGGTAACACCAGTTAGTTTAGAACCTCAATAAGACATTCTTAATCTACTCTTAATCTATTATATATTGTTAGTATAGCTATGTGTTGTCATCCAATGCCTCCGGGGTATATTGTGGGAATAAGAAATTTGACGTGGCTTTGGTTGAGTCTCTTCTCTCAGTGAGAGAAGACGAGTCCACATGGATATATAAGATAATTTAACTATAACCATCAGTATATCAATGGGAAATTCATAATACAATCGTAGAAGTAACACACTTATATCTCTAATATAAAGACACACACTAACACACATTATGTGACATTTCTAAAAGTAGTTATAAGTACAATCTTACTGAGCCTATACTTTAAAAAGGGATGGAGTTAAATCAAAGATCATTAATTCTACTCTCCCAGATCTGCCTGAATGTAGGTTAGACTACTCTATACTCAGACCATTTGTGTGCCTGACTCCACTCTTCATTGTGTGAGAGGCATCTCATTTCCATGACAACCGGAAAGGATATGATACCTTCCCGGCGCAAATTAAAATCGAATTCAGCCTCATCTGGAAACGCAAAACAGGCAAGAGCATCCATGCGCAAGCTGGAGGTTTACATATCAACAGGTTAGACGCGCAAAGTTAAAGCAACTCGACTGAGGATATCAGGGTATAAACTCAAATAACACGTGCTTTGGTTATCTGGAGCATAAAGACACACAGCTGAGAGGTTTGGTCCCGTATGTCTGTCAGGTCAGCTGCAAAGTAACAAGGATTCATTCATTCAAAGTTTACTTACTGGTTTGCTGTAGCGGTTCCGTCTTTACATTTGGTAATAACCTCGCATGAAGTATCCCTTTTCCATCCAGAATAATCACAAAGAGTTGAAGTGGTGAGAAAAAAGGTTTAAAAAATGATGTCAGACCTGTCAAAGAGGCATAAATGCATCGGAGGCAAAAAGAGTGAAAGTTTCGCGATCTTCCTCTTAGTTTGTCTAAAGCTCAAAAGTAGACAAATCAAATCAAGACTATAAAAAAGGTGAAACTCCCGAGTGTAAGGAGTAAGTCTGCGTCCGTTCCCGTGAGCTAAGAGTGTATCAGTGCTGATGGGTGCTTTGCAAAGTGTGGAGTTGTAACGCCGGTTTGTTTATGCGCGCCGTCTGACGGGAGAAAGTCAAATAGTGCATTTATGTGGGCTCTGCCTCCACATAGAGCGCTTGGCATGCACTACGTCAATCTGACGCCATGGGAGAGGTGACGTCATCAAAGTGGACCTCCCTCGCTGGCGCGCTCCGTACAGTAGGCTACGAGACACATAAGCCCCGAGTGCGTTTGCCAGAGAGAGAGAGGGAGAGGGGTGGAGAGAGAGGGCCAGGCAGAGGCGAGAGAGAGGCGATTGGTTTGATGGTTTCAGGACAAAAGCTGAGGAGGAGCCGCGAGGCCAAGTGGCATCACGGGAGTAAACATTACACATTAAGCACGCTTTTCAGATAAAAGATGACACTCTGATTCAATGTCTGACATGAAAAATATTTCACAGTACGATTATAAAGGAAATTAAGGTTAGAGCTTTTGTCGCTGACAAATTCAGTTTGTCCAAACAGCACTGGTGGAGGAAGTGTTCAGATCATGAATATGAAACTAACAGGCCACTGGCCACAGACGTTTTAGAGGTCCCCCACCCACCTGGGACAAGACAAGCAGACAAAAAGAGACAACCACAAACCATACACATATACGTCTTTACAGAGCGCCTCCAGATGAAAGTGTGTCAGATGTTGGGCATAATGGGTTGAAACTTGTGGTCATTTGATTTCCTTTCCCTGGGTTTAGTTATGAACATTTATCTACTTATTTTTTTAAAAGTCCATCAATGCTACACTTATTGGTGGTAATATAAACACTTTAAGTTGTTTTGAATCATCTCTTTCTGACACTGAAACAGTATTTCTATTTTCAGCAATGCATTCAGAGCCCTTTGACTCTTTGGGACACCGGGCACAGTTAGTAAAAACGTTCGCCTCTTCGATTTATCACATCATGTCACAACTGATATACAAAGTCACACAAAATGGAAAAGTTCAATTAAAACATAAATATGTGGAATTTCTGTAGAAAGTACAAGTGTGAATTAGAATTAAGTCGCTTTGTTGCATATGTCACCAAAATGTAATTATTCCCCCCATGTTTTCCTGTTAGGGGAAGGAGGCTATTTACACGTCTGCCCTGAACTCTGTAAAAAATATTCAGTGTAACTTTACCTCAGCTTCTTGATCACGAGCACCCCATTGCATCGATAAGAGCTATTCTTCACATGAAGAAATCAATGTCTATTTTAAGATGTATTTAGAGAAGTTGCATAAAGGGCGTAACGATACATTTGTTAATCTTCATCAGATGGAATTATTGTCTATGTTTCATAATGTGTCTGAACCTGTTTTTTTGGCAACAATCATCCTGTTGGTTTTTTTTTTGTGGAAAATAATCGTGCTTAAGATGTTCAGTACAGACTATGAACTCTGAAGTCACCACACAATATCCTGAGCGGTTGTTCTTATCAGGATCTAAAATGTTATTTTATTACATCAAATGATCCAGTCAGATAATTTAATCTTTCCCCCCATTACAATTTATCTCATTTGAATAGACTTATCTTACAGGATCAGATTGCAGGGCACATGTTTCATGTGCCAAAACACATACTGACAGAACTTTTCTGAAGTAAGGGAAAATGCGGCAACAGGAAATTAGATTGTTTCAGCCTGTTAACTATGAAGTTAAGGCTGATGGGGACACCATGACTTTGTAAAACATGTCTTCTCATGATTCAGATATATTGTTCATCAATTTCAGATAACCTGGTTACACATAACTACCGTTGTGCTACTGTACAACCTGATAAGACACATTTGAAAGGAGTATGACCAGTTTTGGGGTAATAAATACTGAAGTACTCCAGGGTTAAATTTAGAATATAAATGAGTTTTAAAAAAAAGTCATATTTTAAATAGTTCGCATTTAAGTATTGTGTTTGGTATATTCATATATATTCAGATTAAAACCTAATTCTCTAGCAAATTCTTACAAATTCGTCATTTTAGCCATAAAGGAACTATATTCTTGGTTATCCAGTTCTGTCAACTTCGAATTTAGAGAAGTCTCTTAAAACAGACAGCCAGAAGGCATACCCCCAAGCGTGTCCGGCAACCTCAACATTAAAAATCGCTCCGGCTTCCAGGAGCAGTAATTCATAACCACCAATCACGAGGCGCGTATTTTGAGTCAACGTCCTAATTCCGACCAATGATGAGCCCCACAGGGCGGGGAGAGCCTTGACGCACTGAGGCTCGTGATTGACGCAAGCCTTGTTCCTAAATTTAGCTGCTGGCCGACGGAGGCAGGGTGAGATAGCGGAGAGTCCATTCATTGTACCGGGGCGGGCCCTACTATTTTAGCATTGTGATTGTGATTCAGCCAAGCCAAATATAGTCGTAGACAGGTATTTTTAGTCGTAAAGCGTGTCCCCGTTTTTCATTTGGTGAAATGCCACACTGAACACAGTTTGTTCTGAGCGGCGGCTTAAAAATCGACACTTAGTGTCAGCCTGCTGTTCACCTGGGTAGTTTTACAGTCAGCTGGTCGCACTCATTCCCAGAGAGAAATTAGCTGTCAAGAGTACATTTCACTACCACAGGCTCCCTCCCGCTCCGGGGGAAACAGGGTGGAAAAGACCCTATATCCGAAGATAAGTAGGCGGCAGGTCCTCACAGAGACAGCACAGGTTTGTGAATGTGATGCTTTGGAGCTTCGCACCGCACCGCACCGCTGCTTCTCCACACTCTCCGGGCTTCACCGCTGCTCAGCGACACTCGCCGAGATCCAGAGCCGCGCTCCATGCACTCTCCGCCGGCTAACGTGTCCCCGTCGGCCCGGGGCGAAACTTCCCCCGAGCAATGATGCTCAGTAACTTAGTGGGCTACGTCAGTTCATCTTTCAGATAGTTTAAAAGCTCCACTTAACCGTACTGCATAAGAAAATATACATTCAACTCCACACACCTTCGTTTGAAAGCATTTTTGTTTTTGTGTTGAACTATTTGTGTTCTTGCACAATGGAGAACCCCAACATGCTCCAAATGAAAGGAGAGGTTTCAAATGTTTAGGCTTCAGATGCTTTAGAAAGAAAACATTTGGCTGTCTGAGTCACGTTTCAGATGTCTGGGCTCTTAATATCCTCACCAAACAGTCATTTTTCCATCTATGCTTCACGCACCGCTTCATTTCCGTAAATGATCCATCATCTAACCCAAAAAATAAGAGATTAGAGAAAAGTGCAAAAAACAAACAAACAAAAACAAAGCACAAATAGACTTTTTTAACTTGTTTTTTGTAATGTCCTGTTCCATGAACCATCTGGGCCTCTAAGTAAATCAGGTGTCCCTATTTATAAAAGTGTTTGTACCTCAGCTCGCTGCTATAACAGCATGCTGCTTGTACTGATGCTTCAGCATTGATAACATTACATTTAGTATCAGGAACACCAGTCTAGCCTGTATGATGCTATGCCTTAACCAGTTTTTGCTGCAAATAAATCAATACATCCGAACTGACTAGTTTAGAGTAATTTGACTTTAGCAAAGCGTATGGACACCCTTAGGAATGATAACACTGAACAGTATAAAGACTCCAGTAAACTCAAAATATTTGTTTTCTCTGTAAAACTGTGCAGTTTGCACTAAAACGTGCAGGAAATCCGGCATTCCTGCTCTGTGCCAAGTTTGTTTTTGTCACAGAGTGTGACGTGAATAATATCTTTGTGAACACCAGTCCTTCCTATTGTGCCACAATTAGCTGCTGTGCGTGCGGGTCACATGCCACCGGGCAACCTGCTAAACCTCTGAGTTGGACCCGACTGAGTGGGAAAACCTCCCCTCTTATCGTAATTCACAACAGCGCTTGACTTCAGTTAAGGACAGTTTGCAATGGGCTTTCTTTTCCTTGTCATTTAATGGGGGTCAACGCGGGTTTTAAATTGAAATTCTAACACCTGTCTACAGTCGGTCCCTTCATCCTCTCTGCTCTGATTTGGCTCCTCTCTGTTCCTCATTTTCCGTCTTATCCATGACATCTTCAGTGAATTATGAATTGACCTAATTCCCACTGCATGGCTTTCAGTGCAGAACATTTCCTATAGGCATGGATCACAAGCTTGTCTGTAAGTTGTGTGCTCCTCTGTGTTTTGCCGGGTGGCAGAGGGACGTATGGGTCGTCGAGGTCACAGCCTGTTAAATGCATGGTTTATTTTACAAAAAGGGCTTTCATACATTGAACTTCTGCTACCGCATGCCAGTTCCTCTGCCGCTCTCCGCCATGATCTAGCAGCAGCTCTCTGTCCTGTAGGTTTCTAAACAGATCAGTCACTTTGCAGAACGCCCGTCGTTTCCCTATGAGTGTTCGCTTTCACCTGGTGCATCCCAGTTGCCTCGGCTGTGACCTCACCACGGTGACGTGTAATCCAGATTAACCTGCTCTCTTATTCCGCCAGACCTGGAAGTGATTAGAGATTATGACCACGTTCTTTTAATAGAATTTGATGTGTGGGTTAATCAATTGCGTCCAACCAGCGTCGCGTGTCAGGTGACTCACACATTCTCACACATACAGCCACTTACTTTGTCACTCAGGAGGACGCCGCATTGATTTGCATTAATTCCCCAAAGACTCAGCATACTTTACACCATAACTAATACGCGCTTATCTCCAAGATTAACTGGAGCCAAATCCAGGGTTCCAAACCTAAAAATTGACTTGTTTTCTTTGGAAGGATTGGCTTCTGTTGCCAAATGTGTCAGCTGAGCCGAGGTCAGTACATTGTTTTTGCCTGGGCAACACGTGCAGCTTCATCAGCTGAGATGAGGAGAAGTTTGAAATGAAAAGGAAATCTAAATTCCGTCACCCGCTCTCTGCTATGGAAAATGCTCTGGTGTTTTTACGGCAGATGCCAGTCGGAATGTTCCACTCTGACATTTTTATTCACAAACTTTTTCTTGATAATCTTATCATTTTGCCCAATCAGTGCCTCCTTTTCTCTCAATTCGGTCTGGCCTAGAAAGTCCCAACTTGTCCCGCTACAAACAGCTTAGAGGAGAGTGCAGTTTAAATTACACATAGCCTTTTTTTCCCCCCGTCAGTGTCTTCGTAATCACTCATTCATGTAACGCTCCTCCTGTCTGCTGGTGTTCTCCCACTGCACCATCGCAATATCCTTTTTTTTTGTCTGATTAAAAGTGA